ATTAAAATCTTTAAAACTACATGTAACTATCGCGTAATAATCTAGTAAGTAAATAAGTTATATATAAAGTAGTATAATAGATTAGTTAAAGATTAAGCGTATAAGGAGGGAGACGAAGTCCTCCTTAACGTCCGTAATATATAAATATCGCGAGTAAATAAAAAGCTTAATTATAAAATGGCTGGTCCCTTCCGAATCAAACGTTATATTAGTATAAGAGCCTACGAGCTCGACCTAGAAAACGATATAAAAGTCTATAATATATTCTATATCTTATTACTTAAAAGGTTTTAATCTAATATATATAAACGCACGAACGTATAATTACACTCTATTATACCCTAAGATAGACTAGACGTATATAAAGTAGACTATATTATCGAATATAGGCTCGACTAGAACGGTATCTAAAAGTATCGAATCTATTAGAAGAACTATACCGAGGATAAGGACACCTAGGAACCTATAGTATATATCTTAAGTACCGCGATAGCTATATATAAATAGAGGTTATAGGATAACACGTTACTACCGTAAACCTAGTACCGTTAGGGCTATTATAAAAAGAAGAAGGATACCGTAAAGAATAAAGTATTAAATTACGAATCCTAAACGCATACTAGGAAAACTCTATAAGGTAGCCCTATAATTTAAGTAATGCACGGTTACTAAACGCGAAGAAAACATAAATAACTATTATAGACACGTAACGCGATATATTATAATAGAATAATATAGAGAAGTCTAGAATAGACTAATATAGACTATTATACACGAGAAGAATATAGGACTAAGAAACTAAAAAGATACCCTACTACGGAATTAAACTCGTAATATATAATATAAAAGGTTAGAGTACCCGAACTAATAACTACTAGACTACTAGTTCGGGTACTCTAATATAATTTAGAGAGATAAACTAATTTATATATAATACCTATACTTAAGTAACTTAAAGGAAATTAGAACCTAAAATTTAATAGTTATAGAATAAATAAGAATGTATATAATATCATTAAGTTAAGAATTAAATTACTAGAAAACTAGTAGATAGGTATCTAAACGGTCTAAAAAGGACTAAAACGGATAGAAACTAGGTAGATAGAGCTAATATATACTATATAGAAACCCTAGTAAATAGAGCTATAGAGCTACTCCTCTATCTTATTATTACTCTTAGAGTATAGTAAATAAACTAACTAAGTAATAGAGCGACGGAGGTTAGAGACCTTATCCTCTAGAGTAACCACGCGCTTAGTTAGAGCCTAGTAAGACGATAACTAAGCGCTAGAGCGGAGCGACTAGACCTAAAGTTAGCTAACGCGGTCTAGAATAATCTAGAATAGAATATATACCCTCTTATAAGGTAACTTAGAAGGAGAACTAGTAGATCTCTTATAAGACCCGTTAGTAGCACGAGGCGGACGGGAAGAAATAGTATAAATCTCTTCTACGGCCTTAGTAGCTAAAACTAACTCCCTAGAATAGGTAGTCTAAGCGCTAGGAATCTCGCGGCGACTAAAAATTATAAGCTAAGGTTAATAATAATTAACGGTTTCTAAACTTATACTTTAATAACCTCTAGAAAGAGCTTATAGCGCTCCCTAAACTCCCTATATATAGAAGCTAGGTAACTACTAGAACCGCCGAGAGTCTCACGGACGCGAAGATTATTATATATATCTTATATATAAATAGGAACCTAAAAACGCATTAGTATAGATAACTTTAGATTACCCTAGACTAAAATAGCCTAATAGACTTATCTAAAGATAAACTTTACTAAGAACGGTATAGCGGTAGTAGTAGATAGAGAGCTTAAAGATTAGGCGTATAGGCCTATCGCGGTTAGTAGAGTAGTAGCTAATACTAGAGTTAGAGTAGAAGAGATATTTAGAGCTAGTAGCGTGAGCCTTAATATACTTAAAGTATATTAAACTATAGTTCGCCGTTTTTCTATAGCGTAAACTACGACCACGTTTAGTACCTTTAGCAACCTAGGCCTTATTATTACTAGGGCTAGGTTTAGAGTAAATATTAAGGTCCTAAAAGGACCTAGAGTAACTAAGTTAGTCTATATTAGACCGAAAAGAGGAATAGTATTTAGAGCGAGGCGGCGAAGGCGTAAACTCTTAATTATTATCTATAATAAGATCTTCTTTATCCTCTAAAGAAGGTAGAGTAGATAGGCGGCGCGAGTAGATATAGATAGGCTTTATAGCTACCTCTTCCGTAATACTAGTACTAGGATTACCTAGATTAGAGTAACTAGTAGCTACGTTAGTAGTAATAATAATAGTAGTAGTAGCCTTAGCTACCTTCTTCTCTAACTTAGAGCGCGCCTTTATACTACTATAATAAGTGGATTTTTTAGCCGGTATAGCTAGGGTAGAGATAATCCCTTTAGAGCGAGTCTTACGAGAGAAGAAGGTAGGCTTAGAAATAGGACTAGTATTAGACATCTATAATACACGTTAGCTAGAGATCTAAGAGTAGAATACTCGTTCAGCCTTAAAGGCGATTAAAGAAGCTAAATTAGTAACCGTAATAACGCGAATAGATTATATAGGACTAGCTCTAACGAAAATAGACTACTCTAGACCCGAATAGATCTAAACTAAAGGAGATAGTATACGAATTAATAACTTACCTTAAGAGTAAGGTAGATATACTAGAGAAGAAAATTTAGAATAAGAGAACTAAATATAAGCTTAGTTAATATAGCGGTTATATAACCCGCGGAGCTACCTCTAAGGTAGTAGCTATAAAGCGAGGGATAAGCGCGTATATAAATAAAAGTAAACTAGAGCTTAAGTTTACTAATATAAAGACTATTAATAATATTATATAGATTTAATTAGATGCGCGTATAAATATAACGCTTATAGAATTATAGATTTATATATAGCTAAGTACTTCGGGGCAAAGTATAAAAAGAAGAAGGATATTATTAGAGCTAATACTAGAATAGACTTAACTAGACTACTATGGTCTAGTACGGTCCGTAATAGGTGGACCTAGGTTAAGCTAGCTAGAATAAGCGAGACTACTATATAAGTAGGCCGTATATACTTAATTCCTACTCTTTAGAAATTAACCTTATTAGAAGAGTAGACTACCCTTTTAAATATATTCCTAAATCCTTCTATGACCTGTTAGACTACTATCCTACGTCTATAATCCTTATATAAATAAGATATAAATCTTTAAGATAGTAGTATTTAGAATACTATAGAGGGATTTAGAGGCTTCTACGTATATCTTTATAATATAGCTTCTAAGAGTATCTACGCTTAGCTATATTACTACTTCTATCTCTAGATTTACCTTTATAATAGTATTATAGAGATAGCTATTTTTAATTACCTATAGAGACTAAGAGTTAAGAATAATCTACTTAGCTATTAATTAATTAAAGCTATTAGATTAGAAAGTCTTAATAAGTAGATTTACTATATTCTATTCTATCCTTAACTTCTTAATTATTATCTTAAGTATATTACCTTATATATACTTCCTTTTTCTATCTCTATATATAGAGTATTTATTATAGAGATATTCTACTAAGTTTATTATTAAGTCTACCTTAAATCGTCTACCTAAATGTCTCTTATAATAGTATATATAATATTACTAGTACTTCGCTCTATTATTTATCTATTAGAGATAATATCTATATTACTAGATCTAGCTAAAGCTATTAGTCTACTTAAATATCTCTATAGACTTAATAAAGGATAAGAGACGTTACTAATTAATACCTTTATATATAGACTTATTATTAGGGTTAATAATTGTAAGGAGGCGGGCTCTACGCACTAACCAACTACATTAAAAGAACCGAATCTTAAAGCTACTACTTTAAGGGTGGAGTACACTACTTATATACGACTACTATATATATATATAATTAACTAGTAGGCACGTGCCTAATAATATCTCCCCTTTTTAAAGGCGCGTGCCCTTACGCATTATAGGTATCTACCTTATAAAAGATAAACTAAACTAGCTATAATAGGCCTAGTATACGCGCTAGCTATACTTGGCCTAGCATAAACTATATGCACATAATTAATATTTATAATACCGCCTCTAGTACTAGATATACTAACTTACCATAGTAACGTTACTACTATATTATCTATTACATATATAAAGTACACGTAATATAGTAAGCTAAACGGAATCGTACGAAATTTAATAACGGTTAACTAGACTAAGAGTTAAACCCGTGACCCCGTAGTAGCTTTAAGATTATATAAGGAGGCGGGCTCTATATACTAACTAACTATACTAAAAGAACCGAATCTTAAAGCTACTACTTTAAGGGTAGAGCACACTACTTATATACGACTACTATATACATGTATAATTAACTAGTAGACACGTGCCTAACAATAATAGAGTTATAATCTAGATCTTCTATACTATCTATATTATCTAATTCTATTCTAGAGGACTCTTAAACTAGATAATTATATAGATTAGTAGATATAGGCTCGTATAGAATAGGGCTAATACTAGAGAGAGATAGTATCGTTAAGTTATAGATAGTAGTATCTTAAGTTAGTATTAGGTTCTAAGATATATCTTAAGGCTTCTTTATATATATATTACGCTATAAACGCTCGGTCTAGCTATACTACTTTTTAAATATATCTTAAGAGTACTTCTTAGAGGTATAAATAGACTACTAGAATACTATATTAAGGTTATTAACGCGTAGTTATTAATATAATAGTATTTAATATATATAGTAAATAAGAGAAGTTAGTCTACGGCCTAACTCCGGTACTTATAAAATTAGAATAATCTTAATACTATAGTCTATATATATATATATATATACTTTAGTTTAGTTTAATTATTTATAGTTTAATACTATCTTAAATTAAAGTTAAACTAAAGTGTTAGTTCTTAGTAAGAGGCCTTAACTAAACTAAACTAACCAGTTCTTGAGGCGGTCGAATTGAAGTTGAACTGATTGATAGGAAGTCTGGTATTGGTAAGTTTCGGCTGACAAATTCTAGTCGCTTTATTTCATGCTCACGATATGGGCATAGCTAGGGAGCACCCAGTCCATTCAGTAGACTTGATGGATAGATAAGCACGATAGGGGCTAGATTGTGTATTGGCATTTGGGAGACGCTTGCGCTCACTATCCGGATCCCCGATGGATTCATCTATTATGCGCTAACCGTATATGGATGGCGATCAAGGTAAACCACCAAATCGAGACACCGTTCATCAACACCGCTTTCAACATTGACTTTCCCTTTTGACAGCGGTGGAGGAAAATCAAGGAAATGTCTACCATCAACTGGACATGGATAGAGATAACAGAGGCAGTGAAAACCAGGACAAAGCGCCGATAAAAAATTTCTTCACGAGCATCATTTCTTACGACGCTAGACCATCCGCGGGAACCTGGATGACAAACAAAGCACCTGAAGGATCAAAAAGCCGCTCCAGACTACACGATGCTCGCTACAACACCTCGCCTTTCCCTCCGTGAGTTCACAGCAAACGACGTAGACTCGTTCTACGCCCTAGAGTCAAATCCTGCAAACGCCCGCTACCAAACATGGGAACCACGAACCCGTCAACAAAGCTCAAAGCTTGTTGATGAAGCCATCAACAGCATTTTAATACAGCCCAGGAGGGTCATAGAACTGGTCGTCGAGACTGGCTGCGAAACCGAGACACCCAGATTCATCGGCCGTGTTGGGTGTATGATAGCCGACAACATCGCAAACCTGTGGTTTTCTTTCTTGCCAGCGGCTCAAGGCAAAGGTTATGCGACAGAAGCGGTGAGAGCACTGATTACTTTTCTTCACGACGCACCTGCCGGAAACCTGGTTGCTTTTGAGACCCTACAGATCGAGTGTGATCCACGCAATACAGGAAGTCGTAGGATTGCCGAAAGACTTGGCTTCCAGAAGATTTCAGAGGAATTGAATGTATACAAATGTAAAGGCGAGTTGGTTGGCTCAGTGGTTTATGAAACTGGGATCCAGGGTTGGTTGAAGTGAGAAAGTGTCGACCGATGGGCGCAAATGCTGCTCAAGAGCAGTATCGATACGACAGTTGATGCCAGAAGAAGCCGCAAGCCAAGGTTGGCGATATGCGTAGGATAGTCGTCGCGTTCTCAAACTTCCCTGATTTACAATTCGCCTGTTCAACGCCGGCAGCCTCTTGCATCATGGATGTCTTTCCTTTCATACGAGTCAAAAGTCTTTGGGCTAAGTCTTTGCAGCCTTATCATACCAACTATCGTAGACTAGGATCCTATACTTGCGTATTTGCACTGTCGAAGAAAGCTCTCCCTGAGGCCGAGGCTGTCATAGTTGGTGTCGTTGGATGGTGGTTCCTTTTCCGAAATTTGTTCCTCGTGACTCGTTTTTCTGATAATCGCTTTTCCTCAGCCAGCTATTGCTGGCCTATCGTCATTAATACCGGATTTTCTGGCTTCAATTCTCTCTCAGAATCCGCCATGGCAGTGATTTTCTTGAGCTTACCCATCTAAGCATTTTCTTCATCGAGATTAATCTTTGCCGATACTGGCTTCGTCGATGCTTGCTTTGGTGGAAGGACTCTCCTCGAAGTCGACATCTTCTACCGGGAGTGTCCCAAAGCTTATATACCCGAGATTAGGCTCTCCAAAGTCATATATTTCAGAGCCTAGGCTGTCGTCAATAACTTCTTCTGTTCCTCCCTCAAGTCTACTGGCTGCGGTACTAGTATCTCCTTTGGGGTTTCTTGCCTCCGCTCTCGCTTGACTTTTCTGTTGTCTCCTGATACGACCTTGGGTGTAATCTCGTATGATCTCGCGCTCAATGCTCTGTTCCACCTCCTCATCTCTCTTGAAAGTAGAGAGACTGAGTGCCCAGAACTCTTTATCGACCTCCAAATAGTGCCGGACAAGCCAACGCAATTTCTTCTTCAGGACCTCGTGGAGAGATGTCTGGTGCTGTTGGTCTAGGAATTGGAACAGCCGCTCTGGCACCAGTATGCCCCGGAAGTGTCGCTGAAGCATGTTGGTTGCAAAGCAACGCCGCTCATAGCTCCCACTTGGAGACAACAAGGCGTGGTATAGCTCTTTGTAGTTGTCCAGGTTCGACAAATACTTTTTAAATTCTACCGGAGTATTCTTCATTACACTATTGTAGACATTTTTGAAACGGTCAACGTGCTTTGAGCTGTGGTTATTTACCGTGCAGTCGTTCTCATCTTTGAAGTCAGGTAACAAGGTGGTAAGCCCTGCCCAAAGTGGTGCATAATGGGCATTATGCCACCCAACTACCCCACTGATCTGGATTTTCCCGTTGTCATTGACGAAAAAGACATTGCTGGCATTGAAGCCAGGGATCGTGAGTACGAACGAAGGTTCTTCCTTAGATCTCGTTATGTTCCGTGCTACGTGTAGTGGCATACTCTCCAACGACATGTGAAGGAAACTGTCGATTGCTGTTGTACCCAAGGACTCAATGCCTTCATTTGTTTTGTCGATGAGACGAGCAAGCTCGGTGATAGGAAGATGAATCTCTCTACTGAAGTCACGAGGCTTTCTTTCTTCGTCTAAAGATTCAGTGATCGAGATATACGCTGCCGTCTGCCCTGTCTGCGCAGTGACCATACCGACTCTGTTCGACCGCCGCGAAGTCAACTTGCCCAGCACTTCTGCGACGGCTTCAAATCCCCCTAACATCCTGAGCCCCGCCTTACGGTCATTTCTCTTGCTGGTAAGATATGTAGGCCACCTCTTTCCTGCCTTCATTACTTTTCTCTCCGGGGCCCCATTCAACACTTCGTCGCCTCGGACTCCTTCCACGAAATCCATAAGGATGTATGGTACGCCTATCTCGCTACGATCCAACGAAGTCTCCCAGCAATACACCTCCGGCACCGGAATGCTGGTGTTATTCTTGACGTACTGCATTGTTGCTACCTCGGACCGCAGGAGCGCCGCTCTCTCCTTCGTCCATCGACCCTTCCAGCCCGCGCCTGGCACCTTCACCACGACAGCCTTCTCGTTGTTGCATAGCTTGTATACAGTATACTTTGAGCCATAGTCACGATATTCGAGATTGTAGGTGACTTCAGGATCGTCCGTAGATCCCATTAGCCCTGTGACCATAATCTCCAGCTTCTTCTGATCTATGCGCAGAGTGTCACCCCACATCCAGTCCTCACCGGTACCATCGAACGTATCGCCGTGCTTCTGATATGGGGTTTTGTAGATTTCGGTGATCGGAAAGAAGTGGACGCGCTTCGGCGTTTTCGCGAGTTCAGCAGAGGGGGGTTCATCTGAAGCGAGGACTGGCCGATCTCCAGACCTGTGCCTGATACTCTGCTTTGCAGCGTCGACGAATACCGCCGTGCTTTCCTGGGAGGCTTCAGGACAGCTCTTCTCGTTGACAGTAGACTCCTTCTTCTGTTCTTCCACTTCCTCATCTTCCTCCTTCTCCATAGTGCTTCTGGCACCCTCCATTTGTCTGACAGCATCGCTCGTTGGAATAGTGGCCCAAGTTCTAAGGCGCTTTGGGCGGTGGAGGGCGTTGTCGTATTGATCGGCGTTTGTGTCTCCGATAGGTCGTTTCATAGGCATCGTACTGCGATTATAGCATGAAAGATATGTCCTTGATGACGGTATGATTTTAGTATAAGGGGTCTTATAGACGATTGTTCGAGACTGCGCTGATGATATGGTACGAACTCAAAAGTAGATAGGGCAGAATGCGAAGAAACGGGGGCCACCTCTTCAGACAGCAGAGGTATTGAGTTCTTACGCGACTTTCCAGATGCTGAAATGGCATTGTGATGACGAGTTGTGTTAGAGAGACTACACTGTGCATGCCAGGAGATGTGACAAACATACGCCACCACGCCAAGACAGACAATAGAAATTGGGGGGATGTAACAAGAGAGAGGCAACCAAGTTAAGAAGAATGTTCAAGTAGTAAGATGTGAGTAGTCATGGATCAAAAAGAGCATTTCATTGATGATATCTATAGGGAACAAGAATAAACGCTCGGAGAAAAATTTGTAAACACCAGCCGGAACTCTTTCCTCCAGGTCAAAAGCGCTAGGATATCTGTAATTAGAGAATGTTAGCGAAGTGAGCTTCTCAAGTCAGTGATGATCTAAGATCAAAGGCGGACTTCAACGGATGGCCAAGTAGAACTTAGCCATCTTATCAGCGAGAAGATTGGTTCTGCTCATTTCCAGCTACAACCACAGGACAACTTGCACTCCAGTGACCTCTTCCACTCGTAGTACATCGACTTGAGCTTCCTTGTGAAGGAAACCTAGCCCGCACACACATGCGTACCCAAGCTTCAGAAATTGTGGACAACGCCTGGCAGCTCTAAACCAAAGTAGACCTCCGTCGAGAGCTGCCAGACTGCCACTAATCTCCCCACCAGTCAAGATTCTTCAGCCCGCTCGCAGTGAGTCCCACATCAAGCTTGGGGAGACCACCGGTATCCGTTTTAGCCCGACCGGTCTCGTGGTTTCATCACCGGTATCAGATAAATCCAATTCATCGCATGGTACTTCCACCGGTATCAGATAGATCCAATTCATCGCATGATTCGACCACGCGAATCGGTAACCCTGATTCATCGCATGGCCTCCCTTCCACTTGTAGCTTCCCCAAAGTCCTGGGGATCGTAATCTTGACAAGCAAGGAAGTTAGTGAGCCCTCAGCAGCTTTCTCATCCACAGCCATTCCTACCCGTGCGCACCAGCTCAGGCTACATGCTCTGTCCAGGAAACAAGTCCATCAGACATTGCTCGCCGCCGTTGCCAGCCTGACGAGATCATTGGTCAGACCTCCGGCAAAGTGACTGATGGCATGCAAGCTAGACTGTGATTGAGCCAGCTCGGAATAAGAGATATTGGTTTTCATTCATCGAAGTATACGTAAACTGAAGTGGAGGTAAGTTACTCACAAGAGAGCTCAGGTTGCTTTTGCCACCGGAAGCGAATCAGAGCTTGACGTTAAGCTTGAGTGAAATGCATGAAAATGATAGATAGGGATGAAGAAAGAAGAAGCAGAAGAGGAGGAGGTGGAGGAAGAAGAAGAAGAAAAGAGTTTGCAGACAGGAGGGAAGAGTGAGGCGGAGGAGTGAAGATGAAGGTAGAGAGGATGATGAATGGGAAAAAAACAAGTGGGCGAGCTCAAATATATAGCTTTTTGAACTGCCGCTAACAGAAAGCACAGTCCATCACTGGCAATGCTATTCTGCCACCGCTGGTGAATGGCCAATTGACGAGGGGCATTTTGTCTCGATCTGGCATGTCACGGGACTGTCTGTTTCGGCGACGGCAGCGGTGACGTATCTGGAGCGCAGTGGTTCGCCGTGCGCCATTCGTCCAGGTAGTCCCGGAAGCAGTTCCCATGAGCAGGGCTACGCCTATTCGAGACAGCTGTATTGTGGTGGTGACGTGCTGAGAAGTTTGAACAATGGGAGATGAAGTGAATCGTGACATTTTACGTTCGCCGTTGTCCCAAACTAGTTCCAGCGGCATGGCCTACAGTCATTCAGGATAGCTGTATTCTGGTACTTACTCGACTACCGAAGGAGCTGATGGTGAAGTCTATATTCGGCTCCGCTACTTGGAAGTCGTTTGGGAGACAGTGTATGAAATTGTATTTTCAAGTACTATGGATACGGCACACTTGAAGGAGTAAGGTAGGAACGAAGCAAATTGTATGAGGAGAGTATCCATGTTGAGTTAGCTGAAGTTGTACTTCGTGTCTTGCAGTTCTAGGGGACTGAAGCCGAAAGAAATCTCACGATAGTAACATGGGCGGTGTACTAGGGAGCATGACAGCAGCCGCTGGACTTCTACCATGTACTTAGTGAACTGGGAATCTTAGTTCAAGTAATGACATATCTTGGTCGAACATGAAGAGATGTTATCGGTGGAAAACGGAAATTATTCATGAGATGCAGAGGAGCTAGAGATGGACAGCAAGGAGAGTAGAAAAAGTTTACTTAGCTGCCTGAAGAGCTCTTTTGTCTCTTCTTTGCTTGACCCACTGTCCAAATGGAAGCCATATCTCTTCCTTCTGCGCTGGCTTCAGAGTCGCAGCAAGCCCACTAGTAGACGTAGCCACAAAGACTCTCGCACCATGCCATATTCCACCGCAGCCGTCAGATTCTTCACCGTCCTGACTTCTGCCCATGTTCTCCTTCTCATCCTGCCACCCATAACAAAACTCCTTTACATTAGGACTTTTCCCATGGCGATACTTCCATATACTCTCCCATATGCCTTTACCAACAATACACACAGCCTCAGGCTTATACTTTAGTATCTTCTCATCTAATATTCTAGTGCCAGCAACTTGTTCCGCCTTCGACAACTCCGCAGTATCCTTCGTTGGCCGCGAAACAATGTTTGTGTTGCCCATTGAGTATAGCCGCGGTAGATCCCCGTCTTCTTCAGGGCGACACCGCCTATCCGTACAACCTGATGAGTGTAACAGTTTCCAGAAGAGATTCGAAGGATGTGCGTATGCGTGACCAGATGTGGCAGTTGATATGCCAGGATTAGCGCCTATGAAGATACAGATGAGTCCAGGCTCGAGGACGTCGCGTAACCCCGGGAGATGTGCATATTTCGAAGGGTCGGCATATTTGCTTGACGATCGGCGCTTCTTGGGTGTTCGAGAAGGCGAGTTCGACGTTGACTTGGTGACCGCAGATCGGTTCCGTCCGAGGGGTGGAATGGCTGTGGAATGAGACTTTGAGTGAGGGCGAGCTATGGACACGTGCGATGCCGTAGTCGGCCTTGATCGTAACTCCCGATGCTGGAATTGCTCCAATCTGCGTGTGAAGCTCGGAGGAGCGGTGGGTTCGCCTTCGCTGGCGTAACTATCGCCATCTTGAGACTCCTCGGTGACGCGAGACCTAAGCATGTCGCAGAGATCCGCCCACTAGAGACGTAGAAGAGTCTGTCTATCACCCGGGAAGGACATGCCAAGTCAAGCGACGCGTGCATCCAAGCAGTGATCTGGTCCTCATCATCTCGAGGCTTGTAGTTTGCGTTTGAACATTACGGACTCGGAGAAGTGACGTCTGGAACAATGATGAGATTTACCTTTGGTCGTGACCAACTATTCAGTTCTCATTTCTCACTGTCAGTGTTCGCAGACCACGCCCCTTGGCGGCAGCTATACTCTTGGGCTCAATCTCTTCACAGACCTTAAAAGCGCTTCATTGGTTCTTGGCTATTTAGGAACTGACTCCTTTGAGCGCATTGGGATCCCATGAGTGCCACTCTTTCCCAAATTAACACCTTCCTCATATCGTTGGTTCCCATGAGACTTCGTCGTATTTGAACTCGCCCTCCTATAACATGAGCGAATCACTTGCTAGGCTCCTGGGAACTCGAAACATACCGGTTTTTGGCAGGAGAATACTACGTAGGACCTACTCGAACCAACGACTCACACCTCTACACATCATCAATTTAAAGAATAACTTTCCGCTGTCTGTGAACAGGCCTCCTGACGGGTAGAAGAAATAGCCAAAGAGCTACTAACACCGGCATAAAGCCAACTCTGGGGTACCAGAATACCCGATATATGCTCATTGGCATCTTGATCCGGACCTCCCATCAATGTGTTCACTGCGAAATGACTTCATTGGTATACAGGCGCTGAGCGTTACCGAAGTAGTCGACTTCTTGATGTGCTCGTGGCAATACCATTTACATTTACCTTGAGGGGGTTTAATTCTACCATGCGTGAATTCATCTTCCACTGTGTAGCTATCGATCATAGACTGTCCGCGGCAGGAATCTCCGGATATTTAGAGAGACAAGTCACGCACGGTAGAAGAAATCACAAAGCACAGCAATATCTACTAAAACCACATGCCAAAGCTCAGTGATCTATTCGTACGACGCATTGGACATATGTAGATTATTTGGCTCAACAGGGCGGGACCCGAGAGATGCAATCACAGTATAGTACACCTATTCAGCGGGTCGTTTCCCAGCATTGCATCTCTCAGATTCCGTCCCCGTCTCTGCCTCTTCTCCTCCTCGCTCAGGTCCTCGTGGCTGTATCCCCACCAGATGGCGACCCTTGCGTGAGCCAACAAACGGCCCTCCGCCCCAAAGTCCTCATCCCAGTCGTGTTTTCTCAGGGCCGTGCATCCGGGCAAGCCAACGAACCTGACCAGGGGCCGGGCTCGCCGGACGTCGTCGACCCACTGCTGGTCTATATCCGTCTCAACCTCCGGGCTGCCAATCCGAGGCTTCTTGTCTACCCAGTCATTGTTGATCGCATGATGCTCGTCCGGGCTGAACGCCTGTGCCGTCTTGCACGTTGGGTGACGGTAGACCACCAATGGGTCTTTTCGCATCTTTAGGTGCAGCTCGGCAGCAGCTTGCACTATGGTAAGTAGGGACAGGATCATCTTTCTGTGGAGAGTATGTTCTTCTTTTGCGTCCATGAAGACCAGTCGTGAGATCTGTGTGTTCTTCTTCCCGATTAAAGGTTTGAAACCTGGATTGAGCGCTAGGATGGGCTGTAAAGCATCGAAGATCTTGATCGATATACGGTGGGTTTCCCAGCCGTATTCCTCTTCCCATTCGGGAGCCTTTTCAATCCTTTCCACGATCTTCGCGAGGCATTCGTTGTATATGAAACCCCCTGGATTTGTTCTATTAGCAGGTAAACAAGAAGACACAGACCTGTCGACACTGACCATGGCCATTCTTCGATAGCACCTTTTTTCCCATCTTATATATCTCCTTCACTTGGCGTCTTGTTGCACCACACAGTGGTCTAGAAATAACATCCTCATGAATAATCTTCCCGATGATTGCGTAAATCAGAAGCCCTCTATCTTCGTTCTCAATTACCATTTCAGGCCATCCTCTCAGCGCGGTAGCTGGAGCCATCTCCTTAACGGCGCAGAGGAGATCCATACTAGGTCTTTTCAAGGGAACACCGTCGCCGTCCAAATCTTTGCCTCCCTGAATGGTGAAATTGCAGTACGTACCAATGAATCTTTTGATTCGTTTATGTATCAAAGCGTACTGACGTTTGACAAATGCATCCATACGGCGATATGAAGCCAGTTCGTCTTCCTCCAACAACTGTGACTCGGCAGGGTTGGTGGATTCGTGCTTCCGGTGGTCACAGTCCGCTCTCACAGGTGTCTGTGGATCGCTCAGTCCTCTATCAGGGCTTCCATCTTCACGAGCTACGCGCTCTTGTCGACTTTGACCTTCGCTATCGAGATCGTCCTCATCCTCGCTCTGGCCCACTGGGCTGCGCTCAGATGTTAGGTCTCGATCAACTTCCGAGCGAGTCTCATCTTCACTGAAACTACCCCCAGCCTCACCAATATCCAGATCTTGGACTGACTGATACTGCACATCTTGGTCAGTCCCTGGCTCAGATCTCTGTTCAGGGGCTTCGATCTGGCCTGACTGCAACTGGGTGTATCGGGCTATAGATCTTGCTTTTCGTGTTTGACGAGTTCTAGTCGTGGTTTTGAATGTAATGCCTTTCCTTGAAGGAGTGGGCGAACTCATGGAAGATTCAGGAGGAGAGGATGTATGTTGCCTTTTTCGCTGTGTGTCGTCGTCAATATCGGAATCAATGGACCTGCCACGTTTCCTGTTTTCTGTTGGAGAATTTCGAGAGGTAGAGGAGATCAGAAGAGGAGCAGCATCGTCCACCACTGCTGCTTTAGCCTTTCGCATGTCGGCATTCTGTAAGAGTTAGGCTGCAAGATAAAAGTAGTAAAATTCACAAATAGATGTCCCACCTTTTTGCGAACAGTCCTCATCACCTCACTGAGGTCTTGCTGATCGTCAAGCTCCGGCTGAGTTTGTCGTGTTGGATAGGTGCGGCCCGTCATAGTGGAGATTGATGATCTGGTAAGGAGACTTGCAAAGATAACTAGCTTCTCACAGAGACTCAGGACGATTTGTCGATTTCGAATCGCAGAGAACGAATGAAAGGAATGGGATGGAAGAATCTTGAAGAGGAATTTATTGCGGGAATTTGAAAGGCTTTTGCAGAACAATGGCTCCGCTATTGAACAGTGTTTGCCAGCAAACAATACAAAGAAGCCAACACGTGACATGCCTCTCCCTCAATGAGACCATTGAGCTGGCTGGAAACAATCCAATCGTCCCAATATCGTCAATAGAACCTTGTTACAGTTGGTTCTTTGATCGCAAACGACATTGTGCTTACCATGTCCAACGTATGCGCAAGGGGTGCGCATTACTACAATAGTGGTCGCAGAAAGACTCCAGCTCTAGGCACTCTATAGCGCTGTCTATAGACGCTGAATATATTGGGTATCACTAAGCACTACTCTGCACTCTGTCAAGTTTCGAACTCCTCCTTCTTCTCCATGTTCGCCGCAACATGTCGCCTCAGCGCAGCCCAGCGGTCTTGCACTGCACCACTCATCTTCTCTTCTGTACTCCTTACGACGCCTTCTTCCATAGCCTGTCCGTGTGCCGAAGCCATCGCGGCCATATTCATGCTCATGCGCTGCCGCTCAAGTGCTTCGATTTTCGCTCTCTTCTTCGCCACACCCTTCGTGGCTTTCAGACTCGTGGTGCCCTTTTCCTTGCCTGTGCTTGATTTTACCACTCTTGCTTGTCCCACTACCTTACTGGCATTCTCTGGACTGACGCCATCATCTGGAAGGGCATCTGCTAAGCTTTCTAGGGTGGCGACGAGTTTCTTATTCGGGCGGCGTCTTTTGGTCACTCTCTGATTAGGTGCTGATTTTTGGATCTTAGAGATGAGGACAGAGTGCTTGATAGCTTGCTTGTCTTTCTTGGTAGTGGTAAAGGTGGAGGTAGGTGCAGGGTACGACGACGGACCCGATGCACGCTTCGCAGTCTTGCGTATGGGAGCCTGTCACAATGAGTGTGCGCACATGCAGAACGCTCTTGGCTACCTACCATATGAGTTATTACAGTTCGGCGAGGTTGTATGACTTGACGTTCTCGAAAGGGTGGGCTTAGAGCTTCGAACTTTTTGGCGCCACTCGCGCTAACATGTTTTAAAAAATCGTGGGGTTTTAGCCACAAGTCAACGGAGTTCATTCCGTACAGTACAATCTACATCACAGCACATCCAAGAGGGACTTTTAGATGTAATCAAAATCCATAGATCTGCCTCGGCCGTCATTATTTCGTAGGTTTCGTGTCCTTTCTCTGCTTACCTACAACATACATCATCCTTGCAGGTTTGATAGCATAATCTGCTGGGTCGCAATCGAGCCAGAGCACTCTAGTGTCGGGCCCGTTCTGGCAGAGGTCTATAAAGCCTCAATTCTTGAGTAGATCCGTCCTTCATAGGGCAGAGCAAGCGACATGATCCTACCTGCAGGATGCTTTGCGATCTGATCGGCCAGCAGTTCCGTGGAGAGTTCCGCGGAACCAGTATGTGAACTAACCAAAGGAGCTGCACTGAACCTCTCAACCACTGTCGCCACTGCCTTGCATTGGCATCGAAGATGGTTGGCCTCCAGGAGTAGTATTGCTGGAATGCCTCTTCTTCTCTTTCTTCGCCCATCGTACTAGAAATATATTAGTGCATCGTGGTTTCGAAAATAGGTGCGGATGACCTTACAACCACAAGCATTGCACAGAGTTTTGGGTCCGTTGGGACCTTTTCTCCACTCTGGCGAGTCAAGCGTCCCGCAATCCGTGCATACATACTCATCCGCGACTTTCAATTTCTTCTTCTTGTCCGAAGACCCGCGGTTGTCTTTATCGACAAGTATAGCGATACCTGCGTCTCCACGAATAAGCTGCGGGCTGGTGTCACCAGTGCTTATGCCTTTCGCCCTTTCCCCGTCCCTGTAGTGTAGACCTGTGAGCATTTCGATTGTTTCAATGTGTGTTGCTCCCTCGTAGCGCGCCATCTTATCGTTGATACTATCCGGCTTGGAGGCTGCCAGAGCTTCGTCCAAGTTCTGTCGCGTGAGAGCCGTATTCGAGATAGTCGGCTTGGCTGGAGGAGGCATGCCGTTATATTGAGCCATGTTGTCGCTCACTGACCGTTTTCCAGTTCGAGTTTCCGATACGCTTGTGCTGGTGGGACCAGTCTTACTCTCCGCATAGGCTCGGTCAGCGGCCTCATTTTCTTCCTGTTCTTCCCGTTTCAGTTCGGCTATCCGTTTCATTAGTCGCTCATTTTCGATCTTGTGCTCGAGGAACGAGTCGAGCAGAGCAGCATTCTTAGTCGGGTATGGCCTAGCCATCATGAAGAACCCTCTACAATAAGTATGGCCTCCATGTGTACCAAGAGCCACCGGCTCTGAACTCAGATGCGCATGTCCATGCGATTCAAATATTACATATGTCCCATCTTCTTTGCGAAAGCGGTAGAAGAACCGCAGACTGTTTCCGGACGCGATAGCCTCGTTGAACTCTTTGATGTATATACCACTGTCATCGGGATGCACGTATTCGTTTATGAAGTGGCCAAGCAGTTGGCCATGGTCGTACCCAGTAAGCTGTTTTGCAGAAGGCGAAACATAAAGAATACGGCCATCAGGAGTGAGGATATGGAGAAAGTCCCGTATTTCTTCTAGGACGCGCTGGGACCAGTTACGGCGCTTCGTAAACTCGGTCAAGGTGCTGCCGGACAAGTTTGGATTTTGCATGCCATAGCCCGTCGGCAGCGGACCGGCGCCAATGTCATTCATGTTACCGCCGTGCATTGCGAAGGCATGGCCAGGGTCGGTTGACGAAGCGTGAGGCATAGAGCCATGGGCGGCGGAATGGCCGTTGTACGGGTAGACTGACTGGGATTGAGAATCGGGATCGAGCGATGACAAGTCAAGGTCCATGGGTAGCAAGTCATTGTCCATGGACTGCATCATGCTCATGCCTTGTTCGTCGTCCATCATGACCCTCGAAGGATTGCCGGACATCTAGCAATCGAAGATTAGTTGTCATACCGGGCTGGCGAAAGACGCGACACGGACGTGAGCATAGGCACGAGCTGTGAGGCTAATAGTAAGAGGTGTGATGGGACGACTTACATCGCCCTGCATAGTGGAGCCATTATGGTGGTACATGGCGGGCTCTGGACTCCTAGGTCACGCCAGACGGTAGGCAAATCTTGGGAGACATGCAACGGAAAAGGCCGCCGATGCGAGGTTCTCCAGGGCTGGCGAGCAATGATCGAGGTGCTGTTGATGGGCCAAGTTGATGCTGGCGATATGATGCGCATTTACAGCGGGGAACTGAGATCATGAAGAGCTCCTGCGCCTCTAGCGGCGCCATTTTGGCCTTCTGCCTTCTTTTTCCCATCAGCATTTTCGCTTTCCCATATCTGGCTGGGGCGAAGGTCTAGTAAACTGTCAATCACTGCCGATCGGGGCATAGTCGGCACGTGGGTCTCTTTCGATCGACCGTCTTCCGTCACGTGCTGACGTGTCACCATCGTCGCGTCTTCGTAAGGCGACAGGCTGGTCAGAGCTCACGTCACGTCTCTCTCCAACTGCGGAAGGTGAAGGGTATTTTGTCGCAAAGAGCTGAGGGAGACGACAGACTGACAGCAGCCAGCGCTAGAGACTGATCTCTCAGGATGTCGAGCATAGCAAAGCTCTCTATACAGGGCGTCCGGTCGTTTGACGACAAGCGCCCGGAGATTATCGAGTTTGGCACGCCACTCACTCTTATTGTTGGCTACAATGGATCCGGGAAGACGACAATCATTGAATGTCTCAAGTATGCTACAATGGGGGACCTCCCGCCCAACAGCACGCGTGGTGGAGCCTTCATCCACGATCCAAAGCTTGCTGGTGAGAAAGAGGTGTTGGCGCAGGTCAAGTTGTCATTCAGATCCACAAAGGGCGTGAAGATGGTCGCCACTCGAAATCTCCAACTGCAGCTCAAGAAGACCACAAGAACGCAGAAAACGTTAGAGGGCCAATTGATGATGGTTCAAAATGGCGAACGTACGTCCATTTCAACGCGTGTCGCAGAGCTTGATCAGATCATGCCCCAATATCTAGGTGTGTCTAAAGCTATACTGGATTCTGTGATATTTTGCCACCAGGACGAGAGTTTGTGGCCTATGGCTGAGCCTGGGTCTCTCAAGAAACGTTTCGATGAAATCTTTGAAGCACAGAAATACACCAAAGCAATTGATAACATCAAAATCTTACGTAAGAAGCAGCAAGAAGAACTACTGCAGTACAAGACAGTCGAGCGGTTTGCCAAGGAGGACAAAGACAAAGGAGAAAGGGCCGAGAAACGGTCGTCAGAACTCTATGAAGAGCTCATGAAAATGCGAGCAGAGTACGAGGCGGGCGAGATCGAAGTGGCGGAACTGCAACGCAAGACGGAAGAGGCTTACCAGATGGCTGCGAAATTCGAAAAGACTGTCGCTCGGTTAGAGGGAAAACGAATTGAAGCATCCGCGATCGAACGTAATGTCGTCTCGCTCCGAGAGAACATGAAAGAGATGGAAGACACAGATGAGGAACTGCAGTCTCATCTTGATAGGTACCAGGAGCGTATAGCACTCTATCGAGACGAAGCCGAAGTCCATCGTCAGCGGTACTCGGAACTCTCACACGAGCTTGACGAGAAGCGCAAAGCTTTGAGTTTAAAACAGCATGAAATCGGGAAATATGAAGCCCAGAAAGACCACCATGACCGTCAGGTCAAACAACGCGAGACATTGATCAAGGAAACATCAAGGCGTCACAACATCCGAGGCTTTGAGCTAGACATCACGGACAAACACGTCATGGACTTTGTGGAACGCCTTGGAAAGCTAGCTCGTGATTCCAATACGGCATTCGAAAAGGCCCGCAGAGAGATGCATGAGGAACTGCAGCAAGCACAAGAAATACTCAGTCAACATAGTGAACGAAAATCAGCTCTCAATCAAAGCAAAGAGAACTGTAGGATTCAGATCGGATCGAATGATGGGCGAGTGGCGACTCTACAGAAAGATATGAATAAGATATCAATCGACGAGGGAAGTAAAGCTGTTCTTGAATCGACAGTCGAAGATCTGCAAGTTCGACTGGAAAAGGCCCAGACGGAGGAGGCGAGCACGGATTGGGACTCCCAGATTGGTGATTGCAACCGAAAGCTCCGAGAAGTAGAAGAGAGCAAAGAAAGATTCGACACGGAGCTTTATGAGGCGACAGCCAAGGCTGGCGAATCTGCCCGGCTCGACCTATTAGTGAAGGATCAGAAAGACCGACAGTGCAGCCTAGATTCGATGAGAGGAGCCTACGACAAGAAGCTTGGTTCTTTACTAGGTCAGGAAGTAAATCCTTCCACGCTCGAAGATGTGTTTCAATCGGAGCTGAAGATCAAAGTCAATGATTGCATAGATGCTGAGGCCCAGCGAGATGGGGTGGCGCGCGAGGTCGAACAACTCGATTTCAAGCTTGCAACAGCCCAAAAAAGCCTCAAACAGAAACAAGCAGAAGTCAGACGATGTGCGGATATGGTCCAGCGCGCCCTGAGCAATGGTGAGCCTGTTGAGGATCTCCCCTCTGTTCTAGACGACCTTGAGCTCAATTTGAAAGTGCTCAGAGATGATGCTAAGAGTTATGAGGTGACGGCTCAATATTGGAATAAGTGTATGGAGTTTTTCAATAAGCACAAGGCATGTGAACTTTGCAAAAAAGGTATCAAGGAGGGGAGAGAAACAGACAAATTCCTGGAAGAACTTCAGAAACGTATCCGCAAATGCTCTACCCAGGAAGGTGAATCTGTGGCGGCAGAGTTGAAGGAGGCTGAAAGTGAAATAGAGGTGGTGAGAAACGCCAGACCAGCCTACGAGACATGGTTTCGCCTCAAGAATGACGAGATTCCACCATTACTCTCGGAGGTAGAGGCGCTAAACAAGAAAAGGCAACAGCTTGTCATCAAGCAAGAGGAACATGACTCAATTCTCAAGGAGAAAGACGACGAGCGGCGTGATTTTGAGACATACACCAAGACGGTCCAGCAGATCACCAAATATCACGCTGATATAGTCACTTTCAAGAAGCAGATTGAAGAGGTTTCTGCAAAGCAATCTCAGATTGGTGCATCAAGAGGCCTCGAACTGATCAAGGACGACCTAAAGGGAGCAAATGACCAAGCACGAGGGCTAAGGTCCACTCTGACACAGCTTCAGGGAGATCGCGAGAGATCTCGAACCACAATTAGTGCGCTTGAGCTCGAGGTCAGCAATACCAGATCAAAGCTCAGCACAGCAGCATACCAGCTGAAAGAGAAGGCCAATCTGCAATCACAAATTGAAGACTTGCGAAAGCAGAATGATGTACAGCGGGAGCAGATTAAGGAATTGAGTCGTGAGCTACAGGCTTTGGCCCCCAAAATTGAGCAGGCACAGATCAAATACAACGATATCAAACAGCGAGGAGATGACAAGCAGCGTGAGCTTCAGCAAGAAGCAGCGAAGCTTTCTGATAGTCTACATCAGCTGAAGTCGGCTAATGATGAGATCAACGCATACGTCGATCGAGGAGGCGACCAGTCTCTCGCCCGTACCCGCCGAGAGATCGAAAACCTGGAGAACGATGTGAAAGGGATCGATGAAGAGATACGAAAGACGGCCAAGGATGTAAAGAAGATTGAGGAGAGCTTGCGCAACACAGATGAAACCAAGCGCGCCATTAACGATAACTTACGCTACAGGCGTGGCGCCAGAGATCTCGAGAGCGTCCTGAAGGAAGTCTCAGACCTCGAGGCTGAGAACGCTGAAGCAGATATGGCTAGGTATGATGACGAGGGCTCAACATGGGGCAGGAAGCGCGACAAACTGTCAGGTGCACAGTCGATCCTGATGGGTGCGATGCAGTCGAAAGACGAGCAGCTACAAGGGCTTATCAAAGACTGGGAGACGGATTACAAGGACGCCAAATACAAGTACAAGGAGGCCCATATCAAAGTAGAAACGACCAAAGCTGCAGTCGAGGACCTGGGTCGATACGGCGGGGCTCTGGACAAAGCCATCATGAAATTCCATACAATGAAGATGGAAGAGATCAATCGAATTGTCGACGAGCTTTGGCGAAACACGTATCAAGGGACCGACGTCGACACAATCATGATTCGATCGGACAATGAGACGCTCAAGGGCAATAAGTCTTACAACTACCGTGTAGTAATGGTCAAACAGGATGTTGAGATGGATATGCGTGGGCGTTGTAGTGCTGGGCAGAAGATGCTTGCTAGCATTATTATCCGACTCGCTCTCGCCGAATGTTTTGGTGTCAACTGCGGTTTGATTGCACTGGACGAACCGACGACAAATCTCGACCGCGACAACATCCGATCTCTAGCACAGTCGCTTGCGCAGATTATCAAAGTTCGTCGGCAACAAGCCAATTTCCAGCTGATTATCATCACGCACGACGATGAGTTCCTTGATTACATGCAGTGCGGAGATTTTGCAGATGTATACTTCCGGGTCTCTCGCGATGAGAAGCAGAAGTCGCAAATCCGCAAACAGCAAATTAGCAACGTAAGTCATCATGGAGCGTGACTGTGGTCCTGGAAACTAAGTTGATTTGATATGCAGGTGCGACTCGGTTGACGTGCTAGGTGGGCGTTCTTCATAACGTGTCACGGCCGATACATTCATGTCTTTCTATCTCTGTTCTGGACTCCTAGAGCGTGGTCAAATGTGTTACGAACAGTTACGGACTATCGACTGTGGCGCAACAGGGGCATTTTCTGTGGTGTGGCGTAGCATTTCAGTTCTGCATTTTCGAGGCGTTCTAGGCTCTTGCAACAAGGCAAACCCGATCTTCTTATCTATTGTCTACGCGCTGAAACAATACATTGTCGGTGCTAATACGTAGATGATAGCCCCATGTATTATCATCATCTATCTCGACGCCATGTAGGCTGTCGCCGTTGCGCGGTATACCGTGGCTGCTCCACCGAACCTCCAACCCCGCAAACATGCACCAAGCCGTCCCTGACATGGACCTGACAGCGGCAAGCCCTCGTAACGCCATTCCAAGCCGTCTCGAAGACTTTGACACATGCTGGAGTTGCAACATTGCGACTCTTCTCTCGTATGTGACCCGAAGTACACCATGAAAGGATGCCCAGGAATGCGTCATCATAAGGCTTCGTACATCCCATCCATATCTCAACATATTTGCGGATACAGCCGGATCACATTCTTTACGAGCATCGCATAGCTCGTGTGACCGAGACATGCGAACAACGACAGCGAAGTTACACCGACCGATCCTATCACGGTCGTCGCTCTGCGCGCAGTGACCCGCTGGGGCTTGTCTATGTATCCCAGTCACCATCTTCCTGGTCTTTGGGTCTCCTCGTCTCTCGGTCTCTGTCTCTGTCCCCTCAATCCCACTGATACCCCGCGAACAATGGCTTAGAAGTCATCCAGCTGACCAGTGCTAGCCTGCTGTCGTGGCCGACGATGTGGATAGCTTCGTCCACCAGAAAGCGGGGGAAGTGAGTAGTGATCACAGTCACGGTCGCATTCAATCACGTTGACATCGGCATCTTGGAAGCAGAGGCAGAAGCAGAAGCAGAAGCAGAAACATGGACAGATCCGAGGGCCGATCATAGTTTACGCCTTCGGCGGCCCCTGACGACCACCAGCCAATCAACGTACGAGATCAAAGCGGATATGGGGTCGTTGGGCTTGCTGAGGCGCACCTTGGCGCGCATATTCAGGGCCGCGTGGCGCAACTCTGTGACCGCGACCATAAGCTTGTTTTCATTTTGGGTTACCCGCATGGATATCATTAATCACCACCGAAAGATTTTGCTTGCTTCTGCATTCTGCTTTGAAAACTCCGCTCACTTACTTGACGTTGATGGCGCGGTTGGGCCTTGGCCTAGTTCTTGGGAGACAAGATCCTGACCCCCTACAGCCAGCACGCATGATGATGACCTCCGCGAAAAGCTGCATTACAGGAACAAGGGGTAGGGGGGCTGAATTCTATCTACTGTTTGCTATCGTGTTGTTTATAGTGGTATCCAAGGCTAACACGACATGATACTCTAGTGCTTGTGCCCGTGCACACCTCACCAGTCAAAGTATCCATGCTTGGCTCCAGTGATGCTTGCGGCAGAGTGGATCTTTGGAATCAGCACGGTCACGCTGATGCTCGCAACTGTGTCTAAAGCGCCGGAATTACCATCATTACTATGGTCGCCTCAAAGCTCCGGATCTAGACAACCCGCGTGCTGGCGATCAGCACGCTTCCTCCCGCTCCTCACTGTGCTCTCCAGCGTATCAAAGGCCACTCTCGGCGCCGAGGTCATATGGTACGCAGTCAACGGCGTGAGCGTGCTCCAAGAATTTTTGCTCCAACGACAAGGTTTGGAGCAAGCAGATCGCCATCCTTGTTAATACATTAGGGGGTCTACCCATTTTAGCTCTGCCGAATATCACCTAAGAATTCTTCGACTTCCCCTTGAAATCAAGCTGTGTGCTTGCTCCCCCGTTCCGCTCGGGATATAATCGTCGCATCTCTCCTGAGCCCATTGCTAAGTTTAGGCTTCCCGTGTGCTCTGTTGCATAAAGCTTTCTGTTGTCGCACTCCAGCCCTGTTCTTGTCACGTCACGTCACGAGCACCGGGTCCTTTCGTCTGTGGCCGTAAGTGCGAGCTACGAAGCCTATAAGGACGCCTTCTCTTGACTGTCGATCCAACCTCACGTCCATCGACACAAGCCACTTTCTCTTACAGCATGTTACTCAAGAGTAGCCTTCAGCTCTTGGTGGCTGGTCTTGCTACCGCTGCGCCGGCGTGAGTACCATTCAATTGACATTTAGACCGTTGACCTGACCAGACTTACAGATCCGACACTCTTAAGCGTGGTGTCAGCTTCGATTGGGGCACTGAGAAGGTCAGAGGCGTGAACATTGGCGGCTGGCTCGTTCTGGAACCGTGCGCTTGACCCTCGAAGTGCTCTTATGTTACTGATGGCTAACCGCTTGACAGATGGATCACTCCGTCTATCTTTGAGCAATTCTCGCCGGCGGAAGTGGTTGACGAGTATACGCTTAACCAAAAACTTGGCACGCAACGGGCTCACGACGAAGTACTAAAGCCTCATTGGGATAGCTGGGTTACATTCGAGGACTTCAAAAGAATCAAGGACTATGGCTTCAACGTCGTGCGTATACCTATCGGGTACTGGGCTTATGCGACGTACGGATCGCCTTATGCTCAGGGTGCAGCTCCCTACCTCGACAATGCTATCGATTGGGCTCGAGCCACCGGATTGAAAGTCTTCATTGATCTGCACGGCGCACCGGGCAGTCAAAATGGTAAACAACAACCAATCCGAGATCATTTCAAATGCTGACATGCTCTCAGGGTTTGACAACTCCGGCCAGAAGACCAGTAATCCACTATGGCTCACGGGTGATACTACCCAGCAGACCCTGGAAGTCATCCAGATTATCGCCGACAAGTATGCTCAGCCTATGTACCAAGATGTTGTCGTCGGCATCCAACTTCTCAACGAGCCTCTCATGTCCAACCTCCAGGGCGGTCAAGACGGCGTGAGACAATACTACCGCGACGGCTACGGCAACGTTCGCACCGTCAGCGACACCCCCGTCATCCTCCACGACGGCTTTCAACAACCCCCGACGTGGAACGGCTTCCTGACTCCCTCGGACAACAACGCGCAGGGCGTGGTCATGGACCACCACGAATACCAAGTCTTCAACTTCGAACAGATCGCATGGGACCCACCAGCTCACCGTCAGCACGTCTGCAACAACATTGACACCATCAATGGCGCCGACAAATGGACTTTCGTCGGCGAATGGACAGGCGCCATGACTGATTGCGCGAAGTATCTGAACGGATACGGTGTGGGTGCTAGATACGACGGAAGTTACCCTGAAAGCACGTACAAGGGCTCGTGTGCCGATTTCAACGACCTCAACAACTGGGACCAGCAGCTGAAAGACGACACGCGCATGTACATCGAGGCCCAACTCGACGCCTTCGAGGCCAAGACCCAAGGATGGGTGTGGTGGAACTTCAAGACCGAGGGCGCTGCTGAATGGGACATGTTCCGTCTGGTTGAGGCAGGAATTTTCCCTAACCCCCCAACCAGCAGGAAGTTTGGACCGGTCTGCAACAACTTGTAGACGGTCGTGTGGTGAGGATGAATATAAAAACGACGTCCAGCCATGTTGAAAACAGTGCTCTTGGTGGGCGGTCGACACTCGCTTGGATGGAGCTGGTGGTACATTGCTTATTGCATATGAGCGTGGCATTTTACACTGGACATTTGAAACAACATTTACGATACCCACTCGCTTAATTTCTGTATATATGTTGACTTGCTTCTGGGAGGCGGTACTTGCACATAGTCTACATACGATATCTATTACATTTCCTTTGTTTATCTCGCGACCCTGTTCCTAATGAAAGGTTGTGGATATTTGTCTGCCTGACCGACTCATTTGCCGGTGTGGCTGACTCGGGGCCAAAACAAGTACCGAGAAGAATCCTGGTACCACCTGAGATACCTACACCGAACGCCTCACTACCCCACCCGCAACACCTCGTAAGCTGATGAGATGGAGTGGTCAGGCCATTCAATTGTCCGCTGGACTTTACAAGCCCGAATAAAGACATCATCAGGCAAGGGGGTCTGCCTCATTTGCCGTCATTGTCTATTCCTATTCTCAACACCTCTTACATAACCTGTCTGGCCATCACTAGTCTCTCGAAGCCCATTGAGCTCTAGACACTGGGTGTATGATTCTCGTCTGTCTACGACAACCGTCAGTCTCGTTAATATGAACTCCCTCAACATGACGCGGGAAATGCAAGACGAGCTCGCAGCTGTACGCCCTCTGCTCTGGTACTCCTCACATCCACTCACTCCTCACAGGCCACATCATTCCACTCCTCGCCCAATCGCGGCGCCTCGGTGCCCCAGCTATCTGCAATTCCTGAGCAACGCATGTCTATCTCAGAATGGCGCGCCAAGATGGGCATCGACCCTGCCAACCAGATCAAGCTTGTCAAGCTCTCTCACATGCGCTACCAGCATCCCGACCTGGCCAAGATCACAACATTTCTGCGGCATTTTGGCATGAGCGTGGCGGCAAAGACGGAGACAAAGTTGTGGTATAAGGGTTATGGGACGGATCAATACGTGTACTACGCACAGTACGGTGAGAAGAAGTTTCTGGGTGGCTGTTTTGAGGTTGAGAGTTTTGCGGATCTGGAGAAGTATGTACTCTGCCACTCCTGGCTGAAGGGAGAAAAGGGATGTGCTAACGTGACTTTGGGACAGAGCCGCAACTCTACCAAACGCGACTGAAATACAAAAAATAGACGACGCGCCGGGAGGAGGATACATGAGGTCCTTTACAGATCCAGAGGGCTTCCAGGTGAATCTCATATACGGCCAGACGCCCAAGGAAGCAGGCCAGCAACCCGAAGTCCTCGTGACAAACTACGAGCAAGACAAGCCACGCAAAGCCCGTTTCCAGAGATTCACGCTCGGCCCGGCCGAAGTACACAAGGTAGACTCCATCCCTCAACATGATCATCCTGCAGCAACTCAAGTATTCTTTTCAGCTCGGCCACTTCGGTCTCTGCGTCACCGACTTCGCCGCCCAAGCCGACTTCTACCTGCGCACCTTCAACCTCGTACCCACCGATTTCCTCTACGCCGACCTCAGGGCGCTCGAAGACCGCGAAGACGTCGCCCTTCCGAAACCCGAAGACCGCAAAGACGTCGCCCTCTTCGCGCACATCGACCGCGGCAGCACCTACGTCGACCATCACACCTTCTTCATGACCGACAGTGCGACCTCCCACGTCCACCACTGCTCCTTTGAGGTGCACGATTTCGACAGTCAGAACCTGGGCCACGAGTGGCTTGCGCAAGAGGGGTACGAGAGCGTGTGGGGCGTCGGCAGACATGTTCTAGGCAGTCAGATTTTCGACTACTGGTGGGACACGACTGGGAACATGATTGAGCATTACACGGATGGCGATTTGGTTAATGAGGACACTCCGATTGGGTGGGCTCTGGCGCGGGGCGATACGGATCTAGCAGTGTGGGGACCGGATCCTCCGAAGTGGTTTCTGGCATAGGCTGTTTTGTGTTGTGGTGTTGTGGTTTGTGGTGTGGTGTTGTGAGAGAGTCCGGGGGGGAATCGATCTTGCGGATTGAGGAGTTGAGACTTTGGGCGTTGTTCTTCGGTCACCGACGCGGCAAGATAGGTGATACAGGGGATGTATGAATGAAGACGAATCTTCTCGTTTTACGCCGCACCGACCGGAACTCAATGTATATTGAAGAACAAAATACACAAAATATTGTCCATCCGTCTATCCGTATCGATATCAATACCCTCTTCAACAAACAGACAAACAAACAAACAAACAAACATACACAGACATACAACAGCCAAGACAGTGAAGTATGATGCGACGAGAGTAAGGCATCCAAAAATAAACAAGAAATCAGGCTTTGAAATGAATAGGTGCGTCTAATAGTGTTTGTCTAGGCGAGTGACGAAGGAGAGCGCGCTGTGTAGAGTGAAGATTGTTTCATGGTGCTCAGCACGGAATGCGTTGTATCCGAAGAAAAAGAATGTTGTCTGGGTGTATATGCTTGACGAGAGAATGGAGAGCGATGTGCTGTGTGCTGTGTGCTGTATGCTGGATGTGCTTAAGACGACATGAAATCATGGAGCGGACTAGATCAGATGCATCCTGAGATCAGACAGGTGCACATACACGGATTCGCACTCAGCACTCGCGAAGTAATCGTCTTTCTCTTCTAACACACTGCTAGGGTAAGTACCTAAGGTATAAAGGAAGCGACGACGACGACGAAGAAAGACCCACAGTCTCTTGCTCTAAAAAGCGTCCATAAACCGAGTGGCTCCAGGTGCTCTCCTCCCACATACCAATACAACATTGTCCTTTCTTTCCTTCGTAGGCAGTCTTCTTTGTCAAAAGTTGGGGGTACGTGGGATCTGAAAGGCGATTCCTATCGATCACTGAGATACCGTCTCATATGTCATCGTGCTAATTTATCTTGCCAACCCCCGAAAAATAAAAATTATGGAGGATGCGAGATGGCTACCGCAGTAGTGTGGTTCTTGGTTGTAGGATCGTCTTAAAGCTCGCTCTCCGGGTCGGGTGGCATTCTTGTATGTGCCTGTGTATGAGACGGGCGTCCTGTTTCATGGTGATGAGCAGCGAAGAGATGGCAGCACTACTGAAGGGCGACTTACGTGGCCTCACAAGGAATTCCACAGTTGCCTGGATCTCAGGCTGACGTATGCGTAACCTTAACGACATGCAAGAATAGGATAGTCGTGTAGGAACGATACCATGGAACTTTGGGCAGACATTTGAGAGAATACAAACAGTGACAAGAGTGACTGAAACAGCTAAAGACCCTGTGGTTTATGACACGTGTTCCAGCCAGGTTGGTATACATAGAACAAGTAGCAAAACTGAAACCAGAGCACAAATGGGATCTTAGAGGCTTGAAATTGTGAATCTAAAAGCCAGGAAAAGTAACACTACGCTCGTTCCTTTCAAAGACAGGGTATTCCATGAATCTGCCTTACCGAGTAGGTTCATGGGAACATATGTTCTAAGCACTACAGCCCGTATCAAATGCTACCAACCCGTTGCGCTCCGCCTTGTGTCCATACATCCATGTTGTGACAGAGTTTACTCGGCAGCCTTGGTCTCTTCGGTGGCAGCCGGTGTCTCGGAAGGTGTCTCCTTGGACTCGGTGGACGGCTCTGCAGCTGGCTCAGCCTCGGACGAAGTCCAGAGGGTCTAATTGAAATCAGTAAATAGGTCGTTGCGCAAATGACAGTACTCACCAAGTTATCACGCAGGAGCTGCATAATCAGGGTGGAGTCTTTGTAGCTCTCCTCGGACAGGGTATCCAATTCTGCACAAAGGATTAGCACACGTAAGGCGAAGCATTTGCAGATCATGACTTACCAGCGATAGCATCATCGAACGCTGATTTGGCAAGGTGACACGCCTGGTCGGGAGAGTTCAAGATCTCGTAGTAGAAAACAGAGAAGTTCAACGCAAGACCCAGGCGAATTGGGTGTGTCGGGGCAAGGTCAGTCTGTGCGACCTCGGTAGCGGCCTTGTATGCCTCCAACGATTTATCTGCGGATGTCTTGCGCTTGTCACCCATGGCGAACTCGGCGAGGTAACGGTGGTAGTCTCCCTTCCTGAATATCGTCAGCAAATACCATATTGTCGATACAGAAGATACGAACGTACATCTTGTGATAGAAGACCTTGGATTCACCGCTCTGAGCGGAGGGAATGAGGTGCTTATCAAGTACTTCGAGAATGTCTTCACAGATCTTTGCAAGCTCCTGCTCGATCTTGGTACGGTAGTCCTTAATCAGACCGACCTGGGCCTCGTTGCCCTTTGATTCCTCTTTCTGTTCGATGGAGGTCACGATTCTCCAAGACGCACGTCGTGCACCGATGACGTTCTTGTAGGCGACTGAGAGAAGATTTCGCTCCTCAACACTGAGCTCTTGGTCTGCGGAGGCAACAGCCTTCATGTTCTCGACCATTTCTAGGTAGAGGTTTAGCGTACCATACAAAGACAAAATGGTAACAGTCATACCTTCATAACGCTCGGCCTGCTCAGCCAGCTTGGCCAAATACACGGAGTCTTCGTAACCCATTTTCAAGGAAAACTCTGCGAATTGAGATGTTAGCAAGATCTAGTAAGTAAATCAAGTCGCGCCTGTTCGAAGTTGAAGATGAGACTAGTGCACTCGTCGCCAGTGAAACCATAAAGCAACTGGCTGAGAACAAAAGCGACTGTTTGGAAATCAGGTGCATCACTCCGTTGACATGACCACAAAATGTGATGTTCGTGGTGTTCAAAGCGTGCTCGAGATTGAGGGTGAAAGATAACGATCGACGTCAAGCTCGCAGTGGGGTCAAGGGGTAGCAGAAACCGCAACCCTACAGAGCCCCTGCGTTGCGAGAGCGTCGAACTTCTCCATCGCTATCGCGTTGAATGCGGATGCGCCTTAGAGGTGCGCATCGGTATACGACGACTTGGGATTGGGGGGTTGTTGCTTGTTGTCTCGCGACTGATCTTGGCTGCAGCCAGAAGAGGGATGGCACGATGACGACAAAGATGGGGTAATCTTACCTAGTAGAAGTTTCGGAGGAGGGTGGACAGGCGATAGAGGGAGTTGAGGAGAAAGTAGAGTGTATGCGTAAAAGCACAAGAACTGGTCGAAAGATTTGAGTGGGATAGAGAGATTCTTTGGCGGTGTCAGTGTTTTGAGGAGGAGATGGTGGGTTGTTGGCGGTCGTAAGTTGATGGAAGGAGCCAGTCGGTGGGCGTGGTCAGGGCTTTCAATCAACTAGGCGAGAGCCAATTAAATGAGTCTGTGCCTAGTCGTTTTCGGATTATGGATGCCTTGTCATTCTGCCTTATTCCTGCCTGAGTTCCGTTAACGCCTACCTGGCTGCACCTTCGACATGGCACAATCGTAAGGTTGATATGTTGGGTCAACTCATACTTTCCGACCCCACATGAGCCCATCCATACATACCGCGATGATAACAGGATGTACATGAGTCAGGACTGATATTCATAGCACGTACACGATCAAGTTTTGGCATGCGGTAGTCCTAGCATATACGAGGGTCTCCTTGTAATCGTGTACTGCATAGAGCCAACTTTCGGTACGTTACATCATCATACTCCCTAATCACCCATGTGGTACTCTTAAAGCAGAGGGTATAATACGTTTGTGAGCGGCAACGCATACGAGTTCTATAAATACACGTGTCATCTCACACTCGTGTCCCTTGCCAGCTCTTGTTTGAAGGTCGTCTGATAGAGGTAGCTAAAACTTTGCAAACGAGCCGCCTTTCATTACCGATGCTCTATGATAAACAAGTAACATTGTGCTGAACATTATTTTCTACTATGAAGATTCGAATCACGTTATAATGGTATGACGCACGCCAGATGCCACGTGATGTGCCAAGCATGACCATAGCTCTTGCATACCTAGGTAGAGAGGTAGATGCTAGATCAAGTATTGCTCCGCTCGACATCACCACATATCAAATCGAAATATACCATCTTACAAAGCTCAATCATCATGATTCGCGCTACCATCATCAAGTCTGCTCGGCCTCTTGCCAACGGCCGTTTGTTCTCTACCAGCCTGAGGACCATGGCAGAGGGGGACACCGGCGCTGTAAGGCCCGGCGGTTCTGCGCAAAGGTAATGTAATATCGTTTCCAATTGATCGAGAAATACATTCAATTCGCTTTCCAACTCATGGTCTAATATCGATACTAGCGATGCCTTCAATAAACGTGAGAAGGCTGCCGAAGACCAATACATCCGCCAGGAAGAACTCGAGAAGTAAGCTACACCACTCGTGGCAGATGTACAAAAGGGACAACCGCTGATATCACATCTATCAGAATCAAACAGATCCGTGAGAAGATCAGTAAAGAGCGGGAACACATCGACCAGCTGGACAAGACCCTGTACGTGTTACCTTCCTGAATTCCACTATACTCTCCATTTTCTCTTTCTCTCCGGAGTGGAGTCAAGAGTAGGTATATGTGTGAGCACATCGATAGGTCCCCGCAAGCCGCTGCATATCTTTATAGACGTGGCTGGGGCTGAAGTACGGCGCTGAAGATGGCAAAAAAACATCAATCTACACGGGGTGGAGCTAATGGCTTTTCTTTCTTTCTACAGACAGGATCTCATGGAAAAGAAGGGGCAGAAATAGTTTCAACACTGCTATTCCTATCTTTCTGCTGTTGCGAAAGCTAACGCAGGGTGTTGGGGTGGATAGGCAGGAGCTCGATGAACAGCATCGTCAGAGTGGACAGGGCGAGCACCAGCTGTGAACCAGCAATCCGGCCACGACCATCGTCACTCCCAATCTTTGTTCGCTGAGCGTTTGCTTCGTCTGCTGATTTCTCGTCAATCATTTACTCAATACTCTAAACGTCAAAATTCAAAACACAGAACGAAACTGCTTGATGGTTCGACTCACTTATGAACTCCTCTCTACCACCATGTATAGCTAGTCGTCTTGATTGACAATCTCCCAATTGTAAAGAATTGATGCATTTCATGAAAAACCCATGTTACATCCTTCTGTGAACGAAAGAGTATATCTAATTTTACATCCTCAAATTGCACATTTGAGCTCCATTAAGCTAGTAAACTGTTCATCTACGCGTGAGTATCGGATATCAGTAAAAGTCCATTACTTTTAACGCCTCATGTAACTCTTGTAGAAGTCCTCCGCCGGGTCGGTGCCGAGGCCGCGATATCCGTTTGCTCCTAGCCGTTGGCCATCACGTTGTGCAGCCTCGATCTTAGCCTTGAGCTGAGCCGCACCGGAATCAATCTGAGTGAGCTGTTGCAAGTGTTGATTCAGGATCTTGACAACCTGCGAAAGCTGAAATATATGTTAGCACTAACATGACAAGCTACCGGGTTTCGGAAAACTTACTGGATCGTCGGTCTTGGCCTTGCTCAATGTCGACGACACCCCATTGATCTCCTCGATCGTCTCCTTCAGCTCACCATTCATTTCATTGACTCTTTCGTTCAGCTTCTCTGCCAGCTTGTAAGTCCGCTCTCTTTCCTGGTCCGGTCCTTGTAGCGCCCCCTCGCCGTTCTGGCCAACGCTGTTCTTGATCAATTGGTCGACCTGACCCTCATACACATCGAGCCACTGGGAAAGCTCGTCTTGTTGACTCTCTACGTTGCGTAGCTGCTTCTCAACCTCAGAGGCGTCGCGCTCTGCTTGGAAAGCCTTCGAGTATAGCTTACTGATCTTGTCGCTATTCTCGACGAGTAATCTATCCCATGAAGCGACTTGTTCAGCTTGCGATTGAAAGTCTTTCTGGTATTTGGCGAGATCAGTAGCCCATCTTGTGATTATATCATCTATAGACTTGTTCTTTAAGCGGGAGGCTGCGTCAGGGGTAGGACCGATCGTTGAAGCGCCCAGATTCGTGGAAGCTCCCAGTCCTGCTGCTCCACCGCTAGTCGCTGCCGTTGCGGTACCACCAGCAGTCGTACCTACTGCGGATGCTGGCGTGGCATTGCTCGCGGGAGCACCAAATAAGGTAGGAGCCGCGGTACCAGTGGTTGCTGGAGCACCACTAGATGATGAGGTCTCTGCTGGCTTGCTCCCAAAGGGACTGGATTTAGTGTTCGAGTCTGTGGCTGTAGCGCTGCCGAAGAGATTAGGTTTAGTACCAGTACCACCAAAGAGGCCAGTAGAAGATGCCGTTGATGCTGCAGGCTTTGGAGCCCCGAAAAGACCTCCAGAGGAAGCTGTTGTAGTGGGGACGGCTGTAGCAGCCGTGGTGGTCGAGTTAGATGCTAGTTGTGATGTGCTAGCACCTAAACTTGGAGTAGAGGTACCGGATGATGGCTTTGCGCCAAAAAGTCCAGATGATGATGAAGTAGTCGTGGCCGTTGGGGCCGCGGGTTGAGACAGACCCTGTGGATTTGATTGTGTTCCGCCTATATTGCCGAAAAGACCCCCTGAAGATGGCTTCGATGCATTCCCTTGCCCTCCAAGAGCAAAGGGCGACGACTGAGCAGCATTGGGCTGGTTGGACTGCGCTGAAACTGGAGCTGTTTGTGAAGCTGACGAAGTATCGCTCTTTGATACAGGTGGAGCAAAGAGACCGGGCGATGTTCCTTGCGCAGCGGCTCCGAACAGAGGTCCCGATGAAGCGGGTTTGCTGCCCTGGTTACCAAATAGTCCTCCACTGGTTGCCTGAGTTGGGCCTGCGGATAAGGGGGTAGTTGACGGAGTCGTCGTGTTGGGTTTCGAGCCGAACAGTGACCCTCCGCTGCCCTGAGCCTGTGCACCAAACAGACCAGTAGACGGCGGAGGATTACCGGCAGGAGTCGTGGAACCGAAACTGAAAGCAGGTTTACTGGCTGCTGGTGTTGCTGCTCCGGAATTACCTCCAGAAGGAGAGACGCCTGTAGAAGCTCCAAATAGCCCACCAGTTTTCGCAGCTGCTCCTACTCCTGCTGTGCTTGTTTTGCTGCCGAAAAGTCCACCTCCGCCCGTAGATGTGACAGCGTCTCCACTGCTTGTGCCTCCAAAAGTCGAACCGCCTCCTCCAAATAAACCAGAACCGCCTGATGTCCCTGTTGTCGTGTTTCCTCCGGCTCCGAGAGGACTCGGTTTACTAGGCTGAGTTGATCCCGTAGTATTCGATCCGCCAAAGGGCGACCCTCCTGCGTTCCCAAAGCCGAAAGATGGTTTTGCTCCTGACGTTGTGGCATTGGAGCCAAACAGACTTGGCGCCGATGTTGTATTTGAAGTCGATGCAGGATTTCCAAAGCTAAACGCCGGCTTGCTTTGATTCGCATCTCCGGTCGATGTCGAACCGAATAGCCCACTGCCCGAGTTGTTTGCGTTGCTGTTGTTGGCGTTGCCGAATGGCGAACTGCTACTATTTCCTCCACTAGGCTGCCCAAAAAGTGCACCACCTGCGGGCTTGTTTGTATTGTTTCCAAAAAGACCAGAGCCGCTGCTGGATGCAGCCGGCCCTGAGCTTTGCCCAAAGGTAAATTTTGGGGGATTGGACATCTTGGAGCCGTGTAGCTACCCTGGAAGCGTGTCAGTTCTTAGTACGGTCGCAAAGGAAAAGATATCTGATCGCGTACTCAGTCGCTTACCACTATAAGATGCAGTCACTTTTAGACAACCAAATATGACGCGCAACGGGCTCGAAAATGTAGACTGGGAAGCTTGACAAGCCGATTGACGCGACCACTAACCTACAACAAGGCGGCAGAACCCCGGAAGAGCGTCGCGCTTGCTAGCTTTACGCCCAGCTAGAGGGCGGGCAGCGGTCCAGGGTGATCTACAGCCGGTAGCGACTGTCCCTAATCTCTCTCGTATCTGAACGTTTCAGACTTCATTTCATGCAGCTGCTCATGCACTTGTATTCATAATTCTGAGATTGTACGGACCTTGACCTGCTGATAGCTTTCTCGCACGAAACATCATTGTTGAAAGCCGGCCTCCACACGCTATGGCTGACGGACAGCCCCCAAAGTTGAACACCAATCTCGGCACACATGAACAAGGTACGCAAGTACAGGGTCCTTCTACTTTAAAGATATACGTTTAACTATGTATTAGATTCTTCCAGCGACGAGCATTTCTCGGATGCCCCAGAGCAGAAAGCTCCCATCGACCGATCGAAGGGCAATTCGCCCATACCCATAACTCGAGTGGAGCGAGTCGACGACCAACCGAGCCATGGTGAAGTGCCCGGAACACCAGCATACGACCTACGTACCAAGGATGCAGTCCCTGATGAGGTGGAGATTGTCCCAGACGGCTTGAGGAGCAGAAGCGCATCAAGAGTGCTCCCTGAAGATCGTCCGTTGACTCCCGGTGGATCACCTATCCCTGTCACCATAGTAGAGAGGGTAGATGATGAACCTGCGCACGGTGAGGTACCCGGGACTGCAGCTCACGAACTGCGTAAGATGGATGCAGCGCCAGATATCGTACTGAAGGCACCAGTGACACAGAAGCGTGACGACGGTAGGGTTACTATGTCCACAGAAGCACGAAAATGAAGCTAAATGGCCTAGAGCAGCCTCCAAATGAGTTCGATGAAACTACTGTACCGCCGAATGGTCTACCAGACGGTGAAGGCGAAGATAGCAACGAGGGAATGGAGGAGGACAATGATGATGGCTTTGGTGACGATTTTGATGATTTTGAACAAGGCGAGGAAGGTGCTGATGATGATTTTGGCGATTTTGATGATGGCTTTCAAGACGGCGCAGATCAGCAGGATAGTGCATTACACACCCCGGTCCAGACAGCCAGAACATTTGCACCACTCCCGTCTTCCGTTCCTGTAAGTTCCCTACAGAAAATCCAATTTATGAACCTTCTCTCCAATTATACATCTGCTTGTGATACGACTTCACGCTAACAAAAGCCGTGCCTACAGCCTATACTCGACTTTAATGACTACTCAACGCTCATAGAGGTGCAAGAAGCTACCCAGCCCTACGTGGCGAGTATATTTCCCAGTTTAAAAGACCTTCCAGAATCAACGACAGCTTCAGAAGACGCAAACTCAATATTCTTGTCAGAACGCAGTCTCTCATTGTGGTCGCAACTGGTTGCGCCACCACCGTTGCAGCCACCGAATTGGGTACGATCTCGTATTCGTCGCCTGTTTCTTGTCTCGCTCGGCGTCCCTGTGGATCTCGACGAGATACTACCAGCGAGTAAACAAAAGAAATTAATTCTTCCGTCCATGAAGATATCCGCAGACAGGTCACCACGACCATCAGATGACCGTGCGAATGGCGCGATCGAGCGTCTGAAGAAGGGCGAGAATGCTTCTAGCACATCCGTCGACTCGTCGTCATCAAAACCAGGCCGTCCAGGCAGTAAGCGCAGAGGACCCCCACCAGCGCCTGAGCTGGACATCAGTTCGACGACCATATTGTGTTCTACCACCGAAATAGCATTGAACAACTTCACAGATGCGGAATTGAGGGCACACGTGAAAAGATTAAAGGCACTGACCCTGCAGGCAGAGGAAGTCCTTCAATACTGGACAAAGCGGGTGGATAGTGCAATAGGGGATAAGGAGGCTTTCGAGGGCGTCATTGAGAACCTCGTCAAGCATGCCAAAAAGGTCCGGAACTGAGTGGTGTATCTGCACCTACAGATCGGCATATAGCGAATACAAACTACAATATCGCTCGCCGTTTACACATATGCCGTGTCTACGCATATTCGCATGCACTAGCAACGCTTTGACTTTCCTTCTCATCAAGTCCTCGCACTGCCTGTCCACTATATCTCATCGCCTCACTACTTCACATCGTCCCGTTGATCTCCATCATGACTCACCTAGATCCAGCACCTCAAATCTTACCCAACACCGGTTCATAACCAGTAGTGTTCGTGATCTGACATCGAACGATATATCTCGCCCCCGCCAACCGGGGTGCGCAGGCCACGCGGGGAAATCCCAGCCCGATGTGTTGTCAACGCTTCTCGGGCCGATGTGAGGCTGCCGGCAGCTACTACACCAATGATGGACAACGGCGGGGTCAATATAGGCATGCGGACTAGATGGCAGTGTGAATGCAAGATGAGACAATCATCTTGGCGAAATAGATGTCGGGCAGTGGCTTGGCGGGAGTCCGTTTGTGATGTTTGTGAGGCGGACTGGACATGCGACAGAGAGCAAATGATTGAGTGGGTAGGGCTAAAAACATGGATGGGTGAATTAGTGTAATAATATATGTATAAAGACGGAGGAGTCTCCGGAAAGTATGCGGCTAGAAACGTAGCGCCCATTGATTGGTGTGAGTGTCATCGCTCGACGTTGCCTCGATATGGTATACAGGGAGTGGTGGGGTACGATGAAGAACGTGAAACAGGGTGCACCACGGAGATTCCGATCTTGATGTTAGCTACTGCCTTGTTTCGCTGGAGATGGAGGGAATTGCCTCGGACATCTACAATAATAGTTGCCTTGCATGCGTGAGAACGACGACAGAGCCGATATCTATGCCGCCACGGATCATCTACTTCCATCGATGTCCACTATTTCGAGAGAAAGACTTTTAGAGATTCCACTCATGGCCATTGTCACATGGCCATGACAGTTGCCAAATGCATATGATCATCTACCTATTGCATGTCTCTATATCTCAAACTGCAATGATGTCGATGTCAAGAGGCTGCAGATGTCGGAATAGACTAAATATATCCCTCAGGTATTATGTATGGAGTTCCGCCACAAGGCTTCAATTCCAGGGTCCATCTCGGCGAAATGATACAGACGCCTAGACGACACTAAAGTCAATCAGAGCTCCGTTTAGGACCCTGGCGGCGGCCTTGCGGCAGGGTTAGCGCTCCCTGATTGAGCGACGAGGGCACACAGAGGGGCTAGGGGACCCTGTAGGAAGATTCGTGGACGTTGCGATCGTGCATCTGTGCGGCGGCATGATTCACTTTTTGCCATGCGAGTGTGCATCATCGCATGGGCGGGTTGTCACCAATGGTCAAAGTCTGTTTTAACAGGTGGTCTTCGCCGGCCAGCGGCAGAGAGGGGCTGCAGAGCTCAAGATTTCTCTTGGATCGGATGAGATATTCAGGGGTACGGCACACGATATAGGCTTCTCGAGGTGCGAGGGGGTCGCACTAGAGTTCACATGTGCGCCTCTGCCGTGATGCCGCTCAAGAGATTTGGATGATGCTGTATCCATCCAGGAGGTGTGCGGTGCGGTGAGCAGTCGTGATGAAGGCACGGCTCTCATGATCTCCCCAAGATTAGAGGGTCTGCTTAGAGAGTTGATCTTCGATGAGACATGTCGATCACCATGCGTGGTACTCGTCAGGTCGCTCGAGCATGCCTCTTCGCTCACAGAGTGGCTGATGGTATTGCTTGTTGCGCAGGGAATCTTCTGTACTCGACGTGGTGCTGCGTGCGTGGCCTCCGTGATGAAACGGGAGACATTGGTAGATGTACATAGTATACAGATCTCACCTCAGGACCAATTGGAAAGGAGGCTTACGCCGGTGTGGATTGATGTGTTAAGGAACAAATTATGTGGAGTGGCTACCACAGTGCGTGGCCGCTAGAATGGATCATAGATGCCCCTGGTTGAGCGTCGCAAGTGAGTATAAACAAGCTGATGCTTGTCGGACGAAGACTGGGTGAGATTCAGGAAAAAAAATCTAGAACACGATGCAACGGCCCTGTTTCTAGCCCGGAGATATATAAGTGGACTATTATGTACTTGCGTACCCAAATACCTGTTGCGATAGATAGCGATTATTATTACGCAGTGCAGTACATATTGTTTCTTCTTCCAGGAATACCCCTGAACCCTGGCCGGCGTGCAGAAGCGTCCACTTGAGCCAGAGAAGAAGGCTGCTGCGTCATGGTGCACGGACGGCCCCGTCCCACGATGTCGCCGTACCAGACAACCGCAGCAAACGCAGGCAGTCGTGGAATTCACCGAGCCTAGTCAGCTGGAGTCGCATTGGAGGCCTTGTTGATGCATAATGATCGCGAGAAGGCTTGAGATGGCAAGATACAGTTTTTCATTGCCGCGCCATACTATGTAAGAAGTGCCGTAGCTATGCTGATCCTTTTTGGAAACGGGGTGGGAAGATTCGGCTCAGTTTGGCCCTGTTGGAGGAGGGAGGGGGGGGGTTTAACAGACAGGGCAGACGTCTCGAGGAGCCCGGAAGCGCTAACACAGGCAGCCCAATCCTCCCCAAAACCGCCCTGGCCACCGCCTGAGGTTCACGGTCGTTCGCTGCACTCACTGTGACTGAACGTTGCCCCCTCCCCTCTTCACTGTCTGTCTGTTGGTCTGTTTGGTCGCTAGAGACGAGGTCGGTCGGTCGAGGAATAGCAACGAGAAAAGGAACAGCAAGCTACTACTACTATTACTACTACTACTAGCCGATCCATCCATCACGTTTGACTTGCGCGTGCCAATCACTCCACCATTCTATCCTCTACAACTTGCCAGAAATCGTTGTCTTTTCTGCCTCACTCTTCTTCCCTTCTTTCCTTCTCATCTCCCTCCTCCTATCGTACGACAACGCCATCTGACTTTGGATCCCAGTCGTTGCCCAGTCCCACACCGGGGACCTTGCCACGCTTCCTTTCTATCATTCGCCTTGAAGCTCTCGCTCTCGCTCTCTATCGGCTGCTCCTTTCCGATCATTTGGCATTTCCATTCTATGCTCATTTCACCGGGCCAACCCCCAATAGCACAGATTCACAGCTTTTAGATCGCGACGACATCAGTCACTGCTATCTCAATACAGTATACCACGCTCGCGCACTGTCCAGCTTCTACGCTCTCTCTCGTCGAATTCTCCGCCGCCAGTTAGATTTCCTCCGATAACGTCCACACCTGGTTTCTACACCAAATGCTGGCATAGAGTACAATTATACGAATCGCTCTAGCGATGCCTGATTCCCAGACTTCGGCCGCTCTTGTCGGTATTCTCTCCAACCTCGCCAAATCACACGATCCTTCACAAGACACCACATTTTCAGGACGCATAGCTGCAAATGGAACTCGGCAGTCCAAGATTCAGCTGCCTGGCCCTGACGACCCAGAGAAACAGACGCTTGAACGTGAGCTGTCAAAATTAGCCGCCCGCATCTCTTATCTCGAAGCCAAAGCGAACGCAGTCAACGAACGCGCATTTCCTCTTACACCCAGCGAACCTCTTTCGTCTCCATTCAACCCAGATACCTCAGCTATCTCCGGCCGTAGTGCCCCTCCTGCCTTCACACGGTCTCAAACTGGGGCCACGAAAGAACAGAAGGCACAATGGGTCTCGAACTGGCTTGCTTCGAGGGACGAAGCCGACCAGCCTCCAAGTCAGGTCACTGCTCTGACGGAAGAACAATTGAGCTACCTGCGAGACCACGTAAGCAAACAAGCGGAACAAATCCGTAGTCAACGAGAACACATTGAAGAGCTGCACAATGAAGTCAAAACTACACTGGAAAGCCAGAATCGAGAGGTCAAGGAGAGCGTGGATGATATTGACGCTCTGAAAAGAGAGCTTGCGAAACATCAGCAGGCCAACCTTGCCTTCCAGAAAGCTCTACGTGAAATTGGAAACATTGTCACTGCTGTCGCCAACGGTGATCTCAGTTGCAAAGTTCTCATACACGCAAAAGAGATGGACCCAGAAATTACTGTGTTCAAGCGCACTATCAACACTATGGTGGACCAGCTTCAAGATTTCGCCAGCCAAGTGACGCACCTTGCAAAGGAAGTCGGCACCGAAGGCAGACTTGGTGGCCAAGCTTGTCTTCCTGGCCTCGGAGGTATTTGGGCTGAATTGACCGACAGCGGTATGTTGACGATCAGGCTTGTTTTGATACCTGTCTAACCCTATCTAGTCAACGTTATGGCGAAGAATCTCACCGATCAAGTGCGAGAAATCGCTGTAGTAACAACTGCGGTAGCGGATGGCGACCTCAGTCGTAAGATCGAGCGTCCCGCACGTGGCGAAATTCTCCAGCTACAGCAGACTATCAACACTATGGTGGATCAGCTCCGTTCTTTTGCTACTGAAGTTTCAAGAGTCGCCAAGGATGTCGGCACTGAAGGTGTTCTCGGTGGCCAAGCTCAAATTGAGGGCGTCAAAGGCATGTGGAACGATCTGACAATCAACGTCAATGCGATGGCCTTCAATCTCACGACACAAGTGCGCGACATTGCTGAAGTTACCACTGCCGTGGCTCAAGGAGATCTCACACGTAAGGTTCATGCTGAGTGCAAGGGAGAAATCCTCGAACTCAAAATAACCATCAATTCTATGGTGGAACAATTGCAGCAATTTGCACATGAAGTGACGAAAATTGCGCGAGAAGTCGGTACTGAAGGCCAACTCGGTGGACAAGCCACTGTACATGGCGTCAAGGGCACATGGGCAGAACTCACTGAGAATGTGAACGGCATGGCCATGAACCTAACTACACAGGTGCGCGAGATCGCAGAAGTGACAACTGCTGTCGCCAGGGGTGATCTCAGCAAGAAGGTTAATGCAGAGGTGCAAGGCGAGATTTTGGAACTGAAGAGCACCATCAACACCATGGTGGACAGATTGAGCACATTTGCCTTTGAGGTCAGCAAAGTAGCTCGCGAAGTCGGTACTGAGGGTCAGTTAGGAGGCCAGGCCGAAGTGAGGAATGTGGAGGGTAAATGGAAAGATTTGACGGACAACGTCAACACAATGGCCAAGAACTTGACTTCCCAGGTCCGTAGTATCTCCCAAGTCACGCAAGCTATCGCACAAGGAGACATGAGCAAGCGAGTGTCGGTGAATGCCGAAGGCGAGATTCGTCTGTTGAAAGACACCATCAACGATATGGTGGGTCGTCTTGACGACTGGTCCCTGGCTGTCAAGCGTGTCGCACGAGACGTGGGCGTAGACGGCAAGATGGGTGGTCAGGCTGATGTTGATGGCATCGCTGGTCGCTGGAAAGAAATTACCACCGATGTCAACACAATGGCACAGAATTTGACATCCCAAGTGCGCGCCTTCGGGGATATTACAAATGCTGCCATGGAAGGAAAATTCACACAGATCACTGTGGAAGCGTCTGGAGAAATGGACGAGCTCAAGCGCAAAATCAACCAGATGGTTGCCAGTCTACGTGAAAGTATTCAGAGAAATACTGCAGCCAGAGAGGCTGCCGAACTCGCCAACAAGACCAAGTCTGAATTCCTTGCCAACATGTCACACGAGATTCGGACGCCCATGAATGGCATCATCGGAATGACGCAGCTCACACTCGATACGGATCTTACCCATGCTCAACGAGAGATGTTGACAATCGTGCACAACTTGGCTGGTCAACTTCTTACTATCATTGACGATATTCTGGACATCTCAAAGATCGAGGCGAATCGTATGGTCATGGAGGAAATCCCATTCTCACTGCGTGGTACCATCTTCAACGCGCTGAAGTCACTGGCTTCGCGTGCGAACGAATCGAAGCTGAATCTGGCGTATGAGGTCGATAACACTGTGCCAGACTATGTAATTGGCGATTCTTTCCGCCTGCGACAGATCATCCTCAATCTGGTCGGCAATGCCATCAAGTTTACCGAGGGTGGCACAGTTAAGGTCGCTATTGACGCCGGCGACCAGGTGAATTGCAGTCCTGACCAGTATATGTTCAAAGTTGTTGTATCCGATACTGGAATTGGTATCAAGCGAGATAAACTCAATCTGATCTTTGATACGTTCCAGCAAGCTGACGGTTCTACCACGCGAAAGTTCGGTGGAACCGGCCTTGGACTATCAATCTCAAGGCGACTAGTCACTCTTATGGGTGGAAGAATGTGGGTGGAATCTGAGTATGGAGTAGGAAGCCAGTTCTACTTTACCGTCAGGGTACGTTTCGGCAATCCTGATGTCAGCGTGCTTGCACAGAACCTGCACCCGTACAAGCAACACAATGTCCTCTTCCTCGACCAAGGCCACACCAATTATGGCAAAGATATCGCACAGCATCTCAGGGCACTCGAGCTCACCCCCCACATCATTAAAGCGGAGGACAACATCCCGATTCAAGAACTACATGCCGCCATCGGTAACGCTTACGATTGCATTATCGTTGACTCCAATATGACCGCTCGAAAACTGCGTAACGCCGAACGCTTCAAGTATATCCCTCTTGTGATGGTCACGCACCGAGTTTCCGTCGGTCTGAAGTCCGCACTCGAGGACGGCATTTCCAGTTACATGACCGTACCATGTCTATCGATTGATCTTGGCAATGCTCTCATTCCCGCACTCGATGGCCGTGCCGCGCCATCTGTGTCGGACCACTCCAGGTCATTTGACATTCTTCTCGCAGAAGATAATTCAGTCAACCAAAAATTGGCTGTCAAGATTCTCGAAAAATATCATCACACGGTAACTGTCGCAAACAACGGTCTTGAAGCTCTGGAGCACGTTAAGCTGAAGCACTATGATGTGGTGCTCATGGACGTGCAGATGCCTGTCATGGTGAGACGAGCTTCCTGTATATATGCTTTTCCATGTACTAACTATATCGTCAGGGTGGGTTTGAAGCGACTGGTAATATCCGAAAGTGGGAGCGAGAGAATGGTATGGAGCGAACTCCTGTCATTGCACTCACGGCACACGCCATGGTCGGCGATCGCGAAAAATGCCTTGAAGCTGAGATGGATGACTACCTATCGAAGCCTCTCAAACAAGCACAACTGATACAGACTATTTTGCGTTGCGCTACCTTTCCACAACCCAGGAAAGAGCACGATAGCGGAAGCACGTCGAAGCAAGATTCCGAACCTCCAAGCCCAAACAGTGGCAGAAACTCTCTGAACCCAAGTAGCGCAAGGAGGCCCGGCATCGAGCCCAGAGGATATACCGAAACGGGTGGCCAGAGCAGCCCAAAGCTCTTGGCTACAGATCAAACAGATCAGGTTGATAGAGTGAGTGGCGGCTCTCCCGATCCTCCTCCTCCTTCCACCGGTTTTTTCGGCTCAATGCTCACTGCTATCGGTCTTCGTCGTTGAAATCATTGCTAACGCTCAGTCGTAGCTTTTGATCCGGTCACACAGCGGCTAAAGATGTGATCATCCTCTGCTATCTCTCTTTCGCATACTCGTCGACACATATCATGATCACCAAATACTGCGACCGTCTCGCAGCTATCGCCCCCGATCTACCCCAAAGCTGTGCGCCTGGACGACTCTTTCGTGTCTATGCCTTTCCTCTTGCGATCAATCCATCATCATACCTCGGTGTACAGGCGTTGATGATTGACATTATATGTCTATGATTTTTGTTATAGGGCTTGGGCTGGAGTTCCACCCGCGAATGCCAACGCGGCGGTTCCGCAAACTGCAGTCCTTGGCCATTTCCTTTCTGCTCTCTCTCTTGGGACCTGGGCTCTGTATTTCTTCTGGTTGGAGAAGGGGGTTAGGTTCGTAGACGGAGAACAATGTTCCCTTCATCTGCCAAAATGGCGCTCCCTACTACAATACCTAGTATTGCTGGTTGTGCCAGTCGCTCACTCCCTGTCGGACTCAGGTTCTCCCCCGCGGTAGTGAAGTCGGGTCCATGTTATGTTTTGAGCGTTCTTGCTTATTGGTTCACATGTATTCGATTTTTTTGACGGACGAGTGTGGGCATATTGTGTGGCATGGGGAGACGGGAGACAAGGGGGGAACGGAAATTCCGGACTGGGCGATGATGTGTCTGATGTCTGTTCCTCACGTCGGCATTGTGTTTTTCAAGCAGCCAGCAACCAGTAAAGTGCGAAAGGGTATTGCGCATACGCCACGGCGAATCGGACTGGTTCTAGCAAGTAATCAATCAACGAATGATCGAATCCAAACTATGTTGGGTCAGAATATTCCTAGTCTTGTTTTCTTCGGATCGTGGTTTCATGGTGATTTCGTGGTGATTTTGTCATGTCATGGTGTTCTGCGTCGTGCGTGTTCGTGTATCTGTCTGTCTGTCTATCTACCTAGCTTTCGACGTATACGTACGTTGTATCTGGCAAAACGCATCAGACTCCAATCTAAAAAGTCTAGTCAACCTTCCATCTCCCTCCCAGCAAGCCATCGACTTAGCAGCCTGAAAAGCAACCACCCCGACATCTGCAAAACCCTCGTGATCCCCGTCCGTCAGTCCGGAAACGTCGTGTATGAGAGAGCCAGCCTCGCTGTGCCCGGATCATTTCGCTCTTATGAACGAATACATCAGACTGTGGAGCAGTGATATACATACATGTCATGTCAGAATTGCAATTCGAATGACAGACGTAGTTCTCTGGAGACTAGCCATCACTCTATTTGTCAAAACAGCAGATGAACGGCGATTTATAGGAGAAAGGGGTCATGATTTGATTCATCCCGGTGCGTGCACACAGGACGACCGTTGATTACCTAAATTCGTTGGGGCCATCGATCCCATTGACTCGTTGACCACGCACGCCAGAACAAGATCGATACCCAAGCACCGCGCTATGCATTTTATTCACACACACACACACATTTACCACCCCAGTGCCATGAGCACATCATTCCTATAAAATTGCAATCACTCCTCCTGTTCGTTCCAGCCCTCTTCTTCCTTGCGCATATACTCGCGCATGATTTCTTCCTTAAAGATGCTCTCCTCGGGCAGTTTCGCCTTTCCATAATCGACGACCGGACCGATGACGCTGTTCCACGTAGCCTTTCTGTCCATGAGCATACGAATGGGCTCACCGACGGCAGGTCGTTGTGTGCCACCGGCAACCGGGTGACTGCCACCGCCCGCGCCGCCGGGGCGTTTCTGGATCTTCTTGCCCTTGCCCATGTTCCGGTTGCGCTTGAGATAGGCGGCGTTGAGCTGGTTGTCGAGGTCGTCGGCGATCTGCTGGTATTCCTGCATTGCCATGCGATCCGAGGTCAGCTCGCTGATGCGAGCTTTGCGCGCGCCATTAATGATGGATTGTTTTCTTAGTTCGGACTGAAGCAGGCGCAGGCGAGCGGCTACTTCATCGTCGTAGTGGCCGACGTAGTTTGGAGTGTCTTCCGGTGCCAAGAAACCTATGTACCGTAGCTCCTGCAACATTCGATCGTCGAGACTTTGGTAGTCGCCTTTGCCGACCTGAGGTGGAGCTTTCCAGCCGGGAGCCTCGGACTCTGGCATATGTGTTGCAGGAGAGAGACCATTCGGTGGCTGTTGTGTTTCTCCGTCGATATCCATAGCGCCGGAGTCACCGTTGACGCCGTTGGGCTCGTTGGTAGACTCGCGTCGCTCGGGCCTAAGCGTGGCGAGCAGACGGGATACGACCGGGCCTACCGAGATGTTGTTTTGCTCTAGCTGGTCATCGCCCATCTGATCGTATGAGCCGCGAGGGTCGTACGGAGGATAATGTTCGGATGACGGGTCAATTGCCATTCCTCCGTCTTCCTCAGCCCATATCTCTTTGTAGCTGCGAGGACCGCGCGGTGGGAGGACAAAGGGGGTTATGCGGTCACCCTACATATGGTCAGCTATAATGCAGGAAGGGCTTGTATTGAAACGTACTCTTTCCTTGAGAAATGCTGCATCTTCTTCGGTCAGTGGCCGAATGTATGGTTCAACATAATGTCCGAACGCCGTCGCTGTTACCTGCGACTGGGCCTTTCCAGCACTGAAGTCTTGGTCCGGCGGAGTGCCAGCAGTGAGGTCGTGCAGGTCGCTCTTCGGGAAAACGTTCACACACAGAATCTCTTTCTTCTCTTCGTCGGACATGCCGGGTGTGATATCTCGGATATGGTATACAGTGGGATCATCGAACTCGACTGGATTTGGACCAAAGGTTTGGAACTTGGGAACTGGTTTCATTGGAGGTGGTTGATGCGAGGCATCAGAATTCGTTGGTGAGGGGGCTCCATCTGCTGGAGCGGTGCCTGCGGAGGGTGGAGCTTGGGACACGGGAGATGATATCGAAGAAGAGGTTTCTGTATAATTTAGTGTGTGACACTTGGTACTCAAAGCAGGCCATATGTCTTGGGGCGAGCCTGTCTGAGATCCGGCGTAGAGAGTGCACCAAACATACCTTTGTGAACATCAACACCATCTTGCCTCGCCAGGCCGTGGGCCCCAACTGCCAGTGGCCGATCCTCTGAGGCTCGTTTACTCATCTTCTTGAGCTTGCGCTTCCTCTCTTCGGCCTCTAGATTCTGGCTCTCTTTGTTCCGCTCTTGCTCCTCATGCTCCTTCCTCTTCGCCGTGACTTCCCTCAGCGCACGGTCGCAAGTTTCTCCGCGTTGTTTCAACTGGTTCACAAATGAATCTTTAATCTTGTCTTGCATGGATCCAAGAGCAACCGAGCTAGGGATGTTTGGGCTGGTGCCATTTCTATCCAATACATCTTCGAGTGTTATGGTGGGGTTCACAATAAGAGGGTTGAGTGAAGTGTTAAGGTACAGGCTTGTGTGGGTCGGCTCAACAGTGACGGAAACTGGAACCGGAGTTGTGTTTCGTGACTTGGAACGACGGTCGCGCCCATGCGATTTGCTCGGCTTGCTTTTATCACTTGTCGGAGCCATGTGGAAGAGGAGGGGGATCGGATTCGCTTGGGCGGACACAGAGCGGTCTCAAAGCGACAGAATACGAGATATTTGACCAGCGCTCCTTGACTATCGCAGTACAGTGAAGGTCAAGCAGTCAAAGGCGTGTATTTGCTGCCGATCCGCCAAATTCGAGTGGCCGAGCGAAGTGTGAAAGTGTCCACGATGCGCACGCGCTGACAGTCTGCCGTTGCACTGAGACTAAGCCTGATTAGTGGTTTTGATGCCTAAGGCGACAAGGCCTATAGGCTGCATTGACAGGCATCTGCGGTTTATCGTCTACCGTCATCCGCAACGTTCGAGGTTTGACGGAACGCACATCATGGCAAGAAACAAAGCTCTCACAGGTGTAAGATATCCATGAAGAGTTCATGAGAGAGACCCACGCTTGTCTCTCATTCCACAGCGCAGATAAATGCTGGCAGTGGTAATTGAGCCTTTGATATACTATGTCCAGCTTTGAGATGACAGATGATGCCCCCCGGAACGAATAGTGCGGAGTAAATAGCGAGGTAGGTTTGCACGACCCACGATCCACGACCCCAGCGGAGACGGCAGAGCAACCGGCTGTGACCACATTACACAAACATGGGTCATGATCCTGACCATGTGAGGGGCCACGCGAGCTGCTCTGGTGTCCTGTACAATCCACACAGCAGACTGTTTATCTCGGTCCAGTCTGATGCCTTGATGTTTGATGTGAGGTATCTCTTGAAACCTGCCCGAGTGAATTGCATGTTGCAGGAAGGAAGACTATAATTGGAAAAGACAGCCAAGGACTGAAAAGACCGAGACCTTCCGGAGCGATGGAAGTGGAGCCAGCGCTAAATGGTGGCACGACCTGAACAGTCCGGGAGGGTGGTCCTGTCCGTCCATAAGATCAGTGATGCTCTAGTATACCCGTGGACAAGGCATCGAGAATGTGTACAGAGGAGAAGCCAGAGTATAATCATTACGATCATCCAAGTCGTTAGCTGAAATGAAAGTGGACTCGTCGACTTGGCCTTACGGCTTGGCAACCCCAGATAAAAAAGCTTGTTTATCGGCGCTTGGGACATTATGCGCCAATGCAACTGTCTCCGTCAACCGTGTTCCGTGCGAGCTACCCCGGGGAGACGGGCGTGGGCGTTCGGCCGCGATTCACTCTGCCTCCCTTACCGCCGCCGCCCACCACCCGTCGCTCACCCTCTCACTCACACACACTCTCTCTCTCTCACATCTCTGTATACGTCCTTGTCCCTCCTCGTACCAGTCTTCTATCCCAGATCCCTGACTGTCGCGTGCTTGCAACCACTATTTCTGCATATTCCTCATTTGTCGCTCGCTCAGCCTTTCTTTTTCCCCCAGCAGAGCATCCGGATGGCTCTGTCAATTTGAACGCCTTCCGCCACCACCACGCTATCGTTCCATACTGATGCCGCTGTAATACCTCCATCACAATGCGCATTTGTTCTCGCAAACTTCCCTTATCTCGGTAGTAATTCCTCGAAATGACTGCTCAGGCCGTCAGCTTCTTTACCATCGCCTTCCCAGACCCCTCACTCCCGACCACTGAATCAGATCAATATGACACACTGAACGTATGTCCATACAGCACCGTTGAAGCGAGAACCATGTTGCTGACCATAATGTCCGATAGTCATCCGTTGCCTTTCAATTCGGGTTTGCAAATAACATCCGAACTCTATCTACAAACAACGTGCCTAATACCGACGGCGTCAAAGGCCTCCTCTACGTTCCCGACCTAACTACAGACGAATGCAAGAATGAAACTTCTTCATTAATCCCCGCGAATGCCACTCGACGAGAAAATCTCCCAGACGGAAACTATATACTCATAGGCCTTGCGCCATGGACCCGTCCCCAGTGTGTGCTGGAATTCCTCAATGGCACAAGCGGTTCTGCCATACATGGATTCATATTCTATCTACCCAACAATGGAACACAAATACCACCCTTGCCAAACGATCCCGTCTGGGGCCTAAATGATGGAGGTCAATGGAAGAAGAATAACAGATTCCCTGTATGGACGATTCCTGGCTTGTATGGTGCAACTACAATGAACCAACTGGGGCTCTATTCTGGGAACCTTACGCAAGTACCACACGGTCACCAACTTGCAGATACATATCCGCCAAGCGAATTCATCAGACTATACACAGTCATTGGTATTGGTATGTTATGTTGAGACCACATCGCTTTGTCTTTGATCCCTAATCAGCATCAGACAAATCGAACCCCCTCCCGAGCTTATGGGTCTTCCTCCTCATCACCCTGGGTCTACTCTTACTCATCATAGGAACAACATCATTGTTCATGCACGTAATCCAACGAAAGCGTCGAAAGCTACTTCGACAGCGAATTGTTGATGGCGAAGTCGATTTGGAGGCTCTAGGAGTCAAGCGCCTCACTGTTCCGCAAGAAATTTTAGACAAGATGCCAATACATGCTTACAAAGCCGATGTTGTTTCCGAACCACTGAACCCTTCGAGAGAGACGGTCCTTCGGCAGAGCTCTGCCGAGTCAATTGCTGGCTGCGCATCGAGCCCGACGAGTTTGATAATTCCGAATCATGCGCAATCCAGTCTATCTCAGCCGACATGCGCAATCTGTCTTGATGATTACATACCTGAAGAAACTCTAGTTCGCGAATTACCTTGTAGGCATATCTTCCATCCGGAATGTGTCGATACGTTTTTGCTCAATAACTCTTCTCTTTGTCCAATGTGTAAACATTCGACCCTGCCGAGAGGTTACTGTCCGTCGGTAATTACGAACGCGATGGTGCGACGTGAACGAATGGTCAGGAGACAACGAGAGCGTGCAGCTGCCAATGCTGCCAATGCTGCGATACCGCCGCCTGATGGTAGTGTCTCTCGTGTTCACACCGGCCCTAGTGCTGCAATGCGTCGGGCTCTGACAGGCATTAGTGGTCGACGAAGCCTCAACGCGTCTGATACACTCGGAGCAAACGGCAATATGACCACAGACCATTCAGCTAATTCACATCGATCTGGTCGCGATATCGAGATGGCTACATCGATCCCCGTTCCCGCTCCAGTCCTATTGAACGCATCCTCAGGCACGAACGACGAGCGGCCTACTCACTCAGCTCCTCCTGTTCATGCGACATATGATGAAGTTTGCCCGGTACCGAGCTCTGCGCCACCGCAAAGTCGAAGCGAATGGGCTCGAGGTCGAGCGATGCATCTGCTTGGACGTCATTCCCGTGTAGTCGACCCTGACGAAGAAGAGCGACACAGAGGTACTATCAAACGACTATGGAATCGTGTATTTCCCAGTTCATAATGCTCTTTAGCCTCAGATCTTCAGTCTGTTCTTGCTGTTTCACGAAGCGTAGTGGTCATGGCATATAAACTTTTTTGCACGATTGTTCATGATTCATATCCTAGCGTACATATACCACGGTCGTCTGTTGTATTAGGTAGGTGCATTGGTGGACTATACGTATTTCTGATAGGAGGTGGCGGAGCTACATACCCCATGAGCTCGTTCTTGAGCTACGAGCGACGTTGCATTATTAATTCAGACTATACACATTCTTCCTCTACTATAATCATACTCACTCCTTGGAGCTGACTTACCCTCACTTGGGCGACATGCAACTTAGCTACCACTTTCAACATACATACTACTTACACCTCATGCGAAAGCTCCTGCATTCACCTGACTTCGCAGCTATTTTTGACGCTACAGGCAATGGCATAGCAGGATCAATGACCGCCTCCGCTGACTGTAATCACTAGATGCACATGACAAGTCCACGAGTGTCTGTATATACTGTAATATTTCATTTGAAGGAGTGACAAGGTATCTGACCCATATTTCCAAGGAGCGTCCAGTAGTCCCACTTTTCCATCATAGACCGATTCCCTTTGTTGCTCATCCTCATTTTTATTGCATTCTTTACCTCTTTAATTCCACGCGATATGGATGATTCATGATCAGGTTACGCCTCAACAGCGACCTCCTGCATCATCTCAACACCCTCTACACCGCGCATGATGCGCGAGATGGGCTGTGCCTCGCGCTTCGCCAGAACGCTTGAGATGGCGCTCAACAGGCTCTGGAGCAGGCCTGTGACCGTCGACGTGAGGGTCGAGATCTGGCTGGCGCCGGATGCGACAGCGGACGTGAGAGCGCTCAGGAGTGAGGAGACGCCGGAAGTCAGGGCCTGCACGGCGGTGTTCAATAGTGCTCCAGCACCCGGGATGTTCTTCAGAAGCGCGACCTTGGCGGTGAGGGAGGTGATGAGCGTCTGGGTCGCGGTGGTCATGCCAGTGAGCGCGGACAGGATGGCGGTCGTGTCGGTGGCGGAGGATACGGTGGGCAGTGTGCGGACGAGCCCGACGGCCGTGGTGGTTCCGGTGGTGACGGTGGTCAGGCCGGAAACGATTTGCTGTGGAGAGAGAGTGTGTTAGTGAGTATTCTGGTCTGGCAGGAGAGGGGAAGTGAGATAGGGACGGCTTACAGGGAAGATGATGGCGGCGTTGGCAGAGGTGAGCTGGTTGACGGTGGTCTGGAGCGCTTTCACGCGTGTGGTCACATCGTTGAGGCCGGAAATGACATCAGCAGCTGTTGCTGCCATGGTCACTGGCACGGACACGGCGACGGCGGCGGTGAAGATCTTCTTGAAGGAAACCATTTTGAAGGGGGGTTTTGAAGTATCAACTGAAAGTGTTGAAAGACTTGAATTTGTGTGTGTGTTTGTGTTTGGAAGTTGTTGGAAGTGTTGGATCTGTTGCTGGATGAAGAATCAGATATTGGGGGATACCATGACCTTTTTATATTCATCTTCCCCTCGGTGGACTGGACAATTAGATACGATGAAGACCTCTTGTCGATTGGGGGAAGCCGATCTCGAACATGCTGTCAACTCTCCGCAAACGCCATCAATGAGGTTGAGAGATCGCACAGCACTTGAGATATGTCTGTGCGAACCATGGTTCGCAGAGGTATGGATGGATGGGATCCAAATGCCAGTTCAGCCAAGACTGGGGGAATAACCTCATCCATATTTCCAATAGGGCTCCATACCTCACATTCGGGACTAGGCTAGATGGTATCAGGACAGGAGGGTCTGTTTTGGTTTCCTGAACGGGTCGTTTCTATGGGCGTGCATGAGGTACCCCAGCATCCCCCTATTTCCGCCCGTTGACCGCGTTTGATGTCCGACAGTTGGAGGGCACCGTTGAGACATACATAGAGGCAGTCTATTGCTGTCGCTGTAGCGCAAATTGCTTCAACATCACAGAGCTACACAAAGCCACACTGAGCTACTCAGCTTTCTAATTCCAAAACCCCCACTCTGGTTACAAATTCCATAGCAGCCATAGACCACACTTGCGGAGCTGGCGTCCGACCCATCCAGCCACTGATGTATACAATATCTAGCCATGTAAGCTTTTTCACTCCAACCACTAGTGTACTACCATGAGCACAGGGACCCAATGCGCCCCAGAAATCTAGAGGCGGCTCTCGCGGGTCGCACACACGGACCTTTTCCGGAAGTCTGGGTCGGAGGATAAGGCTGAATATACTACATACGCTACCTGTCTGGGGAACGGGGCAAAGCCATTCGGAATCAACTCCAGGTCAGAATCTAGACCGGCTATATGGAGTGCTCAAAGCCACAAAGATGGGGGGCTTAGGGCCGTCAGCTGTGATGGGATTCTGGTGTTGAGAGTTTGCCGGGGGAGGGGCTTTGACTGTGGCGTTTGTTGAGGGAGGGTTTGGACCATGGGTGGGTGGTTGGGTGCTTGATCAGTATGTACGTATGTGTAACTGTCAGCTGAGGATATTGTTGGGATTGCGGTCTACTGGCCTTGGGGTGCTCTTTGGGTGTTTAGAAGGTACTAGTTTAGGTATGTGGTTTGTCGACGTTGCAGGTATGATAGAGTACACGTTAGGCCTACATTGCACTCAAGAAAGCTGTGCTGCTGCAGTGTCTCAAGGATAGACATGACCCTGCCTAACCTCAATAGCTTCACAGCGATTCGTCAATTTCCGCCGCTACGGAAAATATCTTCGTCGATGTCCAAAACGTCCGCATTAAAGCATTAGATCCCAGCCCCTACCTACTCCATCACGAATGTCACGAGGTCTTGAAAGTTATCAAGCTTTGATCAATGGTTTGGTACAAACACTAGTAGTAGATCGTCTCATCGATCGCGAACCATTTTTCAACATCTTAATACGATTTTGACACCTTCTCATAGCTCTTGTATTCTGCATGCATATAAGATTTCCGGACTGTCTAGACTAGTCTGTCAGCCTCTATAAAATCTACGCGAAACTACTCCAACCGGATTTGGTATAGCCCTTTCGATAGGGATATTTTCGTTCTGACATCCATGACAGCGTGGCATGAGAGAGAGTCCAGATTAACATGGTTGACAGTTACGGATGGCTATGTAGACGGTTCGGCCGACTTTTTACAGGCGTTGCTTGAGTGTCTTCGAGCGCGGATTGTGGTGCTGCTGTGGCTGATTCAATGATTTGTACATATCGATCACATCTCTGACGCCCTGTCTTCTTGCAGAGTCGTTTGACATGCAGATTGTGTCGAGTATAATGCTGTAGAAACTCATATGAGGTTCAAATACTAGTCTACCTGGCTAGAACAGTAAATGAAGATAGCTTTAGTGTCTAATTAGTAGAAGAAACGATTCTACCACACTATCAAGGGGCATAGTAAATTAAGTTCAATATTAGTCTCTACTCAGTATTAGAAATTATCTCTAACTACTGATCAAGTGACCAACATAACATACAACCACAGTCCTACCTAAAGTAGACTAGCATGTCAAACCTTATATAAGTTCCTTGGTCTTGTGGGCCTGCTGCGCTCAGCTCTTGCAGACTATCGATCACGGGTTAAAAGCCTGTGTATATGTTGTGGCTCGGAAGGATCTCCGACATACCGGACATGGCTGTGTCGTCGAGTATGAGGTGACCGGACATTGGTGCCATGCTCGTGCTTGTTGATAGTTCGATTGATAGAAGAAAACAAACCTCAAGACACAGTTCTCGTACGTACAGGTTCTTGATTCATTGGATCTTTGATAGGGATTATCCTTGGCTCAGGTACCTTGTGTTATACACATCCTTCTAAAGCAGTCACTACAATAGTGAACACTTTGTCTTAGCATCATATACCTACCGTGGTTTGGACTGAAAAGCGATACTGATGGGAATTCTGCACATGAACTCTGGTGCACGATTCTAGCCTAGCATAGCCCTCATGATTCACAACCCTATTCAAGAACATACTACTTCTCCTCCAGACTACGGCTATATCCAGGAAATGCCTTCAGCTGGTCATCGTCGAACCTCGTCAAAAGCGGACATCCGAGCCCAAGCAGCGCCTTGCCAGCCTCGCCTCCAAGTGTGCTCAACAGAGTCCTCAACAAGTCAGGCTCTGCCTGTGCTGCAAACTGAGACGCAAGACAAAACGCATTATTGCCCTCTGCCAGCGTCTTCACATTGAACACTCCACCAGATAGATCCCCGAGGTCAACGCCAGTAAACGTGTTGACCTTTCCAGTATTACCGCCGATATCCAAGAACTTCGGATGGACGAGAGCATCCTTGAGGAAGTCGGTCTGGAAGAATGGAATGCTGTACTCATCGCCGATGGCACGTTTATACCAGTTATCGGGGATGCGCTCGTAGCCGCGTCCACCAGACCACGAGCCATCGGCATTCTCTGTCATGCCGAAGAAGGATTTGAGGACTTCTTTGGTAAGCTGACCGTCGGGGTGTTCGGCGGATTTGTTGCCCATGAAGCGGTAGATGAACGTATATGCCGCAGGCTGCACGGCGACTCCTGTGAATCTGTAGGAACGAGGTTAGTTGTGCTTTCGTATATGTCATATGCCAATGCACTTACGGTCCATTGAAGAAGTATGGGTTATTGGCGATCTGTTGATCGAAGCGGCGAGAACGGAATTCGCGGAGCAGCTCGAGGCTGTAGTTTGAGTCTTCGTTCGGGACGTCTTTTTGGAGGTCGTAGAGCTCTTGCCATTGGGAGAGGACGACTTCGTAGTTGTTGCCAGCTTCGTAGAGGTCCGGTCCTGGCGGTATGTTAGTTAGACTGGATGGTATGATATTCAAGGGACTTCTAACTGCATGGGCTGACGTCCGACTCGTATTTGTTGTGGCTGCCAATGAGACCTGTAGCCCCTAGACCAACGGCAGGATGTGGGCCACCGATACTCCAACTTGTACCGTCTCCGTCAAAGCTGGCGCCTAGGACAGCAAGAAAGGCTCCTAGATCGAGGCTCATGCCGAACACTTTGAATGTGCCTAACACGAAGTCCTGTTGTGCGTGAGCTTACGTTAACAATGGAAGATGGTATGTAACATACTGTAATCGTACCGACTCCATTATGAGGCAGATAGCCGTGATTGGCCATAGCATTCAGACCTACACCCTGTTAGCCTATCTTCTGTCGATATAGTCTCTATTGAGGTACCTGGACATGGACCACGGGCATCTTCTGTCGTCGGAGCGACCCAAGAATGCTCGCCAGTGGTGTCGATATACTGAGCTTCAGCATTGAAATACGAGATCAAGTCTCTCCGATCGGGAAGAGCATCAGAAGAAAAGCCAGCAGCCGCCAAGTCGATATTCGCCGGAAAAGCTGAGGCTGTGACAGCCAAAGAAGCCACAATACTAAAACATGATGGCCGCATTGTGAATGTCTAAACTTACGCAGATGTCCGCCTGTCGGTCAGAAGTGATGGGTATATATGAATACCCATTTGCCACAGTCTCTCATATACCATTGTCCCATCGGCTCTTTCGAATACCCTTCTGCCCGACCCATCCAATCCACTGGTCACTCCTCGAACGCATACACTAGAATAGGAATCCTCAAGTATAGTTCTGATTTACCACTGACGTGGCGCTACCTTCGCGCATCCCCGTTATATTTCATAATAAGATGACTCCTATTCGTTCCTGGGGACAAAGCACATATCTAGTGCTTGTTTTGGTGGTTGCTAGTCTCAATCAGGTCCTTACGATCGACATCCATGTGAGGTTGCGCAGCGCGCTATCATGCGGGGTCAAGTAAGATTCATCTAGGGGTAGTAGCAGCGATCTATCCATTAGCCAAGATGAAATCGATTCGGCTGTTGTCCATCCGTGCGCAATGGTATATCTTTCACTCGCGACTTGCATCTTCGAGGTGCGTCAATGGCTGAGCTTCATGGGTCATCGGTCACCTGTTAGTGATGGATGGACAGATGCATACAGGTTGATGCGAGGCTCTTTCAGCCACCATGCGCCTCAACCTGTAAATGGCACATGTCTAGGATTGCCGCCGTGATATGTAACATTGGACTGGTTGGCTGTCTGCATGAACCAGCACTTCCCGGCCTGTTAAAAGTGTCGGTCGCGATACCGCTAAACCTAAAGCAGAGGAATGGATAACATTAAGAAGACGTCTGAGCAAGTGTAGACCCACTTGCGCAAGACAACAATACAACGTCTCCATTCTTATTGCAGGTCGATTGCTACAACTGTACCAGATTACAGCTGCGTGCGTTCGATGCGCTGGCCTCGTCATAACAGCACATCCCATGAAGAAGGACAAATTACTCGCGTCGTGGGACATTCGTGGCCCGTGGGATAGTCTTCCGGCGCAGCTTTATGTTCGATTACGGATAAAGTAGTACTGACTATGCTGCCTGCTATCTGCCATTTATTGATGAAGCCCAACGTAGCTTTCAACTTTGCCGCTATGGTGAATACGTATAACAGGCTGTGTCTAAGGATGCAGAACCAGGTCGGTTGACATTAGCTATACATGATCTCATACGTTTGTAGAGCCTGAACGAAGATTCTAGCCACTTCATTTGGTACAGGTCGCGCGCACGCTAATGGTCAATCTCGGTAACACGTAAATAGGTACACAGGACATGACACATTACTAGAAGAAGAATCAAGTTTACGTTCAATTGACAGAAAAGATTTGACGTCCTTATTACTGTTGAGTGCTATTATTACAAACGATGCACATCCATAGCCCCAAATCGAACTACACCTAACTACAGACAAGCAAGCAGGGCATCACTTATGGATGATGTGAACGTCTCCAAACGCCTTCATCTTCTCCATGACCGCCCGCTCACTCATCTGCAGCTCAGTGCAGATCTCATCGAAGCTATGGATGCCATCCATATACTTCTCCAACGGCAGCTCGCGCACTGCCCCAGTCGCAGAGCCCGCCGTGGCGGGCGCACCCTCCTCTCCCCAGAACTTCCCGCCTGGAAGCTCCGTATGCGGAAGCGATGCGTCCGCCTTGGCAGGACTTGGTAGTGCTGAGGATGCTGCAATGACGTACTTGTGTACGCGGTACAGGAATCCTTTGATTACCCCGAAGGTAATCAGCCGCCGGATATCGATGCCGGCTAGCATCTCCAAGTTCTCGAGCACCCAGTTTTTGAGTGTAACACCTTGGCGCAGGGAAACGTAGAGCATGATGAGGGTCATTGGCTCGATGACGGGTAAAGAGGCGGCCATGTTGGCCGTGTCGTACGCTGAAGTCTCATTCATTGGACCGGCGGCACCTGCGAGGTCTGGCTGCGATCTTGGGACGGTGACGTAGCGAACGCACTCCCGCTGCAAGGCTTCGGAAGTTACGAACGAGTGGATGTCTGGGGTTGGTGCATAGATTGCCCCGAACTGAAAGATGTCGAGAAGGAGCACGCAACTGTAGTAGACCAAGTGACGAATTGCTTTTCTAGTCAAACTGAGATCGGTGTCTGCTAAGATGGAGATGTGAGAGACCGAATTGACGCCGTTGATGTAAGGTAACACTCTTTGAAGAGTGAGATCAGAGGAGATGTGCTGCGAAGAGAATGCAGAGAGATTGATTGTCAATAGCGGAACGTGCCAAGCATGAACTGGAGCAGGCGCTTTGAGCAAGGGAAAGAGCTTCAGGTTGATCGTGTTGGCTTCGTCTGTAGAGCGGTTAGTAGTGTCTCCTGGAACGATGACGCAGGTATGCTTACCGATTGGAATCATGCATTCACGGTAGTTGTTTAGATCCTCAAGAATCATCTCGCACAAGGCGTAGATCTTGCCCTCGGGCACAGCAGATTCCGCAGCCTTTGTACTCGATGTCTCTGGGTCTTTACCAGAAGTAGCAGATCGGTCAACAGGTTTCGCAAGGCTGGCCTCTTCCTTGCTGAGGAAACCACTTTGCTCCTCCAAGGCTCGAAGAAGTCGTCCAAGCTTGCGAATAATGTTCGCGTAGCTGGTCCAATCCTCGACGTCTTCATCAATGACCAGGGCCAAATTGAAAATGAACTCGTTTCGAGCGTACTTGCCGTCGTAGTCACTAATGCAGACCGGGTAGCCAATGATACGGTGATCGGAGATGGCCACGGTGAGAAGGTGATCACAGAACTCCTGACGTGGGATGATGTAGTCAGAGACAGTGGAGAAGTCGAACAGTGGCTGACGCAGAGCAGAGGGCGAAGTCGATGGTGTAATCGAGCCTTCTGGGACCTCATGCACAATTTTCGAACCTGGAAGCATTTGTTAACGCGGATTCTCATTGCAAAGAGCAGACTGATACCTCGTGTACCTTCAGCGGTGTGGAAACGGGCATAGAACATTGATCGAATCATTTTGGTGAAGCTTCCAAGCTAGAAACGGATGTGATGGTGAGAGACGAACGTCAAAGGATGGTGTTTTTCTTGCGCAGCCTGAAGTGCAAGCGTGCAAGAGATATAGAAGCGGGGTCCCAAGAGCCTGACATCTGTGCGCTTGTTGACGTGTCAATCTCTTGCGCGAGATGAAAGTGAATCAAGTCAACCGAAGTGAATTGAGTAAGATCGAAATGAACTTGAAGTCAGTCCTGGTTCTGTAGACCGACAGCCCGTTTCGGGCTAGGCCCAATTAGGCCAGATCTTCATACTGAGACGACCTCAGCTCTTGTCTCGCGCTGCGCGGATTGTTTTCCTTCTTGTCTCATTGCGTTAACATCCCAGTGGTGGATATCATATGATTTCTTCATGAACAGATACGCATAAGATTAACTGGTTAGTATGACAATGCGTTGCGTCTAGAATCGATCATCTATAGCCGTAACCCATCCTGGATCAAGATCTCACCTCGCAATGTACGAGCACATCATTACATCCTTTCTAACAATCAGCTTAGCAATTCTGTCGAATCTTGAGACGGGGGTGTTTTCTGGGTTCCAGCCTCATCGTGACTTTTCCCTGTATTTGATCGCCGCAATTGCAAACGTCGCGCTCAGCAGAGCCTCAAGACATCGAAATTCGTAGCTAGTGACATGGATACAATCGGCTTTGTGACCAGCATGATGTTTTGAACACATACGAAGGATACTGCTATACGACTCAATATTTACAGGACCAAATAGTATCGAAAGTCTGTATTTCTGTGTGGACAAACTATGACTCTGACGACAGTATAGTTCTCGGTGGTGACATAGCCAGAGGAAGCAGCATGACAACTGTAAACCCCGAGAAGCTGTCGAACGTAGCCATGAAGCTGCTACACGAACACTCACGAAACTTAAGAGCATAAGTAATTATCCATTCTCAGGACAGTCGACTTCTAGTTCATTGGGATTAGTCAGCATAAAGAGCTCCGAGTCATTTAGTGTCACTACTGCCTTGCTTCTTTGTGATGAACGATATTTCCGAACTTCGTGTTACCAAACTTAGGTTTTACCAATGGCACATCAAGCCCATAACATCCCCTGGAACACTGTGGCTTCTCATTATAAGTACAAATACACTCCAACGAATCGTCAAGGCATCACCAACCTCTACCCGCGGGATCGACCTGACCAGGCCACTACACTCAACTACTTCGCCAATGCTTTTGCCAAAACCATAGCAGAACATGCAGTCACTGAGAAGCCAAAGCACACTGTCAGCACCGACGACTTCGACGACGATGAGCTCCTGATCCCCGACAGCACAGCCGTCCGCATCGCCCCCAGCGTATATCGCTACCATACAGCCCTCTCTACCCGCGCCCATCGTGAAACACTCAAACCCGTCCAGCCCATCTTCAACCGCCCATGCACACACTTTCCTCCCTCCTCGGATCCTGAAACCTGTGTATGTCCACTTCCTAGATCTGCCCGCTACCTATCTGCATTCCTCTCATCCCTTTCTCACGATCTCTACGCCATGTGCTGTAATTCCACCGTCCCCTTTTCCGCTAGGCTCAACATCGAACTCATCAAAACCTTGCTCCTGTACGGCTCTCTTGAGCCTCTTCTCCGCCTCGCCGCCCACCCATCCGTCACCACAGTACCACGCTGGGACTGGGCTGATTGCGGCGGCGATGTAAGCGAGGGCGTGAAGGGCATCGCCAAATCTTGTTTGCGTAGTTATATAGCGCTGAACATGCTTGCTTGTTACCCCGAGCTCCGCCCGGAGCATATCAGTGAAAGCCGCGCAGGAGAGCTAGGTAGAGACACAGATAGTTCTGGTGGTCACGGCGAATCCGACTACCGTCTCACCGCCGGATATCAGAAACTCATCCTCCTCAACACCGGCACAGACAAATGCTGGTACCGCGGTCACGATACACATTTACAACCACATCGCCAGTTCTTCGGTGTGCGCGAGGGCGCATATCCGCCATATAATCGCTGGCTCGATCCCTCGATCCTACTTGGTAGTCGCTCGCTAATCGCATGGACTGCATCGTCCGCTTCATCTTCTTCAACTTCTTCCTCATGTTCATATCTTGCATCTGCAGACGACGTCATCGTCGTACGAGCCATGCTGAAGTCTTTCTTGCCGACTGAGCTGGCACTGCAAGTAATGCTAGACGCAGGGTATGTCGTCGAGCGACGACTGCGCGTGCGGGATGATCCATTGCATATAGACAACGCAGCGGAGCTACGGACATATCTGACGTATTGCTGGGTGAGCATGGTCCGGTGCGAAGTGCTTGCGCAAGCGTGTGGACAGTGGATTGATTGGGCATCCGGGGTACGCTGCGTTATGGACGAATTATGGGGTTCGCCGCGAGTGAAGACGAAGGCTATGTGGGCAGATGGGTATTACGATAGTAATGATGACAGCGAACAGATGGAGAGGCGGAGGACTCGATTGTGGGTGGTACACGACTTTTTCATTATGTTGGAAGTTTCTGATCATTCTGAAGGGCTCTCTAATGCGAAGACATCGACCCAATCGTTTGGGATCTGCCGACCGCCTTCCAGGGCTTCCGCGATGTATCGCTCACCCTCGTAGCCCCATTCGATTAATGCATTCTCGTTATTCCAAACGGCCTGGCCCATGAGGCCGATGGGAACACGGCCTTCGCCTCCTTTGGGCTCTGCGTATCCGACCGGGAATGTCAGACCAGGCAGTCCGCAGAAATTTGCCAGCCATACATATTCCATGTTCTGAAGAGTCTGATTAGCATCTGTTACTCCGTGCTTCAGGTCGCCTTCCGCTTCTATGTGCCAGCCTGCTTTTGGAGTCGTCGGAGTGACGATGATCATATCTGGGTAGGTCTTGAATAGGGATGCGAGGTGTTGCATGAGAAGGTTGCGCATCTTCTGCGCAAGAACAAAGTCCGTTGCAGGTGTCTTGCTGGCTACCGAAAGGAGCAACTTGTTCGGCGCTGTCAGAAATGAGATATCTGGGAAGTCGGACAGCTGTTCGTTGAGAATGGTCATAGCATGCGCGGTCTGGCCCTCGTGGACATATGGGATATTGATATCGACAACCTCGTAGCCGAGCCGCGTGATATACCAATCCACCGCACGCTGACATGCGAGTCGAACTGACTCTTCGGCACGGTCGGACCACGGCTTGTAGACGCCTAATATCTTCTTCCTAGGTTGCTGTGAGGGGTACGCCAGTGGGAAGGAGGCGTTGAGATTTCCATGAGGATCAGGGGCCGCCATAACGCGAAATGCGACCTCGAGGTCTACCATATTCGCAGCTATGGGACCTGATACAGTCACGCTGGAGGTCCCGGTCGGGTATGAGGAGACACGACTGTGTGAGGGCTTCAACCCAAAAGCACCACAGAAAGAGGCTGGAAGACGCACTGATCCGCCACCATCAACGCCATGTGCGATTGGGATCAACCCCTTTCCTACACAGTAGCCGCTGCCTCCTGACGACCCCCCAGTATAGTAGTTCTCATTATAGGGATTCCGCGGAGTTCCCCAATTTGGATTGTTGTTGGTAGTATCTATGTACATTATTAGTCAAGTTCAACATAAACAGTCCATACGTAATGCGATGTTCTGTTTCGCCTTTTCGTTGAATGTAAGGGTGCTCACCCATTCCAATTTCATGCATATTAGTCTTTCCAATCACCACTGCCCCATGCTCTATCCACTTCTCTATGCACGAACTGGTCAGTCCATCTTTATTCGTATAATCCCTCACAGATCCCAACGTTGTCCTGTAACCGCTGAGCTCAACCTCGTCTTTAACTGCCACAGGAACACCATCGAGCACGCCAAGCGGTTTCCCTTCCTTGTATCGTAGTGTTGAAGCTTCCGCAGCTTTGAGCACAAGCTCGACTTTTGTATCTATAAATGCGATAGAGTGCTTGGTCGGGGATGCAACATCTTTCCGGATGAGTGGGAGAAGTGACTGCGCGACGGCTGTGGGCGTCAATGTTCCGGCAAGATACGCCTTATGATAGTCGAGCACGGAGTAGAAGCGGTGTTTGATGTCCCCGGGAGGTTCGCGTAAGCCATCAGCGTTTGCAAAATTGGAAGTGACCTGTGGTGCGGCGGTGGATGCGATGGGTGTTACGGTCGGATCATGGCGTGCAGAGAAATCTCGCAGCTGCGGTATGGAGCGGAGGACATCGAAGCCAGCATTTGTCCATAGATAGTTCTGGAGTATACTGGAGGAGGCAATGCTGCTGTTGTTAGATAGTGACGTTCACTCGGGAGGTAAGTCTTACATAGACGCGCCAATAGAGAGTGGGAGGCCCCTCACGATGGGGTTGCTTGCGGCTTTCGGACTCTTGTATTCGACCTCCGTAGCCTTGGCTACAGGATAGCCTAAAGAATCGGGAGCGTTGCTCATGGTAGGAACAGGTTAGTAGAAGACTCTTATATGGCCCGTGAAGACGGTCTGGTTTCACTTTGATTGCGTGTCACGTAATTCGAAGAGCGGTAATACGGCACCCATATATCGTATTCATGCGCTAAGAACAGGGTACCGACGGGTACAAAAGACTATTTCGAAGGCTCGTGGCAGCACAATACAATCACAATACCACAATACCGCTCATCTATCCTAATTTCTTTAGACCTAACATGCTTAAGATTCCAAAATTAGCATGCTGCGTGAATCGTTCCAGTGGTGTGTTGGGATCTGGCTCTCATCAAGAAAGCATCCTCTTTGTTCAATCCGGCTCTTACTCAAGTAGCTACCATGAATTGACCGTGTAAGGTAACGCAACGAGCACGCTGCAGCTAGAAGTACACTGCAGGAGTCATGGAGACACGAGCGGGAGTTTATTTAGTCTTCTTCGGGGTACCATCCTTGGGAGAGATCTCGTCACCCATGCGGTTGTACTCGCGTGACAGACCCTCGGCTTGTTTCTTTAGATTCTCAATATCACGGTCTTTGGCTTCAAGCTCTTTCTTTAAGCGGCCAATCTCGCCGGCGTTACCGGCGTTGCCAAGTGCGGCAGAGTCCTTGCCCTTGCCCGTATTTTCGCCTTTGAAGCGCTTGTTTTCTTCCTCCAGACGAAGCTGGTCAAGAATCATGACGTAGGTACGGTTGAGGATAAGGGACAGAAAGAGGGTGAAACCGCAGAGGTACATGTTTCGCTGGGAGTAGAATTTGCGAGCCTGAACCTCCATGCGTTCAGAACCCACCACGGCAGCGCTAGATCATGTCAGCCAAAGGTTCGATATCATGCTGGGGCGAACAACGTACGCCCCACGAGAGTCTTTGCTGTACGCAGCGAGCTCCACCTGGACACGGTAGACGCGATTGACAGAGTCAATGAATAAGATGAGGATGAAGATGAATGTAATCTATAATCCGGTTAACTCTGCAACTCATGGACATTGGCAGACTACATACCTTCATTCCATATTGTAGTTTCGCTATAATTGGACTTTCCGATATGAAAGTAAAGAGCTTTCTGCGCCAGGTAAATGGTAGAGGGACGATCAACGACATGAAGACGACCATCTCAAACACCAAAAGGAGGAAGACCTAAGGACGACGCGTTAGCGATGGTTTCTCTGGTAATGTCGCTGTCTTGCCGAAGCACTTTTTCTCTCGACATAGACATTGAGATGAAGCCATTCTGTCTCATTTGGCTTCCTGGAGAGGGGTGCACTGACGAGGCTGTAGTAGAGCGTCATGATGGCTAGATATTGCGAGGCTATAGGTGTCGTGTGGAGGGTGTTGTGGGCGCCGTTCAAGGGAGATACAGCAACTAGATGTTTTACTGTTGCCTGGAGGGTTGATCAGGTTATGAAGTAAACAGGTGTTCAGACCGGGGGGTTTGTGAAGAGGAGGAGTTCCTGAGCAAGCAGGCCATGCGAGCTGTGCGAGAAATAATACGTCACCTCACTAGCCACACCCGTCGCGGCTACCGAAACGACTAGTCTATTTCCGGCATACCTCCAAAATACCTTCACATTACACTCCCGTGACTTCAACCATTGCATATATCATAGGACGGAAGCTGGAGAACTTGTCTCAGTATCACCAGCTAACAGTATGGAGCCATCAGTGGAAGATCTTGCAGTCCCACAGTCAATAATGACCACAGATTCTGTTACAACCAAGGCTGAAAAATTAGCACGGCATGACAATGGAGAAATGAACGACTACGAGGAGCCTCCAAGCAAAAGAGCCCGCACAGAAGGAACCAATGGAGCATCCGAAAATTTACAGACAGCACCTCAGCCAAGAGAGAGGGTCAGAGGGGTCGCCCCAGTGAAAGCAGAGTGAGACACACGTGGAAGTCGGGGACGTATATCAAATTATGCAATCGAACTAACAGTTGCAAAGATACATTCTTCCTGTCCCAGACAACAGGACGAAGCAGGAAAGGGCTGCCTTTGACGATGATGCTGCCGAAGCAGCACACCACGAGGGAGAAGGACGGCCTGGAAAGAAAGAAAAGAATAGAGGCCAAAATAAAGGCCGCGAATTTGGCAGCTCTAAGGATGCATTGCCTCTATGCGCTTCGGTTATGCTCCAGCCCGAATTTTCACCACTCGAATGCAGATTTGGTACTAAGTGCAAGTTTGAACACGACCTGCGAAGGTACTTGAAGGAAGGGAGGAGAGAAGACCTCAAAACGTTCAATGGGCAGTGCCCGATCTGGGATCTGAAGGGCCACTGCGAGATGGGATGGAAGTGCAGGTTTGTTGGTTCTCACTCCACAGAAAGGGAGGTTGATGGCAAGAAGGAGCTTATACTTCTCGACGATGACAAGCGGAAAGCCCAAGCTGCGGCAGCAGGAGATGCGAATGGTCAAGTCGGGGTGGTCAACGATGTGCATCTAGACAGGAAAAAGGAGCTCAGCAGGAAGAAGTTTCCGCTACCAAAGTCGGACAAGTACGTACAATGGTTGAATGAGAAAGACAAGGCGAAACAACGCCTCGAAGGTCTCAAGAAGGATGAAATCGACGAGACAATGGACAACCGCGCACAATTCGTCGATCCACCTCTACTCCCATCCGAGAAGCGTCGCATCTACTATGGTCCCGAAACTCCTATTCTCGCACCACTCACCACCACCGGCAACTTACCCTTCCGCCGGCTTTGCGTCGGATTCGGCGCCCAAGTAACATGGTCCGAAATGGCCCTCGGTCTGCCCCTGATCACTGGTCACAAAGGCGAATGGGCGCTCATGAAAGCCCACGAATCTGAGACCCTTCCACCCGCATTCACTCCCGGAAGTCCTATCATACGCGGCTACTCCAACGAGAACGACCTCAAGTTCGGAGCTCAAATCGCCGCAAACAAACCCTGGCTCGCACTCAAAACTGCCGAAACGCTCAGTAACCTCTGTACCCACCTCCGGGCTATCGACCTGAACTGCGGCTGTCCCATCGATCTCGTATGCAATGACGGCGCCGGCTCTGCGCTTCTCGACCACCACGCAAAGCTCGAGAAGATGCTACGCGGCATGAACACAGTCTCCGGACCTATTCCTATCACTGTAAAGATTCGCATGGGCACAACAAACTCTCACCCGACCGCCGAGAAACTTGTCGCGAGACTGATTAACGGTGGCGCAGAAGAATCAAGTCCTTGCGGCGTGGCAGCCATCACGCTGCATGGCCGGTCGCGCCAGCAGCGATACTCACGGGCTGCGGACTGGAGCTACATCTCATCTTGCGCAGCACTCATCAAACGCACAAAGGAAACCCAGGACGCCCTTGTCGACACGACGGCCGAGCCCGACGCACGCTTCGCCGCGCCGGACGGCAAGGTGTACTTCATCGGCAACGGCGACGTCTACTCGCACGCCGACTACAACGCACACCTCAACGATGCAAACGTCGACAGCGTGATGGTGGCGCGTGGCGCGCTCATAAAGCCGTGGATCTTCGAGGAGATCGCGTCGGGGCAGTACCTCGACAAGTCTGCGACGGAGCGGCTCTCGTACATTGAGACATTCGTCAAGCACGGACTCGAGGCATGGGGCTCGGACGAGATGGGTGTGGGCACGACGCGGCGGTTCCTGCTGGAATGGCTGAGCTTTGCGTGCCGGTATGTACCGATCGGGCTCTTGGAGCATTTACCGCCAAACATCCAGGACCGGCCGCCGAGGTACAGGGGCCGCAATGAGCTGGAGACACTGTTGAGCAGTGACAACTACAGAGACTGGATCAAGATCAGGTACGTTGGACATCATCGCGGACTGGGGGGGCCGGGAGTGTGCTAATTATGGTGACAGTGAGATGTTTCTGGGCCCAGCGCATCCAAACTTCCGGTTTGAGCCGAAGCACAAGTCGAACAGCTATGAGATTGAAGCGGAGGGTTGAGTCGTGATCGAGCGAAAACACTGTGTACGATGGAAGGATATCTAGTCACGAACACGTCAAGACATGTCAACCAAGGGAGGAATACCAAACACCAAGACCAAGACCAAGCCTTGTTCCCAAAATCCACAACATCACAATCACATATAGAAGGACCAGCCAGCTCCAGGTTCCACAAATTCAAACCATTAAAACCCCTCAACTCACCCATCTCTGCTGCCCTCCCATCACTGCGCCCCCTCCTCCCTTCCACAACTCTGAAACACACACCCTCATCACGGGAACCCTCACCCCCCCTGCTCTCCCATCCCACGTCCCACCAACCAAGCATCGGCCATCGGTCATCCCAAGCCCTCTATCCCTCACTCATCCCACAGTTCTCCCAGTAGAACGGGCAGAAGGAAAGGCAGACAGGCAGGCCGTGCCCTCTATGCCATCACGTTTTATAACTAATCACAACGTGGGCAGACACGACGAGGAGATGCAAAAAATAAATACAGCTGCACGGATGGTAAGAGTTGCGATCATGCACACACGCGGTAACGGTTCGTTTGACGGTGGTGGCTACGCTGCGAGAGAGACAGAGCAGATGGCCAGCAGGGTACTTACTTATAAGAAAGTATCGCAAACAAAGGAGACATGCAGTCGAGAGTAGCACTGATGGATTGATTGATTGATTACTAGGTGTCAATGTTGTATACATACATACATAGCTACGTCCGTCCATTCATGGTAAATTACTACCACGAACGGGCACACAATGCATTACACACCACACCGCACCATTACCACACCAGTAACTACCACACCAACGCCAGTACCATAGAGATAGATATAAATAGATAAAACAAAACAAAACAAAACCAAACATCCATAATCACATAGTCCCCTTCTTTCCTTTTGCACGTTAACAACGTTTGCAACGTGCGCAACGATGCTCCAAAGTCTCACCACTATCCATCCCCTCTTCCAACCCGGGCCATGGTACTTTTTTCTATTTTGTTTTGTTCGATGTTGTTACTGTCAAGGTTCCTCCTTCCACCACATGGAACCTAGGATGTCATTGCTCCAATCACAGCGCATGAGCGACAACGGGCGGATGAGCCGGGGATGCACGGGATGTCTGAAGAAGGAAATCCGGTGGGTGCACCGGATGTGGAATAGCGGGGGTTTGGGGGTGGGGAGGCAGCCCTACGACCGGGACCTGTCTGTTGAGAGACTCCTCCAGACCGCTACTATCGTTTGCATCTCTACAACAACAATAACCTCGAGGACAACTCTCAGCTTGAAGAATTTAAATCTTTGCTTGAACCTCATACGGTTATGAGCGTGCTCTGTGCACTTTTTTACCTTTATAGTTTTGCTTACTGTTCGATCCTACGCGCGCAAGAGAGACGTAGATTCACGAGGAGTGTGACAAAGGCTGCAGACGGGGCATGCAATGTGTATTGGGAGGGGAGAGACGGGATTCGATCCGATTCATGTGATATGTGCGGTGCGAAAGGTAGAATACGAGGCAGGGTGCGACATCGGGCGAGATCTGTCTTGGCCAAAACAAAGCAAGGAAAAAAAGAAGGGCGATCGATTCGGATGGTTCGAGGCGAGAGCCCAAGGCGATGCTGTTCATCGGAGAGGATTGATAGGTACCTTAGTTAGCAGGTGTTACGATCCTCTGGGTGTGAGAGTGTGGTAATGCATGTGGTGGTGGTGATGATGATGATGATGGATCCCGGCAAGTGCGTGCGTAGGTCGCCGCCGCTCGGCAGCGGACTCAGGGACTGGACAGGCAGGAGCGCTGCGGTGTCATGCTGGGAAATGTCAGTATTGATGGAATCCCAGTACTGGCCTTGTTATTATAACGATCATCAGGATCATGATAATCATCGTAATATCAGCGTCTAAGACGAGACGACGACTGTTCACTGTGTTCAGCTGGATCTGGAGTGCAGTGTGCAGACGACATGTGAAGGCGTTCGGCTGAAGGCATTCGGCTGCATCCGGCAGGCTCAGCCGATCCCGAACAGTTGACAGATGCTCGCCCATTTGCCGTCCCCCTGAGCTGGCGGCCTTCCTGGCGAAGATGGCTGACCCTTTTGCGGTAAACACGGCGACAAGCAGTGACGGTTGACGGGGTCTAGAGCTAGGACATGCTCGGTTGGCTAGAACAATTCGGTCGAGTAGCAGCATCTGTCACCCAGTCCGTGGTTTCAATGTATGCTAATGCTACTGTTCGTCCGGAAATAGCCTCATACTCGTCTGGTCTGGTCATGGTCTATACACCATTGGTTTAGGGAGATATGGAGGACGTGTCTCGGATGGGGCATGGTTAGTCTAGTTATGTAACGATTATCCTTCGAGAGCGCGTGCTTCGTGGACTCGTGGACGTGTGGTCTGTGTACTGTGGACTGTGTGGACTGTGGCGCTCAGACTGGTGCAATATATGATGCAGCAAGTCGAGTGAATTCAGCTGAGGCCGTGCGATGTTACTGAGTGCATACTTGTCGTGAATATGGTAGGCAGTAGAGTAGTGGGTGGTAGGCAATATCGTGGTTCTGAACAGATTGAATAATCGCATGATACCACGCAGACGGAATGCAGGCCAAACGGACAAAGGCGCTTCTCGGTCAATTGGAAGCGGCTGCTGGACAAGTGTCCGTCTCGGTGACGTCCACTTCACGGTAACGTCAACGTCAACACGTCAACGTCCGGACATCAGCCGTGGTTATAGCCACGATGGCAGGGAAATGATCTACGATCCGCACCACTAACTGACATCAGGCGAGTTAATAGACGAGACGAATAATTGCATCAGCGTGATGATGATAGACGGTCTTGCTTCCCAAGTTCGCTATATCAGATGTCAGTCAGACGGGGATGGATGGGGGTGATGGGGCAGTCGGGGGAGGTCTAAGCTTGTTCCAGAAAGCCCCTAGAAGCGCTACTATGTCCAATCCTAGTGGGTCGTTAGGCAGATTCCACATCATCGTGTGTTGTTGTGCGTGCGTGTGTGCGTGTGTGTGCGTGCGTGCACGGAGAGAGACAGACGGAGACGGCTCCTGTGCTATTCTGTAGAGATTGACCTGTTGTTCATTACTCGAGCACCCCCTTGCATGGTGTCGCACCTTCGCCGTTGTTGGCTTCACGAAGCCACGTGAGGAGATGAGGATGAGGTTGTCAGTTGAGAACAACACACGCACACGCTAGGCCGGATCTCCGCTGCAGAACTGGGGTGCAGCCAGCAGCGATGGCACTCAACACCATAGAGGAGGGTTAATCATGCCACTCAATAGTAGCAGTAATAGTACATAGCATATGATAATAGAACAGAAGTAATATGTAAATACTGGTAGAACGCAGTAAGACTACACATCTTTCTCTCTCCCTCTCTCTCGCGTGGTGACGGCTTAGGTCGGCATCCTGCTGGGTGGGGGATCCTAAGCTGCATCGCCGCAGTAGCCTCGACGCGAACCGGGCCTCTCAACTTTAACCCACTATAGCGACAGGCAGCGGCGGAGATATTAGGTAGAAGTGTAGGTATAGGTGGTAGATGGTATGTAGTATGTGGTAATTAGGAGGTCAGTAAGCATGGTAGGTAGTAGTATAGTAAATGTAGCGGTGACGGAGCAGCCAACAAGCCAAAAAGCCAGCCAGCCAGCCAGCAAGGGGATGGATGCCAATGTAGTGCGCGCACTCAACTTCATGGATGGATGTGAAATGTGTCGTCAGGTATTAATGAGTAATTAGTAGCTTACAGTAGATGCTTCAACATGAGATTAGACAGTGGCAGCGAAGTGAATGTCGTCGTCAAGCCTCAATGCTCGCACGGCCAGACAGACCCCCTCATCGTTCGTCGCTGTCGTCGTCCCTTCTCCGCCATACAGCTTCTGCTTCATACTACCCATCCATCTCATCCATACCATCCATGCCCATACATCCCTCCCCACCTAAACCCGCCAAGTGGTTAATAACTTTGATACCCCGGACCACTTTTTACTCTTAATATTGCTGTTACATCTTCTACTTCAACAATCTTCCATTGCTACAGCTGTTCACTATTATTACTCACGCGTTCAACAATCGAATCACTTGCTTTCTGTCGAGTCTTGTTGTCGGTAACGAGGGCGCTGCCTTACACACGCTACAAGCAAATCCTCATCATCAACATACACTCACTCTATCCCTCCCACCATTACTCACTCGCTCTCCCACCCTTTCTCTCTCTCTGCAGCTCTCACTGGATTGGAGCGCATATCGCACTGCACCCTACATCACTAGAGTCGACCAACGAGTCAACCACCACCACCACCCGCCTGATCTTCTGTCCAATCATCACGACGAGTCTGTTACCCGAAATCGACTGCAGGCCTGGTCTCCGAATACTATAATATACCCTACTTCGCCTTCGCCTTCGCTCTCACCGCCACCGTCCATAATACTTTTCTGCCATCCTCGACGCTCTGCTGCCTCTCCAATTCTTTTGGCTTCACGTTGCAGAACGTACTGCCCGTTACCCGACGCTCGCCAAGCTACTTCCGCAACGACTATAGTACCTAGTCTAACAACCAACGAACCATACCGCTACCGCTTACACCATCTCCATACAGTCCCCACAACGTCCACGACTGTGATCGCCCCATTAGCCGGCCTAAACATCTGTCAACCACTCTCCGCCGCTCTCGTCCAATCCACCTTGCCTTTCCTCTCCAGATAATTCTCACCACCGCGAAACTGGATTCCTCAACCGCCTCCACGCCTCCCCTCTCCTACTCGCCCATCCAAAGTGACAGGGAACGCGAGTCGACCGCCGAGAGTACGCCAATCACAACTCCTGTCACTACCTCCCTCGATCATACATTCTTCGCTCGACAGCGTCGTGATAAAGACCTCTACTTCAGCTGGCATCGCAAGAGCGCAAACGACACAGATCCCACAGACTCGTCTGGGAGTGACTTGTTGTTCGAGGACGCAGGCGACTGCAGCTTCCCGCTGTTTCCTGAGTCTCCACCATCCGCCTCGTGCTTCCCCGCCGCCGCCACAATGGCTACTCAGGTTTCGCCCATTGACATCAACACCCCTCCCAGATACAATTCAGCAAGCCCTCGGAACCAAACCTCCAATCTGACCTCTGCTTTGCAACAAGCGAGCGCGCACGGCAACCAACAAGTACAGGACTCGATACTCGGTCCAGACGAGCCACGGGTCTCCATCTCGGACCCGTCCGGTCGCAACGAGTCCATAAGTCATGCATTTGGCTCTTATTATGGCTCAGGTGCGCGCCCAATTTCCACAAAGGATCGCCCTCGTCGTGAGAGCAACACTGGCGCTGGAAGCTACCTCGGCATGAGCTGGGGAGGTATGTCTGTGGGAAGCTGGATCAACAACGAGTAAGAGACAAAGACTTGTGTCGCAGAAGCAGGAATTAACGCTGACGCTCTCATAGTATAGCCATGCAGGGCACGTCGCCAGCCATGCAGTCACCTTCCTTCCACTCTTCTTCGTACCTGCCAAAAATGGAGGCAAATTTTATGAAAGATTTCACATGCTGCGGCCTGACACTTGACTCACTACATGAACTCCTTCAACATTTTGAAGAGGCACATGCCCAAGCACCCGGTCAAAATTTACCTAGAACGTCAACCAGTGGTCATAGCGGCCTCCCACAAAAGCCGGGTGCTATGCCTGCTTCGTCAAGTCGTGCAACACAAGCGGATCCTGCTGCATTCACCCAGCATGGCTTTCAGACTACTCCACGCCCACAGCCCACACAGTACAACATTGCACGGTCCCAGCGACTGGGATCAGATGGTTTCAGCAAAACGAACCTGTCTACCGTGCATGACATGGACAATGTGGAGGACATGGAGATGGATGATGTGGGCGTGATGCCGTCAATTGATGAGCAGCACCACTTTGACATGCAGCAGCAACAACACTTCAGCAATCTTCCCCAACTGAATGTGAACCTTGCGAACTTGCAGAATCAAGGTCTTCGAAATTCGAACCCCAATACCCCTCTTGCTACAGCTTCGCCCTTCGGACTTCAACACAACCCCACTGTCTCTTCTGTCAACACGCCTACACTTAGCACAGCACCACTACAACAGCAAAGTAGGACACCAGACTCATCTACACCGGGTACTCCTGCAGAATTTGACCCAGATTACACCATGGGCTTACCAGGAGGACTTCCGATGAATAACCAGATGAACGGTATGAATGGACTAAACGGAATGAATGGCATGAACGGAGACCTAAATTTCAACATGAATTTTGGCACTGGAATGGGGGGAGCCTTCGATGGTACAATAGACCAGCCAGCCAAGCGCCTCTTCAGCAAAAATGGATCCGGCGTCACCCAGGCACAGCTAGCGATGGCAATTCGTTCCGCACAGGGAGCTGGCGACGTGCAGCTACAGAATCAGCTTCTTGCAAAGATGCAAGGTCTGCAACAGCAGGAAGAGGTCAAGCCTTTCAGATGTCCTGTAATAGGATGTGAAAAAGCATACAAGAACCAAAATGGTTTGAAATACCACAAGACGGTCAGTTTGTACAGCCAAGCTATGTTGTGCATATCCCGCTAACACTTCTTCCAGCATGGTCACCAAAATCAGAAACTCAAGGAGAATGATAACGGAACCTTCTCTATCGTCGATCCGGTTACAAGCGTTCCTTACCCTGGCAGCATGGGCATGGAAAAAGAGAAGCCTTATCGCTGTGACTACTGCGGGAAGCGCTACAAGAACCTGAACGGCCTCAAGTACCACAGACAACACTCAGCAAATTGTAACCCCGATCTCGTCAACCAACTTGGCCCGCTCAATGGCCTTCAAAATATTCAAGGTCTCAACGTCAACGTTGCTGGTGCAGGCCTAAGCGGCATCGAAGGTAGCATGTTCTGAGTATCGAAACCACAGCGTGTTCTTTCCTTTTCACTTGCTTTTCATCTACTGCCAGATATCTGTCAGAGTCTTTTGTCGAATACCCAGCTTCAACCTTTTACACACGCTAAGGCCACTAATACGCTGTCACGGCCGCACATGATGAACCGATAGACTATGCCTCTCATTTGTTCATATACCGGCTGGCGGCACATCCTTCGGCATCATCATATCACATTTCAGGCGTTTTTAAAATACCACCCAACCAAAAGTTTGTTGATTTGTTGTTTGTTTTTCCGGAGTATTTTTCACTTGTCAATGTCGTCCCAACTCACTGCGTATACTGTCAGAAACGGGGTTTAAGCATTCCCGCTTTTTTTGTAATTTCTTGTGGATCAATTTCGCCCCTGTTTTTCGGGTCTCCCTACCCAACGGCAATGCTGATGTGTCTATGTGCACATTGGTTGCTCGCTGCTCTTGCAGTTCTCGTTATTCTCCATCCTCCTTATTTGGGTAAAAAAAGATTTACAAAAAGGGAGGCGAATTTCGGGAAATTTTGAAAAGAGAAATGGCGAGCATGTGCATTATGGGCGACTTTGGGTTGTTTTGGGGCACGCGCATGGGCGGAGCGTAATGTAGGTGGTACCTCTTGAAAAGCGTACCTAACCTAACCTACCTTTGGATTTTTGGTTGGGGATGAAGATGAAGGAGAAGAGAGCGGGTGGGTGGGCGTGATGGGAAAGTTCTATAGATCGATCTCTCTGGCAGTTTAGCGAGTCTATATAAAGCAAGCACATGAGACTGTGTAGACTTCTTTCTGTTTTAGCTTAGCTTGCTTAGCTTTGAGCCATACATATACGAAGGAGGCTACTATTTATTTATTACCTCTTGAAAAACTTTCTGGCTGCCGCTGGTTTAACTTGACTTTTTGCAGTTTTTTTTTGGAGGGGGGGGGCAGCAAAGGATCGGTCGGACATGAAAATATGATTCCGTTTTATCGATTCATTCTTTGGGGAGGGGTGATGTTCCCAACTACTACTAAAAACCCACGATGCGCTCGCTCTGCGCTCGTCAACAATGGTATTGAATTTTCCCGTCATGTTCTCGAAACAACCCCAAAAAAACCCCTTCTCAATGCCCAATCCCACCCGCTGCCCAATCCATGAAATTCGGGTCATCGCGGTCTGGAAACATGCCTCTGTCCTGCTGCTGCTGCTGCCCGCCAACAACTCCACCGTCTGCACCGGCCCCACCACCAACACCACCAACACCACCACCATTCATTGCATGATCCCCTCCGCCCTGTGCATGCTGCTGCTGCTGTTGCTGTTGGTGTCCGTCCTGATGATGGCCCCCCTGTTCCATGCCCTGCGCCTGCCTTCTATTCCGCCAATATACCAGGGCCCCCAGCGCCATAACGACACTCATGATGAGCAAGGTATCGAGGATGCCGTCGTCGAGGTCATCGTAATATTCGCCTTCGCCACCAGGCATGCCGTCGGTCGCAGGGGCGTCCCAGTCATCGACCTCATTCTCGTAGGCGGCGTCGCCGCCGTCATACCACGCGTCGGTTGCGTCGAGGAAGTTCTGGAGCCATTCGGAAAAGGAGACTTCTTTTTGGGTTTCTGGAGTACAAGGTCAGATTGGGTTAAAATACTTTGGGGATGGCAAGAAGATTAGAGGGAATGGGGGCTAAGGAGAATAGGTGTAGAGGTATAAGGAGGCGTACCTGGCTCATTCTGGATGGATTTGATGCGGCCATCAGTAATATCATTCCACCAGCTGCGCAGACGCAGTTTATAGAGGGCGAGTGTGACGGGGAGGTATGCTTCGCGGGGATTTGTTTCAAGTGCTAGATCGTAGTAGCGCTTTGCAAGGTGGAAGTCCTGCTCGACGCCGATACCATTCTCGTGCATCCAGCCGAGATTCCACATCGCTTGCGCGCACTGCATTGTCTCGGCGGCAGTCTGGTAGCACGTCGCTGCTTTCTCGCGGTCGAGGGGAGTGCCGCGGCCCCCGAGGTAGTAGTCGCCCATCTTGACCATGGAGTCGATGTTTAGTTGCTTTGCGGACCGGGTCCAGTAGATCAGGGCCAGGCCGTCGTCAGTGAGATTCGTTGCTTTCTTCTTAGCCCAGGAGAGGGTATCTTCCCAGGAGCGACAATGCTGAGCACGGTCAAGAAGGTAGGCAACATTGGCCTGCGCGGACTCAAAGCCTTGTTCTGCTGCCATCATATAGCCTACGAGAGCCGTCTGGAGATCTCCTACTTCGTATGCTTCGTTGGCTTCTTCAAATGATGAATGAATCGACTCTGCTTTCTCCGCTACAATCTTGTAATACACGGCAGCCATCCCGCAATTCTTGTCACGACCAACGCCTTGAAGTGATAGATCACCCAAGTAGTAGAAGGCTTCGATATGGCCATTTCTAGCGGCAAGTTCGAAATACTTCGATGCTGTGACGACATCTCCCTGATCAAGAAATAGAGCTCCAAGCTTGACCTGGGCTGATGCGAGGTCTTGGTCCGCTGCCGGAAGGAAATACTCGGCAGCTTTGACTGCGTCCTGGGGAACTTCCCAGCCATGAAGATACATCAGCCCCATGTGATATTGAGACAGTGCATCTCCATTGGAGACCCCACGCTTGAACCATGTCTGGGCAATGTCAAATCTTTGCTCAACTCCTTCGCCACGCATATACATCCGCCCAATGTAGCCAGCTGCCTTAGACGCAAGTTTCTCGGCTTGTGGAGACACATCACCAACCAATTTCCCATCTTTTTGCCATAGGAGCCGAGCTACACTGTAGAAGTATTGTTTGGCCATTCGATAATCAGGCTTGAGGCCGCGGGCACCGTCGTAGTACGTCTTCGCTAGATTGAACGTTGCTCTAGCATCTCCGGTTTTATGCATCAGCTCGATATAGTCTAGGACATCCTCAAGGGCAGCATATGCGTCTGAATTTGGTCCTCCTTGTCTAGCGTTTGGTCCGGAGCTGCTAACACTGGCGCCTTCACCATAGACGCCACCTTCCTCATCTGCGATGCGAAATGAATCTTTGTACAATACATGACCCCCTGGTGGCCCTGATCGCAAGTATTCAATTGCTTTGTCGGCCACCTTCTGGTAGTAGTATACAGCTGTATCGCAGTTCCTCGGGGTTGAAATGCCACTGTGGTGGCGAAATGCAACAGTCATTTCTGAGCGAATGTCACCCCCTTCTGCTGCAAATGTATGGTACAGTAGAGCTCGGGCCTGATCTGATTTCACCGCACCTCCTATTCCTGTAGCGTAGATGAAACCCAGCATGTGCTGAGCAGTGCTATTCTCATACTCAAAGGCCAGCTCTTGATATCTCCGGAACGCTTCTGTATAGTTTCGAGGATATGAATAGTTTCCGTGGAAATTCATCTCGGCCAGGAGGAAAATTGCATCGGGATTCTTCATTTCTGCCGACTTTTCGAGTAACTTCACCGCGTTGGTAAGGGGTCTGCTCAGCTTCTTCTGAGGTTGCGACGTAACGCCATCTTGTCCGGGCGGAGTGTTCATGAAAAGGAAGACGAAAAGCTGCTTTGCATAGTGCCATGTCAAGTCTATGGGGCCCGACAGCCTGGGTGAATTAGACGGCTTTTTTGCTGACGACTTGATCTTGCGAAGGATGTCGGTTGCCTCTGCGAAAGCAGGTGCGCCTAATTCATGTCAAAACCCATCGAATCTCAATGAATAGTCTATGCAGACTCAATTGAGCCTACCAGGATATATTTCACTCTCTTGTGTTGTTTGCATATCTGGGTCGAGGTTCCTCGATGTCGACTTGAGGTTGCCAAGAGGCTGCTGACTCCTTCTCGTATCATCTGCATGTTGTTGCGCGTAGATCAATGAAGAAAATAAGATAACTGCCCTTCCAAAGTTAGATACAGCCTTGGTGGAACATCCACTCCAAAAGTCTAGCTTACCAAGGAAGAGCGGCAGAAGCCGCCGAGGTTGCAACTTCATAATCGCGTAAAGTTAGATATTGGAGAGGTCGTGAGCTTCATATCGCAGCCGAGTCGCTGGATTCAGCAGCACGTGAGCGGAGTAGCGAAGCCTGCGGCAAGTGAAAGGGACAGATGGCGTTGTTGAACTACTGAAGGAAGCTGAAGATAAAGCCACCTTGAAGTCACCGAGCTTGCATGCGCATAGACGCGTGCTATAGACGCGCGCTAGAGCTAAGCGCGTGTGGCGTGCCCCTCACTCATGCAGTTATGGTTTTTCTGGCCTGAGGCTGCATGACCTGTGATTTGTATCAATCCATCTCCATATTTGTCAATGACTCGCCCTCTTCCAACAACATGAGTTTTGTACGACTTCGTTTCATTGCATTCCGCGGCATAGAGGCTACTTAGACGGTTTACACCTAGTGCGACCACGTATTGCATAAATCTAGTCTGCTCGGCTTTTCGTTCGCCTTCTGAAATTGGCACTCTGCGGCCATACAACTTTCGATTCATTCTTCCCTAACCTAGCTATGCTTCCTGGCGATGACAGTTCTGCAACGGTGACAGAACAGTCTTCCCTGCTACACCAATCGAGACCATCATCCAGATCCAGTACCGGTACAATTGCGAATGGCCAAGATGCGGGAGGAGCGAGCTTCCAAGATCCTCAGGTTGAGAAAATTACAAGCATGACTGCGACTGAATCTGTCATAGTTTGTATCTCTATTGGAGTCTTGATGTTCCTTCTAACGTCGAATATGTCGATGATCACCACCATTCAATCCGCGATAGCTACTGATCTCGACGCGTTTGAGGAAGCTGAGTGGTTTACAACTGCATATATGGTGACTATGTCTGTTATATCACCTTTGATGGGCCGATTAAGCCAGACGTTTTCTCCGCGCATTTGCATGGTCGCAGCAAGTGTATTAATGGGAGTCGGATCTATCATTACTGGGGCATCGTCAACAGCCCGTGTATTCCTTTTCGGCAGGGCAATTACTGGTCTCGGCGCTGGAGGAACAATGACTGGCGCCACGATTATCATCATTCACCTGGCTCCTGTAGCTACTAGAGGCGTATGGCTGGGAGCGGCTGCGTCAGTTATGACGGTCGGTCTCTCCTTGGGAGCTGTTATCGCTGGCGGACTAGAACCATATGTTGGATGGGTATGTAAATGTACCAACTTGGAAAGCGATGAGCTTCGTACTAAGCCATGATAGAATTACCTTTTCGGGATGCAGGCACCAATAAGTTTTGTTCCCGGTCTTTGTCTATTTTTCTTTTTGCCCACTCACACAGGCCTCAACCACAAAAGAGTAGCTTTGAAGCGCCGCCTGCAAAACATAGATTACCTAGGCGCTATAACATTGGTTAGTTGCCAATTGCGGGCATATAGTACCAACTGACCATTGCACTCAGGCTGTTGGGATCACCATGTTCTTGATCGGCGTATCAGGACGAAGCATTCTGCTCGTGCCAACATTGTCGTCATTACCTGCTTTCATGATATTCGTGTTCGTAGAACGCTTCTTCGCCGTTGAGCCCATTATACCTCTCAGTGTACTGAAGTCTCGAGGTGCACTTCTGACGAGCCTCGCTACCCTCGGTTTCATGATGTCACGCTGGGCAATCTTGTTCTACACGCCTGTATACGCGATCGCTGTGCGTAACAGATCACCCGCCGTGGCTGGCTTGATCCTGATACCGACCAACGCTGGCTTCGGGCTTGGAGGACTGCTATCAGGATGGTTTCACATTCGGCGCGAGGGCAGTTTCTATATGTGAGTTAGGGACGCAGGCCACGTATCTGGGCTGCTGACTCACAATCGCAGACCTTCACTCGTCAGCATGGCGATTTTTCCGGCCACCATGCTTGCTATTGCACTCATCTCCACTCCTACCTCCCCCAATGCTCTATATGTAGCCTTCCTGTTTTTGAACGGCCTGGCCACAGGCTGCGTAGTGAATTACACGCTTGTCCATGTGCTTCACCTTCTTCCCAAAGAGGTACATCCAATCATGATGTCACTCGTGGCAACTTTCCGTGGGCTTGCAGGCTCATTTGGCAGTGCTGTTGGTGGTGGTCTATTCCTGCGGATACTTGCATCTTCTTTAGATGATGGTTTCAAGAAACATGGTATCTCTGGTCGAGAGGATCTAATCAAACGCCTCCTTGGGAGTCCCGCAACAGTACAGCAGCTTGTGGGGAAAGAGCGGCAGATCGCATTAGCCAGTTATGTCGTCGGTCTTCGAGGACTCTTCCTTGCTGGCGTTGGATTGAGTGCCGTTATGGTATTCTTGCAGGCGGGGACAGGTTGGACAGGGTATCACGAGAAAAACCAGCTCCTGACTCGATCAGACATCGATGGCGACGAGATACATGTTGAGGAATCCCTTCTCGGGACATCGTAAGTGTAAGCACTATACCTCAATCTTGCGAGCATATTTAGCGACGTATAACAGATTGTGGTCAAAATATAGACAAAAATGTGGCCAATTCTGTCGGGCCTGTTGCTCGTTTCGGCAAATTCGCATCATCCGAGCATTTTCTCTACTTACAGGGTAATAACGAGCTTAGCATCAAAGTCTATAACGTTGAATGTAAGAGCCTACTGCGCTTGAGCATACACCAGGGAAGGTAGGTAAGGATATCCATGTGTGACTTTTTTGGTTAGGGCATACGGTTCTCGCGGCGTAGATACTGATCCCGCTCCGTAACACTGGTATCCAAGTAAAGCTTCCGCTGGTCCAAAACAAGATCACCACTGTTAAGTAAGAGAGCTTCGCTTCGACTATCACCGACAAGTAACGATTTCAACAGCCCTAAGCTCATCACGATCCGCTGCCTTACCCTACGACTGCCGCAGATAACATCCTACTCGCCGAACCGGCTCCCGAAAGATTTTGAAGCACGAAATTATGTACACATTCCGCCGTACAGTTCAACAGCTGGGCTCTACGCCGGCTTGAGTCCCATCGCACTTAGTCAGAATCTGACCATGAATGGCGAGGGTTTGCAGATATCATGACCCTATTTGCTTGAGTGTTCTCTGGTCTTTGATGGAGGACCGATAGGAGGGCATATACACCTCATAGTTACTAACGAAAATGGTTTCACCTGAGCCCTGCTTTGGCTGTTGAAACATTTGAGGCTAGTCATGGAAGAGATCAATTCTAATCAGTCCTATAGTCTGAACATCTTCGTGAGCCCCAATGCCACCTTTTACTCAAAGGAGCGTTATTGAAGTACGCGAGAGTCAATTTAGACATGGAAGGCTGACATATTAACTACATAAAGGCGTTGGGACAAACCAATCGGAAGATGGAATTATTGAAATGACTCGTAAGTATTCTGGTGCGCGTATGGTGCACATCCAACTCAATTTTCGTTTCCAGTCACTACGCCGCAATTGCTGGGTATGTGCAAGGAGCTTAGTGCATGCCGACCATTTCAAATCGATTATTCGCCAATCATTGCCCTTTGTCAAGTCGAAGATCGCTCACATCACAGATAGGTACCGTACCGCCTCCTAGGCGCGTTGGTGCCTCCCCTGCACTACATCTGAACTTATGGCCACGGCAGATGCCAACTATCATCATATCACACAGATTTATTCATGGTATGGTAGGGATGCCCTAACGAAGATGGTCCGCATTCGATGTTTTCGCTCTCTATATGTTAACTACTCTTCTCGTCCTGAAGATGTGTTCAAAGGCCTCGACTGGACCCATATCAATCCCGCTTGATGGCTACCAGAGCCTGAATTCTCTAAGGACACGTGTAAAGGACAAACACACAAATCCATGGCTCTCACAGAAGAAGATGAGGCCAAAGAGGTCAGATGCTCATCACCGACAAGGCATGCAAAACGTAGTCCCAAACGACTAACGTACGTTATATCAATGTCGTCTCATGTTTGGTAATAAAGCTAACATATATTTCAGCTGTGTTCCATGCAGAGAACGAAAGGTCCGCTGCGATAGAGCATTCCCAAAATGCGGGCGATGCTCACACCTAGGTCACAATGGTGTGTATCGTCCAAGATCTAGCAATCGAGCAAACCAGGTTGCTTTGATCAGCCAACTGCAGGAGCGCATGTCCCAGGCAGAAGCACGACTTGCTTTGCGAGCATATGGAGCATCTTTCGGCTCTGATCATGCACACAATGCCTCAGTCACTGGTATCTTTATGGAGCCCACTGTCCAATGTTATCCTCAGCACAGTGTACCGATCGAAAGACAACACAGCGGCCCACCATTTGTTTCCACAGATATATATCCCATACCGAGCAGTTCCAGCACTACAGACTCCGCCATTTATTCAGATCTAAAGTCGACGGCTTTTAGACTTGGGGATTTTGAGCAAGCGTTCGTCCAACCAGCCTTGCCTCCAGTTTCGAGTTCCGAGGTGGTCGTTGCACCACATGACACATATCGCAGCCAATGGTCAAATCTGTCACCATCGTTCCATTCAAGAAGTTCATCTGAGGCTTCAGACATTTCGATTACTTCCGAAGACCTCGTTGCTCTTCATCAAATATTCTTCGAAAGTCTAGAAGCATCATTTCCAATCATATCGCGAAACCGGTTCTATTGCGAGATTCGGAATTCACCCGCGGATCCATCCATTCAAGCACTGAGCTATGCTATTGCCCTCATGACCATATCAGTGACTGGAACGCAGCTGTACCCTGAGAAAGGCTTCTACCTACGAGCTCGTCGCCTCCTAGATGAAAGTGAAATCTATGGCGATGGGAGATCACTGGCAAACTTGAATATCTTACAAACTTTGATCATTCTACTACGCTACGAGATTGGTAGCCAGCGTAATGCCAGTTCGTGTCTGACTGCGGCTCGAGCGACTCAGTTAGTCAAGATGATGCGTCTATCACAAATTGATTCTCGAGAGTTGTTGTCAGGATACAAAGCTCGGTATCCTGATGTGTCGCTACCCCTAGCGAATGACCCAATAGAGCTTGAAGAGAGACGCCGTTGCTTCTGGGCGCTCTACGTAATGGAGGGCTATCGTAATATCATCAACGGAGATACTGACAAGATCTTGGACGAATCTACGGTAAGCCTCCCGACCACGTCACTCTTATCATACTAATCCCACACCTAGCCTCTAGTATGCCTTCCCTCTCCCGGTGCTCTCGACAGCTCATTCATCCCTATCCAAATGCCCTATCTCCACGACGCCCCTTCAAATCTTACCCCGTCCGCCCTTTCTCACTTCACCGCAACGATTCTCACCACCCACCTCACCCTTCGAATTCTCACCCACGCCTCTCAACCTCCAAGTACCTTCTGGTGGAACCACCACCACGACCTCGTCGCCCGCTTCAACTCCATCGGCGCCCTCCTTCACAATCACTCCGACGTCGACGCTCCATACGCCGACCAAACCACTCTCGAACTTCACCTGATCCTCTCCACGCTCGACTCCCACCTGCACGCCGTCGCTCTAGCTGCAAGCGCGCTGACAGAAATCGCCGCCGTCGTCAGCGAGGAAAGCAGGCGGCGCCTCGGCGACAGTGCGTTACGGATGGCGAGTGTTGTGCGTGCGAAGTGGTGCCATCGCCTGGATTTGCGGGCGGATCTGCAGCAGGATAGTACTCGCCAGGGCTCGCAATCGCAAGCTTGTGCGCTGTCGCTGGGCGCGATGTTCTTGCCGTGGGCTCTGAACACGGCAGTGAGGATGCTGCGGACGTTGGGTGTGGATGATGGGGATGCCCAGGTGGGCGAAGGCGTGCAAGTGCTGCTTGCGGCGCTAGACAATGTTGAAGAGAGAAGTGGGCCGTGGCATCAGTCACTAAGGACGTAGGTTGCTCTTTGTTGGGGATGACGAAAGTCGCAGAGCGTAAGTGGCTGTAGCATACATAGATCGCAAGATTTGTGTTCTGGTGACTACCTTATCATTCATTCTGTATCTGAACATTGCATGGTTCTGGCAGTATAGCGTTTACAATGTAATCGAAGAGGCGCACCAAGCCTGGCTCATATGTGAAGTGTGAATCATTTGTTACTCAATGATGTGATGAGATCTGACCCAGGTCTACCACAGCCCGTCGTATATATGCGGTCTCACAGGTCCAAGTCACAAACATATCGGTTTGATCGTCATGCAATTGTCTCGACTCAGGATGCCCGAGTGAGAGCCAATGAGTATCTTATAAAGTCTAGATAAAGTCCTCAGAGCGAAGCCGCCGTGACTTTTGGCCACGCTGACTTCTTCACATTCAAGGTGCTTTCAAATGCACCTCCCTGCGCACGCTATGTTGATTGCGCTTATGGCAAAAAGCCTCTGCGCCCAGTATCGTCAATCCCACGTAGTTCTTTCAGCATCCCATTTAACATCCATCAGCTCGTGAATCATCTACAAGTCAGCATCATCCTCATCGGGAAGAGGCATCTGAGCTGCGTCGGCCATCTCCTTCTGGTACTGCTCCATAACAGCCTGGTCAACGGCGACCTCTGGTGGGGCCAAAGCTGGGGCAGCAACGAATTCCTGGACATCAATCAGTACTTGCTACGATAGCCCATTAAGTTGCATTTACTTACAAGACTCTGGTTACCAACAAGCTTGCGGGCAAGCCACAGGAAAGGCTTCTCGAAGTTGTAGTTGGACTTCGCGGAGATGTCATAGTACTGGAGATTTTTCTTGCGGTGGAAAACAATCGTCTTTGCCTTCACTTTGCGCTCCTTAACATCAACCTTGTTTCCAGTCAAGACGATTGGAATGTTCTCGCAGACACGGACCAGGTCACCTGCGACGCGATCTTTAGTGTTCACTCTATACGCCCATTCGTCGTTACTTACGGTGCCAGTTTGGAACGTTCTTGTAAGTGATACGAGATGTGACGTCAAACATAATGATGCCGCATTGCCCGTTTATGTAGTATCCATCACGAAGACCGCCGAATTTTTCTTGACCAGCGGTGTCCCAGACGTCAAATTGGATCTGTCCGAGGTTCTGTAAAGGTCAGTGATAAGTCGCATATGTAAGACTCGGAGGAGAATTACGGTGGTGAAACCAAGAGGGTGAACTTCGACGCCCAGAGTCGCAATGTATTTCTTCTCGAATTCTCCCGTCAAATGACGCTTTACGAAGGTGGTCTGCGGGGCAATGATTCGTTAGTTATAGGCCTGGGTATTTCAAATGATATTTCAGGATGCGCCTGCTGCACATCCAGAGAGTCAATCTTACCTTTCCAGTACCACCGTCGCCGACAAGGACGAGCTTGAAGGTTGGGACGCCCGTGCCTTCAGTCATTATGTTGAGTCGTCGGAGGACGAAAGATACTTGCTGCAGAATGAGGATTAGGCCAATTTCAGAACAGAGAGAAGGAAGATTTGGTTAGGAAAGGAAAGGCGTACTGTTCAAAGAGAGATGTTCCAATGCTTGTCGGGTCGTAAAAAAGTTGCAAGTGGTGGGGAGCGGGACTGGTGGACGAAGGTGGGAGGTGTAGTGTGTGATGATCGTGGGGCGAGAGGAACTAAGGACGAAAACGAAATTGTTGTTTGGTGGCTGTTGCCGGGCGGTGACAGGCTCTTGGCTTCTTATATAAGCCACGCACGTGACCATACCCAAGGCAGAACACCTCACATTTCTAAGCCATGGCTGCCTAGCGAACTAGCGAGGTTTCTTTCATTCCATTTTTTAGGCATTGCCCAAACCACAGCCTGTACTACTATCATACACCTTGCTAAGACCTGTCCATGTGGCTAAAACTCCATTCCATGCGCGCCACGAAGGCGATTACTTATCGGCAGACTACGTTTCGCGACTACACTGGTAGAAGATGACATCCTAAGAGTCCCCGCCCTCCCCAATCGCGCCGCGGTGTCAACTGGACTGAGACCCGCTCGCCGGTTCGAGACAGTTCCACTTGTATGGGTCTCTGCAGAAGATATTAGCCACGCTCGCTGTCCATGCCTAGAAACAGGGCGATTTGGCATGCGCGCGCGCAAGATAGTGTGCAGACGTACTCCTTCACTACTAGCAACTGCTTCTGCCACCTTGGCTAGCTTTTCATGGTTCGCCCAATTTACTGAGCCGAACTGTGTTATCAAGTCACCCACTTTCATCCCAGTTTCATCCGCGGGGCTGCCAGAGACCACACTGTTTACTTTTGCGAAAGGGATGCCTGTAGTACTGCCCTGAATGTCTGGTGCGCTTGGTGCACTTGCTGCGACTGGTCGACTGCTAGGAGGAGTGGAGGAGCCATTCTGAGTGATCTGGTTGGCGTGATGCGCATGGAGTCCCTTCTCTATACGACTCATGAGATCTTTGTAGTCGTTACGTAGGTGTATTATTCGTGCTCTGGTAGTTCGTACTATGATCCTGTAAGCAGAGGTTCGAGGCTCTGCTGAGAAAAGGAAGACCGTACTCTGGGCAACATCAATATCACTTCTGGGAAAGCCGTCGAAGGTGGTGAGACCAGTGTTCATGTTTACGCTATGCTATATTCTTGTCAGTCCTGACACGCAACGAAGCCTCTTCTAGGCTCACAGAGTCCAGAACTGATCCAAGCGTAGAGAGCTCTGCCTCCACTCGCTCTTTCTCGTTGATCAGCTGCAGAAGAGACAGTTTGTCTTTGTTGACTCCATTCGAAGAGTCTTGCACAGTTACCGGTCCCGACGGAACTGTGGGCGTATGTATATCATCCATCCGTAGATTGGTGTTGGTTGAAGCCGTAAAACAGTTGCTGTGTTGAGATGCGCATGAATTCGAAGCTTGGTAGCTGCTGAAGGAGGGGAGGGGTATCCACAAGAAGCTCCAGCTGAGGGTGGAACACTATAAGACTCGGTCTAGCCCAAGTAGGTAGAACTAGCAACATGGATGAATAACAATTAGAGGCGTGAGGTTGTCACTTCGTTCTTCTTTCTAGGATCCTTTCGTACACACGTTCTGCTATCCTCACCCTGCGCGTCATGTCGCAGACTCACAGCTTAGAGGTCTCGAGATAGCGTACTTCTAAAACTATATGTGCACTGTCGCACAGCCAATTCGTCCGAGAATACATTATCGGATCTGATTTGCACGTGGCACGGAAGATGCGAGATGATTCGAAACATTCTCACCCGTACTGAATGGCACCAGTACTCAATGGTGCAATTGAACAGACGCCTCGTTCCTGGACCATTTGAAATGATGCGATGAGCCGATCGCAATTGCTATTAAGAACCAGTATCATGTTGTTCTTTCCACTCACGCATAATCAGCAGCGCATCCATGACCTTCAGATCGCAAAAGCTTTCCATAGGTCGGCATACCTACCTTCGTGCGCCAGACAAGCTTGTCATCTTAACTTAATGTCATCTTCTGTTTTCTCGCATTGTCATACTTAAGCCTGGTGCTAAACACAGATACCGTTATGGCTTACATCCTCTCATTGCCGCCATTGAGTCCCTTGAAACGATCATTCAGCGACACGTCCTACATCAAGACCGGCTCACCTAGGACAACTTCACCTTTAGTAGATGATACCTCAACGATTCGTCATTTTCCCGCACGCAATGTTTCAGGCTCTTCCCTTCTATCACTGACATCTATACAATTATCTTCGTGGACTCCAACGAAAGAGAATGTCTCTCCACGACCGCAAGACCACAATGTACTTGACTTGCTTCAGGACCTCAAAACGCGGGATTCTGCGCGACGACATTCCCAGAACATACCGCGGAAGCCCATCTGGGTAATTGGGCGCCATCCTCATCCGGAGCGCACTTCCAGCTTACCCAGTCCCGGACGATCATCTAGTGTCTCGAACGGCGCCGAACAGAGCTTTGCTCGTCCGATTGTTGGATCGAGAGCAGAAGAAATTGAAGACATTCTAGCCAGCCTTGACGAGTCATGCGGGCCATTCAGTGAAGGTTCTTCACTGTCTTCCTCCTGCTCGAAAACCCACATATCCTCTTGCGATACAAGTACCTATCATGACACTGTACCTGAGCAAGTCGTACCAATACAGACACATTTCCGCCGATGGATGAGTACCCTCCGAAGGCGTAAGATTGACAACGAAGTGCTGCCAGGTGGATCATCGACCTGTGAGTCTGAAGTATCTCGCGCTCTAGTATTGAATAGAAAACTATGTAATCGATCTCTCAGGCTCCCTCAAGCAACTCATGAAAAAAGTCTTTCTCTATCATCGTCCATGGGATTCGTCACAACTGTCAAATCAGCATCGATCACCCTTGCAAGCACACATCGCCCTCCATGGGCTACAGGAAACCGGTCGATCAATAGCAGGCGTGACAATAGTGGAATTGAGAATGGTGACGCTAGAATCTCCACGGAAAGTACGCCCGCTCAACGTACTCCCCTCATGGATGAGCGATCCTGGGATCGAGCACGGAAAAGAGGAGAAATCCTTTCCGAGCTTCTGGCTACGGAGGAGAGCTACATCAGCGATATGAAAGCTCTCGTCAATGTACGCAGACGAACTACACTTATACCCCTGCTCATACTGATCAGTCATCCAGGTATACTTCACCCTACTAGCATCAATTCCATCATTCTCCACAGAAACTCGTCGATCATTCCACAGGAATGTCGCACAGATCATCCAGCTACACGAAGATCTACTGCGTGACCTCCATGCAGCAATTCCAGGATCTGAAAGTATCAAGGACGTAGCGAAGCCTTCCCTCACCACATGCAGAAGGCCGAAACACGTTCGATGGAAGAGCGCTGAAGCAGTGTCTGAAAGAGAAGTGTTTAGGAAGCTCGGACGAGTACAGAGACACTCGATTGATATCAGAGTAGGGTCCAATGAAAGACAGAAGCAAGTTGTCGATACGATCACTGCAGGTAGTGTTGCAAAAGTCTTCAACAAATATGTTCGTATCGATACACGAGTCTAGGACTTTCTAACCCTCTCGTCCCGGTCAGTAACTGACCAGCACGTAGATGAAACGATTTTTTGCGTACGAGCAATATGTCGCACACTTTGAGGAGATGAAGAAGGACATGGAGCAAAGCAGGGAAAATGTACCATTGTCTGACTATGAGAGAGGCATAGAAGCACTCTCGACTGCCCTGCTCTCTCTGAATCACCGTGGATCTGAAAGTCGAAAGGGGCTTACAGTGCAAGACCTTTTCATAAAGGTATGCTGAACGAAAGCCACTATCCGAACAACGAGTCACTGATTGGGATATTCAGCCTGTACAGCGCGTGACTAAGCTATGTCTCATGTTAGAGACCCTTTCGAAGCAGACACCAGTCTATGATGATCCGGAGTCACATGCGGAACTTGAGAAAGCGCTCTTCCGAATGCGGGAAACGAATAGAGAGATAGACAGAGCTACGAATAATCCTGCGGCCAGAAAGCTTATGGAGATATCGTGGATTTTGCAAGATAGATTTGATTTCGAGCACCAGGTAGTACCGAATCAGTGCGACAGCGTGAGTGTGTGCTGACACAGTCTTATAGACCTTGTCCAAGCCCATAATTTTCAGCCTCCTTGGCCATGTAATGCTTTGTGGTGTTCTACACATTGCATACCAAGCGAATGACCGAGTATTGGGACAATACATGATTTGCGCATTGTATAGATCATGCCTAATTCTTGCAACGCCGAATCGGTCGTTTTCGTCGTACAGTGTTGTCGCGGCGATTGCTTTGGCAGGTGGTTCACTCGAAGAAGCCGACAACGGGAAGGGTACGTTACGATAACACTTGGGTTAGGTATTGGACATAGCTAACAGCCCTAAAAGGTCTCCAGTGTTACACTGCCGCCTTTACATGGAAGTTAGTCTTCGAATCCGAACACAAGCTGTACGAGATAGTTATGAGTGCTTGTTCAGCAGAAGAGGAAGAGCAATGGCGGCGAAATCTTCGGGAACGCATCGCATCAGAGAATCATGATTTCGCGGAGGGCCGACTCTCCGTACAAGATATCTTTGCTTGTCGTCACCTCGATCTCAAGTCATTGGGATCCGTATTCGGACAAGCCGAAAGCTTCGTGCGGCGACTGTCAGTCCATCGAGCTCAAACACTTGGTCCTCGGATAAACATTCATCAGGTTATAATCAAGAATACACAAGCTCGTAAACTGTCAGATCCTGGACAGCCAACGGTACAAATACCAGTAGCGAGGTCGCATTCCCTTTTGTCAACAAACAATGTGCCTATTCTGACACCCCGAAGAGCAGAGCGTGTTCGACTAGAGAATGCTCTTGTAGACGTCTGGACGAAAGAGGTCTTGCCATATCCTGGTATGTCCGGCCGTCGCAGCGAAAATTCCATCCGAGCTTCTGCCAATGCTGTGATGCGAAAAATGAGTATGGCTAGCCTCACGAGCAACTTCTCCAAGAGGTCTGCCAGCGTCAACAATTTGAGTCGACGCCGGGCGGAAGATGCTTTGAGAAGCGGGCGGAAGACTTCACCGCCTGTCCTGGGTTCGTCACATAGCATAGCTGGGAAGCGGCCCAGTCCCCCTCATGTGGACTTCCATAACGATCCATTGAGATTCTTACCCGCCGACTTCGACCTTGCAGATAGGCGGCATAATAGAATCCAGAAGTCGAACAGAGTGACTAGTAATCGTCACAGTATACGGTCTTCAAGAAGAGTGTCTAGACCAACGTCTTTCATTGCTGGTCGCAATCGGCCTCGATCAGATATATCGATGGCAATAGAGGCCTCCAGCACGTCTCTTTCGGCATACACATTCTCAACACCGCCGAACGACAAGACATGTACCGAAAGCGAGTGGATGAAACCCAAACATAAAGCACCATCGGGTAGTTCCGGCCTTGGTACTATTTCGAAAACAATTCGCAAACAGAAGAGTCGGTTCTGGAAATTCCTGCCCTGATACAATGGTATACTCAAGGGTCCAGGCCTAAGACCTGCACAAGATCATGTCATAACGGTGAACCTTCACGACTCGACTCGAGTTTATGTTTGGTACTCCGAGGAAGGTCGCCGATCAAGATCTACGCAACGGCTGGATCTGCAAGGTACAGCCGCGCTGTCCCGAACCTTGTCGTGCCTTGTATGGTGTTGAAGTCTGTCCGTGCACGGGAGGTATGTTTTACGATGGCGTCACGCATTCTACAGCTTGCATGCTTGACTAGGATATTCTTGCGCGTGGACGGTGGAATATCTCTCGGAATTTGGATGCTCGTAATCCTACTAGCATGACAAGCAAACAGATACAAACGCAAATAATACTCTTACTCCAGCATGCAACGTACCGCTTGTGAGCACCTTGAATGACTATTGTGGTGTTATTGAACGGACTTGATACCACTACTGGCATGTTGTTGTAGATGTTCAGATGGTGGCCCGTGATGCCATCCATGCGTTGGCACCGTGATTGCTGCAACCTTGTGTTGATAGAGGGGGAGCTTGGGGGAATGACGTAACTTGCGCGCGTGCCAACTGGAGGACTGGGCGGCAGCAGCTTCGAGAGCTCTCATAAAGCTCGCCAGTCCGCAACTCCTACACTGAATATCGTCCAACTCCATTGCTCCTCGCACAAACACATCCCAAGCCGAACCACTCTACAATTCAATCTCACCCATTCAGATACTTCCATCATCATGCCTCGTGGTAATGCTACCCAGACCAGAGTTCACTACAAGGGACAAGAAGATGACTTCGTGATTCTTGTCGACGATGCCAAGGCTGTCGAGGACTGGAAGACCGACAAGACTATACCGTTGGCTCAGGTAGTCAGTGGCTGGAAGGTCTTCGTCACTCACAAGTCAGTACAATTACGTTCTCGAGTTGCGTTGACTGCCGTGTCGTGTTAACGCATGCATACCGTAGGCATGGCAACCAAGGTATCCTTGACACAGCCTCCAACTCAGCGCTCGACAACGAGTTCGGCACACACAAGGATGATGAAGTTGTGAAGTTGATACTGGAGAAAGGCACTGTTCTTGAGAATGAGGTAGGTTCTCTGCGAGACTATGCATTTGATCTCACCACAAGAGTCATGTACTGATAAGGCGCCAGAATGCCGAGAGACAGGGCGAGAAGAACATCACGCAGGGCGGAACTGTTGCTCACTAGATACCCTCGATATATGAAGACACACTTAAAAAGTCCCTGCCATGACTATTCTTGATACATATGTTACCTTTATAAGTGCATGGACAAGAGCGCATGGACTCAAGCGCACCAGTTGCATTCAAACAAACAGCTCTACTAGGAGTAATTACCACAATTAAATTCAACGTTAAGTAAGGTGTGACTCGGCACCACCTGATTTGGTGTGTAAGTGAATTCGGTTTCGGTAGGGATCGTCTTATGCAAGCTGTGTACTTCACGTCTGGTTCATATAGTTGAACAAAAACTTTCACTTTGGCTAGCACTGTAATATGGCAGGCACGCTGTTCCGTTTAATAAGGTTAGATTAAACAACGTTCGGATGCGTTACCGTGACACGAGTTCACGTCTAAATCACACACCGAATATCTGCACTTTCCAAGCTCATCTTATCCCAGAGAAGACACTCTTTTCGTCACAACTCTCATTCTAATTCTCTTATATTCATGACTATATAGTACGTTAATATTCTATTCCCTCTACTATCTCAACCATGACAAATTCAGACGTACCATCAGAGTCTCAAGACACTGCAGGTCCGCCTGAAGATTCGCATAGTGAACATACGGCGGATGAGAATGCGGGAGACCTTCCACCTGATCGAACGGCAGAATGGGACCATCCAGGTACAGACGAAATCATTCTGCAGAATCTTGCTTCCCTGAGACCCCGGCTCCCTGACGAGGTCGTTGATCTTATCAAATCCAAAGTTGATAGCCTCGATCCCACATCGTTAGAACACGAGATGTGGAACATGGTGTTGTCCAGGATACGTGAGAACCCAACAGCTAGATCAGCTCAGTTGCTCTGGGAACTACCACTAGAAATACGGAGGACGATCTACGAATACTTCCTGCCGCCAAAAGACAGCATTTTCGAAATCCGTCCAATAAGACAGGCGCGTGATATGCCAGATGGCCACGTGGATGGTTCGAATTGTCCTGTCTGCAGTGTTGACATCACTGGTATATCAGATGCAGACAAAGATGTACATGTCAACAATTGTCTGAAAGGCAGCCCTACAGAATTACCAGAGAAGACGCGTTGGTCATACAAAGGCTCTAACAATGCATTAGCATTACTTCTCGTCAACTCACAAATGTGCCAAGAGGTTGCTACCATTCTTTATGAAAACTACACCTTCGAGCTCGATCTTTCCGAACACGGCGTAAGATTTCTGGATCTTCCCGTCATCGATAAGATCAACCAGTACGGCTTTAGTCTCTCACACGGCGACACCAAGTTCGGCAACAGGGTTTCCAGCGCAGAGGGCAATCGGCAGTCAAATTGGATCTTTTCATTTGCGCGAATCCATAAGCTAAAATTGAATATCTGGGGAGGTACAGTTCCCTTGTCCAATTCTGAAGGCCAACAATGGAAAGCAAAGGAAAAATGCCTTGGGATGCGGCAGAATCTTCAGAGCTTAGTAGAGCTCTTGACAAAAGGCCCCACTAAACCGCATCTTCTATACTTGGAAGTTACTCTCTACGATGGTGACCGAGGGCTTGATCTTGTAGAACCCTGGGCGGGATTTTGGCGCCTTGGAAGAGGATTGACTCCGCGTTGCAGTCTGTTAGCCGCAGACGAAGCGGATGGAGGCATAGCCCCATCGACTGCACTTTACACTAACGAGAGATTTATCATGCAGCCCCTTGAAGCCATACGAGGTCTAGAATGCCCATGGTTCTTCCGCTACCAAGGAAACGACAGACACACGAGATACAGGCTCTGCATGGATTACATGCGAAGCCAGATGAGGCGCCATCCATCGAGTGGGTATGTGCCGAACCCAGAATTCATTCGACATGTGTCACAATTAGAAGATGCACTGAGAGATTGGAAGGAGCATCTCGCGCGTCAGACTGCAGAGCGTAATCGTAAAATGGAAGCTGAACGCGATGCTTGGGTCGACGCTACGATCGAAGAATGGGGATCCGACGATGGACACGCAACGCAAGAAGAAGACGGCGAAGAGGACGGAAATTAATTGCCAGCTGGAGTATCTAATTAGCCTGGAAACGGCCCAGCACGAAGAAGAGGAAACCGTGAGATAACCGTAAGAAACTTGTATGATCTTCTGGTATGGTGGTATCTTTCGTCACCTGAGTCGGTAAGCCATCCATTACGAGCAGTGAATATATGCATGCGGAAGAAGTTCGTGCGATTATGAAGACCTTGCAGGCGATAGATGGCAAGTTGGGTGACTCCTAATACCAGGCGAGGAATCGGAACCTTGGTGGATGAGGTGACGTGGGTAATCCATGTATATCACTAGACATCGACATTTCTAAATCAACGGCTATTTGAATCCGACTGGCATGCATAACATCTCATCATATGCAATACAATTGAATGTAATCGTATTCAAGACCGACCCCACATCATCTAAAATCCAGGATCTGATGAAATCAGATTCGAAGGATGCTTAAGGGACGAGTAGGCTGTGGGACCGTACCTAGTCGGAACTACCTTAGCTAGTGCTAGCAGGAAATCAAGTTCCTGGATAATTACCCCGCCTACGATTGATTTTACGAACAGTCATCTCTCGTAGAAACATTAATTGATCCCCAAATCCTGTCAATTGGAGCAGAAAGAGATACAGTTCCCCTAGTAGACACGATGGTATCCTTCATCCCTTCCATCGATCTGACTAAGTACGCAACCACAATTCAAGGCTTGACACCGAAAGAACTTAGTTACATTGGAGTCGTGCATGCGCAAGTGGAGACAGCCACCCTCGACAGTGCTTTCGCATACCTCTACGAAACACTAAAACTATACCAGACCTACTTCGATGTTTCTAAGCTCGACTTGATTGATGACATCGTTTCCCTCCTTGACTCCGGCGCATCAAAAGTGTTCGTCAGCAGTTTACAATTAGAGCGCTTGAAGGCCATCGAGAATTTGGACTTCGATCGTGTCGTACTTGCCATCTCTGGCGAAAGAAGAGACGAGATCATCGATACAATATCAGGCACCAGTGTGGGAGTATATTTCCACGCAGTAAAAGACGCAGAGATCGTGGAGGCTTGGCTGAAAGAATACGGTACGGATCGACCTGACGTCTATGTGTCGTTCGCGCAGCCATCTTCTGAGCATCTCTTGAAGGTAACGGCGCTTTCTGCCATTTCTATCACCCCAGCAACCCTCCTCACAGTCGACACTGAGGCCAATCCAACCCTGATAAGCGTCGCGACTTTACTCCTTGCGAACGCGAAGAGTGACCGACCGGATGGCTTATTCACAACTCTGGTCACCGACGAGAGAGGAATTGCACTTGGACTAGTATACAGTAATGCAAAGAGTGTGGCTGAAAGTCTCCGGACGGGCCGAGGTGTATACTGTAGCCGCAAAAGAGGTCTTTGGTACAAGGGCGAAAGTAGCGGTGATATCCAGGAGCTTGTGCGAGTTGAGCTGGATTGTGACCAAGACTGCCTATGCTACGTTGTACGACAGAAAGGCCGAGGCTTTTGCCATCTGGCAACTCCTACCTGCTTTGGTGCATATAGAGGTCTATCAAAATTGCAACGAACACTGCAGAGCCGTAAAGAGTCTGCGCCGGAAGGATCATACACTTCGCGGCTGTTCAATGATCCCGAGCTATTGAACGCAAAAATCATGGAGGAAGCAAACGAGCTTTGCGAGGCGAAGACAACTTCAGAAGTTGCATTTGAAGCAGCTGATGTTATGTACTTTGCTCTCACAAAATGTGTCGCCGCTGGTGTATCACTTGAAGACGTTGAACGGAATCTCGACCTGAAAAGCTTCAAGGTAAAACGAAGAAAAGGCGATGCTAAAGGACCATGGGCGCAGAAACTCGATTCCCAGAACGGCGCATCACAGGAGCCTGAAGAGAAAGAGATATTGAAGGAGGCTGCATCCGTGCCGAAGGGTGTTCATGATCCAGCAGGACTTCAAAACGGCAGAATACAAATGCGACGCTTCACAACGGCAACAGATTCTCTCGAAACCATCTCAGATGTTCTAAAAAGACCTTCGCAACGTTCTACAGAGAAAATCATGGGAATTGTCAAACCTATCATTGAAAATGTACGAACAAGAGGAGATGTCGCGGTTTTGGATTACACGCACAAATTCGAGAAAGCGACATCACTCACGAGTCCAGTCTTAAAAGCGCCGTTTCCTGCATCCTTGATGCGACTACCTCCTGAAACGATCGAGGCGATTGACATATCCTTCGAGAACATTCGTCGCTTCCATGCTGCGCAGAAGGAAGAGAAACCGCTGATAGTCGAGACTATGCCCGGCGTAGTCTGTTCTCGGTTTTCAAGACCAATAGAAGGCGTAGGTCTGTACGTCCCTGGAGGCACTGCCGTGCTCCCATCCACAGCCCTGATGCTTGGTGTCCCTGCTATGGTTGCAGGGTGCAAACGTATTGTACTCGCTTCACCACCTCGTTCCGATGGATCTATCACACCCGAAATTGTATATGCAGCGCACAAGGTTGGCGCCGAGAGCATCGTCCTTGCCGGCGGTGCTCAAGCAGTCGCTGCAATGGCGTACGGGACGGAGAGCATCAGCAAAGTGGACAAGATACTAGGACCAGGTAACCAATTTGTGACAGCCGCCAAGATGCTCGTATCGAACGACACGTCGGCCGGAGTCAGCATTGACATGCCTGCTGGCCCAAGTGAAGTTCTTGTCGTGGCTGACTCGACGGCCGATCCATCGTTCGTGGCATCGGATTTGCTGAGTCAGGCCGAGCATGGTGTAGACTCTCAAGTCATCTTGATTGCTGTGAATCTGGCAGAAAAGGAGCTCCAAGCCATCGAGGATGAGCTTCATACCCAAGCGAATGCTCTACCTCGCGTTGACATCGTACGTGGAGCTATCAGTCACTCTGTGACCCTTGTAGTCAAGGACATTAGAGAAGCAATGGTCATGAGCAATCAATATGCGCCTGAACACTTAATCTTACAAGTCAAGGATGCTGAGCAAGTAGTTGATTTGGTAGAGAATGCTGGTAGTGTCTTTGTCGGACCCTGGACCCCTGAAAGTGTTGGTGATTACTCTGCTGGTGTAAATCACTCTCTTCGTAAGTGAATGGAAGATGAGGGACAAGTGTCCTTTGCTGACCAGAGAATAGCAACTTATGGGTATGCCAAGCAGTACTCAGGAGTCAATCTAGGGTCATATGTTAAACATATCACTAGCGCCAACCTCACCAAAGAAGGTCTGCAGAATGTGGGCCCTGCAGTGATGCAATTAGCGAAGGTTGAGGAACTGGAGGCTCACAGAAGAGCTGTTTCTATCCGTCTGGGATTGTAAGTGTATCATGTTCAATGTTGTGCATATTTTACGTTGCCCTCGTAGCCACATAATCGGTTTTGGTATATACACACTATAGAGTTATTTGATTTCGCCATAGAACATATATGTAAGTTCAGGAGCAACAAAATTATAGTTTATGAACTCATTAAGTCTACTACCGACGACATATGTACTCTACGTTCATCCGGAAGCCACATATCATCTGGCTGGTTGTACTCCTGCGTCTGGCGCACAGTGTCACATAGCCGCAAATCATTCTTAATTCATTTCACGATCTGCCTTTGCCACTGGACTATTTCCTGGCCAGGGCACGAAAATCATAAAGAGAATCGTTCATTATTAGATTACCATGGCTGCAATCACCAAAATGCCAGCAAAAGCCCCCCGGCCAATGCCTAAGTTCGTGCTTGCGACTTATCAACAAGATGCAGCTGTTGATTGTGTATTTGAGCTTTGGATGCTCTGGTACATAAATGCGACACTTTCCTGTCGGATCTTTATCCATCTATCTGATACACGGCAGAGGTTGATATGAAATGCCTGCTCCCAATCCAACCATTTTAAATTTCGGGCCCCACTTTATTTTCAAACTTCAAAGAATCCTGTCTCCGCGATCTGAAGGTTCAACATGCACAATTGCACCAGCACACTACAACATGTCTAAGAAAAGCACTGGAATCGCCAGTGGTACTGCTGGAGACTTTGCGATACTGCCACTGACGATACTGCCTCATCCCGCATTTCCAAAGTCCGCAACACATTACCTCTACGTCCGCCCAAATGCGCCTCGAAACCCCACCCCGGAAGAGGAGCAACTCCAGAAACGGCAGCTTTTCTTGGCCAATATACCAATAGATTCTGGCCTAACGTCGATCAGGACCCTTTTCAAGACACTGGTAGGAGAGGCGGGACGGGTCGCGGATGTCTCGTTCGGAAATGATAGAAAGATGGTGCGGGAAAGTGAAATGGCAGATGATAATGGCGAGGCTGTAAGAGGGGGGACAAAGGTCAAAAGAAGTATTGCTGAGCTCAAAGTAATGCTGGAACAGGACGCGGATTTGCCACAAGTATGGGACACGCAAGTCCACACCAGTGGAAGCTCGGCTGTAGTACTCTTTGTGGACTCAAAAAGTGCGGATATAGCTATGAAAGCCATTAAGAAAAGAGCCAAGAAAGGGGAAGAGATTTTATGGCAAGGCGAAGATCTATCAAAGCGTAAGTCTCAGCTTATGTGCGACGAGAATACTGCTGACACTACCACAGGCTACAAAGCACACCATGCACTGAAATTCCCGAATCCCGATGTTCTGACTGCGCACATTAACTCTTACCTCACTACATTCAACACTCTGCAAACCTTAAAGGAGAGAAATATGCGGAAGCTCAGTGCGCCTGATGAGGATGGTTTCATAACAGTGACTCGGCAAGGCTCACGTGCTGCACCTGTAAGCCTTGCGGCTGCAGAAGCAGCCAAAGCCAGAGAGGATGAGCGCAAGAAGAAGGCTGCGGAGGAACTGACGAACTTCTACCGCTTCCAAGGTCGCGAGAAGAGGAAGGCGAGAGAAATGGAGCTGAAGAGGAAGTTCGAAGAAGATAGAAAAAAGGTGGAGGGCATGAGGCAAAAAAGAATGAAGACATCTTGACTTATTCATTCGCACGGGCATTTGTGTCATGACATCTATGGTCTTGCTACTCGGGAGGAGTGTACACCCAACCTGATGGGTCGAGAACAACGCTGAAATCGACACCCCCGAAAACACCGACCACAGGGAAGAGATCACACTCGCCTTTCAGACCGACTGCGCCTTCGGCACTTTTTGAGTCTAATTCTGCGTTCCCGTCCCATCCCCCCGTCTTCACACCATCTCTCGTGAAGAAGACCTCGATATCTAGCGGATTTTGACTTCCTCCCTCGTACGTAGGTGGTTTTCGAGGCAAAGAAAACGTCATACCTATCCCAACAACCTGGGCATCGTAGAACGGCGTAGTAAAATCGGACCCTCCTTCATCGTTGTTGATGTACTGATGCCCGTCGTCAGAGTGGACCGCTAGACTCCCACGATGCCACCCTGGCAGCCGGAATGGCGGATACGGCGGCGCGCAGTAACCTATGGCTATCCCGGAGTCCGTGTTCTGCACCATGTTAGATGGACCAGAGGATGAGACCTCTTTCTGTTTGTTAGACGAGCGCGAAAACAGTCTCGAAAAATTCTTGATTCCGTGCTTTTCGCTCTTCGTCACTTCATGCTGTGGTCCAGAATACTGGTTCGATTGTCCGTCACGACCTAGCACCAAGGGACGTATCTCGAAATATATTGTTTTGCTTCTTCCCGTCACTGATGGGCTATCATGCAACGCCGAATAGGCTGGCAGGTGCGTCAATAGGATCGAATCTGCACAGCTGGCATGTGTTCTGCAGCTATATGTGCCTGGTCTACCGTTTTCGAGGACGTCTCCGAGATATGGATTTTGTTTGATGAGTCGCAGAGATCCTGCTTGAACTTCTTCGCGCTGCTCTGCGGTTAAAGGTCGTGGTGCCCATAATCGATTCTTTAAACACCATTGTGCTCCGCGATAAGCGTCTCCTGGAGAAGCATTTGCAGCTGGTGAGACTTCATATGATAGCGATGGCGGAGGTGGAAGCTCCGAGGTATCAGGAATGATGGTCCAATTGTGAGGATATGGAGGTGATTGCGTCTCGTATGCTGGAAGTTTCTGGCTCGGTGGTGGTCCTGGAGGAGGTTGATAGCTCTGTTGACCTGGTGGAGGACCAGGCGGTGGATGGAAGCTGGACATTTCAGGATTGTATACTCGTTACTACTTGGCGACTGCTTCGATATGCAATATTTTCTTGATTTGGATGTATTGTGAAGCTACTAGCTAGATACAGTACGAGGGAAGTTGAGGTACAAGAGTATGGATATTATAACTGCAAGCTGGCTAGAGTAACAACGTGCATCAGATGCTCACTCAAAAAAAACATCCCCGCTAGCGCATGTCATGTGCTCGTTGAAGACGCAGGTAATTGTGATAATGAGTGAAGGTGAATGAATTTTGAAAGAAACATGTTTTGTTCCACCCCGCAGAGCCCGTGCGGCTGTGCTCCCTGCGCCACCCGCTCAGAAACGTGCGGCTCGAGGCGTGGCGTGCGCGTGCATCGCGGCCCCAAGCACAACTAAAATGTGCTGAGGAAGTCTATGACATGTCGTCTGCTCTGCATATAATGTCTGACCTACACCCTACGGCGCTGCTCATCACGCCGTCAACGTTCCCTCGAGCAGCGAAGAAATGACTGACACGCCTGCTGCGCAGCTCCAAGGCGACCTCCGCGCCTCGATAGCACAATCACTCGAGGCACAACGACCCCTATTGCATCACCTCAACGCCGATTCGTCCTGGCTACTGCAGATTCCACGGCCAAAGGGTGGACGGAAGAGTGGGAATTTCAGGAAATTCTATAATGTCCTGATTGATCCGTGGTTAGCGGGTGGTCAGAGTGATGTGGCGAGCTGGTTCAGCCAGCAGTTTCATGCGACTGAGAGCAAGGTCGGGAGCATAGAAGAGGTGGAGCAATTGATACGTCGTGTTGAAGGTGGAGGTGGTGAAGAAGAGGGTCTTAGGGTCTCGTCTGAGCCAGGACCTAGCCAGATTGATGTCGTGGCTATCAGTCATGAATTCACAGATCATTGTCATAAGGAAACGCTCATGCAAGTACACCCCGACGTAGCAGTATTTGCGAACGATGTGAGTTCAGACAATCATACGCAGACCTATGTAATCAGAACTGACTGACGCGCCAAAAGCGTGCGGTATCGGTTATTCAAGGCTTCAAACACTTCCGCACCATAGTGCCCATCCCCGCCTTCCAGCCCGACGGTGATACAGACTGGCGCATAACCTCTCTTCCTCCTCTGCCGGACTGGGTCTCCATCACACGCCTCATCAATCCTGCCGATGCACTCTACTACCATGCCGCGCTCATGATCACATTCCCATCCTCGCAGTCCCAGAAACCTGCCGACTCGCCAATATCCTCACCTGTCGACATGCCCGCGGAAGCGATCATATACACACCGCACGGCATATCCGCGTCCGCGATCCCAGACCTGCGCTCTTTGTCGCCTCCGATCCATACGCTCGCGCTCTTACACGGACTACACGCCATCACGCTCACGAAGCAGAAGCTGAATCTAGGTGCTCACAACGGGTTGCAGGCGCAAAGGAAGCTGCAATCGCGATATTGGATTGGTACACATGACGAAATCAAAAGAGGCGGTGGGATCGTGGCGAGGTTTCTGAGACGGAAAGTGATTACGCTGCAGGAGGCGGTGGAGCAGGAGAAGCAAGGGATGAAGGAGGAGGAGCGAAGGCAGTGGGCAGATGTTGGGTTCTTGGAGGTGGAGAATGGTGAGAGTGTGTTGCTGAGATGACGGGGACGTAGAGATATAGATGTGCATAATACAAGTATCAGTAGCAAGCTGAAGGAGCATAATTCGTGATTGACTGCTCATGTTGTATTACTATGCACGCGTGCGGCGCAGTAATACCCAGATCTTCACTGTGTACTGTAGCTAGCTGTGCAAACGGGAAGATCCGTTGGGTGGGTGCAGGCTCGGCGTATACGCAGCGTTGGGATGGCAGTCCCGCGTATATCTCAGCATACCAGCGCACAAGAGGGCACTTGGAAAGCCAGGCAGGTATAGACGACGAGATCAACAACCCATATCCACCCACCCATCTTCCCCGCCGATTTAAGCGACTTTCAGCGGGCACAAGGCGGCGACGGCGGGTGGTGCTTTGATGCTTTAGAGTACATTGGTGCTTTGGTGCCTTTGGTGCCTGTGCTAAGGTGTGCTAAGCGTGCTAAAAGTGTCTGTGGAGTCGACGGGAGGGCTAAAATAGGCTGAGAGACCGTCGCAGATCAATCAGTTCTCACACTCTCAGCCTCACTTCTGGCAATATCATTCGCTATTTGCTATCGTGGTCGACTGTGCTGGAGATGATCGGTGGAGATGGAGATTTGCAGACAGTAACTAGGTTGGAAGGTGGAGTGGCGCACGATGTGATTGATGATCAACACAACGGCGGCAGAGTTTGTTCTTGTCGATTTAGTGCTGATGGCTGTACCTAGCTAGCTAATTAGCCACCCTGGATGAGCGTCGTAAGCATTACAGTACCTTTGAAGAGGACTATTATGGTACCTACATAGCTATCGTTCATGTAAGATACAGATACCTACCTGGTAATTAGGTAGTAACTATGAACCAACCTAACTAAGCAGTGGGGGATATGTGGACTCATCTCCATCTGATCCTTGAAGGCCCCCCATATCATCCGCGACTCTCCGCTTGGTGCATTTCCACACCAGCATCCAAACAATCCCAAACAATTCGCTGGTCGCGCCATGACCATACTATACACCTTGTATATCATCCAATTGTGTTATTGTGCGTCCCGTCTGCCCCATGCTATGTCTCATATCCCTGCCTGCCTGCTTGCTTACCTCCACCTCCACTACGAGTTATGTATGCTCCGTGGCTTGTATACTTTGTATCGGGCGCATGGCAATCTTTCTCGCGTGGGCTGATAGGCAAATAACAGCAGGATACCGGTAGCAAAAGCCATCTAATCAAAAACCGCGTAGCTATCCTCGGACCAAACTCCTCGAGGACGACGCCAATAAAGTGACAGCGGAACGTGTTCAAGTGCAGCCTTTCTTCTGCAGGGAAACCCTCACACTTAACCCGAGACGGCCTGGCTAATAAGCCTATTCGTGTTCTAGACTGTTGTTTTTTGCGCTGATTTCTATTCCCTTTTTCCAGTCTCGACCTTCCCGCAACGCTAATCTCTCCCATCAGCCCGCTATGTGAACTTGGTTCACTACAGCTTCCCAGCTTCCAGCTACCACTCAACCTCCACTCCACGTCTATTCGTGCTTCCACGTCCTTTACCTTTTCTTTCAGCTTCATGCACCTTGTCCAGTCCATGGAAGGTGGTCTCTTGTAACTTGCATCTCTACACATCCATTCCCGTGATTACCTCTCCTTGCCACTCCTTCTGGGCTGACTGTCTTCCCAATCGAAGCTACTGGCCCTGCCAGCCCATCCGGGCTCACCACCCCGAACCATAGCAACAGCAACCATAGCATTGCTTCTTGCATTTTACTTCGTTTTGTTGGCCTCTGAGTGGGACATGTCCTCGAAATCTGGCCAATATGCGCATTCCTATAAGGGAGCAGCTGGGTCTGCTTGTGATACTGGCAGCTCTGATCGCTTTGGCTGTTGTAGCTTCAGCAACATGGGTGCGTACAACTTCACTCGAGACCCAACGTGGATTGCAGATTGTACTGACCTCTGCACAGATCACGACGCGTAACTTCGTGCTCGAATTACGGTGTGTTTGAAATGACCGTCTTTCACAAGAAAGTATCCGCTGACTCTTACACGCAGAGCTACTCGGCTGTCTCTTACGGCCTCTCTCAAGGCTGCGCAACTGACCTCGAATCTTGCTCTTATGCAATCACAAGTTCGCTCTGCTGCTAGTCGACTTGTCATTCAGAGCGCACTACAGCGATACAACAATGGCAACAACACTGTGGAGAATTGGACTCGTACGAGAGACGACTTAGCTGCAGTCTTTCAAGGTGGAGGCCAGAGTGGACTTTTACTACAGGCTCGAATATTCGCGAAGAACTCAACAGGTCCCGCCGGCTCAAACACGACTCTTGTTGAAGCTACCGGAGTCGACGTGGTGGATACTGTGCAACTACCCGGCCTGAACGCAGACGGCAGCTCCATATATCTCGGCTCTAATGGCAGTTCTGGCTATCCGTCGAATCTCTATCCCAATCTCACTTACCGGAATGACGGGGAGAATGCCAACACAGGCGAGTTTGTGACAGTGGATGGCACGCCTATGGATTCGACAGATACTCTTTTGCTGGGACCATGGCAACTCAATGAGACCGTCTCTTTGCTTTCAATCACACTTCCTATCATCAATAATACATCCGCTTCTGACATGCTCGGTTGGCTTACTGTCGTATTGGATGGCAGGCTGATTGGAGACGTCGTCGCTGCTAGGGAAGGGCTCGGAGACTCTGGAGTAACACTTCTTATTGGACCTAACACGCAGACCAACAGGTTTCCCAGTGGTATCTTATCAGATAGCAACAATGGCAATCCACCAGATAATGTGGAGGTTGTGTACAAGCTCGCACCGACAAGGCGTCAAGATGTTGGCGCTCGACACACTGCTCGCGATTATGGCAGCTCCAGAATGCCCTTCAGCCTAGACAGTTTTCCTGCAGCCAAAATTGGATTTACCAGCAACCTAACAACTCTGGATAACGCCAACAACGCTGGCAGCGCGATATCTACTCGTAATGAGGAAGGCTTGAAAGTGTCTGTAGGCTACGCTACACCCAGCACATCCCTTGTGGACTGGCTTCTTGTGGTAGAGCAATCACGAGCTGAAGTTTGGGAACCTATAAACCGCCTCCGAACTGTCCTCCTAGCCTGCATATTTGCCACACTAGGCGCTATGCTTTTATTCGCTGTCCCGGCGGCCCACTACGCTAGTCGACCGATACGACGGCTCAGAGATGCTACCAAGCAAACAGTCACACCTCCTGGATATGGCCCCTCGAGTCCCGCGAGTAGTCCATCATTCCTTGATGACGACGTGAGCCCAGGGCATGTTGCAAAAGAAGGCTTCTTCGCAGCTTGGAAGAGATTTTCTATCAGAAGAGACGCGGACACGGATGGTCAGCAGGATGAAGGGAGACGAACTTTTCGCATTCCCGGAAAAGTGAAAGACCGGAAACACTACATCAATGATGAGCTCACAGACTTGACAAGGACCTACAATGAGATGTCAGACGAGCTAATGATGCAATATGAAAGGCTTGAGGAGAGAGTCGCTCAGCGTACAGCTGAGCTGGAATTAAGTAAAAAGGCGGCCGAGGCAGCGAACGAAAGCAAGACGCTATTCATCGCGAACATTTCGCATGAACTCAAGACTCCATTGAATGGGATCATGGGTATGTGCGCTGTGTGTATGTCGGAGGAGGATCCAATCAAGCTTAAAAGATCCCTCGGGATTATTTACAAAAGTGGTGACTTGTTGCTGAATCTCCTTACTGATCTGTTGACTTTCAGGTAAGTCTTTCAAAACCGTTGGGCGCATTCGAACTTGTGATCTAACATTTCTTCACAGCAAGAATCAGGTCGGTCAGCAATTAGCGCTCGATGAGAAGGAGTTTAGGCTTCGCGATATCAGCACCCAGGTGCTGGCCATCTTCGAGCGCCAGGCGAAAGAGAACCATATAGATCTATCGATCAACCTGGAAGGACCCCTCGAGGCAAATACGGACCATACGGGCATCGTTAACGAAAAGCTTTCATACGGTCCTTTTGGTCTCGGCAAGGTGAAAGACATGGTCTTGTACGGTGATCAGCATCGCATCCTGCAAGTATTGATCAATTTGGTGTCTAACAGCCTGAAATTCACACCCAAACACGGGAAGGTCATAGCAACGATACGGTGTGTCGGCGAAAGTAACATACCCATTAGTCGACACGAGTCGGTCCACTCTCGCCTAAGATCAGCGAAATCCAAGGTCCCATCTTCGGCAAATTCATCTACAGGAACATCTCGGCTGGTCAACACTGCAACTGCAAACGAGATAAACGCATTGCAGAAGCCATCAGTATATGCGCAAATTCTAGCAAGCGAGCTGAATGCACCACCACCTGCTGGTCGTGTGCTTGAATTTCAGTTCGAAGTGACGGATACCGGACCTGGGATTCCGGAACATCTACACCAGCGGATTTTCGAGCCTTTTGTGCAAGGTGACCTTGGCCTAAGCAAGAAACATGGAGGCACGGGTCTAGGTCTGAGTATCTGTTCGCAGCTAGCAGGGCTTATGAGGGGCCATGTTGATGTGTCCAGTACCCTCGGTCAGGGCAGCAAGTTTACCATGACGATACCACTGAGACACCTTACCAGTGGTGCCGACAGCACGTCTGGCTCAAGTATCGTGTCTTTCGTACCTCCTCGAACAAGAAGTCTTGACCGTGGCCCCGATACGAGCACCGACAACGACGATGCGAGTTCCATGCGGTCGTTCGCATCAGCACCAAGTCCATCGAACGGTCCCGTAGCTTTCGATACGGATACGCAGCCACGACTCGTGGGCCTAAGTCAACCTTTCTTTGCGTCCAATGTGCCACTAGAATCGCCAGATTCGCAACCAGCAGCCATGGAACGCGTAAAGGCTGAAGCCTCTCATCGAATGGCCAAGGTCAAAGTCCTTGTGGCTGAGGACAACAAAACCAACCAGGAAGTGGTACTAAGGATGCTGAAGCTCGAAGAGATCTACGATGTTACAGTGGCCAAAGACGGCCAAGAGGCTCTAGATCGAGTGAAGGAAAGTATGGAGGACCACAAACCGTACAGCTTGATCTTCATGGATGTGCAGATGCCGAACCTCGACGGCTTAGAGTCCACACGTCTCATCCGTAAGACTGGCTATACAGCACCAATTGTTGCTCTCACTGCCTACTCGGAAGAGTCCAATGTCAAAGAATGCATCGCGTCAGGCATGGACTACTTCCTTTCGAAGCCCATCCGGAGGCCACAGCTAAAACAAGTCTTGAAGACGTACTGTCCCACAATTCAGGAAGAGGACGAAGAGCGATCGATGTCATCAAGCTCAGCAAAAGTCGATTCGCCCGCGGAGGAACGCGGCCGTGGAAGCTCGTCTCCACCAAAGCCTGTCCTCGGATCTGTAGATTTTGGGGCCACGAATAGTACCAACACTCGAGATGGACCGATCACACATCCCTCACGAGAGCCCTCTCCAAAAGCATCCTGAACACTCGCATCCAGTCTGGTACAGCTTCTGTCTCTGGCTGACGGTTTTACCCTGCGCAGGTCGACCTCCCTGCACATGTCATGATCATTTCCTTGTACGGATAGCGTATTTTTGGGGCCAAGGGACTGGGAGACATTTGTCTCATATTTCCATGTAAGTATTGACCAGCATAGTAAGGTGTGTGGCGTTTTAGGGTTGGTCTCCTGGACGACTTAAACAAATAAGGGACGACCGGCTCGCTGTATACAATCAGGGCAAAAAATTGGGGAAAAGTGAATATTCTGAAAAAAAAAAGGGCTCAACGACAGGTGTGTCGAGCGATCCTGTCTCTCGTAGTTCGATGACGACGATTGTATATCTCTATAAAATCAGCATAATAGTTAATGACACGCTCTACTAGCTCGATTGATCTCTTGAACTAAACCTCGACAACAGTACTCCAGATGTCTTTTAATAGAAAGGCTTGTGTATGAGCATTCACCTGTTGACATCTAGTTTCCTCGGTCTGGTGGATCAGGTGTTCACGCTGCATTGAGGGTATGCTATGATATGCACTTTAATGGTTATGCAGGACCGGTATGCGTGATGTCTGTAGTGCGCTTTTGACACTTGTAGGTTTTGTTCATTTATATGTCTTGGGTGTGGTGATTGTGGGTGGGGTACAAAGTATTATAAGAATATATTGGATTGAATGTGTGTGTGCGTGTGTGTGTGTATATATAACCTCCAGTTCCCGCTTACACTCCACTACACCACCAACCTATATACACAATCTGCACATCTAACAAACATGCAACACCATTAAATTACACGTATAGTAAGGCATAATTCTCCTTCTCTCTTTTCTCTCTCTCTCTCTCTCTCTCTCTCTCCAAGAGACCCCTAAAAGCACGTCCGTCCCCGCGTTCCCTCTCATAATCTCCGGTCGTCTGGATCGGAGAGATATCAGGTTTTGTATAGAATGGCAGGCAAGCCCCCTTTGCCTCGTTCGAACTGTTTTTCTCTTTTGAATTGAATTGAATGAGTGCATGCGTACTTATCTCACTTGATGGTCTCTTTCTTTTTTTTTTTTTTCGCTCTTCAATCGTGAGTCTGGACGGACTTGACAAATTTCTTCGAGTGCTCACGACACGCATACTTCTACTTACCCACCCATCCATCCATTCACACAAAACCCCAACAAGAGCGAGAGAAGTAGGAAGAGAACAGAAGAAAGAAGAAAGAAGGAAGAAGAAATAAAGGAAAATGCCCTTCTCCCCCCTCCGACCACTCTCCTTCCTCTTCTCCTTTTCCCTCCTCCTCTTCCTCCTCCTCCTCACAACAACGACAACCGCCTCCGCGCTCGTCCGCCGCGAGTACGACGCCTGCACCGGCCACTACAACACAGCCCAATGCTGCGCCACCGACGTCCAGGGCGTCGCAGATCTGGACTGCGCCAATCCGGCCGCCGTGCCTGTGAGCGCGGATGACTTCGTCGCTGTGTGTGCGGGTGTGGGACAGAGGGCGAGGTGTTGTGTTGCGCCTGTTGTGAGTACTTCTTTTTTTACCCCCTTTCTTGGTTCGCTTTGGGGTCTTGGGGATTGTTGGGGATGATGATGGGCAAGGGGAGAGAGAGTTTGTATGTGGTGTGTGATAGAGAGAGATAGGGGCTGACGTTTTGGTGTTGCTTTGTGTAGCTGGGGCAGGATGTGCTTTGTCAGACGCCGGCTGGGGTTAGGAGGTAGGATTTCGGATTGTGGAGGGGGAGTGCTCTGGGAGTGGTGGTGAGATGGTTGGGTTGTGAGGGAGTGGGTTTTGGGGGAGGGGATGTAATGGTGTGGTTTTGTGAGCTGGATCATCTGGGTTGGGATATGAGGTGAATGGGCTGGATAGAGGTGTGCATTTTGCGTGCAAAGGAGGGTGTTATTGATGGTGTATGAAGAGAGAGGAGAGAGGAAGGCTATGGGGAATGTACATATATATCAGCGGTACTTAGCTACTGGGAATGCATACATGAGTGCATGGTTTTCTGATAATAGTCCTGTTGCTCTCATATCATTATCATTAAGTCTATGTCTAGATATCTATACATCATCAAGAAGAACGCTACGTTCTATGCACCTTTCCCATATACCAACTCTCTTTTCTATCATGTGACCTCTCTCATCATAATCATCATCATCATCACCACCACACGAACATCACAGACAAACCACACGCCAGACTTCCCAGTCCTCCATTCCACCCGCTCCCGATCAAACGACCAGCCGCGCCTGTCGGCCTCGCCCCATCTCCATCTCCATCCCCGTCCCCAGACCCCGTCGTCCGCGCCGCTCCGCCCGTCTCAGCCACCGTCCGCGCCCCCGTCCTCGTCTCATCCCCAAAACTCGACTGAACCGTCGTCGTCGTAATATGCATCTCCGCCACACTCCCCGCCGCAGCCGCCGCAGCCCCAAACACACTCATCATCAACTGCGTCATCTCGTCCCACGCGCTCGGCACAGGCGCATGCACAGGCACAACCCGCGTCGCCGTCGCATCCGAGACTACAAGCCCCCGGCTCGGATCCCAGACTATTGTCTCTGAGCCGAGGACAGTGCTGAACGTGTGGGATGCGTCGAGGGTGATTGTTTGGCTGCCGAGGGTTAGGACGGAGGGCGTTGCGGGGTCGAGGATGAGCGGTGTGCCGTCGGGGAGTGTGAGGAATGTTGTTGGGCTGGAAGTAGGGGGTGTTGGGGCGGGGAGGAGGAGCGTGGATGTTGTGCCGTCGTGGGCGACGACGAGGCCTGTGGATGGCGCGAAGAGGAGTGTTGTTCCGTCGATGATGGTCGAGCTTCCTGGGGAGAGCGGGACGCCGTCGTCGTTGTCGTTGTTGTTGTTGTTATTGGCCCTGGAGGGCCCGATGATGATTGCGCTAGGGTCGTTGCCAGATGTTGGGTCTGGGTATGTGATGATGATAGGGGTGTTGTTGATGGATGTGAGTGTCACGGGCGCTGGACCTGCGTTGTTGTCTGGGTTGAAGGTTGGAATGGCGATGGTCTGGACGGTGCTGCTGTCGCCGATGATGAGGTTGTTTCCTGGTCCGACCGAGATGGTTGTACCAGAGATAACGGTACCTGGGTCGCCTTCACTGAGGGTCTCGGATGGGTTGAGGATGATGGCGCCTGGGTTGGTGGGGTCGTTGTTGATTGTGCTGTCGCCGATTGTTATGATTGGGACAGGCGTGACCGCTGGAGGGTTTTGGGCCGGTGCGTCTGTTTTGCCTGGGTCGTTGTTTGGAGGCGCTGGGTTTGGGTTCTGCACTGGATCAGCACCGTCCGTTGGGTCCGAAGGGTCGTCCTGTGATGGATCTGCACCACTGCCTGGTCCGACCTTTGTTGGATTACTGCCTGGATCAGATGGCTTCGAGCCATTGACTGGCTCCGGGGTAGTAGGACTCGTGTTCTGTGCTAGCCGGGAGGGCGCCACGCCAGTCTGAGGCGGTGGAGATGCGGTGGGTTCAACAGAAGTTGGATCTGCGACGACTTGAGCGCTTCCAACAGCAGTCGGAGGATCACGTGAGCCGTCCCAGTCCAATTCACACTCCGCCCATGCAGGATCGATTGAACGGACTTGTCGCGGCACGGCTAGACGAGGACTGTATAACGACGGAATGATAGTATCGCAATCGTTCGTTCCCAGCCAGGGGTTACACTCTGGCATACACTGATATGCACTCTGCGGAACTGAGCCGACCAAGTCACCAAAATTGAACGGATAAGGCGTGACGCCGAGTGTTATTCTGACGGGCAGACTTCCAGTCGCAGTCGTCCATTGCCAACCACACATACTGGAAATATCACTTGAGGGTATTGCCACGATGGAGCCTTCGTGAGTAGCTCCGACTTGGCCCCCCTGGCAGGGTCTTCCAGCAGATATACTCCTGTACTTTACGTATGCACTATCTGACCAGAGGGTGATGGTCTCGTTAAGCACGACCGATTCATGCGGATGAGAGTAATGAGTAACGATTTCTGCCATACGAGATTAGCAAAATGTGGTAAAAAAAATTGTTCCAAGGGCTCATACTTCTATTGAAGAGAGGATCTGTAGTAGCACATAGATCCCTTGAAGTGGCCGGAGGAGCAAAATAGATCAATTCGACATCGTACGCAGCAATGGTGCACTTCGCTGTGTGCGAACAGGACGACGATTTGAAAGACAGTTCGTCGCTCCATGAACACTGCGGGACGGGTCGGAATGACAGCTGGTACATGGTGTCGTAGATTACCGTTCTCTCGCCACCGGGAGTGAGAAGCAGATCATCATAGTAGTTGAAGGCCTTGGACAGATTGTATGTGACGCCACTTGCGCCTACAAGTGGTGTATATACATCTCCGTGCACAGTAATGGCAGGTGCTGGAGTGATCAGAGGAAGCTCAGAGGTCTTGCCGTTGACGACAACAGCGCTTGGCGGGTTCGCGAGAGACACTATAGCTTGCTGTGATGCAGCAAAGGATGCGTCTTGTGAGTCCCAAGCCGATTGGTAGTCTGAGACTAACTGTGCACAGTCTGACGGATTAATCGTACATGTCGGCCTGGTGATTGCGAGGTGAGGGTAGGTCCAATTACCGATGTCAGTACTGAGAGTATATGTGGTCGTCGAGTACTTCGTAGTTGTAAGAGTGTAGTCCTCTGAGGTGGTGATGTTGAATCGTGGGTAGCCATCACATTGAGTCGGAAGGGCTCCAGTAGCAAACCACGTACCCCAGACGCCGGGTTTATCTGTTCTCACAGACACGGAAGTATAATATGACATTGTTGGACTCGGATTCCTCAGACTGGACTGGCGGACATATCCCAATTTAGCGGCGTTGCAACTTCGCGCGAAGTCTGTACCTAAGCACATGTTAGTCACATTGATATCGAGATAAGTCCAGCCAATCGTTACCAGATCCATTGACTGGCCCAGTATAGTTCTGTAGTAATGCATCCCAAGGTCCAAGCGTGGTCGAGGAGTTAGCAGATGTATTGAACATCCGATTAGATGGTATGGAGGCATTGCCCAGTGCTACTGATGATGTGATTGTAGGAAACGAGTTCGTGGAGGCTGCAGAGCTAATTGGTGGCGTGGAAAGTGAGGAGTTTGAGAATTTAGGGGGAGAAATTCCTGGGGTAGAAGCCGAACTAGATGCCGCTACAAGATTATTAGCATAAGGCTTGCTCTGGGTTTATGGTGTATTTTTGCAGACTGTACCTACCTCTGACGCCAACAAGTCCGCCAAACAACATCCAAGTCCCCTGGAAGAGCATCCTCGAGACTTGACTACTGGCCGGTAGATAGTAAAGCAAAAGTCCCAAGTTTCATCGTAAGCTTTGAGGAGGCGATCTGGACCTCGTATATGTACGCGCAGGGCATCAAGCACACTGGCAGCCCCATAACGGCGGATGCAGGCACCAGAGAATCTGACAGCGTCGAGATGTCGTTTAGCACCAGCATTAGAGTGGGTAAAGTGTAAGCGTGTGGAGCAGAGTATTTAGAAGAGTAAGCTCTAGTGTAAACATGCCGGGATAGACCCATGTCGACATGAAGAGGTTAATTTACAGGTCTGGGGCTGAGCTGCACCCATAGCCATGACCGGGTTGGTTCATGTACTACAAGCAGATTCCACAAAGAGTGATGGCCTTGTAAGTTGACTTCGTCAGAGTGGCTATGATGGTATCAAGACGAAGTTGGGATTCGGCTCGAGTAAATGGCTCTGCTCTCGTGTGAACAGTCATGGAAGTGGAATGCAAGACATATCTAGGAACCATCTGCCCCATTCGATCATCTTACGTGATACCTCAGCCAGCATTTTCGCCAACCCGTCAGTTATGGATACTGGATATGATCATGGAGCAGAAAGCAGAGATCAGAAGGCCATTGGATGATTTCGACAGGGAGCGGAGGGGGAAGACCTCGGCCGACGCCGTAATGGCCGCTTGTTGAGTGACGAGCGGGATGCGGGATCCGTCGTTTTCCTAGAACCTGACGAGCTTGGCACTCGCATGTCGCGCGATGTCTCCCCCACCCAAATTTACGTGAGACGGACATATTTTGGCATTTTATTATATACTCGTCGCCATATGAGGTTTTAATATACGTATACTATCGAATATTAGTTAATATACTTAGTGTTAAGTCTCCACGTATTTTTTTTACCTATATACCCTCTATGAGGTTAAAAAAACCCGCTCGAAGCGTTTAATTTACTATAGACGCGTCAACTAAACCTCCTCCTCCTCCTCCTCCTCCTCGTTAATATAAATCTACTACTAAATTAATAGAGGCAGCTACGGCGAGGGTAATAGCGAAGAAGTAGGCTTATAAACGTACTACGGCGTCGAAAAATCCACGGATTATCGATATTTCTACGCCTCCTAAGGCTATATCTCCTCCTTCTCCTCCTCCTCCTCCTCGTCGTTCCTCTACTCCTCCTCCTTCTACTCCTTCTACTCCTCTTGATTTATCTTCTCCTATGAATTAAGTAAATAGTAGTTAGAATAAGGTTATAGAGGTTAAGGAGGACGTGGAGGAGACATATAAGATACACGTGTCCTAGAGATTACGTGTTAATAGGAAGAACGAGGCGGCTAATAAACTTACTACTATTCCGCGATATACTTTTAAACGCGAGGTATATAAGGGTACTATTAATAAGATAATTAGTACGAAGCTTAATATAGATAACTAGACCTTCGAGACTTATTAGATTATATATAGTCTTAGTATAAGGAAGAAGTAGAGAAGGACACTTACTATTAATGACTGGTCGATTATTAGCTAGGAGAGACTCTATATAGTTATAGATGATATCTACTCGCTTGCTAGTACTAAGGATAAGGTTATTATAGTTACCTTTAAGGATAGCGTGAAGTGCGAGTCGTAGGCTAAGAAACCTTAGCTATCTTAGTAACGTATTCGTCATCACGACTCTTCTACGCTATTACTAAATATAGGGCTTCGAAGTTCGCTAAATATAGAGAATCTCTAAGGGCGTGCCCGAGTAATATATAATAAGGCTTAGTAGAGGAAGGATGCCGGTCTAAAACGGATCGAGATAATTAGCTTAATAGAGGTAATCTATCGCTATATAGACGTCGGTTATAGTAATAAGCAAGGCCACTACTTTATTATTCTATTCTTATTAGGACGTCTTTATTATAAGATTAAACACGCGTCGATAGAGCCGTAGGCATACGCTATTACTATCGGTATTACTAGCGCCTCTATTAAAGATCCTCCTATAGGTATAATAAAGTAACTTATATCTAAGCCCTATAAGAGAAAGTTAGTAAAGAAGCTAGATAATACTAGGTAAGTCGATATTACTACCCTCGTAGTAGAGTATAAAGCTAAGAAGCTAAAAGCAGCCCTTAATAACATCGATCGTTATAAATAGAATAAAATTAATAAGGCTAAGGAATAAGCTAAGCGTCGACGATTCGACTAGTAGATAAGGTAGACTTAGCTTTATTAGGCTAGATTTAATCCTATATTCGGAGCACGTATGCCTCTATATCCGATAACTATACCACCGCTATATATATTACCCTTACCGACTCGTGAGGTTAATAGTTAACGCCCTCGTAAGATTAATAGTTAACGCCCTCGTAAGGTTAATAGTTAACGCCCTCGTCTATCGACACTACTAGATTCGATAAATCCCGCCCCGTATAGTAGTCCTACTTAGCTAGAACTCTATTAGGCTAATATCGTTTAATTAGTACTTAAATGGCGACTAGTAAAGGAGACTTATACGAGGACGAAGGATAGAATTAGGTTACTCCGCGAGTACGCCGTTAAAAACTATTATTAGTATAGATAAGTCAAAGAGATTACTCGTCCTAGGACCGCTTATTACGAGACGGCGAAGTCGTATAGCGTCCTATTAAGTATTATCCTAGATGCTCGTCGCTATCTTCATGAGTATAAGGGTAGTCTTAAGGTAATAGAATAGGAGGAAGCAGCGAGGGCACTCTATAGGCTTGCCTCTAGCACTATCTAAGTTATTTAAGTAGAGATATCGCGGTTTTCCTATAGTACACGTGTATATATAATTAATTTCATCCTCTATATTACTATATTCAGCTATATACACGAGGGTAATATAACGTATACGCGAGGGCAACGTGATATTAGTCAGTAAATATTATCGTAAAAAGTCGACTAATATACCCAACTTCCTTAGTAAAACCTCTCTTCCTACCACGTCTAAATTACTTTAGATTATGGATAATACGTTCCCGTAGCGTTTCATTAATATACTAACTATTAGTAGTATATATAAAGAAGCGGAGAGTAAATTAATCGTAGCAGCTATCTATAAAGGCGCGGTATAAGAACTCCTTAAAGTTAACTAACTACTCACGTGTATATAGATACTACCTTTAAATCCACGCCTTTAGTACCGCCTATACCATCTTAATAGGGTTATAATTAGGCGAATAAGGCGGTATATATCGAAGTGTATAGCTAGCTATAGTAACCATAGGAGCGACGTCGTCGTTAGTGTGAAGAGAGAGATTATCTATTACAATAACCATCGCCTAATTAGGGTACTTTTCTTATAGGCTAGGGAATAGGTATACCTCTAGCTAGTCGATAAACTCTTCCTTATTAAAGTAACCCTTCTTAACTCTATAGGTAACGAATCTATTAATAGAGATAGCGCCACACGCGCTGTACGTCTAGCCATAATTAATACGAGTAGATTACGTAGGTATCTCTCCACGAGGAGCCCTACCTCGCCTTCTCTACCCTATTTTCTTATTAAAGATAACCTTATTAATAAATATAAGGCGCTTAGTAGGTAACTAGGTAATATCCTCACGATAGGAGCGACGTGTAACCTTAGAGCGGTTAGAACTAATACGCTTTAATAGCCGCTAAGTCTATCCTCGCTTTATTAACTACTTTAAGATAGTAGACGGTAAGGTTACTATCTTGAGCTCTTTATATAGCCATTTAGCCATCTTATTAAGGTATAGCTATCCCTCCTAGAGTAGGTATTCGAATAGTAGGCCTATAATATAATCGCTAAGGATAGTCTCACGACCACGCGTCTTTATAGATTAAGGCTTATTCCGCTAACTATAGGTATCTAGGTTATACCTCACGCGCTAGACTATTAATATAGATACTTAAGACTTCTCTATAGTAATAGTAGTTAGCACGTCGTGCTCGAGGAGGAAGTTAATTCGATGATAGGTACTCGCGTCGTACGCTCTACTAGGTAGGCCCACTATCTATATACGCAACTATAAGCCTAAAACACTAGAAATATATAAAATAAGGCCTATACTAACTCCTAGATGGCCTTAAAAACCTACCGAATACGTATATTCGGTAATTACGACGCGTGGGCGACGAGTATACGATAAAATGCCAAAATATATCCGTCTCACGTAAATTTGGGTGGGGGAGACATCGCGCGACATGCGAGTGCCAAGCTCGTCAGGTTCTAGGAAAACGACGGATTCGCCAGCGGGCGCTTAAGCTTAACTAACTCTCGCTCTCGCTCTGCACAGCCTCGTGTCGGAAGTTGCCTATATTTAGTCAGTCGTGCAGGTTTCTACAATATCCATCTCCATGCGGCCTTGCATCTAAGAGCCGCAGTGTATACTTGACAGTAGAATCGTCATTTTCGTCTTCAGAACGAGATCTTGTAGATTCTACTGGTCTTAGTCAGCTCTGCGAAGATTCACTGCACTAGTGGTGAGCATGTCGTTCCTTTCATCCTCGTCGGAGCATCTATATGCTATGAGATAGTGGAAGTACTAATCAACGGGCTCGCTCGGCGGGAAACTCGAATCATGTGTCTTTGAGGGTCCCACCAAAGTGTGGATGGACCACGATTACGGCCCGAATCGTCAGACATCGAGTCAGCCATTCAGAACAGAGTCTGGGCATGTCACATCCATCGTCCTGTGTTCGCTGAGAATGGATTAGTTTTGGATTGATAAATAAATGTAGCCTGTGTATAGGCTCCCTTCAATCCGTTTTAATGGCGCTACGTTCTGTCAGCACTGGCGATACTGGAGCTCCAAGCGAACGACTTACCTATATATTCTCCTCACAAATGCATAAGATGCCAGAAACCCCACTGTCCCAGTAAGAAGACTGTATAGGGCACACGCCAAAAAGCTGTAAGCAAAGAAAAGCACCCCTGACACAAAGCCAGAGACGTGCAACTTCGTCATGTAGTACCACCCGGAGTACAGGAATATCCATATTCCGCTGGAAGCTCCGACAAGAAAAGACTGCCACCACCAATGATAGTTCTGCTTTCAGATTAACGGTTTGAGAAGTGATGCCCTGGATCTCACATACCTCCGCATTCAGCTGAACATATGTCGCCACGATGCTGATTTCCATTACTGTAATCAAAAGGACGATCGACACTACTGTCAGAAAGCCAAACACATAGTAGTACCCGGTCTTATCTTGCCACAAACTCTTGAACACGTATAGCAACTCAATGAAGATGACACCAAACGGAATTATACCGGCGAGTAAGATGGTACGCGCACTCGCGATGTACCAATCCGCTTTGGGTAGCTGTCGAGGAATCGCATTAGTCTTAATCGGATGGTCCCACGCCCCAACATTGTTGTACCCATACCAACCTCCTACATATACCAGAGGAAGTTGGATGAGGAGCCATAGGCAGAGTATTACAATCAAGGATCCGAAAGGAATTGCTGTGCTCGAAGCTTGAGCCCAAGCGAAGAGGTTCAAGATAAAGACAATCAAGAACAGGAGACCTGGGAGTGCTAGTCCCGTCACCAGAACATTCTTCTTCCACTGCTTGCCGCCCAAAGTCTTGTAAATCCGCGCCGAATAGTATCCCGAGAACACGCCAGCGAAAACAAACAGGCCGATACCAAAGCTGACGTACCCTCCCCGGAAGCTAGGATTTAGGACGCCAAAGCAGCTCAAGGAAAGCAATCCGATTGTCATAAATATCAGCTGAGCACCGGAACCTACAAGCGGTGCGAGGATCCCGCCATAAGCCGGTGGACGGAAGACATCGCCGTGTACTAACTTCCAGCCAGTGGTGTCCTCGAGAATCTCTTCATCGGCCTGGTCTTCCACAGCCTCCAGGTCTAAGGGTTGGCCGAGGAGTCCTTTATCTACGCCGCCATGATTCGACTTACGCTTCCCTTCGATTCCGGCCTGTATGTCCCCACGGACGGTCCGCGCAACAATCACGGCAACGACTGCTGTCAACAGCCCCAGCACAACGAGCGAGTTGATGATTGCAAACCAATGAACTCTCGAGCTATCATCGGCGGCAAAATACATGTCCCATCGGTTTCCCCATTCCAAACTATGGTCTTCCCGGAAGTATACCGAGTACGAGAAAGGTATTGTCAAGGTCCGGTCATCAGGACCTTTCTGGTTCACTGGATCGGCTCCATTCATGACCAGTTCCATAGCCTTTCCAGTCCACATGACAGTTTCGTTACCCCTGACTTGTCCCGTCACGCTGGCATCCACGCTTTTTGGGTAGATCTCAAACCCCACTATAACTTTTTTGCCTGCGTCCCCGTCTCGTCCTGGTGCTTTCGTATACCGAAATACCATGGTGACATGGTTGTTGAGGAAGAATCTCGGCTCAGTCTCCTTGTTATCAACCCATCCCATCTTGAATCCTGATGCATAGTACGCTCTTGACTTATCCGTTGTTACAAAACGCGTCGCCCCCGGTAAGTTGTCCACAATCCATTCTGCAACGTAACCATCTCTTACTAATTCTATCGCTTTTTCGAGTGATGCCACGTCCACATCTCTCTTGCATAAAAGATTGAACTCATCATCCACGTTCATTCGCAAACGATAGTCTGAAAGGGATACCCTATCTCCTCGCAATATTTCTCCAAGATTCAACGATCGGGACTCTCCGCTGAGGGTGTGGCCACCACGTAATTCTTGCACAGGCGGGCAGATGAAAGGAAGTTCGGCATACGCATATTGAAGCTGGGTATTGTCTGAGTAGACTTTATTGACGAAAAGAGGAATGACTTCGCCGTCACCGTAGCTTTGGATCGTCCAGCCTATGGTCCTCGCGTGAGCACTGGCAATGAAGTGAAACACAGGAACATGCCATACCTGGGATGTAGAAGCTCTGGGTGAGAGTGGCAAAGCATAACAGCGATGCATAGAGCCGGGACTCCGTGCGCATCTTTACGCACAATTAGGCTAGATGTTCGTGCCCGATTCTTGTGTAGCCTGAAGATGAAAATGTGACATAGATCCGAATGTCGTGTAATCCAGTTTCGTAAAGACAATCAAGCAGCAGGCCCAGCTCTCCGGTGATTAGATTTAGACAACGTGCGCAAAAATGTGTCCATAGCTGAGGAAGTTCGTGATGATGCCTCCCTACCTACCCTGCAGCTGTCGCGCTGCATTTCGTGGCGCAGGTACTAACCTTAGCGTCCTTTAATCAGATCAATCCTATTTAGCTTAGAACAGCCACAGATCAAATAATACCTTCTCATAATTAATGCTTGGCCAGTACGATCCATCAAACTTCAATTTCATCGTCATGCGCACATGCTTGCTAGCTCGAATGCCATTCAAACGAAGAATCGAAATATCTATTCTCCTGTGTGCGTTGGATGTTGTGTTCTCTTATTGGCAGAAGGTGCAATAGATAGAGAGCTAAATCTCTGGGTCTCGCTCCGCATATCTGATATTGAGACTCAACGAATGCGTCCGTAGTCCGATTGTCATATTGCAGCGAACCTGATATGGCGCCAGCGCGAGACACTTCGAGGCATTCTTCCCTAGTCGTGACTTGCAAGATTATACGTAGCCCTAACCCGCCTCACATCCGGTCTTCCGTCCGGATCCATCACACTGCCACCTAAGATACTTTTTTTCTTCGTTACTATAGCAAACGAGCACGGCGACCAGGTTGATACAAGCGCCAGTTCCGAAAATATTCATCTCGCCGCGTGTGAATCCGTGTCAAGGTCTCAACAGCAGCCGCCTGACCGAGGCATTTAGACGGTTGTATGAACATGGAACTAGCAAAAGCAGATAATTGTCAAAGCAGAAGGGGATGACAATGAGTCTGTTCAAGAAGAAAACATAGATTGAGCTCTCTCGTCTAGTGATACTTGTTCATCGAAAGCTTTTTTTATCAGCATCAAAGATGAACACTAAGTGGCTATGTCTTCCGTGACATTCCATTTCCACGCTGCTGGATAGTCTCGGCGATGACAAGCTTAGGATCCGTGTCAGAACCGAGTAATAATATCTCGACTACCCATTGGTAGCGAAATTCTTTAGCGCTGTGTCAGAAAAAAACAATTCATGACCTCCTGTGAACACTCTAAAATTTCGAAAATTGACTTTTGGAACCATGCGACCTCAAAGCAGGCAACTGTCATTCTTTGCGCGCGACTCTAGAAAGGGATTGAGTACAAAGACATGCATTTCATTACTTCATACCAGCCTATCAATGACGAATGGAGAGTGACCAGAAACAGGTCTTTCTAGTATATGCATAGTGAGGAATTGAAAACATGGTATTACCTTCTTCGTTCTACAGATTACGGATCAAAGTCATCATTAGAAGCATCTTGTTATAAAGAAATGTCGTTGGCTAGAACGGAAGCGCAGATACCCGAGACGTGGTAGTAAATACTATTACTTATCTAGCGAAATATAAATATGATCTAGCTGATGGATTCCTATAGGTCATCTCTCAGAAACTGAGTTGATCAGTTCTATAGGGAGATATTTAATATGATAATACCTACCTCTCTCTACTCGTCTAAAGGCATAATTCTAAAGTACGAATGATCTTAAAAAAAATCTATGCCATCATATGATTTGTGTCCGAAAAGCTGGGTGCTACCCTCTCTATTGGTTCCATGGTAGGGGATAGAAAATATGAGATCAGAAGCCGCCTACAATATGCCTCGTAGGTTGAATTATTTGCTATCTATGCGTGAGTTTCCGAATACGGGTACGCGGCTCAGATGTGTGTCCGCCCTGATCCGTGAGTTAGGAATAGCATATGTTTCTGGTCCGGTCGCCTTATAAATAGAGGACCTCATCCACTCGTTATTCTTCCTCTTCTCCTTCCAGTACCTCCCATTCTTAACAAATCCTCTCCACCACTTATAACTCTTCACCACAATCGCACCTTACAATGCTCTTCTTACTCGGCCTCATTCTCGCGGCACCTCTCAGCAGCGCTTTGCCTCAGCAGATGGAATGTGGCCCAAAAGTTGTGCCAGATACCTCTGCCTGCGCGTTATCATCATCAGGTCAATACTATATATGCCATAACGAGGTTTATGATCCGACCTGCCTCGGCTTCAGCTTGTTGTCATGGCCGTGCGAACTTGAAGGAGAAAGCGGATGTTTCAAAGACTTCTCGCGAGACCATGAAGGGGTGATCCATTTCGAATGCAGGCGACGAACCTCGAAAGATTCGCCAGAACCAAGTTTCCAAGACCTTGAGGCTTATCCCTTCCGCTGCGATAAGATTCGCCAGTAGAACTATTGGTAAGTACATTCTTCGTTTCATGGCCTGAAGCTACTTTCTTAATCGCTGATTAGAACCACTATCACACACTCGCTCAGAGGGGTTAATATCGATTGGGACTAAGCTGGGGAGATCTATGGCATCATGGTGTATCTCGGGCTCGTATGGCTATCGGAAATCATAGATATAGTTGGAAGCATCATTGATAATGAAGTCACAGCAAGGTCGTATGGACCAAGTATGTTCACCAGTCTGGTTTCTGTTGTTCCTCTGCAGCTAGACGCATTATTCACCAGCATGTAATCAAAAACACATGGTCATTTCATACTGCTTCTGCCTCGCTCGTGAAGATGTACCGTGAAGTGTCTATGTACTTAGATCAGTGTGGTCAATATATACATTGCTCTACCACACGACACGCTGAAGCCGATACGGGACCATACAGTTCTCGTAATGCGTATCCTTAATCGTTCACAGATGGTAACATACAGCTGAACCTGTTCGGCGATAACAATCCGCCTCAACACGCCATCCTATCCGGCCTCGATCGAAGGCCAAGGTCTAAGACTACTGATTAGGCCTAAATCTAGCTTGAAATAAGGCCTTGGGCTGTATGTGGATATATACCCATGTTACTTGATCTAACACACGAGTAGTCTAACCAATCATGATAAGATTATACTACTCTTGGCAATCTTTCTAGAGGCGTAGATTGGGCTTGTGTTCTTCATCAGAATATTTGATCAAATTGAGCTTGCATGGATTCGTATTGTATGTCCCGAAGTCTGTTTGACTCCTGATTAACCAATACATGATCTTGGAGAGCATGTATCACATCGTCCATGCAGTTGTAAATTCCAATCCAGCAGCCTTGTATTACCTCACGCAGCGGTATCCCCTTCAAGACTGGGAATTTGCCCTCAGAATACCGTTGTCGAACGTCGCACATCCGATTGGGCGAAGTTTCGAGATCATAGTGAGGAGGCCTGCCCGTTATGATTTCGTACATCGCACATCCGAATGCAAATATATCGGTTTGTGTGCTTATTGCGGGTGTGCAGACTCGGTAGCTGAACCATTGGTAACAAGACGTAGCTTCATGTCCATCAACGCTGCTACCCTCGAAATCGATGAACTTTAGCCAGTGGTTGACAAGGATCATGTTTGGCACTCCAACATCGGCGTGTATTATACCTTTGTTATGAATGTGTTGCAACGCGACTGCAGCTTGTTGGATCCAGCGTACCTTTTGCTCGATGTCTGTTGTAACATTTTCTGCCTCACTATTCCGAATTACGTTTTGTAGAGGTTGACCTCGCTCCAGGATGAGTCCGTTGTTTTCTATCTCTAGTAGCCTCACGACATTTGGGTGGGGGCCGAGTCGAGAAAAGACTTGGCATTCTACATCAATACCTTCAGCGAAGTACTTCTTCAAAACTCTTCGTTCATCCAGCGCGTAAACGAGGCTGGATTTGCCGGCAGCGATACAATTGTGATTGGGATGTGGTGGGGATATTAGATCCATTCGTAGCCAAACGGGTGTAGGTAGATTGTTCGTTAATTATATGGTTAGACGAAAGGTGGAATGAAGAAGTAGAGAGAACGATGACAATCGTGAGGTCCGAGATCCGAAAATTTGCCGAGTACTCTGCTGACGCCTGCGGCTTGGTAAAAAAAAAGTCGTGGGAATAATAGTTTTCAACTTAGCGCCCATATAAAGTAATATTACTTTATAGAATACTTTTATTCTTACTTTCTAATACTACTAAACAATAGTCTAATCATAATTTTTAGGTACGTCATATATAATTTGTAGACAGCCAAGAAGTGCGGGTGCACCTCAGGCACAAAAAGTGGCCATCCGCGTATTTGTTGTATAATAAGGTCTGGCGGCCCTGGCCCAGTACTGTCAGCATTTCTTATCACCGGAGTATATCGAGCATCCCCATTTTCTCGAAAGCCACGATTAGACCTAGCACCAGGTCTCTTAGTAGCCTAGCTTAGAATCTCGGTCTCACACCTACGTAGCTACCCTCAAGAAGCCTCTTAGGAGGGTACGGGTTAGGATCGGGTTAGGAGGGTTCCGGGTAGGCTATAATTAAGAGAGCGAAGGGTGCTTGCGCCCACCACTGTTGTAGGTTGTGGTTACCTATATTAATATACATTGTGGTAGCTGCAACAATCATGAAATCGTCTACATCAGTGATTTCTTTCTACAATCTCTCTAGCAAATTCTGCGAAACTTCGCTTCTCATCAATCATTTCCCATAGATTTGGCTGTGTGAATACTGCCAGAGTATTCCGTGCCACCCTGCCTGTATGTTTAGTCGCTTTGGCGCCTCGGACAAAGTGCGGGACGGCTTTGAATTTGCCTTTCGTGATGATTTCCAGTGCTTCTCCGGTTTGGAATGCAAGGCAGTCTCTCGGTATCGCGACTTTTGTCACAGCTCCGCTACGCGAATGGATATAGAGCCCAGCTTGCGGATCAGGAGATTGGGCGAGTTCGGTGAGGTCTTTTGGTACATGCGACCTATCATTTAGTTCAGAAAGGCCTCTTAAAAGCGTAGGGACTGAAGCATCCTCATCGATGAACATGGCGCTGGTCAGACCGGTCAGACAGCCGTGATCAACATGAGTTGCGCACCAGTCGTCTTCGTCGGCGGATTTGTTATTGTCGGCAGACGGAGGAGGAAAGTAATGCAAAAGCCTGGCTTTTGTGCTGACACTACTGTTCACGACGTGCTCCAGGTAGCCCGGTTTGTAGCCATCGATATTTTTCTCTGCATATCGATCACAAGCACGCGCAACTAATACAGCGACATCGATGATTAAAGTACACAGTTCTTCGAAGCTTTCACGAAAGCCAGGGAGAGTGTCTTCAGATGGCCAGACGTTTGGTGCAGTGTACTCAGGAAATGTCGGGTACCTGGTTGCCAGTGACGTTTGTGTATCTCCTTGCGAGAACGATGGCGCGCAATTAACGTAGTAAGATCCTTTGAAAGTATCATATGCTCCGTCCTTCAATTTCTCTTTCCCAAGTGACCATCCGACGAGGTAGTGCGAGTCGGGCGACTCTAGCTGTTCTGTTCTGCAGTAAGTCACAAATTCTACAGATGGTTCGGAGGCACGATATCACTTTTAAAAAAAACTCGAGCGGGTGACACTACAGTCCGACTTACTCAAGCTCTGCTCCGGTAGATTTGCCAGGTAACTAGAATATGACAGTAATCGTAGACGCAAACTTTGAAATCTCTCTGGGAGACCTTTGACAACGATTATGCCAAGACTCTCGGGCCCGAAAGCCTCTTCCAACGTCGTAAATGGTATCGAGCCTTTAACCGCGATCGTTAGCAGCTGTTAGACCTTCTGGGCCACGGGGATAAGGACCTTGAGTCAGGGCGTCCAGCTCTACGGTCACCGCAGACTTTTTTTCGAGTATAGACATGTTCGAAGACACGAGGAACACGATGCGTAAAGCATGAGACCAAGGCGGCTTTATGAGCCTTATGAGGGAGTCTGCGGCTCGAAGGTGGAGTCAAGAGGAAAGATTTGATTGGTAGTCGAGCAGAGCTGCCTTGACCTTTCAGTTTCAGCCCAAGCGCCGGTAGACGGCGTCATCCGATTCCGACGTCGATTCGCCCATAAAATATAAGCTGTGGACAATATCAATCTTGTGAACATCTCTTACTTGCTGACTGCAAATCTAGCAGAAGGACTGGCTTGCTACTTTTTCTTCTGGGTGGCCCGTTTCTTCCTATACAGAACCATGAGACGCGTTCTGTCTTCACGCGTACCGGTACAGGAGTAGGCCGTTATACTCGAAAGTGAAGCTACCGTTGCAACTAAGCTGTCGTTGTGAAATTTGTGCTTACACTATCGATAATATTGGTAGGCAGTATGGTGTGAAGGAACTCGAAGCGGAGTTACGCTGTAGAGACAATTGAAAACAAGGACGAGTCGAGGTATATCAGGACTTCCCTTCAGTAAGTACAGCGTAAGAATGAGGGATCAGATTGTGAGGCTGGATTTCTGATGTACCCGTGGTGGAGGAATTGTTGGTAGTGTAGCGGGAACGACAGAGTCACGGCGCAGCTATGTATTATCAAACAGGAAATCGATGAACTGAGCTTTTACTAACCCGTAGCAGATCACAAATGGACATTTGAAAGGCATCGCTCGAAAAGTCCGTCAACCTCGAGTCTACGACGCGCAACCTGAAATTCGCATATCAGGCCTGCGTACATGAAGCTCCCTCCTCGTCGCAAGTCTTGAACCACGCCCGGTAGACTTCTCCAACAATTTGAGTTCTCATAAACAAGAACTCCAAACCTCCCTCTCTATACTGGCATGGACGAGGGCCCTATCATTATCCTTATGTCTGGGTAGGATTTATGTTAATGCTTGCCATGACTGTATGCCAACTACCTGGATTCATCCCTCAGGCAATGCATTACTCAAGAATCCACTCTCATCAGACCACTTTAGACTCACAAGGGAAGGGACATGCCTGTGTTCTCAGTATCTGCTTCCGACCTAAGGCATTCGTCTGAATTTGAGGAAGGCATGAGCAGGTCTTACATCACTTGAGAGAATGTTTTGGCAGGAGACTTTCCTCATCAGGTAATCGACGACACGCCATTTCCCACCCTCATTCTGAGCTCGCGTGCACTGGCCTTCTGTGATTTGATTAAATAGCTGGCTTCTTCTGCCGTTTTCCATTTCTTCTTCTTCTTCCTCACATCATTCACAAACATTCTCAGTTGACAGTATCAGCATCAAAGCATCAATCGGACTCGCTGCCTCCACTCATTGTATCCTTGTTTATTGATTATACTCTTCACCTCAGTCCTCAGATCACTTCACTGCTCAAATACACACTTCCATTAAACCTTTCCTCAGACCTGCACGTCTCTTGTACTATGTCTCCAATCAATTTCACCAAGCTCGCAGCCGTCCTCGCAACCTGCGCCAGCCTGACTCGTGCTCAGGATTCGGCTGAAGTATGTCTTCTCTCTTGAGCCGCTGCTGCTGTTAATGACATCTTCTCAGAGGTTCTCTTGCAGCCTTCCCAGTGGATTTGATCGGACCGTTACTGAAAATGAGCTGTACGATGCAAAACAAATTGGGATGTTTGATTGTAAGTCAAGTCCCGCGACTTGACCCTTACACAGTTAATCCATCTCCAGGTCCAGTCAAGCACGCAATTCGGGGCTCATACGAGTGCGAATCATACGTCACTGAATATAGCTTTATCCCAGGATGCACTACAAAAAGTGAACTCTACCCCTTCGGAACGGACGAAGGTTTATTCCTTGGTCCTGGTGAGTTTCGCGGAACCATCAGGCAGATAATTATCGAGGGTGGCCTCACTTACAACATCTCAATCTTTGGCTACGGTAACGTCCAAGCTACGCTCGTACCCAAGTCTTTGGAAGTTGTTGAACGCTCACCTCAATGCTACGGCGGCTACTGTCCTCCAGCATCGTCGGTGGAAGAATCAACTATCTACGTCCCTCCATTTGAACCCTCAACAGTTTACATTCCCCCATCAGAAGCTTCGACCACTGTCTATGGCCCTCCACAGGAGACTTCCACCATCACTTCGACCACGCTCATCACTGTCGGCTGTTCGGCTCCTGGTTATGGTACCGATGCTGGATGTCCAACCTCTGCTCTGCCCACTGAGACGGACGAGGAGTCCTCCACTGGCACAGCCTCCGTGACTGGTACAGAATTCTCTGGCACGGCCTCGGCCACTGGGACTGCCTCTTCTGGTACTGTCTCCTCTACTGGTACAGCTTCTTCTGGTACTGTCTCCTCTACTGGCACAGCCTCCTCTGGTACCGCATCGACCACTGTCACTGCTACCACCACCGTTGTGAACAACTTGATTCCCTTTGAGCCCCTGACTATCCCTACAGAGACCATTGCCATCCCTAGCTCGCAGGGCTCTTCTGTTGAAAGCTGTCGCGGCCCTCTCGGCGCCATGGTGATGGTTATGGCTGGTTTCTTGCTTCTTGCTTGAGATTGCCCAGTTCTCCTGGCCGGGAAGCTTGAGACACGATGGTCTGAGAGTAGCTGGTCTTGTGTGTTTTAGTGTGATGGAAAGAGTGGTTTTGCTTGGGTCGAGTATGGTATCGTGTTGATTGGTCTGAGGGCAGACCTAGTTTCCTTGGTTCGAGTATGGTATCGTATTGTTTGGTCTGATGGAAGACCTAGTTTCCCTTGACCTGGAAGAGAGTGAAGACGTTCTGGAGTAGCCAAGAACCTAATAGACCTTTTTTCTCGCTCGAAGTTTTGTGTGTCGTGTGAGTTTTGTATTTTTCTTTTGTGGTTTCCAGAGCCAGTATGAGACGTGCAACTGCTGGCTTGAGACGTGCAAGTGCTGGCTTGTGAGGCGCAACTGCTGGCTTGTGAGGCGCAACTGCTGGCTTGTGAGGCGCAACTGCTGGCTTGAGACGTGCAAGTGCTGGCTTGGGTATATGACGTATGACGTTGTGTTGGTGGCATGGATGTTGCGAGTATAGTGTAATGACAGTCGTGTTGTTTGAGTGACTGTATTCCAACACACACACACACACACATATATATATATATATATATAAACAATGCAAGCACGGCAGAATGGGAATCTTATTTGATAGATTAATACTATTACTACTAGTACTACTCCTAACAAGTACAAGCACTACAACTTCAGCTTGTAGGAATGGATGACGTGCGGGTTGCAGTAGGAGAGCAGGCCGGTCTGGCCCCACTCGCCACCAATGCCACTCTCCTTGTGGCCGCCAAAGATGGCCTGCGGCGTGGGCTTTTCCCAGCTATTGACAAAGACGCTGCCGGCCTGGAGACGGCGGGCGATGCGCTCGGCACGGTCGACGTCGGCGCCCCAGACGCAGGCGCCGAGACCGGTGTTTGTATTGTTTGCGCGGGCAATGACCTCCTCCTCGTCGGACCAGGGCTGGGTGGGCACGATGGGGCCAAAGGGCTCCTCGGCGATGATGCGGCTGTCATTTGGCGGGTTATCGATGATGGTCGGGGTGATGAAGAAGCCCTTTTGCGGGAGTGCGGAATCGGTTGCGTCGGGCGAGCCGGCGGCGAACTTGTAGCCTTTTGCTTTGGAGTCCTGGAAGAAGGTCTTGACCTTGTCGTACTGCATCTTGTTCTGGATGGGGCCGAGGAGGATGTCGTCGGGCTGGTCGTCGCCGCCGCCGAGCTTGATGGACTTTGCAAAGGCGGCCATTTCGGCGACAAAGTCGGTGTAGATGGCCTCGTGGATGTAGATGCGCTTTGTGGCAACGCAGACCTGGCCTGAGTTCTGGAAGGCGCCCATGACGATTTCGGGGGCGGTCTTCTTGATGTCGACGTCGGGCAGGATGATGGAGGCGTCGTTGCCGCCGAGCTCGAGGGTGACGCGCTTGAGGGTTTTGGCGGCGGCTTCCATGACCTTTTTGCCGGTGGCGATGGAGCCGGTGAAGGAGATTTTGTGGACGTTTGGGTGGAGGGAGAGCCAGGCGCCGAGGTCGTTGTTGCCGCCGACGACCTGGACGACGCCGGGCGGGAAGACTTCCTGCATCGTCTCGACCATCTTCAGGGAGGTGTAGGGGGTGAAGGGCGAGGGCTTGACGATGATGGTGTTGCCGGTCAGCAGGGCGGGCGCGATCTTGCCCATGGAGAGGATGAGGGGGAAGTTCCAGGGGCAGATTGCGCCGACGACGCCGAGGGGCGTGTAGCGGGTCGTGATGACCTTTTCGTCGTCCTCGATGCGCTCCTCGGGGATGGTGAGGGTGGTGTGGAAGCCGGCGAACTGGGTGACGCCGTCGACCTCGACGGTGGCAAACTTGCGCGGCTTGCCCGTCTCCTTGATCAGGAGGTTGATGAAGTCGTCTCTGTGCTGCGCGTAGACGGCCACCCACTTGCCGAGCAGCTCCTTGCGCTCCTCGATTGAGGTCTGGCTCCAGGACACGAAGGCCTTGTTTGCGGCGGCGACGGCATCTTCGAGGTCTTGCTTGCTGGCGACGGGGACGTCCCACAGCTCCTGGCCGGTGACGGGGTTGACGCCGTGGTGGGGAGTGTCTTTGGTGTCGCGTAGCTGGCCGTCGACAATGTTGTAGAACTTGTCGAAGACGATGGTGGAGACTTTGGAGGGAGACATGGCGGGAGTTGGGTATCAAAGAGGATTGGAGGGGTGGACGAGAGAGAGAGGAGTTTTTGGAAGGGAGACGAGGAGGCGAGTCGGAATGCGAGGAGAGGATGGCAATTGATATATGGACGGCAATAAGGTCAATGACAGACATGCATGAGTAGGTGGAGTGTAGTAGCAGTAGTAGTAGTAGTGTAGTGTATTAGTGGTAGTGGATTGCGGATGACATTAGCTGGTGGGTGGGGATCCATGCCGAAGCGGAAGCCGACCCCCCTCCCCCTCCTCCTCTATTGCACGCATCGGTCAGTCAATAAAGGGTGTTCATGTTTGATGCAGTAATAGAATCATATTCAACGCTCTGCCTGATACTACTCCAAGTACTGTCCAGGCAGAATGCACGGCAAGTTTGCACTAACTGGAAGGGGATAACACACAAAACACAACAAACACACACTCTCACACTCCAGCTGTCTCACTCACTCACTCACTCCTCACTCACTCACAAGCCAAGCCTGCAGTGCCAATGGATTGCGGGGAGAAGACGGCTAGTCCGGATATAGGCAATACTGGCTGGCTTGACATCTCGCGAGTTGTTGCCCGCTATTTCTTGCTGGCTGGCGGGGCTGACGGGCTGACGGGCTGACGGGCTGACTTTTGGGGGGGTTTTTAGGCGGGGGTGTCGGTGTCTTAGGGCGAGCGGCCTGCCTGGGGGGGACTTTGCGGGGCTGGCGGGCTGTCCTGTCCTGTCCTGCTGGTGGGCTGTCTGCCTGCCTACTGCCTTACTACTGCTACTGCTACCTGCTACCTGCTACCTGCTACCCTACCTAATACTTACTATACTACGCAGTAATAGCTAATACCTCGGACGTGGCGCCAAGTGGAGGGGCACGGCGAGCGCAATGAGGGGCAGCATCTATCAGGCATTCAGGCATTCATCACCTTAGCTAAGCTTGTCTGCTTCAATTCCTCCAATTCCTTCATTCTTCATTCCATCTTCTCGTCCCTCTTCTCCACCACACAGCCAACAAACACCAATACCATCCCCTCTACCACACACACTATACCTCCGTCAACAATCCTCTCTCACTGCCAACTAATCATCTTCGCTGAACAGCCAACCATCTTCGCTGAACAGCCAACCATCTATCCCTTCGACACTTGGCCTCCACCTCCACCTCCACCCCTACCGCTCCACCGCTAACTGCTATAGGCAAACACTCGCGCCTCCTCCGCGGACTCGGCTCAGCCCTGGAATAGGACAATAGGTATGCATCCCTGATCCATCTCGTCCTCTTTGTTGCTCTGTTGCTCTTCTTGCTTATACATCTGCCCTCCACCACCAGCTGTTCCCGCTCTTCATATTCCGTTTTCGTCAATTCTCCTTCCGCTACTCGCTCCCAATCACTCGCTTCTTTTCACTCATGCTCACAACTCTCAGATATCCTTACCGCTATTCCTGTCCAGGCCTGCATCTACTGCATGAATCTACTAATGCCACCCTCTCCATCCTTTCCGCCCCCTGCCACCATGCGACAACGCTCCACAATCATAGCCATCCACGCATTGAAAAATATACCATTGTGAGTCCTGCGCTCCGTCTCCGCCGTTTCGTTATCACGCTCGCATTTCCTGTCTAGGATATCGCTCTGAACCTTGAACTGTCGTCCTGTGTCTCGATTGTGGGGCCGGTGACATCGATCGGACCGTGCCGTGTCAATCGTCCTTTTAGTTTGGCGCATCGGGGAGAATCTCGCACAACAAGCCTGATGCCACCCACCACTCTCACACACTCAAAGCTTCAGTCCTTTGCCGTGAACATGCCACTATAATCCGTGCATGATTATGCCGTCTTGCAAGATATGTCCGTCAACGATATGGCAACGCTGCCTGGCCCGACATGGCCGAGTGCAGCGCAGACAATTGTCTGACTAACCGCCGTTCTTGTGCGACCATAACGTGAGCCCCACTCATCTGATACTCCAGAGTGATTATCCATCGTCCACTTTCTAATCAAACACGCCTTCCATCTGCGGGGCGTGTTGCCTAATCCACGGAGTAATGTTCGTGTCTCCGACTAGCTAGCATAAATCCCGCCTCCATTCCACCCGCACTGCACACAATTGCCCAAGGAATCAGGACCCATTCCATCGGACGTTGCAAAAAGCTCGCGCTTGGCCTTGTCACACAAAATCGCTTCGTCGTTCACACTAGCTTCTAGCCCGCCCTTATGCGTATGCACTGTCTTGCGCCATACATGATGGCTAGCTACTAATTAGCTAGCTGCTGCATGGCTCTTGCAGTAGATCCGCTCTCCCCCTTTCCCCCCCGGCTGACGTCAGCGGCGTACTCCTTGTCGCGGGAATAAGCTGTTCTTTGGCCTGACGTCGCCGTTTGACGATTCGACTCATTCAAAATGTGCTTGGCATTGCACAGGTATACCTAACAACATAATGCTTTTGCTCTGGCGTCGTCGCGCCAAGTAGCATGCATGTATGCATGCCTTTGAAGATAATTTGCCCATGTCTAACAAGCATGGCCAGCCATAATGTATCTTCCCGTTTCCTCGTCATAGCACGTCATATATCTCTATAAAAACCCAAAATTCACTCCTACCTAGTATAGCCCCTCCTTTCCTCCCCGCCTCGCTCGGCATGGCCTCAGGCAAACTTATCATGCTTCCCCTTCCTCCGCACATACACCAACTCCTCATAGAAATTCCCCTCCCGCCGCGCCCTCTTCAGCCGCCTAACCTCCTCATCCCCAAGCTTCCGCTCCGCCAGCTTCTCAAGCTCACTCCGACTGATCTTCGCACTCGCCTTTTCCTCGCGCGCCACCTGCTGCAGCCGCGGCTTGAAGCGCGCCTGCATCCGGATCCGCAGCGTGCAAGGGTACGTCAGCGTGTCCGCATCGCCCCGGACTTCTGATGCCGAGGGCGCGGTCAGGAAGGTCTCGTATGCGGTCTGGAGGGCGAAGCCGGAGGGTGCGTGCGCCGAGGGCACCGGCGTGAAGATGCAGGGTGGGTTCGCGGCTGTCGAGGTGGCGCTGAGGAGGCCGTGTTTGTCGGCGGATAGATATCTGTTTTTTTTTTGTTCGCTTCGTCAGCATATCTATCTCTTCTGATCATCATCATCATTCCATCCATCCATTCGTGACAAATCATCCAGGATATATATGTATCAAAAGAAAACGGCAACGTACTTCCCATGATGCCCCTTGAGCGTCACACCCTCCAAGCCGGCTACCCGTCCCGCGACCCAGACTTGTCGTACGTCGTGCGGCTCGGCGGTCGCGGGGTTGGAGTCGATCATGTTTTCGAGGGGGTGGGCGAAGACGGCGCCGAGGGCGTCGCTCGAGAGGGCTGTGGGCGGGCTGGTGGCGAGGACGAGGAGGACGGGCCCGGTGATGTCGGCTTCTGTTTCGGCGGTTGTCCAGGTGTCGTCGTTGTTGTCGTTGGTGGTGGTGGTGGTGGTTGTGCTGGGTTGGGGATCTGTGGTTGTGCTGGTGGTGGTTGTGGTGGTTGTGAGGGACTGGGTGTGTTGTTCGGATGGGGGTGGGGTGGGGTCGCGTTTGCGTTTTCGGGGCTTCTTGTCGCCTTTGAAGGTTAGTGGTTTGACCATTGTTGTGTTGTTGGTGGTGGTGGTTGTGGTTGTGGTGGTGACTTGTGTCACGAAAGAGAAGTGTGCGGTGGTGGTGGTGTATCTTGAGATGGAGCTGCGGTGGAGCTAGTAGAGCTTAGCTCCCGACGTAGGGCTAGTGGATGTGATGTGTGATATTTGGGCACAGTAGAGGTACTTCTGGGCACAGCTGCTCCTAGATTCGATTGGATTGGTAGCGAATGTAGATAGATAGATACACGCTTATCATGGTAATGAACGTTGACTCTTCCAGTCCTTTATACCCTCTTCCCATCCTCACACATCCATCTTCCCACCCATCCTCGCACCATGTCATCCCCCCTCAACCAATGTTGATAGCAAGCTCCAAGTTCTGCCCGCTCGCACTCGTAAACTCCGCCGCAATAGTCCTGCTCTGCGCATTCAGGATGCTCTCGCTCGTCTTCTGCTCCTCCCTGCTCTTCGACCGCTGGCTGCTCCCGTCATAGTACTCCGGCAGCGCCTTGACACAGGTGATGTCGTCGCCCAGCCCGGTCACAATGTCCACCCACGGCTTGTAGTTGTGCACGCCCATGGCCACGAAGAAGGCCTCCTTGCCGGCCTCGGTCATGTACCGCACCATGCCGGACGTGCCGCTGCCGCCCATGGTGAGGGTGAGCTGCTCGTTGGACTCGACCGTCCAGGTGCCGCCGTTGGCATAGTACCAGACGCCGCTTTCGACGAGGCGGAAGCGCTCGCTGGACTGGTTGACGCGCACTTTGATGGTGTAGGACATGCTGTAGAGGGTGTCAGTTGGAAAGGTTCGGGGCTTGATGAGGGTACAGGCGGTGGTTTCACTTGATTGGTAGGTTTATCGTTCTTTGGAAAGACTTTTCTTCTGAGAGGAGGAGCTTGGGTGGTGTCTTTGCTGAGTGAAAGAGAAAAGTGCTCCTCGACGGCACCTGGGAGCGAGGTTTATATATCCACATCCGAAGACCAACACAAGACCCCCCACTCCTCGAATCGATCCCGCAATGTCTACCTACCTACCTACGCAACCTCTGCATCCTCCGATCGGGATGGTGGTGCAGTTCCTTTGTCCAACCCGCACGAGAACTCCGCTTTCTGCATGCATCACATTCAGCTCAGCCATCCTCCATGTCCTGCCCCAAATAGCGGGGTTGCTTCCGAGGAATCACACTCATGTGTGTCAGGATTTGTCCAGATTCTCGTAACCCAGAGATGTTCTTGCATTGCCCTGCCAGGCGAGGATGGTCCCATTCTGCAGAGCATTCCCGCATTGGGGCGGTCAGTGATGCTCCATCACGAGAATGAAATTCGTTGCTGGGTGCGTGCAGGCGTCGCGAGCTGCAAGTTCGTCGGTCTTGGCATGCTCTTTCGATGTTGGGGAACGGGAGCATTCGCCTTCCGATCTCATGCACTCTTATATTGTCTGAGGGGCTTCACGGACTGTGCTCCATGTTGTCGACAGGCTTCCTCCATTATTCGTGTCGGAACTCTATGTATGCGTCGTCCGAGCACCCCCACCACCACCACCACCACCACCACCAACATGCTGCATACTCACTCGCCCAAACAAAGAGAGCATACCGTGACACATCTCGCCACAGCGCGGTGTCTGCAATGATGCTCCTACTCTGCAGCTGTCTCCATCTGCAGACGCAAGAGCTCTGGAGATCCCCCTCAAGACAAAAGGTAAAAAGCAAAAAGCACCATCCCAGCTAGCTACATCAACGGCCTGCACACACACATACACACACACAGAGACACACAACCATGTTGAACCAAGTCAGCCAGCCAGCCAGCCAGCCACAAACCTCAACACCTCGCCCACAACAACGATACATGCATGCTCGTCCGTCCTCAGTCCTCAACTCCTCTCACATGAGTGTACAAGGTTTTCCCCCTCCTCCTTTCCCCCCGCAAGGTTGTCGATTCGTGTCGTGTAGATGCCGACGTGCATCGTTGCCATCCACCCATGTCTCAAGCAAGTTCACCACAACCACCTCACTCAAACACCTTCTTGTCCAGTCTGCTTTGCATGGAGTGTCCAAGGGTGAAGACGTTCTTGGTACTGAGTAGTGTGAGGAGACCGGCGATGGAGTCAGGAAGTGGATTGAAATGCAGCGTCATGCAGACTGTGCAGATCACTTAGGACTTGAGAAGGATATTGGGGGTTGCCATGCTCTATCTGGGGCATCATACCTCAAGCATGCATGCATTTGACGACATGGCATCGAATACGCATTGTGCTATGCTATGCTATGCTGCTGCGGACGGAGTACATACAGCGGACTAGTAAGTCGAGCCAGTAAGTCATGACTTTGGAACAAAGACAACTGCGTCAAAACGAGACCCTTCAGCTCAACCGCATCCCCCAATTCAACCCTTTTCTGTCACATATCTTAGGCCGTCAAGTAGATCTAGAGTGTCGTGTGTGTGTGTCCTACCGGAGTGTAAGCCCGAACCGCACTATGTTGGCATGTTGTACGTAGACGCTGTACATACACATATATCTATATATCCATCTACTCATCCCCAAAACCACTGCGTATCCACAGCACTACCAATGGAAATGGCTATAAGATGCTTGAATCACGTAACATCAGACACTGTATCTCAACACCAAGGACACCTTTACGCACACACATATATATACATCCACCCATCCACCCATCTATTCATTCCCCCAGCACATCCGAAAATCCACGCTCTCACCCACCCAACCACCACCTGCCACTCGCACGCCCCTGGCAAAACCCAGCCCCCTTTCATAAACTAGACAGGAGGTGAACGGAATCTCTGAAGAATTCACAGTTTGTGAGTCTATTAAACCTACTAATTCAGTCCAGTCTAGTCCAGTCCAGTCCAGTCCAGTCCAGTCCAGCTCTAGTTCCAGTCCGAGGACAAACACACCAGTAGTCCCCTCATTCACTCCCCATGCCCATGCCCATGCCCATAACACAACTCCCCTTTCTCCTCCTCCCAACATATACACACACGCCTACCCACCATTTTCACAGGAAGAAGAGGCACAAACCATCCCCACAATCCATCCACATACATACATACAGCCATCCGAATCTAAATCCAAATCCAAATCCAAATACTCCCCCCCCCCTCCCCCAAAACAAAACAAAGAAAAGCCATATACACCACACGACCTGCCTGACCTACTGTTTCAAGCAACAACATAGCAAACGGGAAACAAGAGAAAAGAATGACTTCCATCTCCAATGCAACCCGCTAAACACGCCAAACATGCAGCTGCAGCCCACCCATAAAAGACGCAACACACTCACTCACTCATTCACACCACGAATCAGGGTCCACGGAAGAAAGTATGTACCACAACCCTGCATGTAATGAATGTATCACACACACGAAAAACTACGAAACCCAACAACAGCAAATAAAAAAACCCCCAACCATCAATCGCGGGCGAAACTGTTGGACTGCTGCTGTCATGAATGAATGAATGAATGCATCATCATCATCATCATCATCATCATCATCATCATCATCATCATCATCATCATCATCATCATCACCAAACACCCAACGCACAATCGTAGCATTGCACGCCATCTTTTATATCTCATTTCATTTCATTCCATTCCATTTTCACAACGTAGATACTCACTCTCACACAAACGTCACGCGTGAAAGAAAGAAATGGCAATGTTGAAAACAAAAAGGGTAATCGTGATTTCAAAAAAAAAAGTATTTTATTAGGTACTCATCTCAAACCCATGCCACCCCAGCCGCCTGGGAAGATAGAACAGAGCTACTTTGGGATCCTATGCGAACCGTGGTTGATCTGTCAATGTAGCTTAAGCGTATTGTTTACACCACCACAAACAAGGGTCGCAGCTGAAGTATTCGTTTCTCTATAACACGCTTTGTTCGTAAAGGAGTGACCAGATCGGGTAGATCAAATGTCCAAAATGAGACGCCCAAAAATAATTCCTCGACATAAAAGTAGGAGCGAACAGAAGGCCCGGGGAATCGTGCAACTATAATGCGCCATCTAACGCCAGTTGCGCCAAGTGCCAATGTACAGCCGTAAGTGAAGCATCTGTGATCCGTCCGCCTGCTTGCTAATATCGACACGCCAAAATAGTATACCTTTCGCTCAGTCGATCGTCATCCGGGATGGCATAGGTTGCGCGGCTGGGCTGCCACCATATGCGGGCATCTCAGTCTGGTACTTGACCTCGTCGGCATTACCTACACCGCCGCGACGGTCTACATGCGGCTTGAGACCTTTGTTGAAGTTGTGCGTGCACATGCACGCGATGATAATGGTGCCCACGAGAAGGACGATGGTCAGGCCAGCAAATGTCGAAAGCATGCGGCGCGCCGGCAGATAATCATTGGCACGGTCATCGTTGCTGTACATGCGGATGAGCTTGAAGAGGAAATAGGCCATAGCCGCAAAGTAAATGATCTTCTCAAGTTAGCTTTGAGATGTGCAACGCAGAAAGAGTGCCCTTACAATAATAGCAATCATGCCGACCGTGTTTTCCTTTCGAGTCCAATAGGCAGCTAGCATCAAAAGGACAATCGTGACGGGAATGGCGGCGATCGTAAGCCAGAATTCCACGTCTTTCGTGTTTGTTACGATGACAAGAAACTGTACCGTGAAGCCCAGGAAGAAGAAAAAATCAAACTTCAGAAGAGCAATGTAAATCTGTAGCCAGTATTAGCACGCTGCGCAGCACAGATGGCAGGTCTTAGTGTACCTGGTATGTCAAATATCTTCTCTTCAGGCGAAGGTCGGCACTAATATGCTTGTAGATTGTCCATGCAAACTCATCATATAGCTTCCAGGTGACAACGACAAGGAACATCGTACCCACAGCCATAAGGATCGGGAGTGCGATGAGAGAGGCTTTGACACTGGACCAAAAGTTGAGTCCTAAGATATTCTTTTCAGAAAGTCGGTCGACGTTGTCTTTGAGCTGATCGATCTGAATAGCAGCATAAACGAGGATTCCCATGTTGTAGACACAGAGACCGATAACCTGAATTGTGTTCTTTAAACGGAGAGCATCATAAACCAGAAGCAACTGGTAAATGAAACCGAACATGAAAACGGACAAGTAGGTGGGTATGGCATTTTTCAATGCCGTTACCGTCTGCCCACTGTTGTCTTCTGGTCCCGTCCTGTCTTCGTTGTCCACAGCAAATTGATATTTTCCGAAAACGTAACTAGGATTGTCAGCTCGCGACTCAAGAAAGGGTAGACAGATGTGTAACGCACGCCTCCAGAGCCAAGCCGACTATTGCTTGGACGAGGGCAATCAGAAGAAACGACCACGTCCACCTCGAGCTGGGTTTATAGATGCCAACCATCTTGGGTTTATCTACTGGCTGAGCGACTGGGTATCCTTCGCGGTGATGAAAACCGCCAGCGTATGGAGCGTAGTTTCGATCCAAATCTTGGCCTCCGAGGAGGGAGCGGCGGGACTCGTGACTAGTAATTTTGACGGACTTGAGCCGCTGGGCGCGGCGAACGAGAGGTTGGAGCGGGCGAGGGAGAGACGGCGAAAGCGTCGGAAGGCGGTGTTGCGGCGCTTTTGAGTCAGTCTCCGGTTTCTATTTTTACTACGGCGATGTGTTGGCGTGGTGTATTAGTCCCTAGAGCCTTCCAAAGGACAGCAGACGTCGAGAGCAAGTTTCGATGGTCCACGGACAAGGCTGAAGGTGATTGGGGTCTGAATATTGGTCGTACGGATGAGACCCTTTGAGCCTTAGCGAACGAGGGGAGAGGAGGTGGAGATGGTAACGATTGTCGGGTGCCAAATGCGCGTAGAAGACGATTTAGCACACAGAGGCGTGTGAGAGGAGTAGTAGGAAGAGGAGGAGATGGGGGATGAAATGAAGATGAAGGAAAAGCGGTCGTCAAGAAGAGAGAGAGAGAGAGAAGAGATGTGGAGAAGCCGGAGTGTCAGGCAAGCAACGAGCCGCAAGCACCACCAGGTCAGCCAGGCACAGACTGGTTGCAGGTTGCAGGAAAGGGCAAAACGTAGCAGAGGAAAAGAAGCACAAGCCCCGCCAAGAGTCCACTGTCCACCACCCGCCCAGCGCAGAAAAGGGCGGAAAATGGCAGAAAGCAGCGGGTCAGCCAATCACAGGACGTCTTTTATCTTATGCCTTATTCACTTTCGTAGTCCTTTTTGTTGGTTTGCAGAGTCACTTGATGATATGCCTACAATGCGACTTCATAATAGACAGTCTCCGATGCTCTCATCTCTCGTGTCCAACAACTGACTGCCTGACCTTGTTGTGGTGCCATCGTAAGGTATCAGCATGTTGCGGTTAATCCCGGCACGTGATTGAACTATGGCTTAAACCAAGCAAGCCTCCTGTGGCTGAGTCGATCTTGTGGAGCCACTTGGACCCATCAGCCATTTGTTTATCCTCCGTTCACGACGCCGATAATTGAAAGGAGTTCAATATGTAGAACTCTTCGTCTGGATTTCTTCACCATGGCAGTGCTAGGAATCTATCTGAGTAGCTATGCTATGCTAGAAGAAACCTGCTCATTGCTCCGTATTACTGCCTTGTAGATTGAACATAACAACCCCTGCGTCGTGCGATACACGACCATGAGCCACACTATCCATTTCCTACTGGGTTTCAGCTCCCATCATCCCTGAGCGATTGGTGGCCCTGGCTCTCCTGAAGTCTTGAAACGATGCCTTTCGCATTCTGGTTGTTCTCTTGACCTACACGTGACTCTCTCCTCCAGGGATCTTCTTTCATCATCGCAGTAGACCCTGAGGGACGCGACCTCACGCGCCAATCCACTTAACCCGGTCCTGCCATAAGCCTCATGTCCTTCGCCCACAGCCTTCGACTCAGATCCAGCGCAGAAGCCTTGTCTGCATAGTTATCATGAGCTCCGGTGCGTACTCCACCACCTTCTGGAAGGTCTCATTACTGATCATGAAATATGACAGAAGTCATGCTGGAAAAGGCGGCCAAAGATGGCACCTTCGATCCGTATGCATACCGTTCATGGTGTCGATCATAAGCTCACGAATATACAGCAACGATTGGCCTCCAGTCCTTGAGACTGTCCTCGCTCGACTAGACCATGTTCGTGTGCTTCTGGACGCTGCTATAGCTTATGCGACTAACAGTGTCCCAAGATCTTCCACCACGAATTTCCCCGTCCTTTCACAGTCACCCTCGAGGCACAACACGTCCTTCCCGCGATACATACTCCTGTCAAGCAAAACCAAACATCCAGCCAAGACTCACAGACTGCGGATAAAGAGAATGCACCTCCTTCCACCCCTCCATCTCGTCCTCCCGTCCCACCCTTTTCCCGACCGACTCAAGACCTAACACCAACATCTTCACCCACACTGGCTGGCGACGCTACATCGCATACGTATCCACCAGAGCTGATATCTCTCCACAATAATATACGCACGTCGCTGAAGCAGAACTTTCCAAAGTTTCCACCCCACACCATTCAGCGTCTAGCAGAACTCATCGTCAGCCCAAAGGCGCATTACCGTTTCCTGCCACCATACCTACGCGCATTGGACCGCGTAGTATCTGTTTCGAGTCCGACGACCATATTCCCCCTTCCACAAGCCACACTTCCTTCCAATCACAACCTCGTCAATGGCGGAGCATCTATGGCCGCAAGCTCTAGTGCCAGCTTTGGAAGCGATGAGTCCCTAGGCGGTGCTCTCCTCACACCTATCCCATGGCTGAGGCCTGAACGCCCACAAGACGAAGGCTCTGCACGAATGAGCAGCAGCAACAGCAGCCAGAACGAGCTGATCTCAGAATCTACAGAAATGGTCGACGGTCCCAATGGCACCGGCCGCATTGAAACAGTGACTGTCTCCAACGGCGTCCTAACAACCACAACCTCGCACTCTGGCACTCTCACCGTCCCCTCCAACGCTCCGCGAAGCATCACCCAGATGAGCACCGAATCCCTCCGCGACACCGGCGCTATCACACAGGGCGAGCTCCTCCGCCAGGAACAAGAAGCCGGCGTCGTCCCCGTCTCCCAGACGCACACGGGCGCCTCCCACTCGCAACCTCACGCCCACCCACAACCGCGGAGCATCCTTCCATCCAACGCCATGTCACAGCAAGACCTAGACGAAACGACCTCGGACATGTCCGCGGTGCCAAGTGTGGAAACAGACGTCGTCGTAGCGGGCGCTACACACGATTCCGAGATGGCCACCGACGAGCAGCGTGACGAGCGCCCGCATGCGCGTGGTCCAGAGCAGATCGGCATGGAGGACATGGGCCCGCAGCGGGATCGGAGTGGATCCCACTTGGACATTGCGGCTGCCGTAGGGCGGACGCTGACGAGTCCGGGGAGGAGTAGCGTTAGCCCAGACGTGAAACGGGATGTAGCAGAGAACAAGGACGAGGAGATGGCGGATGCTGAGCTTGGTCACGGCGAGGGAGGCCAAGATGCAGAGGAGGGCACTGTGCTCACTGATGTAGACGGCAACACCGACGAGAAGCTAGATAAGATGGATGCGCAAGGTGAAGGGAAAGGCGCCGAGGGCGTAGATACGTCTGCACAATGAGCGAAAGCCTTCTTTCCTAGGCTGCTATTGCTACCGCAACTTCCAATATATGACCGTCATGATCCCCTCAGAGCCGTCCGCAGCATGTATATATATATATAATAAAACGTGCCGTTGTTCACAGGGTGTAAACATATTATCCCAATCTATATCCACCCATGTGTAACACCATACTATGCGCATCGAAAAGACAAAAGAGACACATCTACCTCGCTGGAAAGATGAATGCTAGGTAGGCAGGGTATTGATAACTAGCGAATATACATAGGGGAAAAGTCGCTGTCTTCGCGTATATCTAGGCGAAAGGAGAGGGGGTGGGGGTATCAATCATGACCTGCTGTAAAGCCCTTCTGGCTCCAAACGGAAATACACACACACAAAAAAGGAAACGTAGTGGCAGTCCGTTCCATCATTATTCTCTCAATGCGTCCCCAAGCGCATCCACATCGACGTTCTCGACTGTCAACTGATATGGCGTCTCCGGCTCAGGTCCGAAGCCCCAGATCGGCCCTGCCTGATTCACGCCAGGTGCTCGCATGCGGAACGTGCGTGCTCGTACCGTCGCCGCGGCATTCTTCTCTTTCTCCTTTTCCTTCTCCTTCTCCTTCGTCTTGCGCGCAATGTCCTTTCCACCATCCAGCGTCGTGTGTAGACTTGAAACCTCGGAATTTGTCCCCGATGCCGAGCTCGCTGGTGACCTGAGTGCGTCTGGATATAGTGTATTTGAAGACGACGTCAATGGCGTATTCCCCCATGTCCCCTTTATCCATCCACCGAATTTCTGGCTTAGTGTCGTGCTACTTGCTCTGCTTTTTAGCGTGCTCCCGCTCGCGGATGGCATACGGTGCATTGTGCTTAGCAGGGCACGGCTGTCCTGACCACGCAAACGCGCAGATGAGATTTTGGCATGCGCGAAATGTGCGCTCAGCATAGCGCCACCGCTCGAACTGGCGGCTGCACTTGTAGAGAGTAGGTGATGCGATGGCCGGTGTGCGATGTGGATGTCCATACCGGCGACAGAGATGGAGTCTGATGAGCCGCGTCGGACGCGTGTGTACGAAGGCGAAAAATAATCAGGTAAGACATCTTCGGATTCGTGTTCGAGATCGGTGGAAGAGGAAGAGTCGCGTGCTGTGATTGGTACATTCGAGGTAGACCCCGCGCCAGGATGGCCGTCCTCTTGCTCGTGTTCGGTCTCCTCGAGTATGGTCGTGTTTGCGATTTGAGGTTCTGCGGAAGTCGAAAATTGGGATACAGTGGGTTTGGCGAGGCTTGCAGTGGGTGCCGAAATGGTACGGATAGGAAAGGGTGAGGAGAAATTCCGGGTTGTAGGCGTCTTTGATTTCTTCTGAGGTTTGGAGGGTTTAGGGACCTCTAATTCGGGATCGTCGAGAGCTTCATTTGGGATAGGTGGTAGTTTCGTAGGGGTCATCTCAGGTGAAGGAAAGGTTGAACTTGCTGGACTTGTCGGTCGGGAGGAGTCGTACGCTGCTTCGCTGAAGACGCGATCAAAGAGGGAGGACGGGCGTCGGGAATGTGTATATGGCGAACCTGGTACTGAAGAAGCGTATGATGTCCCAGTTTGATTGGACTGCATAGACCAACGGTTGGTGTGGGTTGAATGGGGTATCGTCACGGCGGTATGCTGTAAGATGGCTGTGGAAGATTGTATGTTCTTGGGGGTCAAGCGCGATATCGAAGCGCGAGATGCACTCGACGGCGTCGAGGCATGTGACGCAGGTGACTGGAAATGTGCCGGGGTGATCGACTTCCTATTAGTCTTCTTGACGCGTCGCTGGACATGATGATGGACGTGAAGATGTAGCTCAGGGCTCTTGTCGAGCTGGAGTTCTTTCTCCAAGGTCGGCGTAGGCGTTGTAACTCTACTTTCATCCTGCATAGGTTGGTGTAGAACGACTTGCTCTCTCAGGCGCTCTACTTCTTCGTTTGAGTTTGTGAGCATCTCCCGCAGTTCCACGATACCCAGTTGGAGGTTGGCGTTGTCTTGAAGAATATCCTTCACGAAATGGGACACCACATTAGTCCCATTCTTCTCGCCAGTAGTCTTCATGGCTGCCGCTCCCTTGAGACGTCCTGCAGCAGTTTCGAGCTCTCGCTCTACAGCACGCCTTCTCTCCATACGACCCACTACTTCGATATGGCGCTCACGCTCCTCTTTTGCCTCACGTTCGATCTGGTCAAGCTGGTCCTGCAGGTGTGCGATCGTTCGCTCGGCCTGTTGCCACCTGTGGATTGCACTAATCTTCTCCTCGTCTGTATGAGCTACTTTTTCATGCAGTATGGCTTGCTCATTCTCAAGGTCGGCGAGCTGACGTTCCAAGCTTTCTGTTCGTGCTGCGAGGATTGAGAGGCGTTTCAATTCGAGTTGAGTGGACTCCAGAGTAGCAGTCAAGCTCTTGACTTGTGTTTCTGACTCGGCCAATGCATCGTTGAGTTCCTCAAGCTGGTTCAAAAGCTCCCTGTTTTCTTGTATAGTCTTTGTGTTTGCAATCTCTAGGCTCAACTTCTGCTGCTCCAGCCTCTCGATACAGGCTGCCATATCGGTACGTTCGCGTTCGGCGTCCAGCATGTAAGCTTCGTGGCGAACTAAGAGGGCCTGGAGAAAGGAATGTCAATAAATATCCTTCCGATCGGACATTGCGACGACCAGGGTCCCAATATTAATGGTAAGACAAGCGCGCCCGGTAGTACGCCATCGTGTGGTACGCAGTCGGGAAGACAATGCAGGTACATACCTGGCCTTTGCTTGCAGCTTGCTTCACGTCTCTTTCAAGACTATCGACCGTACGGGCGTTCTTCTGTAGTATTGGGCAGCCTCTCTGACCGCAGCAACACGGTATCGTGGCGCGTTCCGCGGGGCTTGGGTCGTCCATGGCTAACGGCTTGGACGACGGCGACAACACAGGAGATTCCGACCAAGTCGAGCATAATACCGGGGGAATTATGTAGAAGACAGCGAACGGTGGATTGACAGAAGGTAAGGAGGCAAAAATGAAGGAGCTGGGGAAATCAAGTGACTTGACTTGACTGACTGACCGACTGACTGAGTGAGTGCAGGTCTGGGTCTGGGACACCTACCGGGACACCTGGACGTGAAAGAGGCGTTGCAGTGGTGCCTGTAACACACTGGCCCTTGGGACGTGGTTGACAAGTCAGCTTTTACTAACCGGAATAGGCATCGCGCCTCGGCCTTGGTTTATGTATGTTGGTAGGTTTCTGACGCATCGCCAGCCACCGCCTTTCGCTCCGCAGATCACTCGACCGCATACACATGTCAACAAATAACAATCAAATATAGCGACATTTAGGTGGACCTCGTGCACTAGCTTTCGGCTTCCCGCTCCCGCCATCTTGTTTACGTGCGGTGCGGTGACTGGTAACTTCGAACCTTCAACCACCGAACCACTCCGATAATAAGTCCACCGTCTGAACCACACCATCACCTTCATCGTCAAGATCCATACCTTAGCTCGACAGTTCCTCCATAGCGTCGTCAACGAAACGGTCCAGTTCCATGTCATGTTCGTCTGCGACATCTGACTGGGCGCCAATGCTCAATTCTGGCTGCTCTCCATCAGCTAGGTCTTCGTCTCGCGACACCATGCTATGAGTTCTCTTGCGTGATTGAGGTCCGCTCTCAAAGCCGTCTGTATCGCTCTCAGGCCTGGGATCGTACGTAAACATGCCGATCGAGTTGCGAAGAGATCTCTGCGCTTTAGCCTTTTGTATGACTTCCATTCGCTCCCGCTCTCCTGCTACCCCTTCCATAACTTTGATCAATTTCCGCCATTCTTTTGGGTCACGCTCTGGGTTGACAACATCTTGCCCGTTGAACATCTTTAGGTCAAGCGCATCGTTCCTCGATTCTGCCCAGTACCATTGTTTCCCATCTTTGATGCGGCTATCATTGAGCCGAGCCTGTTTTCGTGCCGATTCCATGCCTTTCCGACCTTTACCGAGAACGCGGTCTCCTCCAGGAAACCATAGATTCATTGCCTCGTTCTCATAATGTCGACCTAGGATACGGTTGAAGGACACTTTCAGCATCCTACTAAGATCATGCTTCAGGATCCATCTCTCGTCACGCCATGTGTACCCTGTACCGAATATAAATACGGTAGATTGGTACGGACGGCCGTCATCATAATCGTCTTTACTGGCTTGGTCAAGTCCAGTGAAGGTTAGCTGAATAGATCTGATTTTCAGTACATCTGTGACCTCAGCGCCTGAATTTTCGGGTAGGAGGCGAACCGTGTCTCCTACCAGTATGAGTTCTGAACTGATATACATTCCTTCGCAGTAGACCGAGGCTGAGGGCCAAGTCCCTTTGAATCGAAATTTTTCAACGAGCGAGAATGTCGACATAAGCGTTATCGCGTGATGGATTGTTGGGTGCCATTCGTGCTCCGGCACATTTATCAAAAACTCTCTCCAGAAGATGAATGGGCGGACTTGATGCAGGTACACATATTTATGCTGCATGGACAAGGTTTTATCCTTGCTCCCGAGTTCGGGTAAGGGTTCCACACGTAACCCGGCGTAATTGACATTCCACTCCTGCTTTTCTGCTGGTTCATGAATAAGATCTGCGATCGGAATAGATATGTCATGATGAACGGATTGCGAGACAACGCCAGCCTCCCAATTCGCCGGACGAATAAATTTTTCGGTGCCTGTATCATACACACGATACACACTACGTTCTTCGTCGTATTGCACTTCTTCGCCTGGTGTGACGTTCCTGAGAAATAACACAACATCCCCGATTCGTGGCATCCATGGAGGCCTAAGGTTGGTAGTACGCAACCACTCGAGTGTAAGCGCCCGTTCAGCGCGCCAATCCATGGATAGGGTCTCCGTTATGTCTTCATCAATGCTCCCTCGCTGCTGTAGGTCATCAATCAAGTTGCGGTACACATCAGGGGTTCCTTCGTCGTCCACTTGGGCGGTCCGGCCAAAGGGTAGCTTCGAGGGTCGCTCGACAGACTTAAAATACGCAGAAGTAGTGGGTTCCAACGGACGTCTTGTCATGGGCATTGATGGCTTGGCGGCTGATGCTGAAGTCGAGATAGACGGGGAACTGCCGAAACGATTGGCAGCGCCACCTAGAACACCTTTGCTACCGGAACAGAGAGTACAAGGGCAGCCGATGTTACTGCCTCCAGTTTCCATCAAATGCAGAAAGTGTGGGTAATACCTGTTAGGCGAGTCGAATTTGCCTCGGGGGCCTCCAAATAGCCATTTGTCTACATGCTTCGGGTGACCAGGACGGGGTCTCTCCCACAGGGTGTAGCCATGAGGCAGCCGATCAAGCCGGTATGTAACGCCGCGTTGAGCTTGCCCCCTGGTTTCCATCCATAATTGCCCGATCTTTTCGAGATAGAGCGTTGGAGGGTCGACTGGTGTGTGAGTCGCGTAACTTGGATGCACCGTTGGATCGCCGTCAGACCCAGAGTTGATTGGCACTATGACAACTACCCCAGAGGACATCTCTCTGAGCTTAGTCATGTTCGTAGGAACTTGCGAGTAGGTTCAGAAACAAAGCAGGAAAGTAGAAATAGTGGTCAAGCTAAGTGACTTGAAAACAAAACGGTGCTGGACCAGCACCTGGTCTTGTGGCACTACTCAAGCCCAAACTTATGAGAATATTCATTACTTTCCGCGATGAGTGACCAAACAAGGCGACTTACCAAAGCAAGTAGTGTTATAATGCTTGTCTGATGGGACAGCAGTGAAGAAGGGTCAAATGCTCGCTAGGATTCATTGAGAGAGGTACGCCTCAGTGAGCTGGAAAATGCCACGTAGATCTTCGCTGACTGTCCAAAGATGGATAAGAAAGTGAGTCGAGATACACATTCACAGTGTTGATGTTGGTAGATTGATATGTGCTATCATTATCGTGGATTAGGGATGAAGACCCTCGGCGCGCAGATCGGATGAGAACGAATCAGCAAAGCCGGGAAAAGCAAAGATCCGAAACTAAACTAATCCCCACTTCTCTTACTAGTTGAAGGTTCGCGGCGTGATTAGAGCTACTTCCCCGCCATTCACAGGCCAACTTGAGTTCTGGCTAATGCTGCTAGAACCGCCTCAGTCAACGCCCCATCTCTTTTCTCATGTCTAGTTGGAAGGATTCGCGCATCCATCGCTCCTAAAACGATGGGCGACGCCAAATCTTCTTCTTGTGCCCTCGGCATTGCTCTCCTTCTCGCCTTCGTTGTTTCCATCAGGTCTTTGTTGACTCTTGAGCCTTTGCGCGTGCGCCCATCGGTCAACTCGAATACAAAGAAGCGAGTTGCACAAAGAACCGCAGTGGCATCATCCTCGACGCCGCTCAAATAACGCCGAAATGGCGCGATCCCGCACCCCAGAGGGGCGGCCGTCTCCCTCGTATTTTGCGTCAATGGATTTCTTCACCAACCGATCTAAGGAGCTTCAAGCGAGCATGGCGAATCCTGAGTCGCTACCAAAACGCATAACAACCCCTGCTGGGCAGCGTCTTTCCGTTATCGTGGAGGACAAACACATGTCAACGCACTCGCGATGGACGAAATCAACAGCTGCTCTCCCAAGACAACCGATGGACTCAGTATCAGAAGGCGACAGCGTTGGCGATGAGAAACTCAATCAATTGCGAGCCCTCCGAGAAAAGAAACAGATCGCGAAAAGAGGAGGATGGAAACGCCTTGCTCTTGTGATAGTACTGTTCATCTGTGTCATCGTCGCGGTCGTCGTGGGTATCGTCTTCGGTCTGCGCGAACGGAACAAGAACAACCACCATGATTCTTCCGGGAACACTGGCAACACTTCGCCGACATCTTCAGCTCCTCCAACAGCTACCGACGCGTCTGGCAGACCGGTGGATTTCCCTGCTGGCTCATACTCCATGTCTACGTACCTGGATACCGTACAAGCGAATTGTACGGAGAACGCAGCTACTTGGACGTGCCCACCGTATCAGACCTACAACGAAAACCCCGGACAACAGCCAACAACATTCAACTGGGTCATTACTAAGGACGGTGACTCGTATAAGATTTCTCAAAACGGCAACAATCCTTTCGCTTTGTTCGATTTGGACGGTCAGACTCTTACTTTGGTCGACGAGGGTCAAGACTCTGAACGCTACACTTTCCGCATGACGATGAACAAATCGAACATGCCATCTGCAGATATCACTGGCCAGAACATCGCTTCGACGTGTTACTTCAACGGAACAACCGTTACGGGCACGCTCTACACCAAGATGGAAAGAGACTATCCTTCGTCGAATGCACAAGCATCAGCCTACCTTCCGTGGCCCTACAAAGTCAGAGTAGAACAGACTATTGCTGGAGGTGACAATGTCCCCGCCTGTTATCGGAATGACAATCAGCAACAGATCACCGATGGTCTTTCCGCACAGGGTGCGTCCACAATGTGCAGCTGTTTGTACAGGAATTGGTTGACTCCCGATCCGAACTGATGTGTACATCTTGAGGATGGTGTTTAATATACAATTGTAATGTAATATAATATGCGAGCACCCCTGCGCTTGGGTCCTTTTTGGAGCGTGGAGTACGCTGGCATTGCGGTTTCATTTGTGATCATTGCTCTGCTTTCCAGTGTGACATGTGGCTTCAATAGAATATATTGAGTTTTACCTTATTCTGAAATGTTTACGCAGCGTCTACGTTGTCTTGAAATTATCAGTGTGAAAGCAAGTGTAAAGAGGAACCATTGGTTGGGATTTTGTCCGATGGACGGAATGATTGATGGATCCGTGCGTCCTGGGTGAACCCTGAGGTCATCCACCATCCAAAGTCTGGCGCGGCGGAGCTTTCAAAATACAGCTACAGCACTTTTGTGTATTAGTTACTCCCTGCATATCGCTGCCGTCCCTCTACCTTCTCTACTCACCTCTGCTCTCTCTTCTACCTCTCTTTCAATCTCGGATATCCTCCACCCGTTTCAAGATGGCGCTCGCATGGTACGGTCCTTAATGCTTGAAGCATTCGTCGTTAAGCTCAACCACTGACGTAGCTATACATCTAGGTATCAAGCAAAGGTTGCGCAGAGCCCTCTCATGACCCAGAGCATCACAACTGCTGTAAGAGCTCCCTCTTGAGCGTCCAAGCCTTGAACCACCGTCTCAAGCCTTCAATTGGCATCAATCGAGCATCGGCCCACGCCTGCCCCGCCATGGCTCTCTCCCACCACCTCTCAAGATCCAGGATGAAGAGCTCAAGCTAACTTCACACCCCCCAAACCAAGGTCCTTTTCGCGACTGGTGATGTCGCCGCCCAACAAGCCGTCGAAGGCGTCGAGAAACATAACTATGCCCGCACCGGTCGCATGGCCCTCTACGGCGGTGGTACGACCCTCTCTCTCCTTCCCTTGCCTCAAGACCACCCCCTTATCACCAATCGAAACATTTATGCACACTTTTAATGACGTCAACCAGCAATCTTCGGTCCTGCTGCGACAAAGTGGTACCAGCTCCTCCAGCGCAACATCAATCTCCGCTCGCAAAACGCCACCATAGCCGCACGCGTCGCCGCCGACCAGCTGATCTTCGCGCCGACCAACTTGGCCTTCTTCCTCAGTAGCATGGCATACATGGAGGGCGCAGACCCAAAGCAGCGAGTCAAGGACGCATATGTGCCCGCGTTGACAAAGAACTTCATGGTGTGGCCGGGCGTGCAGGCTATCAACTTCAAGTTTGTGCCGCTGGACCAGCGCGTGCTTGTGGTGAACGTGGTCAGCTTGGGCTGGAACTGCTACTTGAGCTATGTGAACAGCTCTGGTGGGAAGAAATAGGCGTGCGGGTGATGTTGGCCTTGGGCTTCTTGTGTGTGTGAAACCGGGTTCACGGAGACTTCTGGCTGTGAGGCACGTCGAGCATTGCTGGCGTTTGGACTACTGTTCGAGCATCCATATTCCTACTGTAGGCAGATACCCCCTCTTCTCTGGCCTGTCAACTTTTCGTAGTTGTACCTAGGCATTCAAGTGCAATACAAAGAATTTCTATGCAGGGACACAAAACCCATCATCTACGCATGTGCTCGAGCTAGATACCGCGTAATATTACATAATATACAGTATATACAGATACAACGTTTCTTACATCCAATTTTCACACAACGCCTCGAACATCCTCCTCGCCTGGTCTACCTTCAAGCTCGCACCCGGCGCACCCTTCTCATTGTATGACACTTTCTCCCTTCCGTATATCGGAATGCCATGTTCCTGCAGTATATCGTCTGCCGCCTTTCCCATCCCTTGTCTCGCCCACGTCCGATGCCACACCTTCAGCGCCACAGTCCCCTCGTCAAGCTCATTATGTCCGACAACAGCCCCAAAATGGAAACCCTTGAGCCGCGCCTCGCCAATCTTGGCACTGAGCGATATGCCCCGCGTGTCCAGCGTTATTGGCAGACGCAGCGTATTGAGGGGCTGGGGGGAGGTGGATGGACCGGGTGTGCGGCCATGCAGGATATCGTGCACTTTGAAGGCATAGTTTACTATTTCAGGCTTGTCGTTGAGCGTGAAGATGATGATGGGTCGGGGTGTGAGCCAGAAGGGGAGCGGCTTTGTTTTGTAGTCGGGGGCGCCGTGGGTGCGTGTCATCAAGATGTGCATGAAGCGTTCGATGCTGCCGAAGGCGGCGCGGTGGATCATGACTGGGCGATGTGATTTCTGGTCCGCGTCTTTGTAGCTGAGTTCAAAGCGTTGTGGGAGCTGGAAGTCCAGTTGGATTGTTGCGGCCTGTAAGGGTTCGCCGTAGCGCGTGTTGTCGGGGATCTGGATGTCGATTTTGGGGCCGTAGAAAGCGCCGTCACCTGGGTTGAGTTTCCAGGGAAGGCCGCTGTCTTCGAGAGCTTGTTTGAGATGTGATTCGGCGGTTGACCATTGGGAATCCTCGCCTATTGCACTTCCGTCGGTGGGCTTGGTGCTGAGTACGAGGTTAAAAGGGGGTAGGTCGAAGGTCTGGTAGACCATGCGGACGAAGCTGAGTTCCTTCAGAATTTCGTCTTTGATTTGCTCGGGCGTGCAGAAGATATGACCGTCGTCTTGATGAAAGCGACGCACCCTGGTCAGACCACGAAGTGAGCCAGAGTTCTCATTGCGATGGAGAGGGCTAAAGTCAGCGTAGCGGACTGGGAGTTCTCTATGACTCCAGGTTCGGTTACTGAATAGGACGCAGTGGCCCGGGCAGTTCATAGGCTTCAACCCAAACTCTTCGTCCTCGCCCACTTCTCCATCCTTGGTCGTACCAGTTGCTCCTCGACCAACAACGGAAAACATGTCTTGGGCATAGTTTTCCCAATGTCCTGATCTTTCCCATAACGACTTTTTGTATATAGTAGGTGTAACAACTTCAGAGTATCCTTGTTCTGCATGTTGAGCGCGGAGGAACTCGACCAAACGGTTGAAGACGTATGCGCCATCGGCATTGAAGAGTGGTGAGCCGGAACTGTAGTGGGATGTTTGGTATAGCCCGACAGAGTCGGCACTGAGTCGGCTATCGGATGAAGGTTTAATAGCCTTGCCATTATATTCCTTCTTGATCTTCAAAGATCCTGAGGTTGAGGGTGCGCCCGAATTCACATCGATAGGATGCGAAGGCGCTTGCTCGCTTTGCTTCCGGACTGCAGTGCACGAGCATGTTCGTTTGTATGTAGGTGAGAGGACGTAAACATTAGGCTGGGCCGACCGGGCACATCGCGATACCTGCGAGATGCTTGAATGAAGTCGAAGAGCTCGCATTGCGAGCAATGTGAATAGCGGCTCGGTACGCGATATGCGAAGACCTGAAAGAAGTTCGCGACATTGGACCTAGCGCGTCCAAGGGTCCGCCATAGCTCTAAATTGTGGCTGGTGATGTCTATCGATAAGACTCTGCTATGGGTAGTGTAGCACAGCCACATTATGGTTGTGCCGTTGAAGGCTCCGGGGCGGCCACTCTCGCTCCACTAAATAATTACTGAATACTGACTACAAGCTATTTCTATATTATACGGCACGGTAAAATCATATAGTTTTGCTCGCATGTAGTGTCTCATGGCTCACCTATAGTTACTATAGCTGATGCCATACTCGATGAAGAGGCGCCCACAGTATGGAAAAAGAAAAAGGAAACCAAGCAGGGCTAGGAAACTGGGAGCTCATGACGCACCGCCATGGATATGAACGCCACTCCACTCTCAACGTGAAGGCAGCCTAATGCAACTTCACATTCCTTTCTCTTACATCAACTATACGGTCTGTGTATCATATATAATGCTTCGTAGACCCTCGCATCACTCTTTACGTTTTCAGTGTTCCGTCAAACGTCTCCAGCATCTAAGCGCCCGGCTTGACGCTAGATAGCTACGCCTGCCAACAGGGGAGTTGTATTCTGTCAAAGGTCATACTTTACCGTTGCGTTTCTCTCACAAGTTTGTACTTCCACTCATCTGCCACCCTTCAAACTTGGTTATCTACACCTGCCATGGCACGATCAAGCAAGAGTGGCCAGTCATCCGGCTTAGGCGACTCGTGGGCAACGGAGGAGTATCACGATGATCTAGACGCTCATATCAGCAGTGGAAGTAGTTTGGAAGCAGATACGACTGATGACCTTGAGGGCGAGTCCGAAGAAGAGATCCAGACACCTCCGCGTTCTTCAAAGAGGGACTCGCGCAATAGTCGTACTCCAGGCTCTGGTAAGGGCAAAGCGTCAGCTCTCGGTACGACCCAGACTCTACAGTCAAAGAATGCCACGCCCATCAGGAAATCATACCGCGTTAGCCCCAAGTCAAACTCAGTGGAGCCATTGCAGTCGTTCATAATGCCTTCTATGAGCGAGGATCAGCCTGGCAGCTCCTGGATCAAAGCCTCCGCGAACAATGCTACTAGGTCGCCCAGACGGAGGACTGCCGCGACCCCAACACATTCTTCGGCTCGAATGCGAAAATCAACAAGTATCATGGATAATTCACGTCGAAAGGCTTTCAGCCATTCCACCGGATCACCACGACGTCCGTCAAAGATCCGCCACGAACAGCGTGACCCAGCACAGCCATTTCTAATTCTTGGTTATATCTGTTCTACTATGAAACCTCTCACAGACTTTGCACTGTCAGTATTTGGCATGATGATGGAAATGCTGAAACCTCTGATCGCCACCATTGGTGTCGTACTGGCCCTATACTTCTCCATCAGAGCCGCCCAGTCCTCTCTTACCGCCGCCCTGGCCCCTATGTGCGCCATTCCTGGTGTCTCATTCCTTCACCTGCCTTTCTGTGAGCAGAGATCACAATACCAGGCATCTATTGAGTTTGATCAACTTGTCAATGCCCAGTCCGCATTCGAAGAAGTGTTGTCATCTTCAACTGAAATCGCCGGCCTCCCTTACGATATGAAACGGAGTGAAGCTTCTATCCGCGACCTTCGCTCTGTGATCCAGCATTCATCCATCCCATCGCGCAATGAGCTCTCCTTTGAGTTTAGTAGCTTCATCGACGCGGCTCGTCACGCCTCTGCCGACCTAACCAAATTTGACACCCGTATCGGAGGCGCTGTGGACAAGATCATATCTACCAATCGCTGGACCTTGCAAGTTCTTGGTTCTCTCCAGAACGATGAAGCGTCCAAAGGCGCTTTGTCCCGGACCTTTAGTGCCATAAATCCTTTCAGCTCGTCTTATAGCTCTCAGCACAAAATTTTGACGCAGTATCTGCGCCATGCTGCCGCCGTCGAAGACCAAGTTAATTCTGTCATTGCCGAAGCTCAAGGTCTTCTACTCCTCCTCAATATTCTGGACGAGCGTCTCGATACTATTGCTTCGATCGCCGCACGCGACGGCTATACTGTTAAAGATGCGCGTGATGAACTCTTCTCCTCGCTCTGGACTAAACTTGGCGGCAATACCTCCGCTCGCAAGAAGATTGACGAGAATCTCGGTTTGTTGCGTAGTGTGGGCAATTACCAGAAAGTCGCGTGGCGTCATGTCAGCGAGACGGTGGTCAAGCTACAGGAGATCAGCGCGCAGCTAGAGGACTTACGCGAGAGGGTGGCGGCACCTGGACTTGTGGGTGTCAGAGCAGATCTTCCGCTGCATCTGCATATCGAGAACATATTGTTGGGTGTGGAGAGATTGGATGGGGTGCGTGGGGAGAACAGGCGGGTGCAGGGGGATTTGTACCGCAGAATGGTGGCGGGAGACATTCCACTGGAGGGAGTAAAGGTGGTGGATGCAGATGTCGGAAAGCAGTCGTGGTGAAGACATAAAGATGATATGTTGCACTGCCTATGCGGCGCTTGAACGGCTTTAGCAATTCTAGTATAGTGTTGAGCGAGTTCTTTCTATAAAGCTCGATGTCTAAGTTTTATCCTATATTCTCGCCCCTAACCTCCTGTACACACCTCCTAACACCCCCAACCTCGCCACACATGAATTCTACGTTCCTGCATATCATTCCCAGCTTTTGCGCCTCCTCCACAAACCCATCCATACTCCCTCCTACCCCAAAATACACTTTCTTCGCAGCTACGAGTGCTCTCGCGCCCGGCGCACGAGTGAGCAATCTACTCAACACAGAAGAAAAAGTGCGCGTAGCAGCTGGGGAGTAAATTGTTTCAGACGCGAGGATGAGTGTCTCTACTGGCGATGAAATGTTCAGTGGGTAATTCGAAGGCATTGCCGACGGTGGCAAAAGCGCGTCGAACGACTCCGTCGCCCAGGAGCCTCCAATCAGTGTAATTCTGACTTCGTGCTGGAGTAGTGCTTTGAAGGCTTCTACGAGTGCAGGTGTAATCTCCAACGAGCCATTCTCCTGCCAGCTCTCACTACCAAAGGCTAACGGATTCGGATTTTCTGGGGCAAATGGATGTGTTTTGGCGGGAAGTGTCGATGCATATGTGAGGAGTAAATTAGGCAGAGTGGCATGTGTGAGAACGGTAGAATTGTAATCCGTTATTGTTAGTGTTAGGCCCTCAGGCTCCGCTTCGCCGCCAGCCAGTACGGTTCGCGATCTTAGATACTGCCATAGAACTGTGGCGCTTGGGAGTGCTGTTCCTGCGCCTAGTTCAATGACAGTTCCGGGTCTTTTACCACTGGTCGCAGAGTCGAGTAATAGGGCCACTAGATCTAAGCTACACTCCCACGTCTTGAACCCGCCTTCGTACACATTCGTTCGGATGTCCGCGTCGTCTAGGCCCGCAAGGAGAGCAGGTGAGTCTGATTCATCTTCAGCGATAAGCTGAAGGCGTATGTCGAAGAGTTCGCGGCGGGGCAGGCGGAGTGTTGTGCCGCCGGGTGATGTTATTGAGATTGTGGTGTATGCGATTTGCGACGGGAGGATGGAGAGCTGGGAATGTCAGAATGTTCTGGAAGATATTGACAAGATGTGGGTTTGGGCTGGAGGGGATGAAGGGGCTGAACAAAGCATAACATGATGCTTGTGCTGATCATTGTTTGCATAACGACATGCTCGATGCTGATGCTTGAATTACGCGATGTGGTTTAGCGCCGGAACTCCGACGGATTTCCGGGTGACGAAATCTGGTCAGAGAGGACGTAAGTCCGAGCAGTTTTGGGGCGAAGGGTATCCATGCAGTACGATATGTGTACTTGAAGTAGTAGGAGGCCTAAAAACTTACCAACGCGTCAATATCAAGTTTTTGTGGGGGTATCAAGTTTATGCTCTCCGTTTCATTGCTCGCAGAAGTAGAGGGTTCGCTCTGAGATGCTATGTTCAAAGTCTCGTCATCGGAATCATCACCACCGCTAAAGCCGAATGAAAAACCTTGTGACATGATGATTCATCGTTGTAAGGGTTTGGCCATTAAGTTGCACTGGTGTTGATGACAAGGCAAATCCTCTAGTCAGGTTTTCCAACATTTAGCTTGGCACTTATGTAAGCCCCAAACCAGCTCCCGACTTTCACTCCTAGTATCGAGGATGGAACTCCCTGTACCTGGCCTTAGCATCAACGCCGACTGCAGTGAGTGCAGGATCTCTTGCCAAGGCAATATGATGATGGAACTACCTAGCGCTAACGGAGTTGCGATGCTCCAGCTTGATAGTGAGACGCAAGGCGGCGCTCATGCTCAGGCGATTGCTGAAGACATATAAGAAGCAGCCATAGACACTTCATTGTGAAGCACATCTTCCAATCGATCCCCAGCTTGGTATATCCCGGATTGCCCTTGACTCTTGTCTAATTTCGGAATCTTACGCACAGAATCCGCTTCTCCCAAATCAAAAGATCAATCAAACACTACAGAGGATATCTGCTCGTTCAGCATATTCAGCATGTCCAACGATTCATTCCATCCATATGCCGACCGCCATGTCAACCCCAACGGTGCAGGCGACGCTCGTCCCACAGCCCTACAGGTTGTGCAGGATGAGGGTCTGGTTGGAAAATTGAGTGACAAAGTCGTGATTGTCACAGGCGCAGCCAGTGGTATTGGCGTTGAAACTGCTCGCGCCATGCACGAGACGGGTGCGAAGGTGTACATCATGGTTCGTGACACTAAGAAAGGTCAAGAAGTCGTGGACGAAATTCTGGAGAATAGTTCGATCAAGGCAGACATGGGTGTCATCCAAATCGACCTTGCTTCGCTCGCTTCTGTTCGCAAAGCTGCACAAGAATTCCTCAGTAAGGAGAGCAAACTCAACATCCTCATCAACAATGCTGGAGTCATGGCGATTCCAGAGCGAACGCTCAGTATTGACGGCGTAAGTGCTGATGTGCATTCGTTTAATCCTTTACTAACTAAGCTTGAGCATGAACAACAATTCGCGGCCAACTACCTAGGTCATTTTCTTTTATTTCAACTACTCAAGTCGACACTCCTTTCTTCAGCATCGCCGGGCTCAGATTCGCGGGTCGTAGTCGTGTCTTCGAGTGGCCACCGCACGCAGCCACCTCAATTCCAGGACCTTACCTTTGAGAAGAATTACAGCCCTTGGGGTGCATATGGCCAAGCAAAAACAGCCACCATTTGGATGTCGAATGAGATCTTCCGACGTTATTCTTCTCAGCATCTCACATCAACATCCCTCAACCCAGGCGGGATCTGGACACCTCTTCAGCGACACGTCTCGAAGGAGACACAGGAATCATGGGACAAGGATCCGAATGTGCCGAAATTCATGAAGAGTCCTGAGCAAGGGGCGGCGACTTCAGTTTGGGCAGCGATCGGTAAGGTCTGGGAGGGTAATGGCGCCAAGTACCTCGAGGACGTTGGCTTGTCATACGAAGTTGATAAAAGCGGAGATGTCAGTCCTGGTGGTTACGCTGCTCATGCTTTTGATGCTGAAGGGGCAGAGAAGATGTGGAAAGTCAGTTGTGAGCTCACAGGGGTCAAAGATGACTGAAAAGTGTATGAAAGTCCACACCTGAATATCTCACTGCAACAATGAGGACGTCTCTGGTCTGTAAACATGGAGCTAAATTTTGTATATGTGCAATCCCTGCTTCGAAATGGATGCAATTTCGTAGCTGCTTCAATCCTGAATTGTTTATGGAGTACGAGCATTTTTAACTAGCCTCGGCTACGCAGCGGGGGTCGGCAAATCGAGTGACCCGGTTATGTTCTCTACAGATACATGTTCAGGATACATAGAGTAATTCGTTGACGGGCTAATTATCTTTGTATACCAACATGCCGGACTTTACAGATAATCTCAAGCCTCTATATGATGGTGCAGCAATCTTGGAACACGAGCGCAGCCGATCCTTAGTGAACATCGACGAGCTCTCGAGACATCTACTATCCCGCAATGGCTTTCTCGAACGCCAAGCTCGAGTCTTAGCAATTATCGAAAGGGAACAGCTGTTTTCAAAGAAGCAGCAATTGAACCTTTCGAGACCTGTAAGTTAGGAGCCTTGGGAAATGACATGCTGCATGTCTAGCCACTCAAACTCGCAGGAACGCTATCATCTCGGCCTTGCCCGGGCAAAAGCACTTCGTCGTCTCACCAGGAAGCATGGCTGGGACTTCGAAGACTATCGTATGGCAGAGTATCTCACCGACGAGATGTCACCGTATTTTCTGCACATGAGCATGTTTGCGACGACCGTTCGTGAGCAAGCCTCTGACGACCAGAAGCGGTACTGGATGCCCAAAATCGAGGCTTGGGAGATGATCGGGGCTTATGCACAGACAGAGTTAGGTCATGGAAGCAATGTAAGGGGGTTGGAGACTACCGCTACGTATGATGTGGTAAAGAAGGAATTTGTTATTCATAGTCCAACTTTGACGGCTTCGAAGGTATGATCACAGTGACGACTAGCGGTAGCATGAGCTGATTGATCTAGTGGTGGAATGGCAGTATGGGAAGGACAGCCACGCATGCGGTAAGTCTTCAAGGGCAGGAGGCTAAGTACTTAGGCTGATTCACCTTCAGATAGTAGTAGCTCAGCTCATGCTCCCGAAGAAAGGCCATATAAGTCAATTTGAGTCTTACGGTCCGCATCCATTCATCGTTCGTATTCGTCAGGAAGGCACACACCTTCCACCAGACGGCATCGTCGTTGGCGATATCGGGGCCAAGTACGGCTATACGTCCATGGACAATGGATATATGCTATTCAACAACTACCGTGTTTCCCACTCCGCAATGCTCGCCCGATACTCCAAAGTAGATCAGGACACGGGTACCTTCTCTAGGACGGGTAATCCGGCTGTCGTCTATGGTTCACTGACGAATGTACGTGCCAATATCATCATGCACGCCAGATTGATCCTCGCTCGGGCGGTCACCATTGCTGTAAGATATACGTCCGTTCGAAGACAGTTCAGAGACCGAGACTCCAAGTCGACCACTGAGCCTGAGACAGCAGTCCTTGACTATCCTACTGTACAAATACGTCTTTTACCATTGTTGGCAACGGCTTTTGCGTTGCATTACACTGGCGACTCAATGTATAACCTGTACAATCAAACGAGAAGTGGGATTGAAAAGGGAGACTTCACAGAGCTTGCAGAGCTCCATAGTACCTCATCGGGGCTGAAGGCCCTGTGTACAACGTATGCCGCTGATGGCATCGGTAAGCCATCCCAGGGGGCCCATGTATCACATACTAATGAGTACCAGAAACGTGTCGAAGAGCTATGGGTGGCCACGGGTTTGGTGGAGGAAGTGGCTTAATCAATATTAATAACGAGTAAGTCATCTTCAAAATAAGGTAAGCTTAGGACTCACTTTAGATAGTTACTTATCTAAGCCAACCGTCGAAGGGGATAACTGGATGATAACCCAACAAATGTCGAGTCACTTGATCAAAAAAATGACGGCTGCTGTCAAGAGACCAAACGCCGAACCTGTTGACGCCACAGACGAGCTCTTCAAACGCTATCTACAGCAGCAAAAAGCGCGTAAACCCGCCGACGCCGTACACTGGATGTCTATCGATGACAACGCAATTGTCGACGCGTTCCAATGGAGAGCGGCAGATCTCGTATGTACCTTTCAATTCTATCATGCCAAACTAACAATACCAGACATACCGTGCATACCAGGATCGCGTAGAGAGAAAGAAGCCCTGGAACTCCCTCCTCATCCAACTCCACAAACTTAGCAAAGCCTTTTCCGAATCCATCGTTGTAACAAATTTCCATGCTTCCCTCAGGTCAAATAATATTCCTTCCGAAACCTCAACAGTGATACGCGATCTCTACCGCTTGTACGCGCTCCACACCATGGACACCGATGCACGATCCTTCGCAACAACCACCGCCGCAACTGATTCCACGCTGGACGCTCTTTCAGACGCAATCCTCAAATTGATGACGAGTATTAGGCCTCATGCGGTCAAACTGGTGGATAGTTGGATGATGCCTGACTACCTGCTAGATAGTGCGCTGGGAAGGTATGACGGGAAGGTGTACGAGGCGTTGTATGACATGGCACATAGACAGAATCCGTTGAATCGGACTGTATTTAATTGGGACTGGAGGAGTGAAGAGATCGTGCTGGGAAGTGGGGATGGGGGAAAGCTAGAGTCAAAGCTTTGAGGTCCAAAGAAGATTGTAATGTGTAGTGTAAAGTTAGATAGGTCATTGCTACCGTGCTATTGAATGTAACAGGATAAGCGAAATCTCGTTGGCGATATGACAAAGGCTGAGTATGTTACAGTCATCAAACAGAAGGTTGCGTTTAATTTCACAGGCACCAGCAACGTACAGACCATGTGTGGATATAGCCCTGCTGTGACCTGTATATAGCATGTACGTAATATCGCCTTACTTCTTCGAGACGCTGTACGGCCGATAAAGTGACCATGGAGGTGACTTTGTTTGCCGCTGATAGCCCATTGTCATCTTGACCCTCTAGTGGCTGGCTCTTTTGCCAGCAAGTCTGCTAAAGACGGATCGATTGCCACAGCACCTTTGGCTACTAATGGACGACCATGACCTATCTCTTAACAAATCATGAGCTCTTGGAGACGTGATATGCGAGTGGCAGCCAGCTTTACTGTCTCACAAGCAAGACGATTATCTCTAGTATGGGTTGATGGAGGCTCTGAATATACGTCTGGAGCAACTAGTATCATGCTCAGCGTTCTATAACCATAGAAAGCTTCACAATCGACAAGCCTTGTAGACATTTTCAAAGACTCTGGGGTATTGATCATGCACTAGCAACACAATACGTCGTGAAGGTAGTGAGTGCTCTGCAATTTGGTACACATCCTGTCGCGCATAAATGCACAACAAAAACGCATTCATCCCAGCCTCGACACGCCTCAGCTTCGCATGAAATATAGTAACATACTATCGCAAAGCTATTTGCACACTTTCAGGCCACATGGGCCTTTTCTTCGGGTCACAGGGCTCAAGCTGGGGCCCTGGGCCGAGAAAGACTCACTCGAACAAAGAACAGTCAAATCACAACGCTCTGTCTTGGAATCTGCTCTCCATATCAGAATCCACACTCTTCTGTATCATGATAACTTCCAGAGACTCCAGCCACTAGCCTCTCAACGTACTTACACAAGCCATCGTAAGCATCTAGTTCGCTGCCTCTTATCAGCCATTTGTATATTCATGCTGTGTATTCATTCAAAATGTGCGAGAGCCTGGAGTATGCTTATGTGATTCGCGTCGCGTCTGATGCGCATGGTATGTTAGACCACGAGCCCTTGGTCGGTCCACCCTGTCGAAGAAGAGCCTTGCGAAGGAGTGTGCGAGACTGCATCCGCTGGATACTACCATGTCTCTTGCTCTCTCATTCTTGTTTATCTATTCTCTCCTGACAAAACGCACTTCTTGGACCACTCGATTGTAGTAAAGACGTACTAACGGCTGTCAGTGAGAATTTACTGCAAAGCTCTTAAACCATATTCATTTCCCTCCAGTCGTCCTTGCACCCTCAGGGGCTGCACCGTTATTACAGATACTTTTGGGATCGTTGTCCATGACGGTAGCAGTTATCCCTCGCAGCATAGATTCAATGGTTTGAGATGTGTATCTGCCCGAGCGAGGCCATACGAGGCATGCACGGCTGAACGTTCACACGTTCGAGTACGGGATATCCAATGTTCTAGCTTGTAATTCTGCTGTCTTTATCTTCACTCTGAACTTATATTCAATCCCTGTGGGCGCCATGCGCGCTCTTGTCTCGCCTGCCTATTTTTTCTCTTGGTCAGCTCTCTTTCCCCTCCCCTTTATCGTATCTCGTATCCATTCGTTCTATGGATCGCCTTACAGCCCTAGTCGGTTCCGTGTCTCTTCTTTCGTGAAGATCTTACTCAAACACAACTTCAAATTCATCTTAGAGGCGCGCAATCGCTGGTGTCGCGAGTCTTGCATGATGCCGTGTACCTCGACGGGTTGACTGTCTTCCTAATGGACCGCGTAGCGGATGTATAACTTCTAGGACGTGTACGGAGGAAGGTACATGAGATGTACAGAGGAAGGTATAGTGCTTGTTCGCTAGTATAAGGTAGGTCTTGGAGGCAGAGGTTGAGCTGGGGCACTGAGAACAATGGCTATTTGACTGGGCTTGGTACGGTTGTAGCTGATGTCTGGCAAGCGCGTTTGCAGAAGGCTCGTTGTTCGGTATATCTATTAGTTGGCTTCGCGTAGAACTAAATACATCTAGAACTGTTATTCCTTCTCTTTCTTTGCCTGCGCCACTGCGCGCGCCACTTGCTTATCTCTTACACTATGTGACAGTCCCTGTATAGACCTTTCTTGCTGTGGAGAACTTCGTTGGCGAGTGGAACCAGTTTGTGATCTTCCATATTTTAGACTCTGATACTCCTCATACTACTCCTGTTGTTAAGACTATGTTGATAGGATATCTTTCTCTTGCGCTTGATAGCCAGCTCTTTCTTTTACTTGTCTCGCCAGTGGGAGGCCAGTCCCCGCGAAGGCCAGATGCTTGTGACGAGCATTGAGTATGCAGGAACGATGGCTGAGACTCTGCTACATCTCTTGAATCAAGTGCCCTTGCCGTCTGAAGAGTTTGTCTCTCTCTCGAGGCTCTCAACTGTGCATTCTCCTTGTGCGTTGGTATTATGATTCTATTGCACCAGTCTGGACCTATTGAGCCTTTTTTTTCTTTTCACACACGGCTATTATCTCTTACCTCTCTATTTTTGTGTCCGTAAGGTAGTGTATTCCTTTTGGAAATTCGGTGACGACGACCAGAAAGACGATGAGCTGGAGTTCTTCGCCTGGTAGGAGGAGAGGGTATTTGTAGGACTAGGAGAGTAAGGACTGATAATTGAATTTACTGCGTACAATTGCTGTAATTGCAGTTAGGCATTCTTTGTGGTGAGATTGCAGTCCGGACTCTGCTGCTGTTCCCCTTGTCCAGTACTTTGACACAAATCGCAAGTCTTGGCAAAAACAGGAGTTTGCCCAGTCACGCAAAACATTCCCACACCCGTTTTCTCAAGAAACTGGGCATTAGTTTGGTCCCAGATACCGCATCATACCAAAAGGCTTATATACGACCGTCTAGCTACGTGGTATACTAAGCAGATATACCAGCAACTACACCCAGCTATGATGGCAACCTACGTCAAACCCGCTCTCTAGAATCTCTGGTATTCCCTAATTTTTCTCGTACAGATACATACAACATAGATTCCAGGAGCACACCAAGAAAAACTTATCTCAATGTAGACATACGCTTTCACTGGATGTCTGAGACTCCAGCCATTCGCACATTCTACGTCCAACGCAATAATGAACCTATCTAAGGTCCAAGTAGATTGATTCATGATTTAGATTCTGCGCGTTACCGTCTCTGAGTGCAAGCTTTGCTCAACCTACGGCCTGTTCTCCGGCAACCGTTAGAGGAGGTAGTATGATTGTCTACTAATATTTAGAACTCTTATGGCCACTTGGAGCTATCCTGGTCTCAATGAGATAAGTGCCTTCTATCAATCTACTGGGTCTGCGTTCTGACTGAGTCACAGGATTCCAGCCCTATAGTGTACTTCAATTGCGTCTCGATGACCACTGCCGCCCATCTACCTTCCTTCCAGGGCGAACGAATACAAATATCCAGCACAATCAAGATAAATATACAAAGAAGTGGAAGACATGATATCTGACATCGACCGCCCTTCACAGAACTCTGCCGCCACAAGAACAGGGGATAGTAAAGTGTCAAATGAGGGCAAGCACTGAAAGCTAAATCGCTGGAGGCCTTTGTCAAGATACATTACGATATTAGCTGCTAGATAATCAATGGCGGTTTTGGGCAGCAGTGTATAACACATACTCAGATAATAGGTACTACGGTTCGGGTTGGAATCAGTCTATATTCTCGTACCTTGCATAGAATATCGCAATAGAAGTTCAAGGGTTGAGTCTCGTGTCTTGTGTCTCGTTCAGTTCATACATGGCTGCAGTGAGCTTTATGATTCATTTAACACACCAATGGTAACAATGTCGTATTTTGATGGTTTTGGTATTTGAGAATGGGTAGCACTTCGTCGGGACTGCCTTGCCTCTATAGAGGGCTATATTGAAAGTAATACTCACTAGTCGTGAGTTCTATACCTCTTCCATCTTTCTCAAGTGAGAGTGGTTCTGTCTGAATGAGCGGTTGTCTCTTGTCAAGGAAGGCAGTCTTGGAAGAGTTCTACCTAGCTCAGTGCCCTGTCTGTTGTAGGAACTGGGCCATACCAGCGCTTTTGTCTCTTCTTTCCGTCTGTATATATACCAGCTATGAGTTGCCTTGTCAGTCTTTCCCTCCATATGGAACTCTCATTGCCGGCCATGGAGCTGCAGTCAGATGCTCGGGCCAGTGCCCCTGAGTGCTACCTAAGGAGATGAATCAGCACTGAGCTAGGCTATCTGCTTTCAATGGCGGTCTGACAAGGGTATCGTGAAGCCTTGTGAATAGGCTCGTGCTATTCGAAAGCCTGTTTTGAGTCGTCTGACCTTGGTTAGCTCGATCATTTCGCCGCTCAATACCACGCTAGCCCGAGAGCTGTTCGCTTATAACATTTCATTTCCCGCCTGATCTCCATCTTTCTTCCATCCCACAACATCACCCTGTTTTTCAACCAGACTTTCTACCGCTCATCTCAAAAATCACACAAATCACGTTACAACCTTTTCACTATCACAATGGCACCAAAGAATGGCACCAAAGCAATCGATTGGAAAGATCCGGGTGCTGATGCTAAGGTGAGTTCAAGGAGGGCCTTGGATATCTCCATACCGTTTGGTTTGAACTTAAAATCTGACTGTGAACAGCTTCTCGCAGCTATCTTGATCTGCGCCGATCTCAAGATTACCAGTGAGCTTAAAGCGAAGATCAATGTCTTCCTCGGACTCGGTATGTCTCCATTGCTTGCTCACTTCACATCACCTACTCTTGATTTTCTCGCTATTTCATGACCCATACTAACAACTAGGTAGACCCAAAGTCTCAATCAATTGATCATCGCATCCGTGCGGTCAAGAAGTCTGCCGAAGTGCAAGATGATGCGAACGACAGCGAGGCTTCAGTGAAGCCCATCAAAGCAATCAAGAAGAGAGTTCCCCGCGATACCTCTGAGGAAGGTTTTCAGGCCCAGTCCCCACCCAACAAGATGCGCAACACTCGCTCTTACCTGAAGAGGGAGAGCAGTTCCGAGTACGAGTGATCTTTCGAGCTGGAGCAAGCTCCAAAGCTCTGTGAGCTTGGGAAGACGCCACTTCTTGTGCAGTCTGGGGGGTCAAAACCCGGGCTCAATATGGGAGACCCGAGGTTTCAACAGCAGTGGGAGTAGCTATTTTATATAGCTAGGAGTGCAAATGAATGGTTTCGCAAGTTGAAATGCTTTGAGATGTACACTTGCACCGAGTGAATACACTTTGTTTACTTTGTGAACCCGTATTGGTAAGCGTATTGCTGACCTGCATACAGACTAGGCTTTCCTTTATGGTCCTTTACATCAATGTATTAAACCCTCAACTACTGCGTTGGTCGTAGAATACGACTATTGAGTCACGAAAGCTGTAAAGTTCTCTTCTGCCATACTACAAAGCAGTACCGTGGGGTTTGTTCTCATAATTGCAGTAATGACCGAAGTCTGCGGGCTGTCATATTGATGTGGTATCACTCTTCCAAACGAGAAAGATGCGCCAATTCCTCTTATGCCACATCAGCTTTCTTTTGCTGGTATCCGATGCTTCTGATCTAACCTGAGCGGCACTTAGCCGGAGTAGTGAAAGGTCAGCTGGGTAGGAGATATCTTGGAGACATCTTGGAGACTGTGATAGACGTTAGTTGTACTTGTCGGGGCTGATTCCAAAGCCTTTGGCTGTGGTGGATGCTGTTGAGAAGATGATCAGCTCGATATCTGAGCCGTATAGACCGTACAAGAGTCGTCAGCGTGCGAGGAACCTGTAAATCAGGACGATATAAGCTGGATTAGGCTATTGTATCAGAGATTTCGATATTCGCAAGTCTTCATACACAGTTCATAAGTTGTAAATATTGTAATGAGCTCGGTGGTGACTGGTCTCGCCCTTGAGGTGATCTTCAGACATCAAGTAGACGGTGATTGGATCGCGTCAAAATTATCTTCAGAGATTCCTTCCTTTGCAAACAGCTTTATGATTGCAAAAGTTTGACTTCTGCTTCGCCAACTTCCACGATGACGCGTTTCGTCTCTAGAGGATAATCATGACCACGCCTCTAGCTAGCCATATTTCCAGGTTTTCTCGCCTGCTATGATGGCAGTATACAGACCCTGGTTCCTGTTGATGCGGTGCATAGAACTAATGAAATCAAAGTTCGGCGCCAGGGCAGAAGTGACTTTTCGGCCAAAGGTCAATCCCTTATTTTTCCGCCACTATCAACCACACAGTCCTCACTTACGAGAGCGATGGCTTTTTTTAAAGACCTTATCATAGTCTGGTGTCCCACTGATGTGATACCTTCTTGTTCTTGATGTCACTGACTCAGGACTACGGTGAAACATTTGTATCAAGGGTATATTTCTTTTGTCAACTTTGTCTCTTTCCCTGATTCTTCGATCGTATTCTTCTCAGACTTCTCCATTTCTCGCGTACCGATATTTAGATCCTAGACTTGGACGCCTCGTTAAATTCTCCAATACTAATATTACACGATCAGACCACCCGGGTATCATTCAACATGATCAGAATTGTAACAACACAAGTACATTCCCTTGCGAGACTTCTCCTTTGTACTGCTTTGCAAGCAATGAATTTTCATCGTCAAGTAGAACCATGCCCTTCGAATTGTAGAACGAGCATGGAAAACATTCAAGTATCGACCTCGTTTTCAACTTAAGATGAATTGATCTCAAGTTAAAGTGGCCAAGGAAAATGTATTATGCAACTCCATTACAATAAATTCTGCTATGTACATTTCTCCCATACCTGGAGCATGATGAACAAAATAATACCGAATTATTCCCTACTTGATTTCTGTCCGCTTGTGATTCTACATCGCCTGTGCCCATGATGGGAGGTCTAGAAGCTTAGCTGGCATTGTTCTCCGTCTTGATTGGGGAAGTCGAAGTCACGTGTCGTACTCACGCGCGCTGTTATTATGTACTTCGTATTTGATGACAAGATGGATAGCGAGGGACGCTGGGGTGCGAACACTACAGAAACTTTAAATAACCCGCTCGCCCACTGCTCGTTGAGCTAACCAAAGCAGGAAACTCAAACCCTGCCGCTTTGAGTATGGCACGCTCGATCCGGTCCACACTTAAGTTCTAGTGTACTGTAGACATACGCCACTTCTGATGTTGGTACCCATCGATGCCAAATATGTTATAGGCAGGCTCGTAATAGTAGAGTATGCATTGAGATCACGTACGTACTCATGACCTGCATCGAAGCTAGAGGCGAACGCTACTTGTATTATTCGTTGCACACTTGCGGTACAGATTAAAAAGAACTTCCCATATGCTGCATGGCTGCGTCTATTCTCTATATACCGTAGGGAAACCGTGGACCACCGACAGAGAAATTCTAGGCACAATACTTGAGGCATAAGGAGCGAATTTATCAGAAAACGGAGACTCCTTCCTTGCAAACAATGGGTCCCTCTGCTGGCTGTACCAGCTCGGTGATCATTGCCGCAACTTCTTCGAGCCGACCGAGAACAACTTTATTGCCCTCTATGAAAGAAAAGCACTTATATTGAACTTGTGTCTTCGAGCAAAATTCTTTGACCAACACTTGTAAGCTTCGCAAGTTGTGCCTCGGAACGCGAGGGAACAAGTGGTGCACGGCCTGGAATTGCAAGCCGCCATGCAGCCAATCCAACCATTCTGGGCATTCAACATCCATGGTAGTTCGCAACTGATGCTGAGGGAATGACTCGATGGGTCCAAGATTCGAAGTCGGCATCCCCCAGTGGCTTAGGGTGATCTGAACGTGTAGCAACATGGTAGACGCATGTGAGATAACAACGAAACCAATGCGTGTCGGCCAGTCAGGTAGGGTACACCAGACAAGACCATAACCGAAGATCGTCCAGTAGCACAGCATGAAAGCGATCTCGAGAGCGTCTACCCAAGGTTGTGCGCGCTGACTGCCGATCAAAAGATACCACCAGGATAGTGCGTACAGGTTGAACCGCGCAAGTGCCATTACTGGATAGTACGTCCATTTTTGCCATGCTACGAGTCGATCTGCAGCAGCGTCCCAAGTAAACTCGGAGCCGTAAAAGGTACTTATGATTGACTTGAAGTAAGTTGGGGATGTGGAGAACAGAGGTACGTTTTGTAGATCAGGATCGTGCTCCTACAAACGTGAATAAGAGATCCAGGGCTAGTTTCAAGCGCAAACTTACAGGCATATTCGTGACCAAGTGATGCACGTTGTGGGACTGCTTCCACCAGCCTATGGAGAGCCCGCAGCAAAAATCCGCAACGAAGGTTCCAATCAACGTGTCCGAGACCAGGTTTCCTGTGATACCTCGGTGTCCAGCATCATGAGCGACAAACATTATCTGGTGCTTCGAGGCAGTCAGTAATGTTCTCCTAGCAGGATCTTAAGATTGACACACCCAGAACATGCCCAGAAAGACTGAGGAGACCAAATAGTGCTCCTTAATCAAGAAGAACAGAAAGGCGCCAAAGAGAGCGGCATAGCGGATTCCCTCCTTCGCGTACTCAGAATATCGGCAGACGTAGAAGCCATCCTTTCGAATCCGTTCGTGTAAGGTCTCGTACTCTGCGCATATTGCTCGCTGTGTTTCGTCATCAACAGCCGGATAAGCCTGCACCTGGGCTATGGTCTCTCTTTCTTCTATCGCCGCGATCTTTGTGTTTCGATTGCAGTCGGAGGGGTTCAGAGGCTTCTACTAAGGTTAGCAAATTGACGCCTTCGTACTTGACGAAAGGTGTTACCCAAGTCGTTCAATCGTAGGAAAATGTAAAAGCAAGGATCTTACGCTCGCGTAGCCGGTACATGCTATACTGTCGCCGAATTTCTCACTACCATCCGAGATGAGTAGCTCTTCTTTCTGTATGTCTCTCACGTATTGCCCTCCTTGCGTTGGGGGGACGATGTTAACCCAGGGCTTTTCAAGTCTACCTATACGGAAGGGTTTCATGAGAAGTCGCGTACGGTGATTGTGGTAACTGCGCGGTTTCAGTATGGAATGACACAATCGATGTATAAAGACACGGCTTGTGAGCTTGTTCACTCATTCAGTAAACAGTCTTCTCACACAGACATGCGCGACCGTGAGAGCTTCTCGGGTGAAATTTGACATACGCATTGATCTCGCAAGTTGCGTCTCTTCCAACCATATGCAGAATAACGAGCTTTCCACCCGGGTGCTGGTCGAGCCAACTGTCAAGTCGTAAGACGTAGCCATCGTAAATGACAATTTGTTGCCCGACTGAAATAAGGTCTTTGATCTGTCCTGCGGAAAAGAAAATAGAGCGACTCATCAATGCGGCTGCCTGGAAGTTAGTTATCGAGGTCAGAGACCGATCTGATTTGAGAATGGATTCCTGAGCGATGTGAGGTATTTTTGAGGTGGAGAGGTTGAAGAGTGTGAAGAGCGGACATATAATACAGAAGGTGTATGCAAGGGATGTTGTACAAAGGCATGCGCACAGATACAGAAGGCACGCAGGCGGTTGTAAATGAACCTTTGAGCTCGCCAAGGCCCAATTGCAGTATGGTGAACGGCATAAAGTGAACAGAGGGCAAAAGATTGCAGGTAACAGCGGGCGTTTGATGGGCGGCAGTCGAAATGCGCAACATCTGCCAAGTGTTGTCGTAGCTCATAGCTCTTGGCATGATGGGGAGGCTCTTTTGCCATCCATGGATCTGTGCAAAGGGAAAGGGGACGACGTCTATGTCACCAGTAACCAGTCTAGCTATAAGCAGCCCGGGGCCCTGCTTTTACTGTGGGTTTGCCCTCCACATTTGAAGGATCCTACCTATCGTCGTCCACTTGCAAGTCGCACGCGTGCTAGCACGAGCGATATGACTTGCCTCTTCTATGCAGGGGATTGGTTCTAGGCCCGAGGCGCAGCGGTAGACGGCGACGCACGCGTGCGACGGTGCAACGCGTTTCATGGAATTGTTGAATTTCCGTAGCTTCTCGCCGGGCCGTAGAACCTATCAGATTCAGCCCATTCCGACCGATGCAGAGCATTCGCCGGCCCGTGGCGTAGATTTGCAGCTCGGTTACATGTGTCCTCGGGACTTGAAGAGAAACTACGTGCCGTAGTGAAAGAATGTAGTGGAAATGGGCTGTCTGATCCTGCTAAGGGCGGGAACATTCCCCGCACGTCTTCGCCCTTCCTAAATGGCGGGGAGAAAAATGGTCAGAAGATGGAGAAGGCTTGCAATGATGACAGAATCGAGGTTAATGTAAGTCGTGGGGATGCGCACATTGATTACATTAGATGAACATGGAACAATAAAAGTGCGCGGCCGTGAGAAATCCGTACGCCCGGAATAGACTCCGCCCGGACCCTTTCTTTCAGTCACGAATGGGAACCTTCAAAACCCACCGGCGCAGGAGCATAACTGTCATCCGGCTGTCATCGCGCGGCCCGAAGAAGTATGACATCATATCCGCGCTCATCTCTTGGGGTGTGCGCGTGTCAGCCGTATTTAGTCACGCGATACCGTGATACGCAATAGATTAATGCACAAAGCATACTGAGCTTTACTTTAGACACTACAGCTGCTATCTCACAGTACACTCGGGCAACTGCACTTTAAGCATATCAAGACCCTGATATCACGCCATTTTCAACTTCTCGGATCTACTACGCCTCGTATTTGCTCGGTAGGGCTCGGATGCATGATCCGCAATGAGCCGGAATAGTTTTATTACTCTATTATATCCACGCACCGAGACATATACGTGGTAAATACTACACAAGAATATGTGTCTATCTACTGGTTCTCTATATTCATTCCCCCGGTTCTCATGGCCCAAGTTTGCGTCTCGGGTTCCGTCGGCTATTAATACAGACTTGTCATCATCTTGAACAGAAAATCCATTAGAATGTTGGTGTTTCAACCTCGTGATATCGTGGATGCGACAAAATAGATTGTATTGTTGGAAATATCCCGCAATAGTGCCGACTGCCGTACAAATCGCCGAACGAGCCTGAGTGGATCCACAACTGAAACGTGTGCGGGTAAGGGTCCATTGAAATTAAGCCGCAGAATACTACATAAATCATGAAGCGCAAAGTGCCGAGAACTCTGGAGATTCAGGTCATCACCTTCAAGATCATCATATTATACTTACATCGTAGGGTAGACATGAGGCTTCTTCATAAATTTACCAGCATCGTCGGAGATTTATTCATCGGATGAGGCATAACGAAAGCCTAGCTTGGTTAAACCATAAGAGTGCGGCGACGTCTATTGACAGCACCAAGGATCTCTATAGAATATTGCGCCCTCCAAGAAGATCAATCCTAAAAGGGTTACAAGCTACACAGATGTCAAGGTATCCGTGTGAAATGACATACAAAGAGTCGAGAGAACCACTGAGACATACAGAAACTGTCTTGAATTTGAACGAATCACTTCGCGCTGTCGTCAATGAGCAGACTGTACCTGTGAGCTGATCTTATCAGGCTTCACTCCATCAAGACCCTGGCTTAATTTGCATTCAAGCGAATCCGACGGACGTGAGGTCCAGAACGCATCACCATCGACACTTGCCGCACTTTCAATGAAAATCCTCAGAATGTATCCTGGTAACAGAACGCTCTTTGGTAGCTAACGGATGAGACATAGCATTTCTAGTGTCCTTGACACAGGCATGGGAAAAAACAAATTCCTCCATAGTGACATAAATCTGCAGAGTATGACCTATTTTTGGCAGTCTTGTATAGACGACTTCTGCAAAGATCTAACATTTTCTACGTCTAGCCACGCGAATACATAAAAGAGCCGAAAGATAAACCACTTACTGGGGTGGAGCGATGTCTTTGTTCCTTACACAACGCGAGACCCATATCAACATCCTTTAGATCTGGGCATTATTTCATTAGCATAATACCCACAAGTCTAAGATTCGAATTTCAACAACATGAGTAAATTTTCCATGGCTAGTGCTATCGTTTAAGTTGTTAACACCCAATAACTCTTATAAACACGAGACTAACAATTCTCGGATGTGCATAGATCGATTACTTTCTGACGTTTCAATCTCACCTCTTTTTCTATCTGTCTAAATCAGATCTGCAGCGACATTGCTAACATGAAACACACCCCCTACTCCAACAATCCAAATTCCATTCTTCTCAAACACCAAATTGACCGCCAGATTCGGAGCCTTCATTCTAATGCTTCCAATTGTAAGTCCTGTTTCCGGGTCAATTACGTCTACCGTCTCCCGCGCGCCCACAAACAGATACCCCTCCTTACTCGCATGAATACCATCATAGTACCAGGCAAGCGGCTCGTTCAATAACCTCTTGTTCTCTAGCACAGGAAGTTTCTTGCCTGTCTTCTTAGAGACAGAAAAATCGTACGAATATAGACTACGCTGCGCGTATGGATCGAGACGCGTTGGTCGACTCCCAGATACACCTGTTTCCTGCATGTATATCGTCTTGCCATCAGGCGAAATTGTCACACCATTCGTATTTCCAGTGCTTGGATCTGTCCCATGTAGGACTTTCGGGCGGAGGGTTGTCCCATTGATGAAATACGTCTGTGGGCGTGTTGGGGGCGCATATGGAGTGACGGCTTTCCCATACCCAGATTTGCTGTCAGTGAAGTAAAAGTTTCCTTCGGGGTCCATGGCAATGTCATTCAGCGCCCCAAATGGTTGCTCATAGTAGTGATTCAGTAGTGAAGTCTTGACCCAGGTTTGAGGGTCGATGACGGCAAGTTCAGCGGGTGCATCAAGGTTCCCGGCAACGCCACCGTCGTTCACGACGTAGAGTTTGCCGTCGCGTGCGTGGCACCCGTGATGGTTAATCAGAGGTGGGGTGGTCATGATGTTGCGCAGAGTGTTGGTCCTGGTATCGAGGAGGTATTGCAATGTGTGTACACCATTATCACCTCCTGGCGGGCCCCATTCTGTGAAGAATAGTTCACCGTTAGGGGTTAGACATGGGCCTTCGTGATTGATCTGGGACATCTCTTGGACATGTTCAAGAGACACACCTGGACCGATCAAGTCGAAGAATGCTTCATCATATGCGATGAACTCGGTCTCGTTAAGCTGCGCGTTCCTATGATTTGATGTTGGTAGGGATAAAGGGCATACTGGATGGTATAACTCACAATGCATTGAGAGAATCTTCGGACGCTTGCGTATCCCATGGTGCCTGGAACGCAGTTCTGTTGAAGTGCCACGGTAAGGAGCGAAATTCAGGTGTCTCATATGTTAGCCAAGCCCATGTTGAGTTTTGGGGGCTAAAATTAGGAGGAAGTAACTTCAAGTATCTTGATCCCGCGATGACAGTGCATGCATGCGCGCATAACATTAATATGACTCGCATCCTCATGGATCTTGTACTCTGGTTTGGCAATCAAATCATGTAGACATTTCCGGCTTCGTGCGCTCTTTATATGTTTTGGGAATTTTCCAAGAAGCCTTTCATTAGTTTGGTCTTCGGCCTAGTTAGGCGACACGCCTCGGGAAGATCCCGTAGGTTGCCTTGTCCGTTGATGTAGCAGATGCTATTACTCCTGACCCACATTTATGTTCAGCCATTTTCTTCCATATTTGCTATAATATAATATGTTTATATAAATCAATCTCTATTCTTTTAATAGCTCATCTTTTTTTTTTCTTAGCTAGATCAATATTTAAAGACTAGAACACAGTTAAGGATCTGATCTTCTTGGCTTACTCGATTAGTCTATGTACTACTTGGTAAAGTATAGGCACTTATATCAGCGTATAGGAAATGAAAAAAGAGCGAGCGTGAGCATTAATGAGTGGTAAGAGTGATAGAATCAAGGTAACCAACGGATCCGGTCTTTGTTATCAGTCAGCCTCGTGGCCTACTTCTGTGTGTTTACATCCGGCGTAACCTTCGGTTACATCGCATGTGATCCTCTCCAACGCACTGGTATCTTTCGTGTCTCATTTATTTCAGGTACCGACATCTCATTGTCTAATACGGAAGTATACGGTATTAGCTCATGCTCCCAGTACATGCAACAAGTGATGAACAACAAGTGCGGCATCTTCAAGTGATGCAAGGAAGTTTTATTGTGCAGCTGAGTTGCATGACTAGTGCCTCTATGTGGCTCTCTACGAAACAATAAAAACTCGGAGTACACCGACCCTATAGGATGGTGCATGTCGAGTCCATTCTGAGCATTTTAGCAAATGGCTCTATTTGAGCTCGGGCATTCACTACCTAGTATAGCTAGTGTAGCAAGTGACGCTTGGCCTCAAGGTAAATATGTACACACTCTTCACACTCGGCCCGTCTAAAGGCATAATTCAATCAATCAAACTTGGTGACAATTCGACACACATATGTATAAGCCAATAATAAATCCCAGGGAATAAGCCTCGGTGCAATACAAATCCGACAAGGGAGCGATGATGTAAACTCGCTTTAGTTGCATGTCCCAAGCAGCTCCGCCAATGGCAACGCTGACATCGTGCCAGTGCGTACTCAAGGTCCTCATGCAATAATCAAAACCGAGACGGTGTGCGGCACAGCTTGGAAGAAGTGCTCGATAATTGACTCATATAATGCATGTTATAAGAGGCTGAGCTGGGTAACACGACTACAGTTGCCTCGACTCCTTTAACTTTCACCTGGGCGAGCAGGTCAATTGAGCACATAGTCCCAGTAGTGCACGCATCGAAGCACCACGGAAGCTCATATTCCAGAAAGCACGTCAAGTCACCAATCGAGAATGACTTTCATTAATGTCGACCTACGCGCGGTTGCAACCAATCCTTACTACTTCCCATCGCTGCTCGCAACAAACGTATCCGAGCCGGCGATATCATTCCTATCTTTTGACCGTGTGTTCCAACAAAAGATATTTGGTCCTCAGGTCAGAGCTCACAAAATAGCTGATCTACCATGGGAGGCCTTCCACGAAGCCGGCATCTATAACAAAGAAAAACATTCTATGTATATAACCTCTAACTTCAACCAACGCACCCCTGAGGACAACATCAATATCACCATCGTCAGCCTCGATGACTATAGCATCACATCAACCCAATTTCCTAATCTTTGGGAAGCCAATGGCGGCTCAAGCTGGTATCCACCAGGCTCTGACACGAACAAGCCAGCGACCTACCAAGTCTACTGTGACGAGGGTGACTTGGAGCACTACTCCAGCCTAGTCTCTGTAAACCCAATCACTAATGAATCAACAATCATCCTTAACAACTACCTAGGACGCAACTTCTCATCCATCAATGATGTACGCCAGCACCCACACACCGGTGACCTTTGGTTTACCGACGCCGCATATGGCTACTTCCAGTTCTTTCGCCCCGTGTCCACGATTCCGCAAATGGTCTACCGCTTTGCACCCGGAACAGGCGAATTGGTAGTCGTCGCAGACGGATTCGATCAACCGAATGGTCTGGAATTCAGCCCGGATTATAAAACACTCTATGTGTCTGATACAGGTGCAAGGCACTATGACTCGAACAGCACGCGCCCAGCGACGATATATGCGTTCGATATCGACGACGCGAAGCGTTTGTCAAACAGGCGTACGTTCGCATATATTGATAAAGGATTTCCGGATGGCATTCATACGGACACGGCGGGCAATGTTTGGGCTGCGTGTGGTGATGGTGTGCATGTTTTTGATCCGGCTGGCAAGTTACTTGGTAAGGTATTCATTGGTGAGACAAGCAATAACTTTGCATTCTTACCGAATGGGTTGTTGGTGTTCAGCAACAGCCGTCTATGGCTCGTCGATGGACTGAATGTACTAGGTCGAGAAGTATGCAAGGACTTTGGGAAGGGGTGTGGGAAATGACTAGGCCAAGACGACGAAGAGACCGCTCACGATGAGCTCTGAAAGTACCTTTATGGAAGACATGACTATACAAGACTAGATATATAGTATGCATGGTTCAGCGCCAGTTGAGTCCATAGACCGCTCTCCGTACACACACAAAATACTCAACAACCACGATCGTCTCTTTCTGGCCTAGCTCGCATCCATAATCTCAGATATCAGTTCAGATGGATTTATCGCGGGGTCGCCGCGTGACCACCTGGTATAAAGCTCCATGGATGTGATCTGGATCTGAACCCCTTCACTAGTTAAACCTGTCGCGCTACTCCTAAACTATGAAGGAGTGAACTTGAATCATTCCACTTACTACATGCAGCCATGAACACGTAGTGGTCTGATCAAAACTGGGTGTTGGCAATCAACCCCGCAGTAATACTTCGGTAATACAGCTCTCCGCTGCCAAACAGAGAATAAGCTCAATGTTGGTGGTCGATCAATGGCCATTTGTAGATTCCCGTTGTGTCTTGACGCTTGCTTAACAAATGGTGCGTCGTTAGTATAAGGCTTGTGTGAGGAGCGCTCTCCGGGCAGGCGAAATTCATCGATATGAAGCATCGTGGGTGTTTAATGCTCGAACCAGCCTCAGTAATTACGCAATAGCCACAGATAAGGTGGAATTGAGCAACATCACTATCCAAGATCAACACGAGATGACCATTACGCTTTACTTCCTTCGATCCCCCCGTGCAATTCGTACCGCCTAGCTTCTCGAAGAACTCGGTCTCTCCAATTTGATCGGGAGGCCAATGGTGATACACCGACTGCGTTTCGCAAGAGCGTTCCTGCTGGTCGTACACCGGCGTTGAAGGATCGTGAGATGATTATCGTTGAGAGTGCACCGATTGCTGAGCATGCGACCTGATTCCACCTTCTTCATATGGTGCTGGATCAAGACTGCTGGCATGGCAACAGATATCTCGTCGAAACATACGAAAAATCAACTCGTCTCCTCCCCTCCGATCGTGCCCACCGTGTCAACGTACGTGTGTGGGTGAGTGCAGCCGAAGGCACATTCCTCGTACACGCGCTTGCGATTCTGTACGGTAGTGGGGCGGCGCCTGATGCCGCAGATACGCTTCAGGCAGGCCTTGCGGGGGTAAGTACACCGTGACTTTTATTGGTTGGAGAGGGAGCTGAAGGCAGGCAACGCAAATTTCCTCGTTGACGATGGTATGAAGATCGCAGATACGATGATAGAGTTCAGTGTTGTTTTTATCTTAAAGATGGGCTTCGGCACAAAAGGAAGGAGTTGGCCGGCAGTGGAAAAGTGGTTGGCGAATGTTCAGAACCAGGAATTATACAAGAAGGCAGTCTAGAAGACTGGTTATATACTTGCGTAAACACAATTCGTGGAAGGGAACGTGCGGTGATATCTTTGCGAGTCGTTCTGGTACACAGTCTCGGTTGAGGACCTTGCAGTCATTTCTGAGGCTATAGAATTTCAAACGAATGGTTCTATTCCTTTTTCATCTGCTCTGTTCCGTGATAACCTCGACACTGTGACGTGAAAGATCGGTCACCTTGCTCGGGACGCGGAGCGTTGCCAGATTGACCTTTCCGACCAGTGCCGCTGCGCTTTGCTGGTGCCCTCAATAGACATAGCCTAGATCATTAGACACAAAATAACCTAGCTACGAGTTGTGCTTGTTCATCAACCCAGCACGGTATGTATCCATAGCATTGAGCTGTGATAACTGAAGCAGGTAAAGCAGTCTCGGCATCACTAAGCATGCGCAGGCCGGAGCCCCAGAATACTTATAAGTCTAAGACTTGGAGCTAGGTATCTTAAGCTTAATGACAACTGGCAGCCGTCAATTTCGTGAGTCCTTGAGTTGAGGAGAAGAGGAGTGCTTGGAGCATTGGCTACGCATTCAAAGTGTTGAACTATGTGATATAGTCGTGCATTGGCTCCTTCACCGCTGAGAGGGGACGATTCGCTGCCTCGATTTCCACGGTTTGTCGAAACGTACTAGCGAATCATTTCTCAACGATGTACCCTGTACTAGTATCTATGACCCCATCTTTTGTGACTAAGGATGAGGGCAGTGATCTCGTCGTCTAGAGGCGCAGTGGAACATCCAGAATGAGCAACCTTATACATACCTTTGATCAGGGTGAGTGTCTCGAGGTATCGGGAAGACGTAAAGACGCGACGTAGTGGAGGTGGAAGCAGATCAGTTTTGTCACAAGTTTCGAGCTGCATATTTATTATAGTAAGGTTATGAAAATCAACCGCAGTCCTAGAGTATGGCAAACAACATTATTAAGGAACGACTACGAGTACTACATACTCCAAGAATGCCTAGTCTGCATCAAATGGCCCAAGGGAACTCGTATATGCCCATAGAATCATAATCCTTAGTACATCCCTCATTTGAGCTTTGTGTATGTCAAAGACACTTCAAGCACCACATGAAAATGTGTTTCCACCACAGTTCGTCTCTCCAACCGCCCTAAGATAGCAAATGACTGGCGTCCAAGCACGCGCATTTGTTGCAATACCTATTTTTGTCACCGTGTCAAACGGTACATTGGCCGCTGGAGCCCCAGATGGATCAAATGGATTCGATGCAGTGAAGGATCGGCATTCAACAGCCGTGGTGTTGAGCTGATTGGTACCAGAGTCGGGCACAATTGTAAGTGCGGATACGACCGTGTCTGGTGAGTCGCATAGCTTGTTGATCTCGCATTCAACGATAGCGTCCGGGCGGGTGTTATGGATGTCGGATTGAGTTGCGTTGATTTTGACCGTAAAAGTGGGAGATTGGCGGGGCACGAGCGCCAGAGTGGAGGTTACAAAGAGAGCGGCGGAAAGGATGTATGAGTATTGCATATTTGTGGTCGTTTGGTGCGCAGAGATTGTTTGAGTTGCGTTGTGAAAACTGTCGTACTTGTGTGATTCTTGTGTATGGATGCTTGATGATTGACTGATGCTGAAGCGAGGAGATTGCATTCTTTATATGCGGCTCGCACGATCTTTGTTTCAAATCTTCATGCGCGATAAGTGCTACCGTGCCTTTGCGTAATGTAACATTCCATGAGGTGCGCTGTACAACATGATCCTTCCAAGGAAACGCGTATAGGGAGGACCGTAGTCAGTTGATGGCTGATGACATCATTCGTCAGATTTGATGAACAGAAAAACGCTTGGTAAGTGGTGGAAGTCGGGCGCTTTTCCTATACAAGTATGCGGTTAGTTTCGCTAAGATGCCGATGTGGTAGCAAAACTATAGGAAGGATTATATTTGCTGCAGATCGTCTTGCCAGCCTTGCCGACCAGGGTAGTAACAGAGCTTCGCCACGAGCTCAGTTCACGTGCATGCAAAAATAAGCCTTTCTCGTCATCAGTAGCGCCTTAAGCAAACTTCATTAACCCTAATTGTCTGACCTTGTGCAAGCCGAAGGAGTATTGGGTGGCCTGGAATACGGCTGTCTTCGAGAGCGCGTCACAGGAGCAGAGAGCAGATTCATTATATGCTATCTTTAGCATTCTCATGTCATTAAAAAACCGTCTGTTTTGAATGATCTTCGCTTTTCATCCGGTATTGCTCTCCTAATGAGCTAGTAGACTGTGCGAAATGCTCCGAGAACAGGCTATACGCAGGCCCTGGAGTCGTCAAGTGCACCTGTCAGCATTTACTGGCGCCATAGATAATGCCATCTCCGCCTTGAGTTCTGGATATAAGGTAAGCCACCGAATGATTGACAAGCCTTATTTATAGCAGCGAACGGGCTAGAATACCTTGGCGGCCTCGTCAGTGAAAAGCTTTCCGTATCAATGCAGAAAGGCTTGCCCCAATCACGACATGAGAATTAATACTATGTTCTCATAAACGTGAACAGCTTATTTTTCCAACTGCGGCATATTATCATGTACTGATTGCGATATGCACTTAGACTGACCATGCATTTTCGTATCAGCGATCCTATGGACGCTCGACATGATATACGGAACCTGTGTTTGAAACACTTAGCAAAGCTTGTCCTACACATATGTTTGACGGTCAAGATCATGACAGCAAAGCAGGCGGGCCTAGATGGTATCAGATAAGGCGGCATGCAAGGATGGTGTGGAACCGTATTTTGAACAAAAAACAGTTTTTGCTGTGAGTAATAAGCCTGTTGTATGGGTCGGAAACTTTCGTAGAATCAATTTAACATGACAAGATTGATCGACGAAAGTATCGAATCTACTTAAGGTAGCTACCTTCCAAGTAATACATGAAGAACTTAATAAGCCCTGAATAATGTGTCTGACGTAATGAAAAGCGATTCCACGGAGCGCGACCTATGGTGAGAAAGCCTAATTATCTCCGTCCCGTGTCCAGCGGTTTTAGAGTTAACAACGAACTTTCTTATATACATAAAAAACTTCTCTATCGAGCAATATTTTCGATTTGGACTACCAAAAGTCTTGACTTTATCTACCGAGTACCTACATTCGTACATCCGCCGTTCACCACCAGTTCTCATTAGTCTAATGCAATAACTTCCACCTAATGCGAATGCGCCTTCTCCTTCTGTCTGAGAACTTGAGAAGCCTAGTTCGGCCCACTATAGCCATATTTTCAGCACCAGAAACACATAGAATTCTTGCATCGCAGCACCTGTAACGTGAAGCTTAACAGCTTGAGGTCATGCTAATAATAGCAATGATCATCACGAAGTTGCGGATACGGAAAGTTGGCACCGGTCATCCAACGCGATGCGACGCTAAATGGCTAATTAGTTCTAGGGTAGTCAACGCTTGGCCAATAATCCATACTCAACTTCCACGTTCCTACGCGACTTTGGACTCGACAATCAGCCTTGGGATGATCGATAGCCATGGCTGACGCGCAACCTTCAAATCTCGAGCGCTCCGCCTCCCCCATCAGCGACGAGAAATACATGGCTAAAGACACCGCTATCAACTCGCGAAAGTCTTCTGTTGTGTTGAACGAACAACACGATGCGCCAGCCGAGGAAGGAGTCAACAATGAGCCAGAGGTCGGCGTTTTCAAGTTCTCGGCGGTCCTTGCTTCAGTAATCCTCGTTTCGTTCCTGATGTTGCTCGATGTGTCAATAGTTTCTACTGTGAGTTTCAAGGGGGTTTCGAGCTGAGTCACAAGCAAGCTGACTTCTAGTGTAGGCAATCCCCAGAATTACAGATGAGTTTCAGTCGCTGAACGATGTGGGCTGGTAATGTGCTGCATATCAACTCGCCAGGTATGCACCACTGATTTGGGAATAGGATTCAATTGACGTGATAATAGTGGTGCCCTGCAGCCGTTGACAGGAAAGATCTATCAGTATTTTCACCTCAAGGTAGGTCAAACCGTCCTGCCCAATCTATCTACTGAAATCAAAAGTGGACGTACCTATTCTGCTTCGGAGTCTTCGAACTTGGCTCCATGCTCTGTGCCCTGGCTGAATCATCTCCTATGCTCATCGTCGGTCGTGCGATAGCAGGCATGGGTGGTGCAGGCCTCCAGAACGGTGGTCTCACAATAATCTCGAACTGTGTACCGTTGCAGAAACGACCTCTTTATCTGGGCATGATGATGGGCATATCGCAACTTGGTATCGTGACTGGTCCTTTGATCGGCGGGGCTTTTACGTCCTACACAACATGGCGATGGTGTTTCTGGATCAATCTCCCAATTGGCGCTGTTGTTGCAGCCCTCTTACTATTCGTACAAGTCCCGGATCCCATAGCCAAGGACAAGTTTTCGCATACTATTCGTACAGTCTGGCCCAACCTGGATCTCGTTGGTTTCATAATATTCGTGCCCTTTGCCATTATGGTGCTTCTGGGACTAGACTATGGTGGCATAGATTATCCATGGAATTCAGCAACTGTCATTGGCCTGCTCGTTGGTGGTGGTGTATGCCTTCTTATTTTCATTGCTTGGGAACATCGAGTTGGAGACGGGGCTATGATACCAATCTCTATGCTCAAGAAGCGCATTGTATGGACCTCTTGCCTTAACATGCTCTTCCTGGGAAGCTCCAACTTTGTCGCATCATACTACCTGCCGCTCTACTTCCAATCCGTAAAAGGGACTTCGCCCGTACAGAGTGGTATCAATGTCCTGCCGAACATCATCAGCTCTATCGTTTCGAGTGTCCTCAGTGGTGCGTTGATTGGAGTTGTCGGCTACTACCTCCCTTTTGCTGTCGCGAGTGGCGCCCTGATATCAGTTGGCGCCGGCATGTTGTCTGCCCTTTCGCCGTCGTCACCCTCATCCTTCTGGATTGGGGCACAAATACCACTGGGATTTGGTAGGGGCATAGGAACTCAAGTACCCATGGTGGCAATGCAGAATTTACTGCCACCGAAAGACCTTCCTGTCTCTATGGCAATGCTTATCTTTAGCATGACATTTGGATCTGCGATCTGGCTGACCGTTGCCAACACTATATTTACGAACGGATTGTCGTCGCAAATAACCAAACGCGTTCAAGGTCTCGATCCTGCAGTTGTTATTGGCGCTGGGGCAACAAACATCCGTCAGGTTCTATCATCCGACCAATTGCCAGGAGTCATTCAGTCGTACACAGATGCGATCAATGATGTTTGGTATCTGGTAGTTGCGTTTGGTGCTTTGTGCTTCCTGACAGCGTGGGGATTGGGATGGAAGGATGTAAGGCAAAAGAAAAAAGCTGCAAAAGCAGAGCAAGCATGATACTTAGATCGGTGGAAGTAGAACAAAGATTGTATATAGATTTATAATGCTTAATTCAATATAAGAAACTTGACTCTACGATATGTTCACCCACTTTGCCCTCTCGTGCTTGAGTCGTAAATTGAATCTTCATAAATTTTACCCAAATTATGGGACTTTATAGAGGCATAGATGATTAGGAGTTCGATCAAACTCAATTCCCTCACCAAGACCTAGAATTGTAGCTGAAATTACCATAAAGCTCAGCAACGCATTCTGTTTTAGTTGTAGCCGCAATACAAGTATTAGTTCGAGACTCGTATTTTCTCCACACAAATTTAAGCTACTGTTTAAGCCCCAAATACCCCATGGTCGTCATGTTTGCGAAGACTCGTGAACTATCTGTGACCACATATCAATGCTTGACCTGTTACAATACTAAACAGACTTTGTTACTTCCATAAAAATGCTAGTGTCTCTTTGACGTAGATATCGAAACTGATCCATGGCTCCGATCACCATCACAGAGTCCCATCACTAAGATGAAGCTCCACTCTATGAGTACATTGTATCTCACGGAGAAATCCAGGCTGTAAAATCTTTTCTATCTATCAAAGATAAGTCTTTTTTCAACGATCATGGAGCAAAGCCAATATGAGAACTCAACACCTGATTTCACTAGATTACAGCCCGCACTGCGATTAATGTATAATGGTCTATATTCCAACCTGACTATCAATATATGCCAGCTTTCATGCTTTCCTCTTTCGATTCCAAATAGTCATCTTAAACAATGGGAAACTTGTAGACATAATTCGAGAAGATGTAAGTGTTCTGTTCATTGGCACAGAATATACAATGTCTCAATGGCTACCGTACTTATATAGAACCTGATTGAAGACGGCAGCAACGTGGATAGGTCATTATTATATCTTGTCATAAAAAACGGAGATCTTGTCCAGAACATTGAATGGTCGTGTAACCATGAACAACTCATGGTGAATCTTTTACACACAAGGTCATGATGTCATTGAATGTGTCACGGTACAGCTCAACCGTGATTTTCACAGTCCGAGCTACCCGGCATCTGGCCTCTTGTCTTGAGAATCTTGAGATAAGAGCACCTTCTCTGACGGTTGACTCTAGTAGCATGCGATCCCTGTCACTCAAGAGAGACGAGACTAGAGCTCTGTTATGCACTGTGAGGGTAAATCTATATCGAGAGTAATCAACCTCGAGCAGGTGATACATGCTTGCCTTTCTCTCTTGGCCAACCCACATCATACCCACAGATGCCTAATCCCTTCTCCAACACCAAGATGTTCTGCTCTATCTTCGCCGAAATAATGTTACCCGAAAGTAGACTTCGATGATGATTGCAACCATCATCTTTTGATAGTGCCTGCCATCACCGCGAATATTTCACATCGCCTTAATGACCAGATCAGGGTGCAAAGAACATCGTCCTCCAGTCAGTGGCTTTGAGTCCATAAAGACGTTATAGCAGCCGCAGCTTCGTCGGGATGCGGAAGACCCACAGTATCATTTGATGCTTTGTTTGCAACACAAGAGGAGACACCTGTTGATTTGGAGATGAGAAGAAATGCTGTAGACGATGGTATATATGTCCAAATCAGGGGCCACCAATCAGGTGGAACTGCTGGGTACGTTGCAGCTACTCATTCACCCCATGCTTACCGCCAAAAGCGTCAATCATCTACAGTAGCTATGCTCTTGTGACTCCAGTGTTTCAGTGGCTTACCCGGCATTCTCAATACCTTCAGCTTCTACAAATATATATTTAGCTAATCGTCCTACTGTTCATCCACTGCAGATGATGCGTCAACATCACATCTACGGCCATCTAAGCCCACAATGTGTCCGTATCATCGCCATTCTGGAACTAAATGTGTGCTTTTCGCCTCGAGCACATTGGATGGTCAATGTGCCACTTCCTGGTCAGTGTGAGTGTTAGGCACTCGAATCAGCATTGATGACGTTCTTCATCGGCGTCTTGATTATGGTGTGCATCTCGGCACAAAGCTAGTTTCTTTCATCACTATGTAATGATAATGGAGGCCTCTGTCGCTGTGTGCAAGTCGTGAAGGGAAGACATATTCGGGAATGATATAGCTGTGTCCGCAGACATATCTCCTGGCGCTGGTGCGGCGAATCGAGGATATCAAATTTTGCATGGAAAACGGAGGCGTTCGAGGCTTGTCTCTGTTGACTCTCAGGCTTAGTGTGCTGCTGGGTGATGGTAGTTATGTGTGTCAGGTAGCCACATGTTTCTGCCAAGTGTTTCATATTCACAGAATGCCATGCCTGTCAATGATCAAACGGCATACCTGGCACACATACTAGCTTCATATCAAAGTATTTATTCATCTCACAGTTTCGCTCTTGTCAGACTCTCGATCTATCTCGAACCGCGGAGCCCGGTCCTATACCACCAAAACTTCAATTCGATCGTATGACTCCCCTTGCGTATGGCTTGCAAGCTTGTACGCAGGTTCGATAGTAATGCTCCGGTCATCACGCCTAAGTGCACTCTGCAGTGATTATCAGTATTGAGTGACGGTGATGAAGATCATCACTCGAGCTCATGCGATGCAGGCAGTATGATATTTCTCACGTGCGAATTCGCATAGGGGACAGCGACGATATCGTTGGCAGATCTTACGAATTTTGCCATGCCAATTCTTCTTCGTTTGTTGTATCCAGATGGCGGCAGTTTGCGGTGGCATTCTTCAAGGATGTAACTGGGATAGGTATGTCGAGATATGTATATATGAGACGGGCGGAACATAAGCTAGGAAAACTTGGTGACGAGTTGACGAGTCTCTCTGAAAGAGCGATCGGTGTCTGTGAAGGGCAGCAGATCGTCGTTGTGGTAGACAGTATCTCTAGACCACAAGATTCCCAGCCTACCGTAAGATCACATCCTGAGAAACTTACGCATAATCCTTTCGGCTTCCGATTGGAGTGGCTCGGTGTATGGTAAACAAGCTTCATTGACTTCGGGGTATATAGCGATCTAAATAGTCACAATTCAACTTCCTCCTCGCAATGATTATTTCCCGCAGACACCAGTCCTTCGAAATCGAACCACGTCAGTTCATCATATTCCATGGCAAGATCATGTGCAAGTTTTCGAGTCACGTAGTTTGGCGACAGAGCGCTCATGCTTGTGTTCAACTGGGTATTGATACGTGATGGCAGTGAGCCCGAAGGCGGATTCGTGCTCACTGTAGACGGTATTGACGGTAATGAAGCTTTTTTGGAAACATTCGCCTGCGAGAGTCTGCCATTGTTGCGAGCTTTTGATGATGTTATTAGTTTTGATGTGCTCGGAGAGCAATTCGGGCCTGAATCAGTTTCGAATATTGCGGCAGGTGCTGCTCTGCTGAAAGGTGAAGATGATACTAAAAGGGTTGGCGATTCTTTCTCTTGAGACTCTGTCCTATCCCGAAATGACCGTTGCGGTATTTGCGGTTCTAGGAAGGATGGAGAGAGATGAGCCTGGGTATCAGCACCTGTAGTCGCAGCGATGGAAATGTCCGTGTCCAGACTTTCGGTCTGCAGGTCGTGGAAGATAATCTGTTGCAAGGTGTCATACGAGTGCTCGTATGGCGGGTCTCTTTCGAATGAGACCAAATCATCGTCGCCCATATTGTCGAGTTGCATCTGTGTGTCACAGGTGGCATATTGCGTGAAATCATACGAAGGCTCCTCATCATTGCTGCGTAGTGATCCATCATACATCCCGCTTCTTCTGCCTTTTTTAGGTGAAGCAGTACTTTCCTGTGTACTACTGTGTCCGTTGACGCTAGATTGAGGTCGATCTTCGCCTTGCGTCTCATCCAGCCGCCGTTTCGTCGATCGAAATCGTTGCATTTCTTGATATCTATCTAGCATCAACTTATCGTGTTCAAACAAATCTGCAGAGCAAAGATGCCCAAAAAGTGCACGCATGGTCTGAGAAGGATCCCAGGACATCACGTCGATGGTACAAGGGTACACATCTTTGGGATGAAAAGCTTTCACAAGATCGCAGAGCTCTGTATAGGATGAATGGCGGGAGTAGGGAAATCTGATCGTTGCAGGGAGAGTTGATGAGCCAGCTACGCCCGATTGAGGATATTGAAAGTCGGCACTACCATCCCTTCCAGATCCATTGTTGCCTAGAGCGTTGACGAAAGCCTCCAATGGGATGTCAGCTGAATCTTCGAAGGCGGCTTTGAGTTCATGAAGCGGTATAGATTTATGACCATCTGCTCTCGTTATAGCTGAAAGAACACGCAGCGTTGATTGAAGAAGCTTAGGATTACTATCTTGCAAAGTCTGTTGGGCGAACCGAATAAGCTGCTCAAGTGCCTGGGTGTCGTCGATAATCAAGTCGTTTGTCTGGTCCAAATCACCCTGGCCTCCACCAGCACCGATTTCAGGCACTGGACTACCGCTCTTGGTCCTCGTGACTATGGGTATGATGGTTACAACCCGTTGAGCCTCGTCTTTATCAAAGATAGGGCAAGATGAGCCTCGCTCGCAGCTGTGCACCTGGACGACCGGGTCGGAAGTCACGAAACCCTGGGGCTTGTGGTTACCGAGCTCAAAGCCGCAAAATTGAGCAGCATCTAAGCAGGGAGGTGCAGTACCCGTTCTAGCTAGCGATCGATATAAGCTCAACCTATACCTATCGAGGTGTATGCGCGAGTTCAAGAAAGCCGCCAAAGCTGTCCATACGTCCTCGTAGCCAAAGGTCCAAGCGTGGAAATAAAAAATGGTGTCAGGAGGATAGCGTTCGACTTGCTCTAACATCTCTCGAATGCCTTCAGCCTTCGAGGGGAACTCACGATATATGTTTGAGTTCATGGCAAACGTTGTATCTAGATAGATGCGATCCAGTCGTCGCTTACCCAAGGTATAAGGTATTACGACCGGATTTCGGATCAGCGAGTTCACCCACCATGTCTCGGACCTGATGTCGCCAGTATATAGGATTGCACGGTTATTTCCTTCAATCAGGAACATTACAGCGCCGATGCAATGATTAGCATCCAGGAGTGTTACACGGATGCTATGGCCAAGACATAGCTCGATCTGTGTTGGTGTATTTAAAGGAATCGACTTCAACAACCCTTTGAGATGCTTATATGTCTGGACGCGCGATTCGAGGATTTTCTTGTTGAAGTTCATACGAGGTTGATAACGCTCGAGTCGAAGAAGGATCTACCTACATCAGGAACACGTACTACGCGGAAATGTGAAGGCCAGAGGGCGAAGCAATAGTTTTCATTTAATTCATGCTCTTGCAGTTGCTTTCAGGACTGCAACTCACCTCTTTAGTCGCAGGTGAGCAGTACACGAACGGAGATCTGAGAGACTCCAGTCCACGCAAGTGGTCAGAGTGGACATGAGAGAGGAAGCATGCAAGCGGACTAGGGTGGTTGACCTTCTTCCTAAAGTCGTCAATGCGAATTTCGGGAAATTCTGCGATCCGGTCAGCTGCAACTAGATCAACAGCAACGTGACACCGTACGAACCGGACACGATGCCATCAAATGTAGACATGATATTTAGGGCTGCTGGCCAGCTGCCAGCCTGCGGCCGTGTCGTTGAATGGAAGTTGAAGGCTCACATGGCAGTGGCACGCGATTGATTGACGCGACGCCCTCGGGAAGAACTCCGGGTAACGCGAGATCACGTGAATCTAATCTTGCCACTTTATGAGTGCGATCTGACCTTGTAACAATCATTTTGTTTATCTCACTCTCTCTTTATCACGACTCTCGGCGTCATTTCGCCCATTATACAAAGCCTGCATCATAGCTTGATGTAATAAATCATGCTGGAGACCGAATTCATCTCTACGCAGCGCCTATACATGTGCTGAGGTACGTGATATGGATAAGCTGTGAGACCTTGCGTCGCCATAATGAACATGTCTGAGGCAGGTCGATGTCGCATGTTATAGACGCTATTGATAACCCAACAGACAAAACAGAGGCCAATGGTTCTTATGATCCAGGCGGGTCGTCACGCAGAGTGGGGGCCTGAGGACAGACCATCAAGGCCGCGACATGCCTATTACTTACCTTCGGCTTCGGGCATGTGGCACGCTGGCTGACCGGAAGGAAAATTATTGCGACTTGCGAGTGGCAACCTGACTTTTCTCCTGCATTCGTTCGTTCGGGCGCTCAAACGTGTCAAAGACGAACAAGACGTCTGCCATCAGTCTCCACTGTCACGAACAGGCATGATGCCGTCGGGTACCTAGTACATGTCTCAGAGTCACCAGCCTCGTTCAGCTTTCTGGCAATTTTGCAGGTCAGATGGCAAATGGCTGCCACAAGCTTGAATGGAGATGGGTGTTCTCCACCACACAGTCCACGATACCTTTGAATCACGTCGAGAGGCGGACCTGGTCATTCCACCAGGAGGCGGCATGATATGGATTGCAGCAGTGTCCGGCGCTGATAATTCGCCGACGATAGGCGCACATCAGAGAGTGCGACACTGCACACGATGCACGAGCAGACGGGCCAGTTGGGTTGGTTGAAGGAGTCAAGGTAAGTCAAAGCATATCATCTTGCTGACGAGGCGAGATAGGTAGGATGTAGTTTGTGGAGGGAGTGGGTGTGGACGAGTGAGTTGTCTTTCGGCTTGTCCGCTTAGGTCTCGGTCTTCCTGGCTGGGGCGCTGGTAGCCAATCTCCTGGTCGCGGCCGGCCGATGCTGATGATGCCCTGGCAGACGCGGCAGGTGTACTGCATACGAGAAGCCTGACAGCGACAACATCAGCGGCGAAAGAGGAATAGCAAGATGCAGCAGGAGGACTAAGGGGCGCCAACAGGACGTGGAATGTTTGGCGGTGAGGACAACTTGATAAGAGGTGAGCAAGTGAGCAAGTGAGTAAGTGTGTGATGTGCTTGCTGCATGCCACAATGCACAACAAGGTCGTCGACAATCTATCAATTGGTAGCTAGCGTCAGGGTTCCCGGCCTGCTTTAGCCTTGGAGGGCGCCAACTAGGGCCATCCATGCCTGCTTTCCACCCATAACAAGCCAAATTCCCGTCTTTCGAACGTTATTGTCCTTTATTACAACAACCACAGCTGCGACTACTTCGTCCATCCACTTCTTCCTCTCTGTCTTCTGCTGCTCGTCCTGCGAATGCTTTCCTCTACCTGAATGTTCGATGTCGATATCCCGTACGTCTGTCCACTGATCATCACACGTCAACTCGCCAATCTGCCGTTCTCGACCGGGTCGTTAAGTAACTAATTGTCCACTTGACGGGCAGCCCTACACCCCAACCAGCGTAGGATAGCGAGCAGCGTACCTGGCTTGGAAACTCGCCTCGACACTGACACGCTGGTCTCACATTCTCACGCTTCACTTCCTGCTACTGCTTTTGACTCAATCAACACCGTTCTTTCTCGCCATCGCCTCTTCGCTCTCTCCTGTAATTCTACCTTAATCACAAGTCGGGTCTCGTCTACTCAATACGCCGCATCGTGACTTCCCGCAGTCTCTTACCGGTCTCACTCTACGAAGCTTAACCCGTCGGGACCTCCTCATTCGAAAACCCTTGGCCGGGCCAATCCTTTCGCTTCCGCCTTCACTCCACCAGTCGACGCCTCTGATAACTCCAGTCCTCCTAGATTGTCCGCAGTCCTTCAACTCTGTATATCGATTGATAATTTCGCCATGCATCGAACGCAACCCCTTGCCGCTCTTGTCTATCAACATATCTTTCCAGTTCGTCGCCCCGATGACCCCGCAAACTTTTCCATGCACCTCAGTAAAAACCTTGTCGGTGAAGTTCGAATCGAGACTGCGACCTTCTACGGTTCGCTCGATTCTGTTGAAGCGCGATATCCTGGTCTAAATTACTCACATCCACCTCATCGCAAACGACTCGGTCGATTTCCTCATCATGCTCGCCTGTTCCAGGCTTTTGATGAACTTGGTCTGACACCATCAGAAATTGCAGGATTCTGTCGATGGGAAGGTACATTATGGGCGAGGGAGCGTTACGAGCGCGATGAAGGAATCAAGGTTATGGACACAACAGCACAAGAGATTGGACCATGGGTAGATAACCGTAACAAGCGGTCGCAAAAGAGCGGAATCAATGTCAAGACAGATATCGAGGTCGAGATCATGCCCGCTCAAACGGCGGAGGTTGCAGAGGACGAGACGATGGAGGACAACGATGACGAACACAATGAGGTAATGAGTGAAGCTGAAGACGAAACTGCGGACGATGTATTCCCTCAGGACGTGCATCGTGGGACCCGCTCTGCGCAGATCGACGCAGAACATGCAGAATGGGAGCAGTACATGAAGGACCAGCAAGAAAGGGAACGCCGCGAATTAGCTGGAGAAATTGTGCGAGCTCGTCAAACTGGTGATATCGTCTTCCAGCAGAGATTTGTTGCCAGGGGACCCCCAACCGCGTCATGATTTTCCTACGGCAACGTTCTCCTTTCCGTCTACATACCCGTCGTTCGAGGCTTAGCCGTTCAAATGGCTGTCAAGTGTGGGAAAAGCGTGAAAAGCTTATGTCTTCCAGGAACAGCTCCTCCTGTGGCGTTTTTTTGGGAGCGATGGGGTCGCATAGCGTTGATGTCTGAGTGCTCACTCGCACTCTGTAAAATCTATTTGATTCAACGAGGGAGCAATAATTGTTAGATGAAGCTGCGTCATTGCGTTCTGTACATAATTGGCTGACTGACGGCGCAAATAGACCAAAGATTCAATTCTAGTTTAGCTTCTGTTCATGCAGCCCGTACATTCTATATAAACATGATACATATATCGTGCTGAATTATTTGCTGCATGAATATAGAGGTGTGGTGAGTAGCAAACTTACCTGCGCGGCAAGCGCTGTCAGAGGTGATACTTCTAGGAATGTGAAACCAGTAACTGCGATGTTGCTATTACTTCTTCACTTTGAGAAGTTCTTCTCCTACGTATATGACTCAATCCTTTGTTTGTTGTTCTGGTACGCTATTGAGTTTACATTGTGAACAGCTGCACGCAGTGTTGTGGACTAGCCACCATGCCGAGCCCCTCAGCTAGGCGGCCGTCCCTCATCAAGACGCCCGCCGATGACCCGCTGTTGAAGCTCTACATTCCACCTTCACCCACAAATATTTCAGCACCTGAATCTCTCAAACGTCTGGCCGATATCCTCGAAGGCTTCCACATATTCAAAATCGTGCCAGAAACCAAAGCCATCAGCGAGGACGAAATAAAATCTCTCAAACAAGCCGCTTGTCCATTACAGCGTGGATCCTTCTTGAACAAGTCAGGGAAATCATACACAATGGAGCAATCGAAAGCTTTGAATGCCTTGGAGCCGTTCCTTGCGCTCAGCAAAGCTGCAAATTCACCGCGGGCGGCGGCGGATGTGGTCATGCAGGCCACAGGTGCTAAAGATACTTATGTGTTTGCGGAGCTATTGCAGATGCCGAATATTTTGAAGCTGGGTGATAGCGAGCTGAAGTCACATCTAAAACTGCTGCAAATATTTGCTTGGGGTAGCTGGTCAGATTATGTCGGTAAGTACTCGCGCTTAGACGTCAAACATTGAAGTAGTCCATGTGAGCGTCCCTGACTGAATGCTCACTTAACTCCAGCGAACCAAGATACGCTTCCAAAGCTATCCGAAGCCCAGACGAAAAAGCTGAAGCTTCTCTCCCTCATATCACTATCCACATCACACGAATCTCTCAAATATCCTGCCCTCCAGGCATCGCTCGACCTCCCTTCACAGCGTGCTCTCGAATCACATATCACAGACGCCATATACGCCGGCCTGGTTACAGGCACTATGGATCCCCTTCACCAACTCGTACACATAACTTCGGTTGCTCCACTTCGTGATCTCGCACCCGGTAGCGTTCCACAGCTCCAGAAGTCTCTTGCGGCATGGAGTACACGATGTGAGGATGCGCTGAAAGAACTAGATATTCAGGCTGCTCATATCAGGAGCCAAGCAAAGATCCGAGAGGACAGGAGAAGGCAACGAGAGGCACAAGTTAAGGCCGCTATGGAAAAGGACGACAAGAAGGGTGCAGAGGACGATGTGATGGACTTGGATGATGATGGAACTGGAAAGAAAGGGCACCGAAGTGGAAAAGGCATCATGGGTGGCATGGGAAGATTGGGTGGCAAACGCTGAAGTATAAGGAGTGAAACTGGAAATACCCTAAACCGGGAAGGCCAAGGTCTCTCACCCTGCAACAACTGAGTGCATGCCTTGAGCGATCATTCACAAGAAGCATGAACTACATATGCCATAATGTAAGGTAATGAAAAGACCTGAAAGACCCATTGGGAAGAGCGAGTAACGTTATATGTGTCTGGCTAGACAACATGACTCGCACAACCTCCGCCGTTGCATTAGATGCATCTGATAGTCACGTTCGCAAGCTACTCTTGGGGTCTCGATATTGTACTACATATACGCAGCAATATACGAAAGCCAGCCGACTAACGAAGCCACAATGACCGTTCATCACTGTACCGCCTCATTGTACCCTCCAGGCAAGCTGGTCATTCGCATACACTTATAGAGGCTACGACGAGCTCAAGTGTGGCAGCTAGTCCGGCAGGTGACAGCGAACCTATTCTTAACGAGGGTTTCTCAAGCGTCCAGCTGTATTATATGTACTATACGAGTCGGCTATTATACCATATATCTAAGCCGTCTTACTAAGTAATACAGAACAAACTTAAAGCACGTGTATATCCGTCGCCCGTGAGGTCAAAATCAGTCAAAATCAATCAAAAACACGTGTAATCAGTGTTGTTTTGAAGCCTGCGAGGTCAAAATCAGTCAAAATCAGTCAAAAAACACGTGTAATCAGTGTTGTTTTAAAGCCTGCGAGGTCAAAATCAGTCAAAATCAGTCAAAAAACACGTGTAATCAGTGTTGTTTTGAAGCCTGCGAGGTCAAAATCAGTCAAAATCAGTTAAAAACACGTGTAATCAGTGTTGTTTTGAAGCCTATAAGGTCAAAATCAGTCAAAAATACGTGTAATTAGTATTATTTTAAAGCCTATAAGGTCAAAATTAGTTAAAAACACGTATAATAGAGAGAGGGGGAGGGAGGAAGAGAGGGAGAGAGAGGGAGAGAGAGAGAGAAGAAGAAGAGGCGGATAGAAGGGTAGCGGATATTACTTCGGCTAAACTATTAACTACATGATTACTTAGTAAGTCTTTGTTTTGAACGTTTAGAACACTAAAATACACTGGACGCTTGCGAAACCCTCATTCTTAACTAGTCTACGTCACAAAGCCACTTAGGTAGCGTGGAACCCTCCGCTCATTTGGCATGTATATAAAACAACCCTTCCGTCCAATCGCTCTGCTTGACTTTCCTCCCCAACTATCGACTTATCATCGATTGTTTGGCTTCAAGACGGAACCATTCAATGTGTTCTGCCCCTTCCTCGATGACTGTGACTCTCTGCACGTGTTCTTTACGCTCTTTCCTACGTGTAAAAGCAGTACGTAAGTAGCCGTGTATGCACAGTATGCGCGAGACAGTGATGATGTATGGGGCCGGGATAGGAAGATGATGATCATTGGAATGGCTTTCGTATATATCTTCCTGCAACGTTGCTTATTCAATGTGCAAGTGTGCTCTGCTTCAAGCACTCCTCTTGCTCATGGAGTTTACTGTGACGCGAGACAGGACCGCGTACACTTCATTTGCACGGCAAATGTGTTGTGGTGGATATTAATATGGGGTGATGCTGATAGTCAGTATCATGAATCAAGACTAAACTTCGTGGAAAGGGTATCTATATCTGTTTGTACTGAGTCTAGGCGTGCGCTACTATAAGTAGCATACGCGGCAAGTGTGTCTAGTCCGGCTTCCGCGAATCTGCCCGTTCTATATAACATGCCGTCCATATCCGCGTGTAGTTATGTCTTTTGCTTTCGATATGTCCAGCTTCTATCGATCGCTGCATTACTTTCTTCAATGGCTTTCAGACTCACTGTGCCCTGTGGTGCGGACAGTGTAGCTTGACTAGTTCTTGGGACAGATTGTGTGTTACAGGGAAAAGTCTATGAGGTATAATGGTGACATGATTCGGTGGAGTGTAATGATTAGTATAGGTAGCTGACGGCTATTCTCCTTGTTTGTTGATAAACTACCTACATTTCCTCTTGTGTGTTATGTCGTGAGATATTCAGGGGCTGCGACCTGTCTGGTGTCTCACTTGACAACCACATTCTGCCTCAAGTTATCAGTCCTCACAGGGATATATCCAATTATACTTCACTTCTAATGTTGACCCACGACGTTGCGCTCAGCTTACCCGGCACTTGCATATTGTATATATTTCATACAAGTGCCCTTAGGGAGTCGACGAATCTTAAAGTTCTTTCTTACATGCCTCCACCGTAACCGAAGCAATGTGTGGCTCTTTTGGGTTACTAGTCGAGGGAAATACCTATGAAGTGACTTGAATTGCTCTTGCCATTTCCTTGACAATGAATGGGCTCCTGTTAATCGGCTGTTTTGATGATGATGTTCGTTGCTGGGGAATGGTGATGATGGTACAATTCGAGAGCTTCGTCTTTCACAAGAATAGTGTTTTGCTCTTTAGACTAGTCATTAGAGCAGCCAGGATGAATTGCTCTCTGTGTTATTGCTGAATTAGATTTTGAGTTGCTTTATTGCGGCCCAGCTGTTTCACGATCTTCACGACTCAAGTTTCCGCATTTTGTACTCCTCTTAGCTTTGGCTTTCCTATTATACGAAGCCTCGACAACTTTGACTATGCGGACTAAGACTTGTGAGGCGACGTTGAACTAGCGATTGCGCAGTTGAGAGCAAGTCACATTACTTCAGATGCATGAATTCGAATTCAATAGAGTCAATAGGGGTACTACAAAATGAGCGCCGCCACTAATGCGTCTAATGCTGCGCTCTGTGTGCTTGCGTTTACCGGATTCACAATTGGACCGGTCCAAGACACGCTAAACTTGTTCTCGCTGTCTCGATCACTATTCCACAGACTGTTGGCGGAGCTCTGAATGACTTGAGCGTAGAGATCCTTTGGTCTTGCAGCGTGTAGCAATTGCAGGTTGCGCATGAAGATACCCTTGAATTGCGTTCCGTCCGGTGCACAATCTGGCTCACATGGCTCGTGGAGGACATGATTCACATCGGTTAGATTTCTGATTGCGGCCGCGGCGATGCTGTCTGCCGAGTCCAGATAGGTGGTGTGCGAGGCTCGATTCAGTTCAACGAGACCACCCAGAATGACACCCTATATCATGTTAGTACTTGTGTGCATATTATCTCTGAGCATTATTGACCTGATTGTAACTCCAAACCGGCTGTCCGTTGTCATAGCAGCCATCCCGACCATAGTTTAAACCATCGTTGAATACACCATCACTGTTGATCATTCCACTGCGTTGGAGCCAGTCCCATTGTTTCCTTGCCCAATCGACATAGTACTGCTTATCTGCCGCACGATTTGCCAAATGTGCTGCTGTGTCGAGAAACAGCTCGTTCGATATCGCGTTCACGTAAGTGTAATTCTGATTCCATGGTATGCCACCGTCGCTGCAATTCGTTGGCCACGCTTTGCTGGTGCTTTGAAAAATACCCTCTGCAGTCGCAAGGTAGTCCGAATTCCCCGAAACATCGTAAGCTGCGATCCATGCTAATGCCCACCACAGATCATCGTCGTAGTATCCATCTAGCCAGAGACTGGGGTCAACTTGACCTGCTTTTCCCGTACGTGAATCAGGATTCACAATCAGCCAGTTATCGGGGTACAGAGTCTTCACTTGTTCATCATGATTGACTTTCTCAACACCAGGAAGTGGATTGACGGCCGGTGCGCGGACGTAAGTGTTACTGAAGACGTCGTTCGCCGTCTGCGCTACAGAGGGGTCGAGCATCGCAAAGTCAGCCAGGACTGTCATGCAATTTGCGCCGTTCCACCAGCCGCAGCTGTCCCAGATACCGCTGTCTCTGTTGTACCAAGTCTGTAAAGCGTCAAGAGCCACACGGGCACGAGTGGAGGCACCATCTTGTGCAAGGATTGGGGATACTATGATAGAAGAAAGTGAAAGTAATGCCAGATAACTAGCAGTTAATGATGAGTGTGAAGCCATACTGGCAATATCTGGAGAAATCAAAAGATGCGCACTGGATACAAAGAAAGTGTGGCTGCATCGCTCCTGACATCCAGAATCCCTCATATACTCCGCAACTCCGCAAGTGCAATATGCAGGAGAGCCTCACACGTTTAGGTTTTGGAGGCACCTAGGCCGAGCGTAGAAGGTGCATGGAAGGTAACACACATTTGAATCACGATGACACAGCTAACCACTGCCTTCAGTCTATATCATACCCTGCTAGGAGAGAAGGTTGTGACGATCGACGAGGGTTGCTTTGTACCCCTCCAGTCACCTACCCGTCTCTTAGCAGGCCTTTCCACATGTGTTGTGGAGCACAACAGAAGTAAGACAATTAGCTCTAGTTTACGAACTCTGTCTTAGGACATCGACTTCAAGTTACGAATACTAGTCAGATAGACCCTTACTAGATCTGTGTATTCGTGGTAGTCCGAGGGTTGATCATAAGAGGCCTAATAGTATCTCAAAGTCAAGATTTTCTTACAGAACCAAGAGTTAGTTGTGATGAGTCTGATATAGTCACCCGTACTGATTGAAAAGGGGGTTCAGTAGTATAAGATTCAATTCGCGGCTCTGATGTATCTAAAACGATGAAAGTCCTCTTCGGACACACCCAGATACCGATTCATCCATACCATGCAATGCTGCGATATTCCGACGCCCTCGTAATGACATGCTACCATGACCAAATCCGTAGACCCCAGCACCCACTCGCCATAATAATACACCGTTGTCCGACGATCACACACGCTCCTCATGACTCCTGGGTAACACATTAATCTATACATCCTTTCACCTCTTCCTCCTCGCCCCAAGACCCTTCTTCCCACCTTTCTTGGGGTCTTTCTTCGCCACAAATACCGGCACATCTTTTAATTGCCAGTCGAGATATTCGACCATATACTCATCAACATGTCTCTTCTCTTCGTCTGGCTGTAGTTTGCTATTGCCCTTGGTCTCAAGCATTTCTTTAGTCTTAGTCTCATCAAAATCCGCCAGATCCTCTCTGACCTCCTCGACCTCTTCTTTCCTTGCGTTCTCAAGGGCACGAACATCTTCGACATCCTCGACCTGCTCAAGCGCCTTACCGACACCAGTGAGATTACCCAGAACGCGGTCCATAGCAGCTGAAGCATCGATGTCGAGTTCACCGAGTTGCTCTGCTTTCTGAAGGTCTTCTTTGACTTTGACGTCTTTGAAGTCTTTAAGGTGGTCAGTCGTGAAGTCGCCCTGCTGAATAATGACGTCATCGAGAAGACGTTTTTGGTTTGATTTGCGCAGAATGTTCATCTCGATGGTGTATTCGCTGACCATGCGATAAATGCGGACGTCGCGGGTTTGTCCAATGCGGTGGGCACGATCTTGGCACTGTTTGTCCATGGCGGGATTCCAGTCGAGGTCGTAGAAGATGACGGTGTCAGCGCCGGTCAAATTGAGACCGAGACCACCGGAGCGCGAGGACAGGATGAACACCGGGATACGTGTATCTTGATTGAATTGGCTTGTATAGACTTGGCGCTTTTCGATTGGTGTGGAGCCGTCGAGACGAAAGTACTTATAGCCATGCACATTCAGAAACTCTTCGAGGATATCAAGAACTTTAGTCATTTGGGTAAAGATAAGGGCGCGATGGCCTTGGGATGTAAGTTCGCGCAGGAGCAGTGCAAGCTTCTGCAGCTTGCCACAATCGAACTGCAAGAGACGCTTGTCTGGAAAGGCGATGGAGAGGCGGATGCGAGCTTTGTGAAACGGATCGCGGTCCGGCGGGAATGAGGTTCGAACAGCTGTGACCCCTTCTGGCGAGAGAGAAAGCTCAGCAAGACCGTCAGCCACAACGCTTGGTGTAATGCATCCAAACTTCTGAACATACGGCTCCATGGCTTGTGCGCGTTGTTCTAGAGTAGGGAGTAGGTCGTGGATTGCACTCGATGTATTGAGGTACCAGTCAGAAGTCATTTTTCGTTTTTTAGGTTTGGGCGGAGCTAGGCGATTAGGCAGGTCGAGGTACAGAAACTTGACTGTGTCAGAGCCATAAAGAGGCAAGCTCATGAACTCGAGACCCCTGTAGGTTCGAACCATGGCACTCCTCTGATGAGAAAGTGTGAGGTTAGAGCGAAGTTTATCAAGGCAATCCTGCTCTGCATTCGCTGCTACATGAGACAGACCTGAGTCGATAGAGCCGTCTAGCACTGGAGAATGTTTGAGGCGCTTGGTCTGCAGAGCAATAAGGTCGTCAAAGACATGATGAGTTCGGAGCTGTTGCGCGCGGAATACGTCGTATTTGGTTTGTGGTTCGTAAGAGGTAAACCGCAGATTCAGGAATTCGAGGTTGACGGTTTCATCTTCACGATCCTTCAGAAGCTTTCTTCGGAAAAGAAGGTCCTTAATCTCATACTCGGCAGCAACTGGCTTGCGCATAGTGAAGGAGGTGACGATTGAGCGGGTTTCGAATAGGTCGGGGTGGTTGCAAACCTTCCGCAAAGACATGAGGCAGTTCATGATGGACATGTAGTTTCCGGACGACAAGGTCTGTTTCGTGTCCGAACGTCCCATGAACCCATCGTAAAGTTGGCGTTGTCGTTTCGAAAGAGAGCAGAATATCACTTCTTCCGACTTTCCAGGCATCTGCTTTTCGACTTCCGCCTTCATACGTCTCAGGAGGTAGGGCCTCAACACGGTATGTAGTTGGGTGACCTTACTTTGAGCATCAGCATCCAGAACTTCTCGTCCCTGCTCTAGGATCTGATTTGTGGGCTGCTTTAGAGCTTGTGTGAAATTGCCAAGATTAGCGAACCCACCCTGCCCATCGTCACCCGCTGGCATGAGGAAGTAAAGCAGCGCCCATAACTCTTGGATACTGTTTTGAAGCGGCGTTCCCGTTAACAATAGCCTGCGTTGAGTTTTGAATTTCAACAAGGCTTGCCATCTCTGCGACTGAAAGTTCTTGATGTTGTGAGCCTCATCCAGAACCAGATAATACCAGTCACGTTTCTTGAACGCAAGCTCATCCTGGAGAATTAGTTGATAGGAAGTAATGACGACGTTACCAACCTGATGGAGATGGGAGTTGTACCAGCCACGGCGCTTGTTTTTTCGCTCTTCTTGTGTCCCATAATAAGTCAGGATCTTAAAGCCAGGACAAAATTTCTTGAACTCCATCTCCCAATTGAGCATGACACTGGTAGGCACTACAATCAGGTGTGGACCCCATTCGCCTCGTTCTGCGCAATGTGCGAGCAATGCGATTGTTTGGATAGTCTTTCCGAGACCCATCTCGTCGGCAAGGATACCGTTTGTTCCGTTTCTCCACTTTTCCGCGAGCCAGTCGAGACCATCGTGCTGGTATGGCCTCAATTTTCCACGTAAAAGTGACGGAGTATGGATATCATGCTCGTCCATGGATTGAGGTGTATGCTGCCTCGAGGCTGTTGGACTAGCCATATGAACATCAACTTCCATTGAATCGTATTGCCCCTTCTTATCTTCTGTTTCTTGAGCATCGTAATTCGTGGTATTCATCGTATCTGTCGTATCCTTCCTGGTAACGACTTGCGTAAGCTCTGCTTTCGGTGATTCCGCAGCTTCGGATTCGTCTAGGGTCGGCCGTTGCAAAGCCTCATCTCGTAGATCCTTATCTAGTGAGATTGGAGAAGGTGGCCTGTGGTCCACTTCGAGGTGTCCGTTAGTAAAAGGAAGCACACTAGGCGTGGTAGCTTCCGGAGTATCTTCAGCGGATTGAAGCTCCGTTTTGGACATATAGAAGCCGAGTAAAGGAGTAGGCTCTGCTTCGTTTTCTTGATCGCCTTCGTCTTCGACATCCGACTCATTTTCTTCGTCTGAGGATTCTTCGGTGCTGGATCCTGAATCATCGTCTGAGCCGCTTGCATCCTCTTGATCACTGAGACCCGCCTCAGCAAATACATCTTCCATAGACATAGCCATGATGTTTCGGTATTTTGCGCGAAGCTCTTCGGGAGTCAAATCAGCGTCTCCTTTTGAAGTATCCATTGGGGCTCGTTTCTGCGGTGGAGCCGTGGTGTTGTCTGCATCTCGACTTTGATACGGCGTATCGCTGGTAAGATCGATGGATTTCCAGGACTTGGTATCTGCTGGTGCGATGTCCATAGCATCATTGTCATTGTCTCCGTTCGGATCCGCGAGCAGTTGACTCGTGTCAACATCCATATCATCTGCAAAGTCTCCGTCGTCCTCATGCTTATCTTTGTCGCCACTATTACTCCCATCATCATCATCACTCTGCTCATCTTCGGCGCCGGACTCGTCTACGCTGTCGCCATCGTCAGAATCATCGTTATGGTCGAACTCCGATTGCGTCGCTGACATGCTAATGACATGCTTGTACTTCTCCTCCAACTGCTCCTTCGACAATTCAGCATCGGAATCAGCATCCGTAATCTCGCCATCGTCTTTGCCATTTGCCGAGCCACGATCCTCTTGGTCGTCCTCTTCGTCGCTTTCGGGCTCCGAGGAGACTTGTCGGCGATTCAATAACTCTTTCGATTGATCCAGCATCTCATCAAGCGCTTGTTTCCCCAGTTCATGCTGCTCCTCTTCCCACCTCGCCTTCCGCAACTTGTCTGTATCACCTTGCGCAAGCTTCCACATGGCTTTCAGATCATGCATAAGTTGCTTCTTGCGTGCCGTGACGAGTTCTTCTAAGGTTGGCTCATGACCACCTCTTCTTTTGCTGAGTTCCGCAACAACGTCTTGTGCATACCTCTTAGCCCACTGCCGATGCTTAGTCTTTTCTTTCTGGAGCAAGCTTTGGAAGTTGATTGCATGTGCCACTACAAATTCCCAGGTTCCATACTGTGGAGGTGGCTCCTTGACTGGTTCCGGCTGAAACCTGGAGCACTTGTTTTCACTCAGCGGACCTCCGGGCTCTGCAGCATCAAGGATTCTCATGACTATCCGAGCCCGCCGACGCGTGTCGGAATCGGTGGTTCTCTTTTCCTCTTCGCCCTCAAATGGATCTTGCACATTATACCAGTGCTCGAATGACTCAAATTTTCGTGGCTTAGGTATCTGTCCAGGGTGTTGAAGTCTTGGCGGACGCGGTGGTAAGCGACGAAGTTTCAACTTGAGTTTCGGTTGGGACGGCGACACTTCTTGATCGACTTGGGCTGTTGGCTCGGGAGTATCAGACGTTATAACTTCAGGCTTGGGTCTTCTTCTACTCTGGAGTATCTCGACTGTTTCCAGACTGCCTTTCTTCGGTGGCTCCAAGGTGTACACCCATGTGTCTCTCCTCCGTCTTCCTGCCGGGGGTGCTCTCTTGTTGGTGTCCGGGTTTGGCGGCGAAGAGCCCGGGGCAGGCGGTGGTGGCATTTGGCTCTGCAGGTAGCTGCTTTTTCTTGGTCGCCCAGGTCCCCTTTTGACAACTGGAGTTGATGCGAGACCAAATGACGCATCCTTGTCTTTTGGCTTAGGACTGTTACTCACACTTGGCAAAGTATAAGTAGATTTCCCTGTCTGCGGACGCATGACACGCTTTTGTTCGGATTCAGGCTGCGACTGTACTGGGCTGGTAACGACATTGACTCGTGACGACTTCCTTTTGCCACCTTCGAATATAGTCGTCGGGCCCTCTGCAACAAACTTCTTCCATGGCGGCGATTTTGCACGTGGTGTCGAGCTCTTACTCGACGCGTCACCAAGCTTCCGCTTCTTGCCTGGGTTTAATTCGATGCCACCGACCTCCCCTAGCTCTTCTTTCAGTGCCACCTCATCCTCTGAATTATTATGCGTTCCATTTGTAGGCGTCTCAGTGGTCTGAACGACGTCTGGTGTACCGTTGTGGACGTTGTTGTTGGGTTCCGATGCATGGTGTGGTGGGAAGGACACGATCACGTCCGCATGTTGCTCGGTTTCGTGGTCGTCAGGGTTGGGCATCGCGCAACGGGCAGCAGACCTACACACCTCCCTCAGCGGCCCGACGTAGAACTAAATTGACCCAAAGCCGACGTTGCTCAATAGAGAAATTCACGCTGGTAAGGCTCATCTGATCAGAATTAGTGCCAGACGTCGGGGTGGGGAGTTATTAGCAAAATAAAGGGTAAACTCGTAATTCCGGTGCCAGATGCGGGATGAAAGTCGCGGTCGCTCGAATTTCCATTCTCGATTTCGCCAAGAAGCAAAGGCTGACTAAGTAGGCCTTGCCCGCCCAGCCGTCCAGCATCACCTTCAACGAATGCTTGCCATACTTGTACGCCGCTAAACTCGTCAATGCAGCTCGGCACCAGCTGTGACTGATAACTACTCTCTTTGACTGTCTCCAATGGCTTCGGTAATCTCAAGAGGAGTCCTTCGAACCAGTCGCGCGAGTTGTACACTCATCCCAGCGACCAAATCAGCTATCATACAAGCTCGACCAGCCTCACAATATGCCCGAGGTATACCTTCGGAAGCTGAGTTGGACCCTAATATCACTGATCCAAATATGGTGAGACTCGCATGAGTTTTGCGCCATCAGAAGATGTTTTAATAGCATACATAACAGAACGGCGGCTACATCAACCCACCCCGTGAGAAACGCCAGTTTCGCGACCCCTACGGCGATTGGCACCACCACCAAAGGCGTAAGAACTTCGGCGAACCAGTCCACGAGGATGATGACGTTCTCGGCATGTTCTCACCTGAAGAATACACATGGACAAAGCCAGGCAAAGGAGCGCTGATGTTTGGAACATTCATCTTAGCATACATGGGGTTATTAGGTGTGGTATACTTGAATTACCCCGATAAGCAAAGCGTGCCAAAATCATATCCTGGAGGTTTGGACGTTGAGCTTGGTGGCAAAGGCTCTTTAAGGGTAATCCCCAGATCCTTATTGATTCCGACACGACAGCTAACAACACGTAGGCGAGACAGGAGGGTGATCCGGAGGGTGTGCGGGCCGTTGACAACATATGAAGTGTAAATATACGCAATGCCACTGGTATCAGTATACTGGTTCGAGATATTTACCAATTGGATTTCCTTTGTCAATCTAACGTCATCCTGGTTTGTGAATATCGAACATGGTTCTCATCCCTACGGGAGTAGAAGTACGTATAACAGTTCCACCGTGTATGGCGCCGGGTATATATTATCCTGCTCTTTACAATAATCCTAACCGTGACTGATGCGTGGCTATGCAATCTGCACCCAATTATACGCCGCTGAAATGGCCTCTATATAAAGATAGTAATGGGTGCCGATCTGGCGCCTTCGCTATGCAATATGGACCAACAAGTATAGGAGAGCAAAAAGAGAGTCCAAATTCAGAACGCTATAACGACGAATATGATTCAAAATATGAGTACGCTCGTACCAACAGCGAAAGTTGGCATTGATACGTAGAGAGCGAACATGACCACCGAAATTGTACAGGCAGCATCCTCTGTGACGTGAGAATCTTAATATCGCTTGTATTTCTGCATCGAGTTTAGCATCACGAAAGATCGATCGTTCCAGGACATCACTCACATCGGCTACCCGTCGCCGACCCTCGCGGTCAATCTCGTTCCCAACTCCATGCAGAGCCATACCAACAGCTTTCATCGCACCGCTAGCTGGTCTGAGAATCACAGTTGGCGCTCTTCTTGCAACGGCTAAAGCTGCACCCCCAGGACTACTACTTTCCATAACCTCTCCAGGAATAGCGATAATGGCATCTCTGGCAGTAAGAAGATCACGTTCTAGGGAGCGAGCAGCACCTCTTAAGCCAGCCATGACTCCTAGTGGTTGATCGGCGTAGCTCGACACGGCCCGAGGTGGTGAATCAGATGATGAAGGTGAGCCTGCTAAGTCCTCCCAGTCTTCGTTGCGAGACGGTGACGCAGATGTGGTCGCCGGAGACAGGAGACCCTCTGCGCCCTGGAGTACGTTCTGTGTTCCGATAGCCATTCTCGCTCCAAGGCGTGCAAGTTCTGTTGTAGTGGTTTTTGCGAAGGCCACAGCACCCTTCTGGATACTTCGGACTATGCGTCCGTTTTTCCTATACTCACGCATCGGAATGACGATCAGGTCGCGTACTCCACTACCTACGTTGACCAGAGGACGAACAGGTGCAAGGCCAGCAAGAACACCTGGAAGTTGGTTGCGCTTGACGTCTGGCATCCATACGTCATTGAGCATGTCGTGTACTTTATCAAAACCACTGATGCCGTACAATATACAATGACGAAGTACGATATCGGAAGCATCCAATATGAAAAAGTTCATGAATTCCGTTGAGCGTCCGGAACGAAGACCTGCGTAATCAACTTTCTTTGGTTTGTAATCAAGTTTGAGCTGGACTGTGTTTACTTCGAGGCGCTGAATGAAAGGTTCTTCAGTTTTGCTATCTTTAGACGGAGCTGAGTCATCTTTGAATTCGAAAAATCGTGTGATAAAGTCTAGTGCATCCTGGTCAACATGCAATCTCATTGGCAAGACGGACACCTGTTCATGTGTTATTTTATAGAGATTACCGAGATATAGAGTGACTTACTTTGATGACAAGCTCGGATGCTGCTAGAGTCGGTACTGGTCGTACGTTGAGGATCTCTAGATGAATCTGCGGCCTTCCCAGCTCCCGCTCACCAGCATCTCTCATGTATGTGGCGAATTTTCTCCAGGTTGACGTTGGTACATGGTCGAAAATATCAAAGTCAGTTACACGCAGGTCGATAGAACTTTGGGTTTCGCCAGTGCCTGGTGGGAAGATAACGATGTCGGCTGAGACTCCAGAGAGCTCAAAAGAAATCTTGTGATGTCGACTACGTTCCAGACGAAGGCCCTTGCGCGTTGATTTATGAGACCTGGGATGAGCAGTAGACCTAGAGGTTGTCGAGGTTGCGTAGCTACCCGTCTCACTTGTGAGATCATCAATTTCCCTATTGATCTTCTTCGCGAGAGTACCTCTTTCTTCCCCAACAGGCAAGCTGATCCAGACAGAATTGAAGAGAAAGTCTTCCTCTATTCGAACTTCGTCGTCCTCTTCAGTACTCAGTCGCTGTCTTCTTTCTTCGGCTCTCTGCTCGACCTTTTCCACGGCCTCAGTTAATACATCACGAGTTGCAGCCCAGTCGTATCCATCGAACAAATGCCAGATTATTTGGACGTCGCGCACTCGTACTTTCAGTGGGCTAGTGGCTTTAAACTCATTTTCCCAGCCATACTGCTTCCTCTCCGAATTCCACTTTCGTGCCTTTCCCTTGGCCTCAGCTTCGGCGCCAAAGTAATTCTCCTCAATGTTGAGTTCGCTCTGGCTGGAATCGAGCTCGTACCGCTCCTCAAAGCTTTCTAGTAGAGTGCTTTGTCCAATTTGACGAGGTATTTCTGGCCCAGTCAGATCGAATAAATCATTATCGAGCATCCCATCACCAAGCTCCTCCTCTGAGGGCAGTGGCTCCGGGTTATAGAAGCTCCCGACAAACTCAAGGTTTGCAGGGAGGTCGTCTTCCATTGTGTCTGCGTCATCCATGATTGAATGGTCCGACCTTTCGGCTTCTTCGGGCACCGAAGTATAATAGTCACCAGTGAAAGATGCCATCATATCGTCCATTGGCACTACCTGCGTACGATACTGCAGCTCTTTACTTGGGGGCAGAGGGGGCGCAAGGCCGCTTAGAAGTGAGATTAGCGTTTGTGTGGAATCTGCGCAAGTCTGCATCAGGAACAAGTCGTCTCTGAAGTCAACGCTGACTTCTTGCGAGCCAGAATTCTGCAGGCCAGTGATATTGACTTCAGCGAAAGCGCTTGAAATAGTGCTTACAGACACGAATCCACGACTGCATAGCTCAGTGACTTGCTTACTGCCTAAGGATGTGTACCTAGGTGGTGTATGTCCTTCGATTTCGAACGCTGGATTGAAACGTGTGTTGTCATCAATGAGCAGTAGAGAAGCTTTCCTCAATTCGAGCCTCGCGGAGAGTCGACCATCTTTTGGAGGGATCCCTGTAAATCTGGTTTCTGTGAATACGACCAGAGCTTTCGATGATGCATCCCTGGGATTCAGTCCAATCGCCGAGTCTCGCAAAAGTAGATCCAGTTTGACTTGTCTCGAAGGCAATCCAGAGTTGACACTCGCTGTGGAGGATTGGCGCGTTAGCGTCGCTGGGTACTCCGGGCTGGTGATGGTTGCAACTGATTCCGCGAGACCCGTGGCTATATCTTCTGCAGAGGCGCCATCCTTTAGGGCCAAGAGTGACATTATCGTCGATACCCGGTACTCAATACAAACATTGTGCAGTTTCACTTTGACAGTCGGTTCCACTTCGTCGCCAACCTTGCGAGCCATAATCATAGGCAAGTCATCAAGTGGGCCATGCTCCATGATCTCATGGATGAGAATCTCATCCTCCCCACGCCTTGCAGTTATTCCGGCAACTTCCACGGCCAATAGTGCAGGCCAGCCAACATGAGCCACACGAGTCCCGCGAGTCGCGAGGAATAGGACGCCGATATTTTCGTTTACATACACACTAGAATCGAACTGTTTGACGTATGCAAGTGTAAGTAGACCAGGTCGATCATCTTCTGGGAGGTACTTTGTAACAGTGGAGAGTTTCGAGAGCTCTTCGCCCAATCCAGCCAAAACTTGCAAATCACCCGAATCATTGACGTCGATTTTGGCGGAATCCAACGTAAGACGAAGAATGGAGCCTTTCTGGCGCTGTCTCAATAATGCATCCACAAGAATGTCATCGTCGTCTTCGTATTTGTCTTTCGAAGGCGTAAGGAGGGTTAAGAGCCGTGTCAAATCTGTTTCTTCCGGCATGAAGAGGAAGTCAATACGGGTGCCATTCGCAGACAAAGCCAGCGATGCAGTGGCATCGTCAGTCTTGTCCACGTGAGGTCCCGTTATTTTGATCTGATCAATATGGATTTTGAAACCTGGGCTACGGCCAACTACCTTGATGGCAGTGGTTCTAGCTTGTACAGCACAGCTCTTGCCTTTGAGGACACATGTCGCCCCTCCAATGCGTGCATTGATTTTCAAGGTCAATCCGAGATCAGTAGCAGGCGCAGGAGGGACACGAGAAAAATGTACACCCCTTGGACGAGAGACTGGAGGGGCGTGGCGAGGCTGAATAGTACTATTCGAACTCATAGAATTGCCCAACTCTAACATCCCACTAAAGCCACCGAAAGACGTGAAAGCGTCATCGAGCTTCTGAGTATTCAGGCTTATGCGCACTGGTAATGTGAACACATCCAATCTCGATGAAGCGTTAGTTGACAGGTATTCGATCGTGATGTCGGAGCCTGGATCCTTCATTCCTTTGACGAACGGTCTCAGCTTAGCGGAGTCGTCGAAGGCAATTATGTCCTCATTTTGAAGTCCAAACGCCATGCGGTAAACCGCGAATTTGATCTTGGTCTGGACCGAGCTGATCGAGATATCAGAACGCGTTCCACTTAATCGTAGTTGGAGAATGATGTCATGAGTGTGAGAATCCAAGTCGTGATTTTTGGCTACTGACTGTGCTCGCGAGAAACTGGAAGTTGGTATGTTCTCGAGCCAGTGAATAGAGATCTCATTGATTGACACCTTATAGTCAACAGCTCGCTGTTCGTCATATTCGCGTTTCTCTTCCGATTTCTTCACAGTTGGTTTGTCTTTCGCGAAATCGTCAAATGTCTTCTGCAAAAATTGTGCAGCCTGGATTAGGAGCTGTCCTACTGTGAGGTCAACATGTGTCTGTACGACGCCAATCTCGAAATCGAATCGAAGAGGCGGAGTTATTTTCTTAGTGTTGCCATCTATCTGTGAAGAGGGCATATGTGCCGGATCAGGTCTGGACCGCATGCTTGATGGACTTGGCGTACGTTTGTGACTCGTGGTTTGCGAATCGACATACGTCGAATACGCACCTGGCATATCTTGATGCATGGTCTCTTCTCCAAAGACAGTCGACTGGACTAAGTCGTCATGACTCGCTCTGTCGTCGGGTGAAGCTTGATTATTGCTGGGCCAAGGAAACCACACAGCAATATTGTCTATATGTAGCAGCGGTTTCGTGACTCGCCCGAGAAGCTCCTCGCCTTGGACCGAGGATGGAGAGCCAGGGGTAGGCGTAGTATCCAGGGGTTGACTGGGTGATGGCTTCGGTGTGCTAGCACGACTTGCTGAGCGAGGCGTGGCGGTGTAGGCTTCGTCAACTTCAGTGGCATCGTCCTGCCGTGTCAGTGCTTCCATGACACCACTGTCACTGCTTGCGGTTTCTGATTCCCAACCACCAGGAATATGATGGCCCCGGGATATTGAAGGAGCCTCGCTATACGCACTCATGTACATGCTCTCAGCATCATCATGGTCGTATATTCGTGATTGGCTTAGGTCCTCAATTGGTGGTGATGTTTCATTAGGTATTGCTTCGTCCTGAGGAATCATATATTTCTGTCCGGCAACCTCTAGAGCATGAGCTTTGTTGTCCGTGGTTACATGCTGCTTCGTTAAATCATCCAGATCTTCACCAAGCTCAGGTACCGAGCTATCTAAGGGGTGTATGGAGGGTGCACTGCCTGCGTCGGAGCTTGTAGATGGAGGTAGATATGTTTGGCCTCTAGGGAACAATTCGTCGCCCACACTACCTACGCTGTCCTCGAGAAGCGATGAACCCACACCAGTATCTCCGCTATCAATCCTCGAGTCCCACATTCCGTTGTTCATGGCATACATTAGGAAACTGCGGTCTTGTAATATGCTTTCCCCCTCGTCTTCCTCAAAGGGGACTTGAGAGACTTGGGGATCGCGCACTAAGGGACGTATATCCGTAACCGATATGCTTGGGTCATAATCAGAGGCAGCGTCCGCAAAACGATCATCTTCGTTTGTGGCCTGTGATGCCTCGAGGTCGGAGTGAACGAGGGGCAGCTCTACACGATCTCTATGGATTATTGGGCTTTCTGGCTGAGGACTGGAGGGTATGGATTCCGACAAGGGGCTCTTTGTGCTTTGTGATGTTACAGATTGTGAGTTTGATGAGCTTGAAGTAGTCGATCCGGTTGTACGTCTGCTGTGGCCCGACACATTCGATCTAGTATCACCAGGAGAAGAAGGCCGTGAGTACCTTGACAAGCTTGCGAAAAGTTCAGGAGTAGATATGATTTCGGCACCGATATTTTGAAGCGATATACGCCTTTGTCCATCTCTTACACCTTCTCCTGGTGCTTGACTACGATTGGATGCTACCACAAGCTCAGGGGCTGGCGATGCAAGTCCGTCTACGATGGCGCGCTGGATCCAAAAATTCATTGAAATGTCCGCAGCCTCGCCAGTTGTCGTCCTCTTGTCTTGCGGTGGTATTTCCGCGTCGAGTCTTATATCAATGCCACTTATGACGACCTCACAGCGGTCAAGAGCGCCGCGAATGAAGTTCTCAAAAAAGCCAGGGAGTGACGGGGCAGTACCCATGCCAACATCTGCCTCGTCATCTTCGTCACTCAAGTCTTGCGCTTCGTGGACATATTGAGACTGGGAGTGGAAAGCTTCTTCGAGTTGTTGTCGTTCCCGCGCAGGCTCTTCTTGAAGAAAGGATTTGGCCAAGTCTTCTGCTGAAGGGATGTTCTCTCCTGGCTCTTTGCCTTCACGGTCTTTCCGTGTTCTATAGGGACTTGACGGTCGTTGCTCAGAGGGATCATGTCCACTGCCCGAATCTAGTACTATATTCAACCGAATGCCGTCTACTTCTATCCGTATGCCTGGGTTGCTTGGGTCTAAGGTAAGTGTCAAACGAAGGACGGAGACTTTAGCACTCGTAAGACGCAGCTGAGGCGGAAGGTCAAGGTGGAGAATAGAGGTGAGTCGCTGTTGAGGTTATATTAGCACAAGGTACGCAAGTCTTGATCTCTGTATCTTACATCGATACGGAGGCCGACATCTCTAAGCTCAAGGGTTGACTTCTTGCCGACCGAGACATCGACAAAGTCAGAGGGATCCTTGTCCAGTATATCCAGACGAGCTAGTGAGAACAACAAGAGGCGCTTGACTATGCTGGAGGAAAATGAAAGCAGGAAAGCCATCGGGAATCAAGCGCGAGCCTCTGCTACCGTGGACAGGCTAGGACTTCCATGTGTACAGCTTTGAGTATGATATGCGGAGACGTTGGTCGGGTGATACACTTTCAAGGTATAGACTGAGCAAGAAGTATAGTATGAGTGTATAGGCCAGACAGAGGGTGCTCAACGTTAGCAGCAAGAGTCGATTAATAGCTTGGAAGGTGACCTTCGTCCCGGAAAGAGGTGAGAGGTGAAGCGTGAGGCGTGAGGTGTGAGATGTGAAGCGTGATAGTAAAAGAATAGAGAAGTGTCCTAGGAGAAGGGAGCTCAATAGGATAGTCGGCTGCACAGCGGAGCTGTTTGCGACACGAGACTTGAAATGCCGTAGACGGGTCACCACGTCCACGGTACTAGCAGCTGTTAACTGGAGCGTGGGGATGGTGGGGAGCGAATGTGGCTAGTACAGATCGGTAAGCCACTTAGATAAGATGAGATAAGAAAGGTGGCGCTCTGATGCAAGGATTCCCCTCTTCAGTACCGCGCCTCCACCGAACATGCAAACGTCCCCGAAAGCACTCTTCTGACCTGCACCAGACTCATTTTCAACGACATCGTATACCAGTATGTCTCTAGAAGATGACACTACCTTCAGAAAGGCGAATGGTGTCCCTTCACACAGCGACGAGTTCATTCAGCGATTCCTACAAGGCAGGGACAGCCTAGTATACGAGGAGAAGAAACAAAGAAGCGGTTGGTAAAGAGCCCTGCGACTCACGCATGATGTATAAAACGTTTGAAACTAACAGAACATGCAGACCGAGTCTTCCGTCAGAGCCTCTCACCCGCCAGTGCGGAAGCTTGCGCAATTGTAGACCAGATTCGCTTCGAAGAGCAACAGACGATATGGACACGAGAATACGAAAACAGTCTGGCGGAAGAAGACCAGGATATATATCCTGGTATGATGTTCAGTCTCGCAAAAGAGCGCATGGAGAAGAGCAAGCTTTGGAAGATCATCAAGAAGATGCCTAAAGGGGCATTATTGCATTGCCACATTGAAGCAATGGTGGATTTTGACTGGGCTATGGTTGAAGCTTTCAACACAAAAAACTTCTGTATCAAGGCTAAGGAGCCATTGTCTTCGCCCAGGAGCAGAAGAGCGGCAAACTTCGAATTCGTGTACAAAATCGACTCCAAGGTCCCGGGCGAAAGCATCTGGTCCGACACATATACACCCTCAACCCCTGTTCCCCTGACCGCTGCCGCAGACGCATACCCAGACAACGGCAAAGCAGGCTTCATCGAGTGGGTACGCTCACGCGTTACAATAACCCACGAGGAGTCCCTTCGCCACCACTACGGCCCTAATGACGTCTGGCGCAAGTTCCTCTCTTGTTTCCCGATCCTCGGCAGCATCATCTACTACGAGCCCATCTTCAAAAAGTTCCTCCAGCGCATGTTCACCCAGCTTGCCGAAGACGGCGTCCAGTGGGTCGAGCTACGCTCCGCATTCTACACACCTTTCTACAGCGAATGCCAAGAAACCCCAGACCAGGATCACGAGGGTTTCTTCGACTGCCTCGAGCAATGCATTGAGGCATTCCAAAAAGACCCCGCTTCTCGAGACCGTGTAGAATTTTGGGGCGCCCGCGTAATCTGGACCACCATTCGCGCGCTTGACACCCCCGCTATAATCGCCGGCATGAAAGAATGCATATCGCTCAAGATGCTGTTCCCAGACCTCATTGCCGGTTACGACCTCGTCGGTCAAGAAGACGCCGGACGGCCTCTCTCCGATCTTGTCCCTGAGCTCTTCTGGTTTCGTAAAGCATGCGCGCAATCAGGCGTTACAATCCCATTCTTCTTTCACGCGGGCGAGACACTTGGCGACGGCGATAGCACAGACGAAAACCTCTTTGACGCAATTCTGCTTGGCACAAGGCGGATCGGACATGGCTTTAGCTTGTACAAACACCCGCTGCTAATCGACATGATCAAGGACAAACGCATCCTCGTCGAGAGCTGCCCGGTCAGCAACGAGGTCCTGCGGCTGTGCAGCTCCATCATGGCGCATTCACTACCTGCGCTCCTGGCGCGCGGCGTGCCATGCGCCCTTTCCAACGACGACCCGACGATTCTCGGACACGGCGAGGTCGGTCAGACGCACGACTTCTGGCAGGCAATTCAAGGGTGGGAGAATCTCGGTCTTGCGGGCTTGGGCAGTCTGGCGGAGAATAGCGTGCGGTGGGCGGCGTTCGAGGACGAGCAGCCGGCCGAATGGACACAGGGTGTTCGCGATGGGGTCACGGGCAAGGGAAAGAAGGGCGAGTATCTGAAGCAGTGGATGAAGAGCTGGGAGCGCTTCTGTGTGGATGTCGTGCAGGAGTATAGTCCAGACGAGGATTTAGATCCGGACGAATAGAGTTACACTCAAAATGGCTATCTGGGTTGTAGAGGGGGGCGTTTAGAAGGGCTTTGAAAGGGGGGCCATCTAGATGGAGTTTGGAGAGGGGCCCAGTGAGGCGACTTTTCAACAAGTAGACACCATACATTGTTATACGCTGTATTCTTTGCACCGAACACGAACTAAAATAGATTGCCACATCAAATGACCATCACATTCTTTCAAGTATCGCAAAACTCTACGTTAACCGCTTAGACGCCGTATGATTAATAACAAGTCTTACGACGGTCGTCTTGAACTAGCTGCCTGTTCTGTGAGCTCGATTGCACAATCGGGCAGTTTGGACACTATCCGGGCAGTTTGGACACTATCGAGGCAGTTTGGACACTATCGGGGCAGTTTGGACACTATCGGTCGGTCTGTAGAACTTCCACGATAGACCACGAAAGTGATTGCCTCTTTCGTCAGAGAGCCACACGGTGACTTTAGTGAACTTGCTACTGCAAGGCACCATATTTATAGATTGCGCTGGTTAGAGTTCAGTGTCACAGAGCAAGATGTGTCACTAAACCACTTCCAAAGGCAAAGGTAACTATCGAATGCTCCTATCTCATGATTTCCAAGCCTTGTACGCCATGTCTAGCTATTCAATCCCCAGGGTGATTCACACGGCTTCCTTGCCATGTGATAGTAAAGAAGGTCTTGCCCTCTCCGAAGAAGCCCATCGAACCGTCCATTTCCCAAGTCTCTAGTAGTTCCATTGATCTATAGTACATGGAAGAGTAGACGTGCTCCATGCTCCGCATATTATCTAATTAACCCCAATGACACACTCCTCAGATCAGAACCATGCCGTTCTCCGTCCATACAGAGCAGCCTAAGTCTCGCCGTGATCAAGGGTCTGGATCTGTACCTTGATAGCGCCTGTCTTCGGATCCGCCGCGGTATGGAACGCCTTGACCGCATCCTCCAGGCCGTACCTATGCGTCACCAACTTTCGCATGTCCACAAGGCCACTCTCCACCAAGCGGATAGCGCGTGGCCATGTATTGCTATAGCGGTACTGGAACTGCAAATCCACCTCGCGCGTACTCAATCGCATGAAAGGAATCTTGATCTCGTTCTTGCCAACGCCGATGACGAAGACTTTGCCGCCAAATTTGACGGACTGGATGGCGCCAGCGATGGAAGATTCGACGCCCGTGCATTCCATTGCCACGGCAGGCTCGACACCACCTGTGAGCGCGAGAATCTTTGCAGCATAGTCTTCTGCAGTGTGGCTAAACTCGACTTTATACGTGCGTACGGCGGGGACAAGTTCGCGTGCAAAGGCAAGCCTGCCTTCGTCGATGTCCGTGACAACAATCGGTTCCGCACCTGCAGCCTTGACGCATAGGAGCGTGACAAGGCCAATGGGCCCAGCTCCACATACAATCACCGGGTCACCAATCGTGATATGAGCTCGCTGCATGCCAGCAAGGGCAACTGACAGCGGCTCCAACATAGAACCATCTTCATAGGTCATGCTGTCGGGCATTTTGTGGCACCAGACAGCCGGATGATTGACATAGCGGCGGAGAAGGCCTGGGTAGGGAGGCGTGGAGAGAAACTCGACTGTTTCACAGCCGTTGTAGCGGCCAGTGAGGCAAGGTTCGCAAGAGTGGCAAGGAATGTTAGGTTCGATTGCGACGCGATCGCCGGGTTTGAGGGACGTGACGGATGGGTGGACGGCGATGATTTTGCCGGAGGACTCGTGACCCAGGATGTGGGTGTCGCGAACAATCATGGGACCGATGCAGCCAGCGTGCCAGAAGTGGACGTCGGAGCTGTGGAATGTAAACAAATTTGTTTGTTGTGAGGTATATGCTGACTGGGGAGAGAAGATTCACGAAATGAAGTGGAAAGTGAGGTGAAGCAATCTTACCCGCAAATGCCAGTGGACTTGATAGCAATCATGACTTCGCCAGGCTTCAGGCTGTCGCCCTTCTCAACCGTTTCGAGTGACGGTTCAGCTTCAGCAACCCACAGCTCGTGCTCAGGATTCGTGTAGACGCCAATGTTTGGCTGACGATTCTTGACCAGATTGCCGTTGGTAGTCATGATGATCAATTGAACGAAGAAAGATATAATATGGGACGAGAGAAGTTTGAAAGATGGAAGTGGACAAGTAGGGAGCAGGAAAGAAGAGTAGGAGAAGCTAGGTTCAGAACGTAGATGTGGGTGAGAAGAGATACGGTGAACAGATGACGGCGAAAAGAATCAGACGGCGTTAAAACAGATCAGTTCGGAGTTTCTTACGGCATTGACATCGAACGCTGGCTGACGATACGGTAGCATGCCATGACGCTCAAGTGGGGGAGGGGTAGCCGTTGTTAAGCAAGGTGAAGTAGTGGGCAAAGGAGGCCCATCCCGCAGCTAACGTTGGTCACAAGATGCCGTGAACTTCCATGTTCACGATGCTCTGAAGGTTCTGCACCGCCCATCGCTGTCATCATTGGCCAGAGACAGAGAGCACAAGACAGAAGTGGAGCAGTAGCAGCGGAAATAGAGGTGAGTTGAACAACGCTGAGCAGCAGAATGAGGTGAACACGTCGCGAGGTTGGTTGTGCGTGTCTGGGCGTGCGTCTCCCTCTACTTTGCCTCTGTTCCGTGCCAGACCCCAAGTATCGTGAGTGGCGCGGGCGTGGTGTTGAGCGTAGAGAAACTTTATGCAGGGCACAAGCACCGGCAAATGCGTTGTGCTGTGCTATGAGTGGCCGACACACTCACACTGTCTGCACGTCTGCCTGCTGATGTGATGCGCCGCATCGAGACCACCAGATTTCTCCACTTCGGGGTATGCGATCCCCAGATTGCACGTTGCATGCTGCACCCGTTGGCGTTGCAGAGATTTCGAGAACGTTGTTGCTGGTTGACGGTTGATGTAATCATGGATGATGATGATCATGGTGGGTGGTGGTGCCATCGATATTGAAATGGATACCTGCTCGGTACGGTACCAGAGTATATCCACAGTTGCAGCTCCGGTGGGTTAATGCGTACGCTGATGGGTTCCCGTGAGTTTCCGGTGGTCCTCGCTTGCCAGTGGCAGGAACGTGTTACGTGACTTCCTCCCATGTGCCACGATGACTGTAACGCGATCCTTCTACTTATAGATACATGGATACACGTACTATTAACTAGGTACCTAGGTAAGGACTCGGGAAGGGGTCGTGAAACATCAGCTGACTCATGCCAATGACATGACATACCTATGATGAGGCCTCCATCACAATTGACGAGAAGCTTGCCTGATGTCTATCTCTACAATACACCAACTTCACATTATTTTTGGTTCGTTCAGCTTGAAGACGCCGTTATATGCAACCCAACTCAAGAATCGATATGTCCCAACGCCAAACCGCATCTGTCTGACTGTCACTTTACCATCGTGGCCCACTAATTCCAGCGAGCCCTTCGTGGCTGGTATTGTTGTCTCTCTCACGTGTCTCTGACGCTAATGCCTGACCGTGTCGTATACATCCGCGGTGCAATGTTCATCGACATCAGTTCCTGGAAAAGAAGTTTCATGGCGTACGGAATATGAACCTGGGCGATACGCGTCGCGTTCTTGCAATTACGGCAGTAGAACTGCATTTTCTTAAGGTTGCTGTAGTTGAGTCAGCGCACAATCTACAAATATACAAAAAAAGTACTTACGCTTCAGGAGTCATCAACCCACAGATCTCGCACACATGTACACGGTATGCATCCGAGACCTCAAATAGACGTTCTTTCAAGAACGACGCTGCTCCATGTGAAATCATGCAATCACGTTCCATCTCTCCGAATCGTAAACCACCGTCTCTTGCGCGACCTTCCACGGGCTGGCGAGTGAGAATTTGCACTGGCCCGCGAGCACGAGCATGGATCTTATCGTCGACCATGTGCCGGAGACGTTGATAGTATGTTGGGCCAAGGAATACTTGCGCCATCATTTTCCTGCCCGAGTGGCCCTGGTACATGACCTCAAAGCCACGGCTCTGGTAGCCTTCTGCGCGGAGTAGTTGGGAGACGGACTCGACGGTAACGTCTGTGAACGGTGTGGCGTCTCCTTCCGAGCCGCGGAGGGAGCCAACTTTGGATAAAAGACACTCGATTAGATGGGCAATCGTCATACGAGATGGAATGGCGTGTGGGTTGATGATGAGATCTGGTGTGAGACCTTCGCGGGTAAAGGGCATGTCTTCCTGGCGGTACGTAATACCAATTGTACCTTTCTGACCATGACGAGATGCGAACTTGTCACCAATCTGGGGAACCTTGGTAGTTCGCGTGCGGACTTTAATGAACTTGTTACCTTCTGAGTTGGTCGTGACCATGACCTTGTCGACGATTCCATTCTCGGTACTACGTAGCGGCGTTGAAACATCGCGCTTCACATGGAGTTTAGTCCGCTGGCCAAGCTCCTCTGCATCTGGTGCGATCGGTGCAGTCTTGCCAATGATTATATCCTCGCCAGAAACACGGACACCAGGAGCAACCACACCATCATCATCGAGCTTGTCATACGTCCCATGTTTCAGCCGTATCGTGTCACCCCGTTGTGGCTTCTCAAAGCTCTCGATGGTGTGGAATCCTACACGCTTTTCCTGGTCCATGTACGTGCGGTAGAACAGACTTCGGAAAAGACCACGATCAATGCTGCTCTGATTCATGATGACGGAATCTTCTTGATTATATCCAGAGTAACAAGCAATCGCGACGATGGCATTCTGCCCTGCCGGCAGTTCTCGGAAACGCAGGTATTCCATGGATCTAGTAGTAGCGAGAGGTTTCTGTGGGTAGTAAAGAACGTTCATCATCGTGTCGAGACGAAGCTCAAAGTTAGTAAGGGCGACTCCCATAGCTTGCTTGCCCATGGCAGATTGGTATGTGTTACGAGGAGACTATGAAACGTAAGTAAATATCGAATATTTCCAAGAAAGCGACTGACTTGGTTGTGATCAGGGAATGGAATGATACTGGCACAAATGCCTAGGATCATGCTAGGATGGATCTCGCAGTGGGTGAAAGTTCTGATCGAGGGATTCGGCTTGGTCTTGAGACGCTTGTGTGTTTCCTCGTCATCTTGATAGACCTTGATACCTTGTCTTGCACGAAGATGATCTTCCAGGTCCTCAGGAGTCATAACGATCATGGCCATCTCTTCTTCGTCCGCATCAACGTATTCGACAACACCTTGTCGCAGTAGACCTGCCCATCCTACACCAGCCTCTTGTTTCTGTCGTGGTGTCATCATGGCGGCCTCCTCTCGTTCATCCAATAGAGTCTGGATGTGCGTTTTGTTCAATGTGAGTCTTCCTCTATTGGGACTTCGTGGGTCGTTATCAACAACGAACAATGGTCTACATACCCGACCAGCGTCTGTGAACACTCTGAACTCGTTTTCTCGTAGATCTCGTACCAAACTGATTTCAGGGATAAGAGGACCAAACCGTTTTTGCTGGATGATTTTCCTGACGAGTCCTGCTGGCTGCGTATGGACACCAACCCATACACCGTTAACGAAAAACTTGCAGGCCGTGGGAAAGTGGACCGGATCGTACTCCTCGAGAAGCTCCATTGACTCGTCCTGCAAGTATTGGACGATGGGTTCTGGCTCAGAGCCGACACTGACATAACACATCAGCGCCAAATTCTTGACCAGCCCGCAAGCTTGTCCTTCGGGCGTTTCCGCGGGGCAGACCAGTCCCCAGTGAGTATTGTGCAGTTGACGTGGCTTGGCAAGCTTGCCATCACGTCCAATGGGTGTGTTGGTTCGTCGTAAATGCGATAGTGTAGAAGCGTATGTGTACCGATTCAACACCTGCGATACACCTGCTTTCGCGGATGCAGCCTTTTTCTGGTCTCCCCAATTACCCGTAGAAAGGGAGTACCTCAGACCATTCGAGATGGTGGTAGATCTGACGGCTAGTTGGAGATTAAAATCCTTGCCAGTCTCGACGCACTTTTGTAGATATTGGAAGACTTCCTTCGTCAGCTTTTGGAAAAGATAGCGGAATAGGTTGGCGATTAGCGGGCCGGCCAAATCAAGACGCTTTTTGCCAAAGTGGTCTCTGTCGTCCTCGTCGCGTCGACCTAAAACACACTGCATCAAACGATGTATCATGTAACCAAGGAAGAAAGCCTTCTTTGTTTCTGAACCTTCCTCTTGAGAGATGTGTGGCAAGAATTCCTTTTGCATTATATCACGTGCGTAACGAATTCGCCTGTCCTTCGTTCCAGTGTTATTGCTCCCACGCTTGGCAATCCAGTCCAGCGCAGACTCTTTGTCCTGTATATATATTGACTCATCAATTGATGGCTTAAGTAGCTCTAACATCTGCGTGTCATTGCTGTCGAAGCAAATGTGGTTGAGAATATCTTGGTCGGAAACAAAACCTAGGGCTCTGAACACGATCGCGATCGGAACGTCAGAGCGGATGTATGGTAGTGTCGCGTAAAGGTACGGGCCATGCTCTTTATTTGCCAAGGTCGAGTTTTCCGACCATTTGACAGACATTGTTGAAATCAGTCTGGAGCCTTTCTCCACTGCGCTACGAATCTCAGCTACCCATGGTGTTGAGCTGCCCTTTTTGGAGAAAACCTGTACAATGTTCGCTGCGCTACGCTCTTGCGCGATCAAGACTTTTTCGGATCCGTTGATTACAAAGTAACCACCTTGATCATATGGGCACTCCATATGCATATACAGATGCTCATCTCCTTGACCGGAGAGAGAACAGAGCTCTGACTTCAACATGATAGGTAGCTTGCCGATGAACACGCTTGCAGGCTCAGGCTGGCTCTCCGTTTCCCAAACTAATTCGGTACCCCCGGTTCGCTGAGTCTCTACACCCTCCATATCGCCGTCTTCATTATCTTCACCTACGGGACGTTCTCTTGCCACCAGTACTTTCGTATATATTTTAGATCGGATCGCGCTGGAGTATGTCAGATTACGAAGACGGGCTTCGTGTGGATACAGAGGGCTCGTAGTTCCATCGCTCTCGGTAACGGTGGGATAAGTCATGGTTACGTTGCCAAAGGTGACCTCGTATCTTCTCTTGATAATCGGAAACTCTTCGTCCTCGTTACTTTGAGGCGCGTTTTGATCCAACGTAATGCGGCCGTTGTCCTTGACGATTTGCGGAAGAGTGTGATTTGTGAAATCGTTGTAAGAGTCGAGCTGTTGCGACACCAAGCCCTTCAGCTCAAAGAATGATGAGATGACAGTCCAGCAATCCTCCGCTGTGATGACGTCGTCATCCTCCTCCTCGTACTCCTCATAGCCATCCTCATAATTGTTAGAGTAGTCATCCATAGCTAAAGGTCGCGCCTATGACAAGTCGCACGAATTGAGGACTGGCTGGCGCACTCTGCGGAGGCGCGTATATCGACACCGGGCGCGTGGGACTAAAGAAGCGTGTGCGATAAAGCTGCGGTAGTTGCGTGATCTCTGCAGAGAGCGATACGCGTTAGCCAGAGTTTAGGATACCGAGATTTCGTCGATGAAGGCTAAGGCGACAGTGATGTCTGAGCTGGAATCTAGGTCTATTGTATAAAGGTGCAGTCTGAAAGTAAGGCTGATCTTGGCGTGTCAAATCGGTACCAAAGATACAGTGGTGCTATGTATTAGTCAGTACGTTGCAGGGTGGAAATACAATGCATCTTTCGAATGGATTGTTGAATGTCTAGAAGTACTGGCTAAAGGTTTTGTTCATGCAATCACACAGTCAAATGGAAGCCGATCCAGATCAATGTGACAGAAGGAGGTGTATGTTATCATTGTGGGCCTAGAGCCTTCACGTATGCACTTCATCGGATCAATAGCCTACAAGTTCAACACAGCACCGAGAGCCCTTGTAAATAGGTCACAAAGTGCCACATCATGGCAAGCGGAGGTATAAAACATAATGCCACGCTCATCTTTTGGTCCACAGGTCGCTTTAGCTGTTCAGCAGATGGTCTACCGCCCCTTGAACACTTCCGCCACTCCTGCGGAGAGCCTGGATATTGCGATCAAAGTCGTAGAAGCCCATGTCGTTGAGTTGCCTCAATTGGTCTTGGTATATCTCCTCGGGCGGACGGTTGTCCGAAGATTGTGCAGGTTGCTGCCCTTGCATGCCTGCCATGAGATTCATCATTTGAGCCATCGGATCGGTTCCTGCCTGCTGGCCTCCTTGTGCCTGCATCATCTGTTGCATCATCGTTGCAAATGGGTTTGCTTGAGCCTGACCTTGACCTTGCTGGCCCTCCGTGTTGCTTGATGGGTTCGTGGCCACTCCACTGAACGGGTTGGCTGCACTTCCAAAAGGGTTGGCACCAGGTGCGCCAAATGGGTTGCTTCCGTTGCCAAATAGAGCAGCAAAGGGGTTCTGACCAGTTCCACTACCCGCACCAAGTTGTGCAAATGGGTTGAGAGGTGGAGGAGTAATACTGGGGGTGCCTTGTGTTCCAGTTGTGTCTGTACCACTGGTAGGGTTCTGTTGGTTCTGAGGTGTTGTGTCTGTCACTCCTGGCGCAGGGAACGCATTCGCGCCACCCCTGTTCATACTACGCTGTATCTGAGCTTGCATACGAATCATCTCTGGATTGAATATCATCCTTCGGAATTCAGGACTCTCGAGCGCCTGACGAGCCACGGGATTGTCGCGAAGCATGGGGCTTTCTTGTAACATGCGCATGAACTCCGGATTGTTCATGGCCTCATTCATCTGTGAAGCAAACATTGGGTTTTCCAACATCTGAGCCATCTGCTCGGGATCTCCAAAACTTCCCATCTACGGCGCATTAGCTCAAGCAAGTCTAAATGGCGAGCGCTTACTCACACCACCATCTGGGCCAAATGTGTCTGCACCTGGAAGTCCGTGTAGACCAGCATATCGTGCACCAGTCAGGCCAGCAAGGGGGTTGTGGCCGGTTCCAGCGGCGAAATTCGTGGGGACGTTAGCAGCGGCGGAAGGTGGTGAGCCAGCAGACGCAGAAGTGGTATTCGCGCCGCCTTGGTTTGCTGGATGCTGCCGAGCATTGCTCGCTGCTCCTTTTACGAGGTGTACCGTGTGTCCGTCCTTAATCTTGTAGCTTGCGAGGGTATCTGCGTCCTTCAACACACGGCCAGAGTATATCAGTCGTATCCTGTCTGTTGGTAGATCTGCATAATCTGATCCAGAGAGCTTGTTCTTCAAGTCTGCAACCGTAGTGCTCCCAGGGATCGTGATGTTGTATTTTGCGTCGCCAGATGACTTTACGCTGAAGGTGACGTCTTCGTCGGCCATGGTCGGCAGACCGCAAAGCGACCTGGTATGTAGCTGGAGGGAATGGAGTGGTATGCAGCTCGTGAATGTCTAGGGATGTATGTCAGAACGGGTAAGCGATAAATGTAGATAAGCGCAGTGAGGAAAACGTGTTTGTATGTTGTTCTGAGAATGGGTTGGAAACAGAGAGAACCAGGCCAAGAACATGGACACCGTCGTGATGAAGGTGGGCGCCAGCTGGATGACGAGGGGGATTGGCGAGTCATGGACGGGAACCATAGACGCGATCCATGGATGTTGGCCTTACAACCTAATAACCGCCACCGTGGACATTACCAAAGTCCCAAACTTCACAAGCGCCATAAATTGATGATAGACCGCGCGCGATCACTTGGACTGTATAAACTTGGTCTCTACAATTTACTTTTGGTACCGATATACACGTGTATGTTCATAGCTTGCTTTGTCCTTCCGGCACCTTCACTACCACCTTACCCCAGGAGTCTCTCGCCCCTAGAGCTTCTAGAGCGGCCGGAACTGTCTCCAATCCAACATACTCCCTATCTGTAAAGCATGTACCTTTGATCTTTCCACTCTCCATAAGAGCAAATAGATCACTCCAAACTTCCTCAATCTTTTCGGGCTCATTTGTAGCATATGCACCCCAGTGCAGTCCAACCACACTAACATTCTTCAACAAAATTCTGTTAGTGGCCATCTTCTCAATATCACCAGCTGCAAAGCCTATGACCAGAAGCCTTCCATTCCATGCCGTGCACTTCATACTTTGTGCGATCAGCCCTACCGGATCATAGACAATGTCAACACCGCGCTCCTTCGGCGTCAATTTTTTGACCTGCTCCGGCCATTTGCTGTCTCGGTAGTTCACCGCATAGTCTGCCCCGAAACGCTTCGCAACCTCAAGCTTGTGCTCTGTCCCAGCAGTCGCAACGACCGTCGCTCCCAAAGCTTTCGCAATCTGTACGGCAGCCAGCCCAACACCTCCAGCAGCGGCGTGTACTAGAACCCAGTCTCCTTTTTTCAAGTTCGCCCTTGTAACTAGCCCGGCATAGCTAGTTGGCGCAGTCACAAAGAGCCCTGCGGCATCAAAGTGACTCCAGCCTCTTGGCACCGGTCTAAGCTTCTCCTCTGAGGCTGCAATCTTGGTCGCGAAACCACCTTGCGAAGCGCCGAACACCCTGTCTCCTACTTTGAACTTGGTCTTCCCACCCTTTGGGTTGGATGGGACGGCGAGGACAACTCCAGAGAACTCGGCGCCAGCGATCCAAGGCAAAGGTGGCTGATGTTGGTATTTCCCGCGGATCTGGAGAAGATCGAAGAAGTTTGTGGCAGAGGCCTTGACGCCTATCAGGTACTCAGTCGGTTGAGGTTTTGGATCAGGGAGCTCGGTCACTGTGAGGTCGCGTGGACCCTAGTATCGTAAATGGATGATGCGCTGTCGCAAGGCCTCAAGAAGTTGCACATACCTTGACATACTCTTTGATCTGGATACCGCGCATCGTAAGCAATTTCGTGGAATCGGATTTAGTATGGTTGTGTACGAGTATCCTCCCGATAATAGATCATGTCAAACTGAACTTAGCTCTGCCGACGAAGCTCGTTAGACGTCTAGTCGACCTCGGCTCTCCCCGCAATCCTCTAAATTCCCGTCCAAGTGCCTTGGTTCGGACATCTACGGAGATCTACGAAGATCGTTCGGAAGTCAATGTCGCGTGGCATTTACTTAATACTTCACGCGAAATAGCATGCCAAATGCACGACATATGCTGTACTCGTTTTGGCAGACTTGTAAATAAGCATTCTCTGTCGAGAGTCAGAATTCACGAGACAAACAGGTACAGGTTGACCTTCAATGACACATCTTACGTATATATAGCCTGACAGAGTATTTTTGATACTGGTTGGCTCAACTTGCTTCAAGCCCTACGGAGAGACAACACGGGAGACGTAAAATGGATGGCTGCGTCAAGTTGTACACACGCGATGAGCATATAACCCCGTAAGTGGGTCGGCGTGAGCAAAGCGATGACATTAAACAGGCTGTAAGCGGAAACAATTAGGGTAGAATGCCGACGTGTCATTAGTATGTAGATCTTCGGAGTCTCCTCTCATGACTGATTGGGGGACAGGGAAGACATCAGGCGTAGGCTTGTAATTACTGTAAAATGGTCAAGATGAATCACAACTCCACTAGGCTACGAGAACGATCCCAGATCAATGTCGCAGTTGGTGATCGTCCCTTCGTCGGTCATAGTCTCTGTCACGGTCACGTCGACGACTATCTCGATCTCGATGTCTGCTACGCTCCCGCCTTCGGTCATCATAACGTCTCTCGCTACTTCTGTCCCTCTGCCTGAAGCTCGAATGCCTTTCGCGATCTTCTTCTCTACCGACTGTTCGCCGCCGAGGACTTCGGCTCCTCGAAGGCATCCGCGTATTCCTCTCAGGACTTCTTCCTTGCGTATTTCCTGGTCTGCCCTGATTGACCATAATGCCGTAGCCACTGCCCCTCTGCTTGGGCGTAATATGTGTTTTGTACTGCGTTTTCTGCTCCAGAGCATCCAAGCCTCCAAAGCCAGGTCCCGCATGCTTTTTCCTCTTGGCGTTGGTAGCCGTACGCCACGTATCCGAAAGTCGACTGACACTCTGTGAGAAATCTACGTGTATCCGGTGGTCGTCAATCAGGGTACCATCCATCTTGTGATATGCACGTTCGCAGTCTTCCTTCTCTTCGAATTCAATGAAAGCGTATTGAAGTGAGTCACCTGTTCGCTTGTCCCGTATAACCTCGCAGGACAGGATTTTACCGAAACGACTGAATATCAGTTCTAGATCTTCATCCTGTGTCACGGGGTTGAGTTTGCAAACGAATAGCACGTTTTCTGGGGGTTTGACTTCAGCGAAAGGCAGGTCGCCCATCATCTCAAGTGTAAGCGCTTGTGCGCGAGCCTCACGCTCACGGCGCAGCTTCTCGATATTTTCCTGGTCCGCATCTGGATCAAGTCTTTCGTCGTGAGCGATACGGACTGTCGCGAGTTGCGCTGCACTCGGAATAGGTGATTGATCGGGCTCCTGAAGGCCAGCCGGGTCGAAATAGGGGTCGTCAATGATATGCGTATGTAGAATACGGATGTCTTTCAAAGGCCTTCCAGAGTCATCCGTGAAAGCGCCGTTGATATTTTCCAAGGCATCAAAGCCTTCGATAACATTTCCAAATACTGCAGCCTTGCCGTCAAGGTATTCCAGGTTGTCCCCTAAGGTGACTATGAACTGACTCCCAGCTACACGCGTATCATCATTCTGGGGATCTGGTGCCGTCGAGAAGCTGATTGTACCTCTCTCGCTGTGCTTCAGCTTTGGGTGGAACTCTGGTGGGAAGGTCTTCTTGGTTGGGTTCGCGGGATCCAGCAATCCCCATATCGAAGAGCCGCCATCGCTATCCGCGGAGCCAGGACCGATTGGATCACCAGTCGTGAATGAGAAATCCTTTTGTACAGAGTATATCGGTGAGTAATTGTAGTATTTGATTTTACAGAGCTTGAGAAAGCTGGATTTGTTAGTATCTGTGAGGGCTTAATGTTCAGCGCGCGTCAACGTACAGGAACAAGAACTTACTTTTCGCAGGCCTTCGGCGCTTGGTCCACAAGCAGATCAACTACAAGATCTCCAGCTGAAGTTTCGAGTAGCACACTCATTATGATGCTGGAATCCCGTTCTTGGCTGCGGTGAGGAATCTAAGTTTGCTGTTTGTCAATCCATCGTTCACGCTAGCTCGTTCGGCCGGAGAGCTTGGAGCACCGCCACAGAATTTTGCCAGCCTTCTACGCCACCCTTTGAGTAAAACAACACGACATACCATGGCGCATCCCCCATACTCTTCTAACACCGAGTCAGGCACTTCTCACATCTTTACTTCTCTTTAACCCCCACTGTTTCTGAGCCAAAAAGACTTACGGCTACCCAGAAATCGGCTACCCAGCAGGGATCTTGCGCGACACAAACATTCAACGCACTTCAGTGTGAAACAAGACAGTATAACGGTATTGGCTGGGGTACTATGTCCATTTCCGACACTATCTACAGGTACCTACTACTACCCCAATTACTGTCCTCCTAGGAACGCGATCAGAGTGCTTCTTTGATCTCTGTAACGCTAAGACTGATGAACAAGCGTCCACACAAGACGAGGGAGCCGGCCTTCCGATATCAGTCTTGAGCATCGCCGACGTGATCTTCGACGTGAATAACGGCATCGGGGCCCTATTACTTCCCACAATGCTCAGTATCCACATCTGCATCACACCTGTTCGTCTGGCGAAGGACCTGCAGCACTCCGTTTCTAGCCTGTCAAGGGTCCACGATTCCACGCATGTACCCGTAGGGGATTGCACAAGAGCTGTAAGTCAGTGAACCATCTTTTTGATTCAGAAGAACAACGTGAAAGGGTTCATGATCCAATATGACCTTCTCTTTTTCTTCTTCGCATCTAGCGTGCTTGGCAATACTCTTGTCGTCTCCTCGGTTTTCTATCAAGTAGTGTGGATCAACTTTTCGTCACACAACTGCACTACCCTACTTATGCCCTACATAGGAGCAGATAGCATGTATGTCTTCTCCTGATTCGTTTCAGCCTCCTGTTTGTTATCGGTTTAGTCAAAAAAGCCCTGGACAGCATTGCCGCCCCACGACCAGAGTAACGATGTTTCATCACTGGTTGGGTAGAATACACACAAGTAAAGCCTGGCCCTTTGTCGATTACAGCTCATACGTGCTCAAACACACAAGATCGACCAAGGATCTATCGATGCGTGTGCAACAACGTTCTATCTTTTTTCAAACTGAATGGACATCCAAATACACGTTCTTTACGATGCTGCTTTGCATAGCGCCCTTCTATAGCGGGAAGACCTTCTTGGGGTCTTTGAAACCCTTCCTACAGATATATACACCGCTTCTCGTTCCACACTCAATTCAAACATGCTCACCGTAAGGCTGTAATTCGAATCGCTCTTGGCTCGGGGATATGTCGCTGACCTTCCCGGTGTATCAGTGCAAACGCCACGGGTGGGCCTCTACTCAATCCTGTAGACTGTATCATCATCGAGCTTTGTACGTTCCTCACTCATCACTTTTGACCGTTTTCCATGACCAAACAAGTAGACCTCCAGCCCCGTTAGCGCGGGAATCATCATCAAACAGGATCTGTCGTATGTAGGACTTCCTCAATATGTATGAGACATCGCACGGCTCCAAACGATAGTATGCTAGAGCGTGCCCCTGCCGATGCACATCCCTACCACGTACAGCCTGTGGGCGAGAGGGTGGTCTACTAGGTTTCTTTTGTCCGCCAACCTCTCAGATCCAACCAAGCGCCTGTCAGAACGTAGCTAACTCAGCTGAAAAACAGCTTCTCATATGCAGCACAACAGCGGGACTTGTCATTCTGCGCCGGTGCCGCCCAGACTGGATGTTGGCAACGCACCCACCCCTCGGGCCCACTTGCCCTGTTGTGCAAGATTCGAGATTTACAAAGAGCCCAACCTATTTGTATTATGCCTCCTACTATGGCTGATTCTCCTCGGATCTGCATAGCAAATCATACATGTTCAATGTTCTTGTACTGGCTTGAGCTTTCGCACTCGGATACCATGACTACTGCATGGATTGTTCGGCGCACAAACTTGAGCTCGATACCACGGAACCGAATTTTCATACAAGCTATGCAACCTACGCATACGTGTCCTACGCAGTCTGTTCTCTTCCCCTCTCTGTACTCCAGAAGACACAAACATCAACGCTCTTATGACATGTGCAGCTCATTCGAGAGCAATTGACTTTGATCGTACTTTCGCGTCCAGATTAGCACGAACCTTCACAGCAGGACTCTGGAAGTTTCATGTTGCTATCATAATGTTCTGTCAATAGTAAGCTCTTCGGTAGATATTGCTCACATCGTAGAGGGTGTTTGGCTCTGTCTATGTCGAATGGTCGACGAATTCTTATCCGGAGCTATTCCCGCGCATCGTAGAACGTTGCACTTTTGGAACACGGACATGATTTGCTTACCAGGTAAAGACCCTCAGTATGAGGCCACCACTTTAAACGCATTCTCATTCGGTTGAGCGATTGTCACTCAATGCAAAGGTCCGTTCCGTTGTATGCTGATTGAACAAAGCTCTGTCAGACGAAGTAGAGGACCATTATGTACCAACACAAATCGTCTACAAAAGTATATCTCAACCGTTGGCTGGTGTGAACTCCTTTCACTAGACAAAGTCTCCTCAGCCCGAAGCAAACAATACTGCGAACAAACTCTGGGCTGCTCCAGCTCGATGTAGGATAGCGACACCGGCTATGATATAGAGCAAGCATATTTGATAGCACTGATCCCCAGGCTCTCCACAACGCTTACCCCAGTCGTGATCGTACTGCTTCCAGCTTCGGCACGCAAGCAACCGCCCCTCTTACCCTTCAGAATATCAAGTGAGCTTTTCCCCTGACATAAGGTCACCCGACTATTTTTAGCCAACGTACGCTCTGGCCACCACTTGGGAGAGAGAGTTCAGGTTTCGTTGGATTCTGTCCAAATTCTAACATCGTTTCAGATGATGGCCAGTGTGGACTCGTTTTCTCGGTTTGGTCATGTTCCTAGCCATATGGCCTCCCATGGTCAATATCATTATTTTCATCCGAACGACTACAAATCTGTAGATATCAACCACTCGCCGTTCTCCAGCCAAAGTCAGAGTCCTCTTCATTACTGGTACCCTTCACTTGGTTTCCCAATGAATAGTCCTGAAGATACTGACGGTCATACGCGACGCCGGGTCGCAATGGCAGTGAGTAAAGCTATATCACTGTTTTGGCAGACCTCTGTGTTCAGCCCGATCGTCGGGGTTTTTACTGACAGTATATACAGTGCGGTCGCTGTCGTAAAAGAAAGATTCGCTGTGGTGGTGAACACAGAAGTGGCCAACCATGCTCAACTTGTGTCGCAGCAAGTGTTGGGGATGACTGCCAATTCATTCGGAGTGGAGCGGTAAGATAGTAAAATCGAGACCAGAAGCAGCTCATTGAGTGATGGAATAGATCACAGTAGATATACAGAGCGATGACACGACAAGAGCATCAGGTCACGAAGAATCCGCCAATGCTGACCTACCCACGGATTATTCTTCTGGGGGTATCTCTCACGGCGTATCAACAACAGGTTATCAAGGATACTGTCACGAGACTGAATCTCGATCCCGGATGGAGGGCTGTTACGATCGCTACGCTACCCCTAGCTACAGCACGCCAGCTGCAGCTTCAGTAATGCCTCAGCGAGCTCAAGACAGTTTGACAGATCCTTCCAAAGATCCTGGCGGCGATATGAGTACTCAACGTTGCGCAATCATCGATAACATGTCTCTGCAAGCTCTATGTCCACCTTCAGCAGGACGCCCGGGTAGTGACAGACTCCACCTCCCTCCGCCAGCAGCCTCAGCTGCTCCTTCAATTGCGTCCTTCTCGCAAAGCTTCGGCTTCACCTCTGGCTACTCTGCTCAACCACCTGTATACACAGCTCCTATAACTGTAACCCATCAAGAGTCTTACAGCAGACATCAAAATTATGGATATGCAGGTGCTCCTCCAACCGGATTACCACCACATGGCCCTAGGGCCGATATGAGTACCCAAGGCCAAGCCTTCGTACCGGAATCATCAGTACAGTATGCAGATTTTACGACAGGCAGGAACTCTGGTAAGCTACCATAGGGTTTGACCTCGTATCATGCTTATGAACACCAGACTACTCATCGCGATCTGAGCCATCAAGTGGCTACCATTTCTCCACATCGAATAGTCCTCTGACGACTTCACTTACTGCAGTGCACAACCATCCCCTGCTCGGTACTGGCCGCGAATACTATCCGGTATCAGAAGCACCCGCAACGTATACACAAGTCGATCAAGAGCACGATATGGCTTACAAGTACTCTCGAAACCATAGTACTCATCCCCAATCGCGTCCAACATTGTAGGTAGCGTGGTATGCTTACAGAGGTATTATAAACCTCCATCCAGCACATATTGCCCCATCAAGGCTGTCTCCAGACTCCCACTTGGACATTCACGGGATTCCACTATCAAAGCAGCCTTGGATCTTCGTCATGACTCTCCTTTCTGAATCGCATGTTGGTCCCATTCATTAGCATTTTGATGGACATTGCATCCAGGTATCCTGCTTTGGTGTTATGGAGATGTTGTATAATTATCATTAATTTCAGTATGTATTACCACTAGGGATAGGGAGAGTTTGTTCTCGTGCTTCTACAACGAACTCATGATCATTTGGCGGCATTGGGATGTTGCTTCGAATCGAAGCACTATGTACGGGTAAAAGTGATTTATTGCCTTTTGAATAGAAGAATGGAATATAGCTTCTCGGTCGTATCATAGAGAACTTTGATATCAGGAAGATGCGGTATTGATCTAGTATTGGGATCTAATTGCCTGTTATACTAGCCTGCATTCCACTTTGTCGGATATTGCAGACCACGTAATAAGCCCATAACGAAGCAATTTCACCAAGAGTATTGCTAAGTAGTGCGTGTCTCAAGCCATTAGTTTACCATAAGTTCCTAGCATCCTCGTGTGCGTTGTATTTAATTCTGTCCTTAACAACTGTCAAAAGTCCCGTATAATGATAGAATTTTCAAGGCACACATATTCGCGTAAAGGGAGGAATATTCGTTTTCTTTGCTAATGAATACAATCTGCATTCCGTTGGTGACTTAGCCTGGCATGCACCGTGGCAAGAACCTGTGACCAACGGATGGGTTACCTACACCTGCTTACGATACCAACTCTGCATTGTTTGAGACGACCTAGCTGACACTTGATTCAAAGCCCATCCCTTTTGAGTTGCTCGACCTGTATTGAGATACTTCGCTCATAGACCCATGGTTCTGACGGCTCCTGATGTGTGTATACATTATTCTTCTACCTTGAGACTTTGCATCCTCCCGCACATCGGTTTTGTGCACTTGCTCTATTGGCTCCTATACTATGCGAGCTTCACTAAAGCATGAAGATATCTGTGACAGCACCAGTAGCGAGCTAATGATCAACACTTGCTTAGACCATTCGTTCCTGTGGATGTAGAATCGGGAAGATCACTCATCAGCAGTCGAAATGATATACGATACTGTCTGTTCATCGTGAATGGTCCGCTCAAGAACATGCATTGCAATTCTTGAATGCAGGCGGCAGTGTCATCGAGCTTGAAAAGGATACCGTGAATACATGTCCTTGGAACAAGTGCCGTGATTCCAGCACATATATGACAGATAACTCCTACAGCCCCCATACAGCGCTGACTATCTTTCCTCAACTGCCGCAAATCATCGATACGTTATCATGTCTTCTCAACACGATCTGTACCAAATCAAATTCAATATTATCTCCTTCCTGGGACCCATTGACTCTTGGGTAAGTCTACGCAGCAAAAGTATAGGAGAGACTCAGGTGCTGATACTCCGTAGCCCGACTTCTTTCGCCAAAACCTCCGCGATGTAACTCTATTCCTTCCAAGGATGTGCCGCCCAGTGTTCCGATCTCTTCGCGGTGAACAACACGGCCAGAACGGACTCGACCTCAATCTTACGAACCTCGAACTGGTCGCAGGTATGAAGTATTACCTCTGTTCCCTGCGTGGTCTTCTCCGAGAAGTTCGCGAAGTAAAGATCAGACCCGATCGTGGACCTAATCCCGTGGTGAATGCACAAATTGAGCGATGGGCGGCGTCATGGAGACTGGTTGAACCTCCGACGCTTGAGCTTGGTCTCTTGAGAGGTTGTATGGCAGCAACAGAGGACATAGAGTTCCTGGAGCGTATATTGAATGGTGAAATCGATCCAAGGGGCGGTATATTGTCAAGGCGCACACACCATACTGGATCACCCCTGCGGGCCGCGGGTAGTGGTGAAGAGCAGAGGCCAAACCAGAGGACAGAAGGACCAGGGCGGTCAAATGAGGGTCCAGTGGAAGGTCGGTTTGGAGGACATTTCGACGGCAATGAGCTCATTCTGGATTACTTGACGTTTGTTATACCTCGTACTGAGTAGAGGCTGGGTTGAGAACTTGATTTGTGACAGCCAAAGCTGATGATACGTCACTTTAAGGGCATGTCTAGGCTAACGTAACAACCCACAAGCAATATATGAGCCTCTATTGCCTCTTTGTTGTTCAGCCGTGTGCCCTAGGGTCTCCGGTCGAGACCTTTATATTTATGGCTGACCATATCTCAGACCCTCAGCGGACCCGGAATAGCAAAGCAAGCTTAGGACTATCCTGCTTAGGCCCAGATACGTGTGGCCACCAAGCATAAATTGTTATCGTACGACGGCAAAATCGTCTCCATAACGCCCTAACCACAAGGTCTAAAGATCACTTGGTCGCAACAAGTATCGGAAGTCACCCCTTGCAATACTGACAAACGTCTTCTAAAAATGCTCACAGGGTATGTGAAACGGGTATCATTAGAAAATGCAATTTTCAATCTGCGCGCCGTCGTTTGGTGCCGTTTGGAGCTTTAGATATCCCGTTGATTGCGGCTTTCCTGCCACCTGCCGTGTCGTCTGCGTTTTCCACAGCTTCAGCTTCATTCATCCACTGCTGGCCTCGCCCAGGACTCTTGCGGCGATACTGGCCTGTCCCAATCGCTATAACTTCGTCCTCGCTATCGCTGGCGTCAAGGTCCAATAGGACTGGCATCCGGAACTCTCCTGGATTGAAATCGGCTTTTCCGGGATCAATCGTCAGCACGTCCACCTCTTCATCTTCTTGATCAAGTCGACGTTTATGCAACTCCTCTAAAGGTTGTATGTCGAATTCATCTTCCCTCTCCACATATTCGACGTTCTCTTCGACCTCGTGGAAATCAGGAGCCAGGGCAGACCAGCGTTGTGGCGTCAGCAGAGACCATATGAAGATGGGACCAGATTCAGCGCCCACAGCGGCGACAAATGGACGATGTGGATGCCACTGTCGATCGTTAGCTTGCGGTGTTTGGTTCCGACGAAAAAGGCTCTCACCTCGACCACAGATAGCTCCTCCTTGGGGCCTTCCAGAATCTTGACGAGACTACCATGCCTTCTTTCCCAGATATAAACGTCGTGATTCATGTAGGTGGAAGCTGTAACATAGTCGCCAGTAGCACTGAAGCAAACGTGGTTCCAAGAAAGTCGATTCACAAGATCCTGGAATTTGTGCTCAACCTCAATCCGGAGATTGTCAAAATCGGTCTTGGGATCTGTGAAATCAGGTAAATGGACAGTACGAATTATTCTGTCGCTGGAATTGATAACCATATCTCGACCGGAGGCTGTCAGCCGGATGAACACGATGAGATTTGAAGACAGATGCGTTGAGTGTACGATCTGTCTCGACCTTGTGTCAATGACATTTAGCCAGCCTCTTGAGGTTCCAGCTAGAACGTGTTCACCAGATGAGCTCCACACTGCGACAGTGGTTGTTTGTTTTTCGTCTAATGTTTGTTGCCTTGTACTAAGCTTTTCCCACTCTGCTTGTGATCGTTTCGGGACCGAAGGAAGAGTGCACTTCTTTGGAATTTCGTCTGTCACATCGACTAACACGGGTTGTTGTTCGAAAAGAGCCGTTATGAACATCAGACTAAGCCATTGTTAGAAGCGGAGAGGGATATTGGAGTGATTAGTATACTGATTTGTTGGATGTATTTCTGCAATGAAGATGGGTGCCTCAAATCGTACAGATCTGATTCTCGTACCGTCCTCCAAGTCCCAGAGTATGCATTTGCAATCTTGCGATGCGCTTAGCAGGTAGCGATCATTGCTAGACCAACTTGGCTAGGAGTCAGACTGTGCGATATTGTCTTCAGCGGCCAACAAACCTTAGAGACTGAATTTGCCGTGTGTGGCCACGCATTTTCCGAGCAACACCATTTGTTTCGATATCAAAGACCACGACGGTTCCTTCAGCCTAAGTCATGGTGTATGAGCAAGCATTCTCGCAATGAATGATGGTAAAGATTACCCTCCCAGATGCGAGATAGTCACCGCGGTGATTGAATCGAATGCAAGATGAATGGCCGCTACCTAGGATACTGTAAGTTCACTTAAACATAGGAGATATTCGGATCACGCACGAAGCTTTCCGGTCATAGCCTCTGGGCAGTCTTGCGCCAGCACAAAGGGATCGACTAAAGCGAGATTCATGACTGCGCAAAGTAAATGGGCGACCGTGGCGGAGCGTCGAGCCTAGGAAGGGCGAACTGTTACTGATGAGTCTCATTACCTGCCGGTACTAGCTATGACGATGGCGACCGGGGTGACAATAATAGTTAAGAAATGGACTTTTTTGTCGTTGTCACGAACGCGACACCGGCACACGCGATGGTTGGTGGAAAGCGAGTCTGCCAAGTCACGCTAATAATCGACAGGTATGTGCGCTGCGACGCAAGGTGGGTTATGTCAGCCGCTTCTTCGAAAGGCGCTCCCTGCGCAGAATCGCCTCTCACCAAACAAGTCTCATCCTCAACCACCAACTTTCCATCCCGGACGTCTTAATCCTGTCTGCCGATCGTTGTGGCAGTTGCAGGCAGCGCCTCAACTTCATCGGTTTCGTCTGACAGCGCGCATTCGGATCTCGCCCACGGTGTCACGTCACGATCTCCCAATCCTTCAAGTCGCCAGGCGACAGCCCGCGCGACCCGCGCTTTCTAACGGCAACATTCATTCACACGCCTAATATTCGATCGATACGATCATAGTAGAGGAGTATTATAGCGGCGAGGGAGTGAGAAGGTGGATTATTGTTGGGTGAAGGGATTCGCATACGGCACTCGGAAACGCGCTTTGTTGCGCCTATACAGATCGTCTCACAACCGTCAAAAACGATAGTGCTTCATCATGGCGAACATGAATTTCAGTTTTTCTAGCGCGCCCCTGCGCCCCATCAGGGAGATTCAGTTCGGGTTGCTGTCTCCTGATGAGATTAAAAACATGAGTGTTCAACACATCGAGTATCCGGAGACTATGGTATGAGCAATTGTACACATGCATGCACAAATTACTCACTGTCACATAGGACGATGAGAAACATCGACCACGTGAAAGAGGACTTAACGACCCAAAGCTCGGCTCGATCGACCGCTCCTTCTCTTGCGCTACCTGCAATGAAAACATGCAAGAGTGCCCGGGCCATTTTGGTCACATCGAGCTAGCGGTTCCCGTCTTTCATGTTGGTATGCGGTCCTTGGCCCTATCAATTTCAGTCGTAAGCCCTATTAACACGCTTTTTAGGCTTCATCACGAAGATCAAAAAAATCCTCGAGACTGTTTGCCACAATTGCGGCAAAATAAAAGCTGATGAGAACAAAGAAGACTGGAAGCAGGCTGTGCGGTTACGAGATCCAAGGCGTCGCTTCAATGCGATTTGGAACTGTTCTAAGGCTCGCAAAGTCTGTGAGACTGACGCTGAAGATGAAGACCCCAAAAAACCCAGGATACAGCATGGGGGATGCGGCAATCTTCAGCCTGAGATTCGAAAGGAGGGACTCAAACTCTTCGCGCGATTCAAGGCACCGAAATCAGAGGATGAAGAAGCCAAAGATGAGAAGAAAGAGCTGAAACCCCAAGATGCGCTCAATGTGTTCCGTCATGTAAGTGACGAAACATTGATTCTGCTTGGGCTTAACAAGGACTGGGCTCGCCCCGAGTGGATGATCATAACCGTCCTACCGGTACCACCACCACCCGTTCGACCCTCGATATCTGTTGATGGTACTGGACAAGGCATGCGCGGAGAGGACGATCTGACCTACAAACTTGGCGACATCATTCGAGCGAACGCTAACGTCGGAAAATGCGCGACTGACGGTTCGCCCTTGCATGTAACCAATGAATTCGAGAGTTTGCTCCAGTACCACGTTGCAACATATATGGACAACAATATTGCGGGCCAGCCTCAGGCAATGCAGAAATCTGGACGACCGGTCAAGTCAATCCGCAGCCGCTTAAAGGGTAAGGAAGGCCGTATTCGTGGCAATTTAATGGGCAAACGTGTTGACTTCTCGGCACGTACTGTCATCACGGGTGACCCTAATTTATCCCTCGATGAAGTGGGAGTCCCACGCAGTATCGCACGAACTCTCACTTACCCGGAGACTGTCACTCCTTATAACATTGCAAAATTGCATCAACTCGTCCGTAACGGCCCTAACGAACACCCTGGTGCCAAATATGTCATCAGAGACACTGGTGAGCGCATCGATCTAAGACATCACAAGCGCGCTGGAGAAATTACTCTCCAGTATGGTTGGAAAGTGGAGCGACATATCGTTGACGGAGATGTCATCATCTTCAATCGTCAGCCATCACTTCACAAGGAATCCATGATGGGTCACCGCGTCAAAGTCATGCCTTACTCAACTTTCCGTTTGAATTTGTCTGTCACGTCTCCATACAACGCCGATTTCGACGGCGATGAGATGAACTTGCACGTACCACAGAGTGAAGAGACTAGAGCTGAGGTGATGAACCTGTGCATGGTTCCTCTCAACATCGTCTCACCACAGGCTAATCGCCCACTAATGGGTATCGTTCAGGATACATTATGCGGTATTTACAAAATGACGCGACGTGACGTCCTGTTGACAAAGGAGCATGTGATGAACTTGCTGATGTGGGTACCCGGTTGGGACGGTGTTATTCCTCAACCGGCCATCTTCAAGCCAGCTCCAAGATGGACTGGCAAGCAGCTTATAAGTATGGCTTTGCCAGAGATCAACCTCATCAGGCGCAGCAAAGATGGATATCACCCACTCTTGGAGGACACGGCGATTCTGGTTCACCGTGGTGAGCTCGTATATGGTATGTTCAAGAAGAAGACGGTCGGAGCCTCTCACGACGGCATTATCCAGACTATTTATAACGAGAAGGGCTGGCAAGCAGCTGTCGATTTCTTCAATGCCGCACAACGCATTGTCTGCTACTGGTTGCTTCACCATGGATTCAGTATCGGTATTGGTGACACCGTGCCAGGCCCCGAGACTACGAAGGCGATCCAATCTGTTATCGCACAACAGAAAGGTAATGTCGAGGAGATCACAGCAAATGCTACAGCGGATCTGTTGGACCCACTTCCCGGCATGAATCTCCGTGAGACATTCGAAAGTAAGGTGTTGAAGGAGCTTAACGAGGCGCGTGACGAAGCTGGAAAGTTGGCCATGAAGAGTTTGAAAGATTTGAACAACGCCGTGCAAATGGCTGATTCAGGTTCCAAGGGTTCTTCCATCAACATCTCGCAAATGTCCGCGCTTGTGGGACAGCAGTCAGTGGAAGGCAAACGTATCCCGTTCGGGTTCAAATATCGCAGTCTGCCGCATTTCACGAAAGATGACTACTCTGCGGAAGCTCGTGGCTTTGTCGAAAACTCGTATCTTCGAGGTCTGACACCGACAGAATTCTTCTTTCACGCTATGGCTGGTCGTGAAGGTTTGATTGACACTGCGGTCAAAACCGCCGAAACTGGTTATATTCAAAGAAGATTAACGAAGGGTTTGGAAGACGTAATGGCGAAATACGACGGCACTGTCCGCAACTCGCTTGGCGATGTCGTGCAATTCACTTATGGTGAGGATGGGCTTGATGGAGTCTCCATTGAGGCTCAGTCAACCGACGTTGTCACCATAGCTGATAAGCAATTCGAGAGGATGTGCAAGGTCGACTGCATGGATCCTGACCTCAAGCTCTCTTCTAATGTACTGGAAATGGCTAGCGAGCTCGATGGCAACCTTGAAGTCCAATCCATGTTTGATGAAGAATGGGAGCAGCTCATGAAAGATCGACAGCTACTTCGAGATTATATCAACCGCGAAGCAAAGGACGACTACCATCTTCCCCTGAACATCAAGCGTATCATCACTATGTCCAAGCAAAAGTTCCGTATCAAGGATGGTGCTCGCAGTGATTTAGATCCTGTAGAGGCCATCACGAAGATTCGGGAGGTCTTGGATCGATTAGTCGTTATTCGTGGTGACGATCCAATCTCTCGGGAAGCTCAGGCGAACGCTACTTGGTTGTTGAAGGCACATATGCGATGTCAGCTCGCTTTCAAGCGAATCGTGCGAGAGCATTCATTGAACAAGCTTGCGCTTGACAATGTACTCGGCGACTTGGAAGCCCGATTCGCCCGGAGTGCCATCAGCCCTGGAGAGATGGTAGGAGTCCTGGCAGCGCAGTCTATCGGTGAGCCTGCTACACAGATGACTCTGAACACTTTCCACTTCACTGGTATTTCAGCGAAGAATGTGACTTTAGGTGTGCCCCGTCTACGAGAAATTCTAAATGTCGCTACCAACCTAAAAACGCCATCGATGACCATTTATCAAGCGGATCGACGAGGCGGCCCTGACGCTGTCATGCAACTGAGAAACAAAATTCAGTACACTACCCTTCGTCACTTGGCTGAAGCCACGGAAATATGGTACGACCCAGATATCCAGGGTACAGTCGTTGAAGCAGATCAAGAAATCGTCGAGTCGTACTGGATTCTGCCCGACGAGGACGAAGCCAGTGTTGAGTTGCAGTCCAAGTGGTTGCTGCGTATTGTGCTCAGTCGCCAGAAGCTTCTCGACCGTGGTCTCACTGTCTCCGAAGTCGCCTCGGCGATCAGGTCGCAGTATGACAAGAACAACCTGCACGTGATATTTAGTGACAATAATGCTGAAGAGTTGGTTCTTCGCATTCGTTTTATCCACGACGAAGACATGCGCAAGAACCAAGAGGACGAGGAGGGCGAAGATCAAGATGAGAAGTGGATTCGCAAACTAGAGAAGGATCTTCTCGATCGTAACGCTTTGCAAGGCATTGAAGGCATCTCGAGATGCTTCATCAACAAAGAGGAATTGAGCATTCAGACCTTAGCCGATGGCTCACTCGTAAAGAGCAAAGCATATCCCGAATGTGTCGAATGTACACTGGAAACTACTGGCACTGCACTTGCCGAGGTGTTGGCTGTGGATGGCGTCAACCCGTACCGTACCACCACGAATTCGTTCCGCGAGTTTTTAGAAGTCTTTGGCATCGAAGCTGCTCGCGCATCATTATTCAGGGAACTTCACGCGGTTCTCTCATTCGATGGTTCGTACGTGAACTACCGCCATATGGTGCTGCTTGTTGATGCAATGACCGTTCGCGGGTATATCATGCCAATTACTCGTCACGGTATCAACCGCGGCGAGACCGGTGCGCTGATGCGATGTTCTTTCGAAGAGACTGTAGAGATTCTCTTGGATGCCGCAGCGTGCGGTGAACTTGACGACTGCAAGGGTATTTCAGAGAACATTATGCTCGGTCAGCTCGCACCCATGGGCACTGGTGAGCTAGACGTCATCATGGATCAAGATATGTTGAATACCATGAACAACGATAACGCTCGCCTTGGTCTGATGCCCGGTTTAGCGGCAGCTCCTGGTTTCATGGACTCCGGTGCTGCCACACCATACGACGTCGGTTCGCCTATGCACGAGGATGCTCTCGGTGGACCAGACTATGGCGCATCATTCTCGCCTATCATTCAGCCGGGAGGTGATGATAGAGGAGGTTTCACATCGATCCCCTCGTTTGGCGACGCAAACAGTCCATACTCGTCCCGCAGCCCTGGCGGCTACAATCCGCAAAGTCCTTTCAGCGGGCCAAGTCCAACCTCTCCAGGCGGGTGGTCTCCCACGTCGCCCGGCGGCGGATACTCACCGACCTCTCCTGGCATGAGCTTGACAAGCCCACGTTTCGGCGCTACATCCCCAATGTTCAACCCCACCAGTCCGCAATACTCTCCGACATCTCCTACGTACTCGCCGACCTCGCCCGCATACGGCGCTGGCACTTCGCCAACATCACCCAACTATTCCCCCACATCGCCAAGCTACTCTCCGACATCCCCGAGCTACTCTCCCACGTCTCCAAGCTTCAGCCCGACCTCGCCAGTTCATCGAGCTACGGCCACATCACCTCACTACAGTCCAACCTCGCCCCAATACAGTCCGTCTTCTCCCATGTATAGCCCAACAAGTCCGCAGTTCAATGCTGGTAGCGATCGACGATCACCTACTTCTCCTACCTCACCAAGCTACAGCCCGACGAGTCCGGTATACAGTCCAACAAGTCCTGCTGCTGGGGCGTACTCTCCGACATCTCCTACGAGCTACTCTCCAACATCACCGGGAGCGGCACCATACTCGGCCCAGTCGCCGAAATGGTCGCCGACGAGCCCCAAATACTCCCCAACGTATGTCTTCTTGGCTCTCTAGAGGATATCGACTGACAAATTTCAGATCCCCACGCTCGTAACGGCCTCGCTAGGCTACATATATCAGCAACTCGGCGGGCATTGATCTTGTAAGACCATTCTCGTCCTTGTTTGTATTACCACAAGTGTGCCTCAGTGCTGATAGATTTGGCATAAAGCTACCCGCTTCGCTATCTCTATTCATTGAGCCACTGCTCATCCGCTACGTGGAGTCCAACGTATCCTTAGCTGGACCCACGTTCGTCCTCGTCAGTGGAATTATTTTCCAAATTCTCCAATTACTGTAATATCACGGTTCGTACCTTGCCATGGAACGATCAAAGCTGGTCTGTCCAACAAAAAGCCAAAAATTCTTCCCCTGGACGCTACTGCATTGAGCTGGTCAACTATTGGATAAATTTGCTTTGCCGATTTGCTTTCTCTCTGTTGTTTAAACTTGAAGGATCGGTCCCCTGTTTGGGCTTGCTAATGGGCTTCTATTACGGCGTTTATATCGGGGCTCTTTGCATTTACCATAGCATACACACTCTGTGTGCTTCCCTGTTACATTTCGAGATGAGCAACATAGTTCATGTTGGGTGACGGATGTGGATTGAGGACACACCAAATTGCACACAGATCCTGCGATATATATTTCACAGGGATAGGGCGATAGATAGCGCGACGAAACCGTCGCATAGACTAGGTTGGGACAGAAGCGAGACAGACTGTGTGACAGAGACGGCGTGTCTGACATTGAGCGAAAAGAAAATATTGAAGACAAATATTATGAAGATCCAATACGTCGCTGTGTATTGTGCCGTGCACAGTGAGACTCATAATGCTACGAGCGCCTTAGCCTATCCATACATGCATCATTCGAACGAGACCTGAAGCTATGTGTGCACTAACACCATAACTCTGATCTACCACCTCATCCACCGCAATGGCAAATTCGAAGTGCGCGAATCGAACTCTCTGTCAAAGGCCACTGGCGCTAATCTTTGCAGGTACGAATATGTGCGCCTCTTTGAACAACCTGATGCGCTGCTTCCCAACACCTGGATCGTCGTGCGCATCGATGGACGAGGTTTCCACAAGTACTACAAGCCCTACACAAGCCCCGCGAAACACAAAAGCTAATAACATACCGCAGATTCAGCAAGAAATATGACTTTGAGAAGCCCAATGACCGCCGCGCTGTTGACCTCATGAACGCAGCCGCTCGCGGCGTCATGCAAGAGCTGCACGATCTCGTGCTTGCATACGGCGTTAGTGATGAATTCAGCTTCGTGTTCCACCCCAGCACGACGCTGTTCGAGCGCAGAGAAAGTAAACTGGTCAGCACTATTGTGAGTACATTCACGAGCTATTACGTGTTCTCGTGGGGGAAATATTTTGAGGGTGTGGATCTGGCACCGCCATTGCCGACTTTTGATGGGCGTGCGGTGTGTTATCCCAGTGTGGGCAATCTCAGGGATTATTTGAGTTGGAGACAGGTTGATTGTGAATACTATGGTCACTCAATAGAAGAGGGAGGCTAATAGGTAACAGGTCATATTAATAACTTGTACAACACGACGTTTTGGAACTTGGTGCAAAAGGGTGGGATGAATACGACGGATGCGGAGAAAGAGCTTGCTGTAAGTACGCATAGCCTGTATTTTGTGTCTACAGAGGTAGCTTATGAGAACAGGGCACGGTATCGGCAGACAAGAATGAGATCCTATTTTCGCGCTTTGGTATCAACTATAACAATGAGCTGGATGTTTGGAAGAAAGGGAGTGTTCTTTTTCGAGAGGTCGGTCTCGTACACATAGTCTGAGAACGCTTGTTAACCATCCATAGTACGAGCTTGCCGCTGTTGAGAATCTTTCTGAGTCATTGTCTGAGTCAACTGAGCCTTCGACTGCAGTCCCAGTCCCTGTGACCAAGACAGCCATCAATAAGGATGCGAAGCTGAAGAAGAAAGCACAGGTTATAATCATGCACACCGATGTGATCAAAGATGAGTTTTGGCAAAGGCGGCCATGGATACTGAGTGGAAAGGCTGGCAATCTGCTGACTTGAGAGAAGCCTTGCATTGCTAAAGTGAATTGACGAAAGCATACCAGTTGTCAAGCTCGAGGGAAGAGGCGGTAGGGAGATAAGATAAAGCGACCTACCGAGAGCGCAGAGGCGCAAAGTTATGGTTAGTAGTATCCTCGTGTCTGAAGAAGGCGAGATGAGCGAGTACGCACCTGTGAGAAGAAAAGTTTGACCACACCCCGTCCTCAGCAGAGTAATCGGAATCGAATTGTACCTTCGCGTGACTCAGAAATGAATCAACGCTGCAGCACGCCGCGTATTGCACTAAAGTATCACAGCCGCTCCTGTACTTTCGAACAGCGAGCGGACCGCATACAATCTTCGCACCGGCTCCCATAGGGACACTGCTGCGTTCAAAGCAGACCCTGAGCTTTCTGATGCCAGTCGTGCGAACGTGAGATCACGTCGGACCCTTGCGGGCGGTGACCAGAGCTCTGTCCGGAGACGGAGATGGATGTGAGGTGAAGATTACTCCGAATTTCTCATTTGCATAGTTAGGATCTTGCCAAAGGCAGTCTGTGTGTGAGCAAAGAAACGCGGCGATGTAGAGGACGGGGTGTGGTGAGGAAAAGAATTGAAGGTGAAGCTGGTTGGGACTTTTCTTTATCGTGCCTGCCAAGCCCTTCCTGACTCGTCGCGTAATCACGTGCGCTCTCTCCTGAGTCAATTACGCGAGTCTGGTGAGATGATCTCATCAATGCATAAGTGTGAGTGACGGTCGTCTACCAGTGACAAAACCTTATCATAGTATCATTTGCAATGTCCTCAGTACTCCTTTTTGGTGGCAGCGGCAAGGTCGCTCGCCATCTTACGAAACAGCTCGCCAGCTCTGGCTACACAGTCTACTCCGTCATCCGCAATCCTGAACAAGTAGACGAACTCAAGGGTCTTGGTGCATCGCCGATACTCCAATCTATCGAAGACTCCTCTCAGGCTGACTTTGTTGATCTGATCAAGAAACATAAGCCAACTGCTGTTGTTTGGGCAGCAGGCGCTGGCGGAGGAAATCCGGAGCGGACACAGAGTGTGGATTACAGAGGCGCTGTAAAGACTATGGATGCCATTGCTCAAGCTGCAGACGAAGCGGGAACAACAAGGAGATATGTCACTGTGTCTGCACTCGACGTTCGTGATCGGGAGAGCAAGCCTGTTCCGAGCTGGTACGACGACAACGACAAGTCGATGAGCGACAGAGTCTGGGGCGTAATTAAGGCATATATGTTGGCAAAGTACGAAGCGGATAAATCGTTAGTTGAAGAGAATGGCAGACGAAAACTGGACTACACAATTGTGAGGCCAGGTGGGTTGAGTCAAGATCCCGCTGTCGGTGTGATTGCTGCTGGGCATGTCAAGCTAGGCAGGACTATTAGCAGAGAAGATGTCGCTGCTGTGGTCGCGGAATGTCTCAAGAATGAAAAGACCGTAGGACTTGCCTTCGATGTTGCTGGCGGCGATACGAAGATATCCGAAGCAGTTGCGAAGATTGCTTCGGATAGAGTGGATACTTTTGAAGGGTTCCACTGAACATATCATGAGAACTTCTAGTAGTAGCCATATGCAGGGGTACAACTCAAATTCTTTGATAATTGCACCTTTCAGTCGCAGCCGAAAAGGGTAATACGTCTTGTTATTCACACTGAGAATAGTTCCAAAGTGGACCCTTCGGTGTTCTTCGCGCGCAAGTGTACCGAGCCCCGCTTGGCTCAGTTGGGGAAGGTAAGGCACAGCTACTGTTCCGGTGGTGGCTGGATATATAAATGTCGACAACGTTCACGAACCAATCTAATATTGCTTCTCCAATTCTGACACTCTTACAAGATGTCTATGACACTCGAAGAGGCTGCAGTCCCACGGACACCGCTGCCCCCTCCAGATACTCCAGAGAATGTCTTCCAGCAGCTCAGCTTAAAAGGGCGCGTTGTTGCTATAACGGGTGCAGCTGATGGGATAGGATTCTCTGTCGCTGAGGCAATGGCAGAAGCCGGTGCACATGTAGCTTTGTGGTACAACTCGTAAGTCCTTTAGACATTTCAGAATTTCACGTATAGGACGGTTCTCAAGTCTTGCACAGCAACAACCAGGCCATTGAGAAGGGCGAGAAGCTCGCCAAGCAGCACGGTATACGAGCGAAGGCGTACCAAGTCGAAGGTGAGGATTTCTGAACGATCCACTGGCAGTCATGTGGGTCTCCCATTGACCTCCATGCAGTATCGAAGGCAGAGAACGTACAAAGCGCAATGGACGAAGTCGTGAAAGACTTTGGAAAAATTGACGTCTTCGTTGCCAATGCAGGCATGGCTATCTCCAAACCGATCACAGAACAGACGCTTGACGAATACCACAAGCAGATGAGCGTGAACGGTAAGTCTCCACGACATCGACGAGTAGGAGCGCAATCAGTCTCATATCTTTATGTGCACAGTCGATGGCGTCGTATATTGCGCCAAATACGCTGGTGAACTGTTCAAGAAGCAAGGAAAGGGCAACTTGATCATCACATCAAGCATGTCAGCGCATATAGTCAACGTACCAGTCGACCAACCAGTATGTCAACAACCATCAAAGGCTCCCTCTAGCTGGCTAATTGCCACAGGTCTACAATGCAACGAAGGCATTTGTAACGCATTTTGGCAAATCACTCGCTCGTGAATGGCGTGACTTTGCCCGTGTCAACATCGTCTCGCCGGGTTTCTTCAATACTAAGATGGGTGCTTCGCCATCATGTATCAATGAAGCCTATCGAATGACTCCTTTCGCACGACAAGGGCATGTCAAGGAGCTTAAGGGGCTGTACTTGTATTTGGCTAGTGACGCATCGAGCTATCAGACCGGAAGTGACACTCTCATCGATGGCGGCTACACTTTGCCTTAGGTAGAATTTTGAACATATCTATTCTGCCTTAACAACGAACACCGTGTCTTGGACTATGATTCACTCGTAAAATCTTACCATATCAAAAGTTGCGCTTTAGACTGCTCACTTTCTGATCACCAAAGCACACTGAAGTCGATCTCATCTATTCTGCTACTGCCATTCAATATTAGTACCCAGAAAACTCTCAAGGGGCCCCTGGTTTGGTTCTCTTCTTGACTCTAGACATCACTTGATGGGCAGAATCCAGGCTCAATGGTATACATGCCGTGCCGTGCTGCAGACGGGTTGCTCTAGGGATTATATATATTACATTGATGGTTTCTTTCATCTGTAATACTACCTTACTCATATCCACTGGAACTTCATCAGGCTTAAGAAGTCGTATACCGAATGTGAACATTCCAGCAGCGATATATGACATTTTAATCGGCGCCAGGTAGAGTTTGCTAATGGAACGATAGACTCAATGTTCTATCATGGCAAAGAGCTACTATATTTCATATCACATTCCGACCGAACGCTTTGATTACATGTGTGTCCCGAATCATATAGCCAAGAAACATTCTCACCAGCAACAATTCTATCTTTACAAGGCTACCAGTCCTCTCAGTACAAATCATACCCCTCACTTCGTGCAAATATCCTTCGCTTCACCAGGCCTCAGGCTCGGAGGCGTGGTATCGGCATCGCCATAGCTCCAGCTGGGATCAATCAAATCTCCCTTTGCTAACTCCAGCGGGAGATAGTACCAGTCCCAACTCCTAAACTCATCTTGATCCGCCACAGCAAGAGTGTCAAAGGTAGTCTTGCGCGTATGGAAGATAGCATGGCGGAACGAGCCAACATACACCTTAGCATGGTCGCGGTCCTTTGCCCCCTGATCGAACTGGTCATCGATTCCATTGACAGTATTCTGCACGTCGCCCCATGACACTGTCTGGTGACCCTTGTGCTGGCCGAGTAGCAAGCGGTCGCGACGCCACGTACCGTCGTCGTTGCGCACCCACACTACCGCAATGTGCTCCCAGTCGTTGGTGTGGCCCGAGTCGTGGCGGAAGTAGATGCTGTACGTCGTGCGGTATGTTCCGTCGTTGCACTGTACTGTCTCATAATAAGTCGGAAAGTAGTTCCCGGGGTTTTGGCCAGCTTCCGAGGGTGACTTCCAAGGGCCTGGGTCTGCGCATCCGTCATCGAGACGGCCCCAGTCTCCCACGTCTGGCCCGTTGCCCTTGGTTTGGACGCCATTTTCTTCGGCGGCTTGGGGGTAGCAGGAGTTTGCGCCGTGCGGACGGCCGAAGTGCCACATAGGAGCAGCTGCGACGGCGGCTTGGTGGCCGATACCGTGGCCGTCGTCGTCGTGAAAGGCAGACTCGGGAATGCCCCCGTTGGCGGCGACGAGGGTGCTACCAAGGGCAGCCGCGAGAACGAAAGTTTTCATGTTGATGACGAAGTATTCTAGGTATCGTTCTGGGATCTAGGCTGCGAGCGCTACGTGAAGACGAGCCTAGAGAGAGGGATTTGGGAGGATAAGCACTGTTGATGGTGAGCAATGTGCATCCAACGAGATTTCCCTTGTCCTTCTTATACAAGACTGTAGTAGCCTCCATGCTCCCAATTATGACGATGATCATTTTTGATTCTTAAATCGTCTAGCTCTCGCCTAGGAGCTGTTACCTACAAAGAAGGTATACTGCCTCCATCTAGCAGACCACCGGTCATCACACCATGGAGCTAATCATGCAAACATTCTAGACACCTTTGACGTGAGCTCCACGAATGGCATGCGGATCTTTGGGCAAGTGGAGTGCCATATTCGAAAATCGGAACACTACATCACAGAGAAACGAACGGCTTAAGGTGATCCATGCCATCGGATGAAAACATGAACCAACATTAGTGGGCTTGGAAGTGGTCCTAGAATTTTTGTAGAAGGACGTGGGTGCGATCGGATGGGGCTGAGCGAACTGATCTGCGTATCGTTAAACGATCGGGGACGGACATGAGCCATGACGTTTTCTGTCAAACATGCTATCTGTTATATGAAACAGTAGTCTTCACGCCGTTGAGGATGATCGGTGGTATTCCTACGACACAGAGACTAAAGACAGTATATCACTTCTAAATTTGAAGTCCACAAAGCTGAGAGGGTGATATGTTTTGTTTCTGTCAGTCAAACCTCCGTCTCGCACGTATCCACAATCGGGATGAAGTAGACACTCACATATAAATTCCACAATACACTCTATGACCTCGGACAAGTGTGATCGTGGAGACAACAATGATGGGTTTCGAGTGCTTGAAGGAATTTGAGAATCAATGTACATTGAAGACGGGGTTCAGCTCGTGGACCGTGTTATTTTTAGATATAATTATACGCTAATCAACTTTAGGCAAATTGACAAGACCAAAAAAGCGTTGCCAAGTCCTTATCCATGGGCCGATGTGACTTTATTAGGTACCGGAATAATAATTATGACGCTCTGATTGCTACTTAGGGTTACTCGGTGGTTCCGTTAATTATGAGCTACGCGCATGGCCGTAGAACAACTCTCCTGGTGCGACAAGGGTACGATGACGATCCTGAGGCTACTGTGTTTTTCGATTCGCCTCCATGAAAACAACGATTTGTCCTAGCGTACATCACAACATGTTGGCGTACGAACAGCGCCATACTTGCGATGGTAATTGTACCACATAGCCTGTACGAGGGACTGCTCATATGTATCTCGTGTGCTCATGGTCAACGAGAAGGATGTGTTCCAAATGATAAGTCTAGTGCAAGCATGCTTTAGACTGGGCTAATAACAGCAATACTTTGAACTCATAATGTCCCTTCGTTGAGCTTGACTTCCAGAATGCCATGGCCACCAAGACTGGGTCTCTGGATATCGACAATCTCAAGTCTGCTATCTACCTTCGCAATGAGCTCCCTCCACATATCCACGTCACGCTCAATCGCGCCAACAAACGCATACATTTGCAGATCTGTCGCGCCTAGCATACAGTCAGTCGTTGAATTGAGCAGATATCGGCACTTCTAAGTGACAGCTTACGGGCACTCTTCTCCTTATACTTTGGCACCGTGTTCGGTTCCGGTAGAATAACATCGACCAAAAGTATTCTACTCCCCGGTTTCATCGTTGCAATGGTATTCCTCAAGATCTTGGCTGCATACTTATCAGGCCAGTCATGCAATACCCAGCGCAGCAGATACACATCTGCAGTCTCAGGCTGCGGTCCACTGAAGAAATCGTAGGCGCTAAAGCTAATACGATCGGCAAGTTCTGGTTCAAGTGATTTATGTGCATCGGAGACCACGCTGGGAAGGTCCTGAACGCAGAATTTGAGGTGTGGGTGGGCCAGGGCGATGGCTTTGCTGACGTGCCCGTAGGAGCCGCCGATCTGAGGGTGTTAATGAAGATTACTAACTATCTAGAAGGATACTCGACTTACGTCGACAACAGAGGCGCCCTCAGGCAATTTCTTCCAGCCGCTCCATTCTGTGACATGTGATGTACTGAACGTGTCGAATTTCTTCGAGGCGCGCATGGCGCCGTGGAATGCATTCCAGCGCTGCGTGTCAGAGCTCATGTACTGGAACACGTCTGTGCTGTCGCCATAAAGGATGTTCCGTGGGGTTTTGTTTGTTTCATCGCTGCCCTTAAAGCCTGGTCTGGATAAAGCATCGTTGAAAGATATAGTCGATAGATAGACGTCACGGATGTTGTGTAGGGCCCAGTTTCGTTCATCGGCGTCTGTTGCCCATAGTGCAGATACGGCAGAATGTGACACATATCCCTTCCGGTGCTCGTAGAATATGTAGTTCGTGATGGCGAACTTAACAAAGCGCTTTACTTCTCTCTCGGCCAAATCACATTTCTTTGAAATTTCTGCGTATGAAGCTTCCCCGTTAATGGGAACAGCTTTGTCGATTTCAAATACTAAAATCGCACGCATAACCGCAGCGTCATATTTATCGGCCAAAGTTACTTGGTTAAGATACTCTCTTGGACCTAGAGCTAGGACATAGATTTGTCGTGCTGCCTCTACCAAGGCAGTCTTCACGGGGATGATCTCCAACTTGGAGTCTGGGGTCTGATCGATGTTATCACATATATTGGGAGCAAAGGATGGTTGAGGTATGTCGTGTTTGTCCAGGAGTCGTTGCAGTTCGGCAATCTTCTGCGTAACCTGGCTCCCCAGAGCGTCAAGGGTTTGAAGATTTTGTTGCTGTATCGAATCCATATTACCACAATGCTATCTCTTTGTTTTCGAAAGCCAGCTGGATGACGGACGAGGAAGCCATGATTATATATGGACTGACACAGCCCTGTATACTATACCGTAGTCTTAGATAGCACACAAGTTCACCCGGTAAAGATCACACTCTAGGCAAGGATGAATCCGGTAGATAGTTCAGTTAGAGATAGATCTGACCCTGGCGAATCAAGTCCGAGGACATTCAGACGGTGCAGGGCGATCCAAGGCTTACGTGTGTGTGTTAATGGCCCCCACTCACTCCATGTACCCTAAACGTTAGCCAGAGCGGATCTAAATTGCCGATAGCTTGTGCTAACGTTCCACTTGCCCGTGTTCTTCTTCATGGACAGCTCATGCCATCTACATATTAAACTCTATGACGCCGAGTGTGAATATTCTGGATGGTGAGAAAAGAGGATACCGAAGAATAAGGTATTGATCCATTTGACCACGAAGCAAAAGGTCGACCCTGGTCAAGTCATACGATAGGAGGCGTTGTAACTTGTGGTCCCTATAGCCAGACTTGGTCATGTACGATCCTGTCGACAAGTGCCGGGCTCGTTGCTAGAGCACAGAGACAGGCTTGGTAAATCGCACCAAGAATAGTGCTTATCTGCCGAAGAAACCATGAGCCTGACGACCAGCAATGTTCGAAACGCAAACCGTGACTCCAGTACTCTAGTACTCCACTCCAGGACCAACAGGAAAGGAAATCGTAGAGTTCTTCCACAATATCGGCATCGAACACTACCTTCACGATACAGCCTGTTGCCTCATCGCCATGCCATGTCATAAGTCTGCCGCACCTACATGAAATTATAGGGAAGGCACACGTCTCTTGCGATCAATCTTTCGTTCATGGCCATAGGAGATCAAGGGACGGTCTGGATTCTTACGCATCGTACTCCCCTCGTTAATTGCACCCATTTCACATTTTGTGGTATTTTCTTTTCTCCTTTGAAAGTCATTCGATGTCGACTAACAAATATTGATCCAAATGTCATGCCAGCTCTTGACACCAGTCACGAAAAGTGCCGTAGCATGTGTGAATCCAACATTGTGCTAGCCTTCAAGTTTGGTATCACTGCTAGGGGTCCAAGGCTTAACCTCGCAGAAGTGCACATTCACAGCTGACAAGTCGTGTTATTTTCACGACTTCCGTACATATATATCACGATATTATACGATAGTGTGCACGGGCAATATGAAGGCTGCATTGCATTGCAACATGTGCAACAAATGATGATAATGTAGGAGTATTCACAGCAAGATCAGCAAGACAGAAGCCAAAGAGATGACCGCTGCTGATCCAGCCATGCCGAATGGCACACCTATAACGTTTCCATCTCTGCCAAGGCTCGATGCACCACTTGCCGGAGGCGTAGGTGTGGGTGATGGTCCTGGAATGCTACCATTGTTCAGATCAGGAAACAAGTGGATTGTGTTCTCGTCCACGACGATCCAATTGCGCACCAATGCAGTACCATTCGAAACACTCTCCCATTGATCGTCTGTGCACTGATCAGGGTCCAGTACGTAGCATGTAGGTGCCGGCATCGGGATCACCTCGTTCTTGATATCGAACGTCGAGGTCGGACCCTCCGTACCGTAGTTGGCATTCTCGGCAGTGTTGATCTGACCGGTTGCAATGTCCATATTGAACAGCGCTCGCTCAAAGATGCGTAGTGCAGTCTCTGGCTGGTATGCTGGAACTTCGTGACCAGCTTCGTAGACACGACTGAAGCTGAGATTCCCATACTGGCGGACTTGGCCGCCAATGTACGAGTCGTTGACTTGGATACCGGCGTAGCCAGCCGCATTAAAGGCTTCAGTGTTAGTGTAGTTGATGGCCTTCGAGACTGCTTCTCCGCCGAACCAATTGCAGGCGTAGTCACGGTCCCCGTAGACCAATGTGACCTTGACCCCGGACTCCAGGAGATAAGTCAGGTCTTCCAACCATCCTGGACGTGGATAGTCGCCAATGCTGCGGAATGCCGTCGAGACTGGTCCAGAGCTCTGAGTCCAATTCCGAGGCACACCGAGGCCTTGCTGTACATGTGGCTGGTTGAGCCAGCCGGCATAGAATGGTACCGGGAAAGCTGCAGGGTTGATGGCAGAGATATCGTAGTAATTGCGACCCGAGTCTTCAAGATATGGGTCACGAATGTTCGCCCCACAGAATGTCTCAGCTGCCTCGCAGACTCCATTCACAGTATCGTTGAAGCCTTGGTTAGTCGGATCAGACTCAGCAGCAAGCTTCCGACATTCGATTATCTGATCAGAGCATCCGCCTTCTCGAGTGAACGCATCCATCGCGGCTTCATATCTAGTATGATTGATGGCCTCGATACCGTATGTATTGTTGTACGCCATCATGGGATAGGATGGCCATTGGACAAGACGATCAATGCAGCCATTGATGATGAGGAGAGTATCTAGGTGAAGAATATGAGTTTCACCAGACTCTGTCCATGTCCCGTTTGCGATCTTATCATTCTGCTCTTGGAAAAAGGCAGCGAAAGCAGGGCCATATCTACCACCGTAAGACTCCGTAGAGATTGAGATCTTATCGTTATTTGGCTTATGCTCAGGGAACTCCTGGAACCAAGTCTGAGCAAAATACCACATGGCACGTGCAGAATTTTCCGTGCCCTTGGTGGTGTAGTTGCGATTCTGGCTAGCATAAGTACCGACATAGTACGTGTTGTTCTGCTCCGGGACACCATTCGAAAAGTCTGCCGTACGAGTGTCATTGTTGAGGTCCACTGTGACATTTTGAAGTGTGTCGTACGACAAGCCGACTTGCACCGGCTGGTCAAGATACAACATGTTAACTACGAATCTTAGCGATGTCATGGATGCTAAGGGCTACGGAGATGCTTACCGTTATTGTTCCACGAATGTTCGTTCAGATAAGTAGAGTTTGAATCTGCATTCACGTAGCATGGGCCGTGTTCTCGCATAAGGCCAAGCATCGATGAACTTCCAGGCCCTCCATTCATCCAGATTGATAATGGTGCATTCTGAGGATCGTTACGAGCCTCGAAGAACCAGAAGTACGTATTTATCGGGTAATCCTGATCAACGTCCAAACCCTCCAACGTTTGAGGTGGAAGATGTACATAGCCGGAAAATGAGCGGACGCCCTCGGTCGTTTCGCATAATTCTGTCTACGCATAGTCGGTCTTGGAGCTCATCCCATACGAGTTTGCTACAGGATTATATCTTACCTCTTTGTACGAAATGTAGACTCCCTCTTCCAGGGTAGAGTTGACAATAGTAATGTCGGTCGGCGTAGGCGGAAACTGAGCCGCCGCCGATCTACTGAAGCCAACGACGGCCACCGTCAGACCGTGAAGCGCTCGCATGGCTCAGGACTAGCAATGATCACTTTTTGAGGTCTGGTGCCCAAGGCAAGTAGGTACTATGCTGTACCGCTGCAATATATATTCTCGCATGGCGCCAAGGAACCTGGCTGATAGCGTCGGGGGGAGTCTTGAGGGCATCGCGAAACGATAGCGGTCGATAGGGCAAACAACGCCGAACAAGCCGTTTGACCCGGTGTTTTGTGAGAATTCGGTATTGGATACATGGGCGGGGTACATGGCCAAGCCCGCTATGAACGATTCAGGAAGCTGGTATAAGCATTCTGAAGCAGCAGCCTGCAGCGAAATCACCTGGGCCGTGCTCCTTTCACAGTTTATGACATTAATTTCGAGTCTAATTGACTTTGCGAAGAGACGGAGATTATATGGGGTGGACAAAGGATCATAGCTCCAGGTTCCTTTCATCCTTCCATCACGTTCCGCTGCGCTACGAAGGACAGCGGCCTGCGGAGACAATATCAGACGTAGAAAACTACAGCCTAAAAGCATGCAATGAGTCAATGAGTATGCGAATATCAGTAATAACGGAGTAGGCGATGGTGATGTTATCCTTGGCCAAGGAGGGTTCGAGATAGAAACTCAAGAGCGCGGACAATTTATGGGTCGCCATACGAATGCATATCCACCATGGAATTGCTTCGCACGAACGATATTTGTCATGTCAAATCTTGCTTCAATACTCCAATTCTACGTGATGCGTACGGGCGAAGATTTCATCGTAATGGAAGTGGTATTGCCGTCCATGGGTGGAGGTCAAGGAACAGCCAGCTTGGCGCGTCCGTCTCTGCCGTCGCGTCGTGCCACCCGTGTTGACGTTTGATCCATATCAGCAATCATGAGGAGCCGTTTTACACCAAACCTGAGAACGGCTTTGTCAACGTCACAATGGGGATTCCTGGGTGAGCCTACACTTCAAGCTTTGACGCGGTCACGAATAATGATTTTGCAGCTTATGGGACATACTGGGAGACGGTGAACTCACGTCCCTCGCCGAGTTGTCCACACGACACTACGAGCAGCATGGCCGACCGCTTCGAGTTGCGGTCGATGAAGCTGGTTGGCGTTTCAAGAACCTGACACCGCAGCAAGTAGCCTTTATCAAACAAAGTAGGCATTTGATCGTACTCTCCATAACTAAGCTGATTGAGTAAATTGAAGAGGAGCCTCGTGCAAACCCTGTCGAGAAAGCTTTGCTATTCCGTATCTTGAAGCTTCGACGGCTCAATATACAGCCCATCTTCGTATTCGACGGGCCCGGACGTCCACATAAAAGAGGCGGGGCTTCAGGGCACATTGAGTGGGACAAAGTGGCACTCGTATATGAGCTTCTCAATAACCTCGGCGTACCACATCATCGTGCACCCGGTGAGGCTGAGGCAGAATGTGCAAGGCTTCAAGAACTTGGTATAGTTGATGCCGTGTGGTCAGAAGACGGCGATAGCTTCATGTTCGGCTGCACGCTGTTGCTTCGCGATTTTCGAGAAGATAATAAGAAGAGTGACACTCACGTTAGGGTTCATCGTGCGGAGGAACTGAAGACTAGATACGGCATCGATCGGGAAGGCCTAGTTTTGTTTGCGCTAGCTAACGGCTGCGATTACACGAAAGGAGTTCACGGCTGTGGAACACAAAAAGCTTTGAAGCTGATCCGAGAGGATGACGGAAGGATTGGAAGATCTCTTTGTCAGCGAGCCGAAAATACTGCCCAGGTTTGGAAAGAAAGTTATTGCGAGGTGCTGACGCGCCATTTGGGTCCTCTGCCTCCGGACTTTCCTGACAAACGAGCTTTGAGGTATTGTAAAAGCCCAACAATATCGATGGACGAAGAGCTTTGGAATCTGAGAGGGCTACAGCAAGGCTGGGACAGGCAGATAAATCAGACTACTCTACGAGGTTTCCTGAGATATCGCTTCAACTTTACAACGAAAACATTTCTGAAACATATCACGCCCCATCTACTCGTTCGCCAGCTTCTTGCGCAGACGCAAAAGCCTCAAGGTTCTGGGCCAAGAAATCCCCAGAACATTCAGTTGGTCCATCAGAGAGTGCGCAAAGCGAGTGAAAACGAGCACCGATATGAAAGGAAGATCAAGTTCGACCCCCAGGCTCTCGTCACCTTCGACCTTTCGGAACAGCCGCCTGAAGAAGACTGGTCTAAGTTCGTCACCAAATCAGAGCCTTATTTTAGCCCGATTGCTATGGTGGAAACCGAAATTTTAGAATGCACATTGCGAGCGTCCTTACCACCAGAGACCTTCGAACCCCATGTATCTACCCAAAAGTCCCAAAAGAGGAAAAGCAACGTCACATGCACTCCGGAGTCGACGTCAAACGTGGAACCAGAGGCCAAGCCAAAGAAGCGAAAGACTACTGCAAAGAGACCCCAAGCTCTTACCGAGACTGACAGAAATAGCGACAAGGGAGCCCCCTTGTGGGTCAACAAGCCCCAAAGTAAATCCAAGAAAGCGACTGTTCCTTCTTATTCACATACACATCTTCACCCGCACCAGATATCCTCTGCTTATCCAAAGCCCGATGCAGCCTACTTGAGCAAGTCGACAGTCACTATCGATCTTGGAGAGAATTCAGATGACGACGAATTGCCTAATTTATCGCAAATCATGCATCTTTCAACAGACAGGATAAGTCATGGCTCTGCTGAAAGATTGCCTAATCCCAAAACTGCCATTGATCGCGCAGCCTCGACACTTCGACAAAACAACAATACAACCTCTAATTTTGAATTAATAGATCTTACCTAAAGATGTTTTTACGCACACGCGCACTTCATATTGCATCAGGATACCACGCACAACTAGCTAGATGGATGTACGCGCGCCATTTCGTATTCTACCGAAAGTCCAGGCGAAGCTTACAGCTTTAAATCCTAATCACGGAGCGACCTGCCACACGTTAGGCTTCTTGTTTCGAAGGATTCGTGGCCGCCATGCCGAACGCACTTTTCTGCACATTAGCCTCACCTGGGCGCGCAGCCACGCCGAGCCGCGTTGACTTGACGTCACCACTATTCTCGAACCTGCTTGGCTGGTCAAACAGAGCTGCTGGATATTTACTATATTCTAATCTCAGCAATACAGATCGAAGAAAGTCATTACGAGAACACGTAATACCAATTCTCGTGATGACTGACTCCATATCATCCAACCGCTCCGCCTTCAAGGAGTTCATCGCATCCATCTCCACCATCTCAGGCGATTTGAGCAACATAACAGCGCCACCATTCCTGCTCGCCCAAAACTCCACTGTCGAACTGCCCCAATACTGGGCAGATCATCCACAGCTCTTCGTCGCACCAACGTTTGAGCAAGATCCCGCTCAGAGGGCTCTGCTCGTGCTGAAATGGTTCCTCGGATCGCTGCGCAACCAGCAATACGCAGGCCGGTCCGAAGACGAGGGCGTCAAGAAGCCCTTGAACGCATTCCTAGGCGAGCTCCTCCTCGGATCTTTCAAAGACAACGATATCGGCGAGACGCGCCTGTTGAGCGAGCAAGTCAGCCACCACCCCCCAGTAACCGCATGCTATCTCTGGAACGACCAGTGCGGAATCCGCGCCGAAGGCTTCACGTGTCAAGAAATCACATTCTCGGGCAGTGTGAGCATCAAGCAGAAGGGCTTTGCAGTGCTGCATATCGATAAGTTCGACGAGAATTATCTGGTTCCGCTGCCAGATGTTAAGGTCAAGGGCGTGCTCAGCGGCACACCGTATCCGGAACTCACAGGCACAGTCCATCTCGTGAGCTCAACCGGGTATGTCGCCGAGATCAGCTTCGAGGGCAAGGGCTTCCTGCGCGGCTCGAAGAACAGTGTTGATGCCAGGCTATTCAAGGTGGATATGCCTGAAGACCCGCTATATCATGTACACGGGCAGTGGACCAGCGATCTGACAATCCACGACGTAAAAGCCAACAAAGACGTGGAAACATACAACGTCACCGCGGAAAACTCTGCGAAGATGAGCCTAGCGCCGCTCTCCGAACAAGATCCCTGGGAGTCGCGACGCGCGTGGGAGGGCGTCATCGCGTCCCTGCAGAAGGGCAACATGCAGGGCGTCAGCGATGCGAAGTCGAAGGTCGAGCAAGGGCAGCGACAAATGCGCGAGGACGAGAAGGGCAGCGGACGCGAATGGACGCCTGTGTTCTTCACCCGGGCAGATAATGTGCCTGTCTTTGACCAGTTGCAGACGGTCTGGGATACAAAGACGCCGATTGAGCCAAAGGGCGGGATGTGGAGGATCGACAAGGAGAAAGTAGAGAGTGCGAAAAGGCCTTTCCACGGAGATATGACGCCAGGCAATCAAAGGCGTGGGAGGAGTGGGGATACCGTGAATGGATCTCAAAAGAGTAGTAGCACAGCTGCACCAGGTGAAGCGGCCCAGCAAAAGCAAACCAAGGCCTCTCCAGCACTCAATCGTTCATCTGATAAAGAAGACTCGAAAGCACCACCCACGAACCGCGAACTAGACACAAAACAAGTCGAGACCTTTCTGCGCAATAAGTACAGCTCCGTCAGGTAGACAGTACAAACGCAATCTACCAGCCACCTTACTCACAGGTCAATATCGGTACTCTGGGCTCGTAAAGATGTTGATATACAACACACCGTCCTTGAACGATCTAGTAAGCTGAACTTGCCTGTGTGCACTACACTTCAGACTCTTGTATCTACACAGATCAGTCGATTACCGACGATCAGGCATTTGCTATTTAGGACAACGCAGGATCTCTACGAGCAACAAGATGTCAGGATGAAGCTGAAACCTCGTCGAGACGCTTGTGACGAGTGACGAGACCCAGTAGTAGATTGAGGGAGAAGCAATCACGAGTGGACGGGTTCTACAATCAAGGGCCAAGGCTAAAAAGCTTGCGTCAGTGGACTTTACATGTCAGCCAAGAGGGGTTTTATATGACTTAATGACTAGTGTCTTTATTCCATTTCCGTGCAAATACTTGCATAATTATCTCCGACGCTATTACAACCAGTCCGTTCAGTTAGACTTCGTAAGGCCTATCCACGCTCTCCTTGAGCCCTGTCATAACAAGGGTATAACATCCCAAATACCTACAAGAGTCCAGATACATGCATGTCTCAAGCATCAGTCTCAACCAGAGTGCCGCTGGTGGGAACAGCTGCCGTCTCCGCGTTTTCCTCCGGCGGCGAATCTGCGATACCGTTCCAACTCACAGTCGACAAATTAGCCTCCTGAGGTGATTGCAGCTCATTCTCCTCTTGCACTGGTCCCGCTTCCAGTAGCCTAGCTTCGAGCAGCTCCGCAAATGAAAGACAGCGGTACCCATCATCTACATCGTCGTCGTCCTCGTCATGCATTTCGAACTTGCCATAGATGCGGTTCCCCTCCTCATCGTATGCGATCTCACGCTGTGAGCGATCGCGCTTGGCAAGCGTCATCTCGATCTCGCCGCTGTCTTTGACACGGTCGATCTTGGCGGTGCGAAAAGCAGTAATCAGGGGCTGCCAATTGGTTTCGTGTGACATGTCCAGCTGTTTGAATACTACGATAGCACCTTCACGAACGTCTTTCTGCGCCAACACTGGGAGGTCTTCGACGCACAGCGGCAGTATAGGAAGGTCGTCGGCGAAGACTACGTGCTTTCCGGCTGGCTTGGCGGTGTCTGGGGCTTCGTCGTAATCGAGCACTACATTTGATTCCGGTTCATCTACTGCTTGAGAGAACACATTCCCGAAATCAGCATTAGTATTGAAGTCGTTGTAGTAGTTGGTATTATTTCGCTGGCGCTTCTTCTTTCTACGCTCGTTGTTGGCATTACGACTGTTACGCTGAGGATCATACTGCTGTTGCGGGTCCCAGCGCTGAACAAACGGAAAGAGAGGGGTACTGAGCACGATTCCGTCTTTACAGCATTCAACAGCGTTAAGGTTGAGTTTGAATTTCCAGGCATTTACGTCTTCGACTTTGCTATCATCTACGACGGGCAGCCTCCCCTTGCCATTGTTCGGCGACTGTGTTCTAGTTGTGATAGCATCCTCTTCAGAATTTGTCGTAGGAATGCAGAAACGTGGCGAGTCATTCGATGTGCCCTTCGATCGAGTAGCGCCTGTACGTGCGCGCTTATTGGGAGTCTCTGTATCGGTGCCATCTCTTGAGCGCCGAGACTTTCTCTTCTTAGAATTCTCGGGTAAGAGAGTAACTGCTGCAATGTCTACCCCACCAGTGGCCAGATCACGGAGTAAAACTTCTCGTTGTTCCAGCTCTTCTTTTGAGAGTGAGTGCGCTGTAAGAGCAACTCCAGGGGTTCCATTCTTGCCTTTCCCCTTCGGCGAGGCCATCGGTGTCTGCTCGTCGTCGGGTGCAGAGTTTCCTGAATCCAGATGTGCGCGAAGGTCAGCTAATGAGGCATCGGGGTCAAGCTCGCCAAGCTCTTTGAGTCTGTTGAGAGTCCTCAGGGCGCGTCTACGCTGGTTTCTTGTCTTCGTGTCTGACGAGCCTTCATATGGCAGGGATACACGCTGCTTTGGGCGAGTTGATTCGACTTCTGGCCCAGGATCTGACGTAGCATCTGAATCTGAAGGACTGGGCACACTGTATCTTCCGGTGTTATCTTTTGCATTGACACCTTCTGCTGGGGTGGCGTCTGAGTCTGAATCAGAACTTGAATCCGAATCCGAATCTGAATCCGAATCCGAATCTGAGTTCGAGTCTGAGTCCGCGTCCAAAGCCGAACTGTCGGAGCTAGAATCTGTATCGGGATCTGACTCGTTGTCGGCATCGCTATCTGGCATCGCTTGCCCCTTGGACCTGGTCAAGCGAGTTTCCGCGATAGCTTCTCCTTCACTCTCCTCTAGGTCACTTTCATTCTCCGAGCTACTTGACCCGTCCTCAAAGTTGTCGTCTGATTCGTCGTCATCTGAGGGAAGCAGAGTCGATTCGTTCACTGCTGCGGCTGTATTGAACCTTACTCTTCTACTGACACGCGCGTTGGCAGGCCTTGCAGATTGAACCTCTCCGGCTACGTTTTCTTCCCGGTCGTGCTCGTATGGGACGAAATCCTCATCCTCCTCTTCGTCGTCTTCGTCGTCTTCGGCGTTATTTCCATTCGTGATTCTAGAGAGGGATGTAGGCTCGGGGCTCGGGCTAAGGTCAATGTCGCCGTCCGCAGGTGGCAAGAGACGTGCTCGCTTGCGAGGAGGAATATTGACCGCAGGTCTGGCTGGCCTTCTGAGCCCGGTCTTGCCAAAAGGTACACCGTCTAGTAGATGTACACCGGCAGACGATACCTGGACACGACCAGAGACTCGACGTACGCGAAGCTCGGGTGTCTGAAGAGGTCTCACACTATGTCGTCATGTCAGTCTCGAACCTGCAGCTGGCTTTTCTCCGAGTTCATCGGAATGCGGAGAGGGATACTTACCAGACATGGTCACCGTCCTTGAGTATCTGGGCAAGCCGTGAGTAGTGGAGGCACTCGAAACCATCGACCTCTACCACATAGTCCTCGAGACCCCATTCTGGAGCTTCCAGGGGTATAGCTTCGTCAATATCCTCGAGGAGATTCGAGATTGTCTGTAAGCCCTGGGCCGGATGGTCAGAGATATTCCAAAGCAGGTCTACAGACGGCAGACCGTGACGCTGAACTGAGAGTTTCAAGCGCATGATTAGATCATTGCGGAGTGAGTCTAGGTCATGGATGTTGTTGTTATTGTTGTACACACGCAGAAAGCCAGAAGCAGAAACAATTATTTGGTTCTTGTCGCGTCAGTCCTCGGCCGCCGTCGCACTAGTCAGAGGTAATAAAGGTGGGGCGAGCGCCGGCCACGCCGTAATGCCTTGCTGCCTTGTTTTCTTGTTTCTGCCTGACTGCCTTGCTGTCTGACTGCCTGACTGCCTTGCTGCCTCCACATACAATCGATGAATCGCGTATTCATTCGTCTTGACGAGATTGACATCTCATTCCCCTAGATTACTACTGACACGTAGGTATCTTACTTGCCTTTTCCTCTCCCAAGGTAATCATGTTTCTCCTTCTCACTCACATAATACTTCCTAGCCTCTTTCTTGAAGAATCATCAGGCGCGTCTCATTCGTTCCATGTTTCTTACGTTTTGTCGTTTTCATCACCTCAATTCTCTTATCGGTATCGAGAAGCGATCGTTTCCCATCATCATCATGAGGGTTGCACACACAGTGAAACGGGTGTTCTTGGCGAAGGCAGCAGAAGTCTTGGAAGCGCGCGTTTGAGCACGTTTCGCCCCACAACTGCATCCATTCATAACCACCGAGAGAACTGTAGAATTATGACAACGCCGCTCCACTCACCAGTCGCCGATTACTCAAATATCACCTTCTTTCCCACGTGGCTATCTGCAGAATTAGTTTGGTTCCCGTACTTTCGAGATCAATCGCTGTATCGACCATAACCTCGTCGCACGTCGCTTGGATTTAACATCAGTCGACGATCCGGATCGAACTAGCGGAAGCTGTCGAGCATTTCTTGGCTGCCATGCTTGGCTAAACACGGAATCACACTCGAAACTCCAGCCTTGATAAACCATTTATCGCATGGTCTTGTGCTCAGCGACATATAATAAACTCCCGTACGTTTTCGCCGTACTTCAAGATGTTCCAACTCTTCCGGCGGCAGCATATCCAAGACCACGACTCAGCAACGAACGTCACAGAACACTGGGGATACCCAAGCCGGGTCGTACCATGTGTCAACGATGTCGGATCTTGCCAATATCTTGACGCCGTATACTGGATGCATGATACGTCCATGCTGTATTCCTTCATTCTCTGGGCGGTCATTGGGAGTATATTGTTGATATGGCTTCTCGGTCGAACATTTAAGCCTTCGTCAAGATCAACGCCATGGGACTGGGAATCCCAAAAGGCCAGCAATAGGGGCGTTGTTTACCGCGCGGCTCGAGCATTCTCAGCGCAGGCCAGACGGTGGCTACTACCGGAGAGTATGACGAGAATCTTTGGACACACATCGCGGATACAGCTTCTCGTCTTGGCTGTCCTGAGTGGCTATCTTATCATATTCAGTTTTGTTGGTATCGTGTACAAGACCTGGGTCACGCCCGTCAAGAACTCCGACAAGTTCAACACCCGCACCGGACTGGGTGGATTTTCTGATCGCATTGGTGTGTTGGCATATGCCCTGACCCCTTTCTCAGTCCTCCTTTCCAGCAGAGAGAGCATTCTCTCCATCGTCACCGGCATTCCTTACCACCACTTTAACTTCCTCCATCGATGGCTTGGCCGTATCATCTTCATCCAGTCCTTCGTCCACACCGTTGGCTGGATCGTCGTCGAAGCGAGATTGTACCAACCCCAGCCTAAGGTCTGGAACACCTTTGTTAACCAGCCGTACATCATCTGGGGCTGGGTCGCCATGATATTAATCACATTCCTCTACGTCTTCAGCATCCGTCGCGTAATTCGTTGGACTGGCTACGAGTTCTTCCGCAAGACGCACTACATCGTCGCAGGTCTCTATTTCGGCGCATGCTGGGCTCACTGGGCTCGTCTCGTATGTTGGATGATTGCCGCCCTAGGACTATTCCTTGTCGATCGCGGCGTGCGCCTCCTCCGCACCTGTCTCATTCACTTTGGCTACAAGCACGGCGAGCGAGGCTTCGGTTTCCGCTCCTCCCCAGCCCGTGTACAGGCCTTTGTCGATCCGGAAAGCACCGTGCTGCGAGTCACGTTCGAGGCGAATCACGATCCGTGGGCCATTGGACAGCATTACTTTGTATGCTTTCCCGAGCTGTCGATCTGGCAGAGCCATCCTTTCACGCCGGCGAGTGTGCCGAACGCTCACCCTGCTCTGCCAGAGCATACTTATATCATTCGCGCGCTAGGCGGACAGACGGCGAAGCTTGCGCAACTGGCACAAGAGAAGGAGAAGACAGACGTCTGTGAAACACCGGTGATCATCACTGGGCCGTATGGTACACCGGTGATCGACCCTGCGTACTCCCACATCCTGGCCATCGCTGGAGGTACGGGCATATCATTCACGTTACCCATCGCGATGGCAGCTGCGACGAGGCGTTCTGCATCAAACGCATCAGTCCATCTAGTATGGATCATACGACACGCAGACAACATCTCCTGGCTAGCAGACGAGCTCACGCTGCTCAAAGACCTCATGGCCCGCGGCGCCACAGACCTAAAAATTAGCATATACATCACACGAGACGCGAGCAGGCCGACCTCGAACCAAGGCTCCGTCTCCACCAAAGACGCATCTCTGCGGAAGGAGGCCGAAAAGACAGACAATGAAATCACAACAACGTCTACATCTATTTCATCCGGCGCTGACGCGTGCTGCTGTGCGCCGACTGCGGGAACACTTCTCTCCCCGAGCCGAAACTTCAGCATACATTACCTCGCAGACCACCACCCGTCCATGCCCAAGATCCTCGACGAGTACATCGCGGACACGCTCGTGGACGGGCCGATCCAAGTCGCCGCTTCCGGTCCGCCTGGTCTGGGTGCTGATATCAGGCAGGCTGTGGCATCGCGGAACAGCGGTGCGCGCGTGTGGAGGGGTGACTGGAGTGCGGATGTAGACTTGGTATGGGACGATCGGGCCGTGTGATGTTGCTTGCTTTGGCGTCTTGGTTAGGGTTTATTGCTATCATAGTAACATCGTCGTAGTTGCAAATGAATTGTTCAAAGACAATACAAAGACGCTATATTCGTTCCTGTATCACCCCTCTTCACATACTCACCGCCCTCACACTCCTCTTCACAGACCTCCCATTCTCGCAAAGCAGACACACCACACCTCACCACACCTCACCACACCTCACCACACCACACCAACCCGACACAATCACCGCCAGCTCCTACACACATATATATATCCCCCCCTCCTCTCTTCTACTCACAACCACAGATAGCACACGAAGTCTTCATGTGCTGTGGGTACCCTCGCGAAAGGTAGCAACTTCTACATCCTCTCACGAAAACTCAACCCACCGCATAAAGACGCATGTATCTACTGCGACGACGAAGGCAAGCTAGTTCCTGTCGCCGGCAAGTAGCAATTACATCCTACACGGCGAGGATCCATTCTCTGCTGTGTGCGTTCCGTACTCGTGGGGCCTTTGCGTACAGTGGTGATGATGATGGTCATCACCATCACAATCTGTAACTAATCCGAGCGTTTAATATTCCGCACTCCACACTCGTGAGTCTTGAATAGCAGTGATGCTAATCATCATCATCACCACCACCACCACAACCACAACCCACAACCACCACCACAACCACCACCACAGCCATCATCATAATATAGAGATAAGAGCCGCCGAACACCACAGAAAGCCCATAAAATCAGGTCTAGGTCCTCGTCGCACCGCACGTATACTACTACTACCAGAACAGACCAGCCCAGCCCAGAACAGAACAGAACAGAACAGAGTAATTAGATGCAAGAAAGCACACAAACCTAATACATAGATCATCCATCCTTTATATTACGTATATGCATGCATATCCGTACCCGGCACTTTCCAATCCTCCACCCTTCCACCCTTTCACACCCCCACCCTCACCTCCATAAATACACACACACACATAAAACATACAACACAAACCCGGCCCTAACTCCTAGTATAGCAAATCCTTCACCTCAACCGACAACCACGCATGACGAGAGGGAAGGGGGAAATTGCGGGACCGGCGCAAGTCATGTTTTCTTGAAATGTGTGTGCGTGTGGACGTTTATGCCTAGATATGTGCGAGCGAGCCGTCCATTAGATGATGGTGTGGCTTTGTTTGTGGGGGGGTTGGGGGGGGGTTTCTTTTAACGTGATACTGATTGTCAGCATCCTTTGTATGTCGTCAATGGTGGACTATATTCGGAAGATCATGGTAATGGTTCGTATTACTATTTATCTGTCTATATCGTAAATGCATGTTCGTCATGCGCCCGTAGGCATCTCCGATCCGATCTACCATTGCACTAACTTATCACCGGGTAGGAAGTAATGCATCATTGCTGTCCGTATATGGACAGTATGTTCGTCGAGTTGCTGTAGTCGACGCCACACAAGCCGTCAAAGTCGCCAAACATCTCGCCTCTTGCCTTGATGAACTCCTGGAACCCGCTCAGCCCACAGCTCTCTGCCGGACCATCCACACAGCCCGGTAGCGGTTGCGGGGCCTGGTTGACCAGCACTCGGATAAACTCGCCTGGCTCATATCCGTAGGAATCGCAGCTCAATTTCTCCATGGCAATGTTTGACAAGAACGGGAGGATACGAGACGATTGCCAGACGCGATTGGTGCTGATTTGAGTCAGCGGCATGGTTGCGTTGTAGTCCAACGAGTTGGTGAATGCGGTGTTGTTGAACAAGCCCAGTGCGACCAGGACGTTTGGTGGTAGCTCACGATGAGCAAAGGATACATACAGATCCTGGATGTCGGAGCTGTTTGCCGGCGCAAGAAGCAGCTGCGCGGTTGCGTTAGTCCAGGGGAAGCCTTGAGCGCCAGAAATGCCTGGAGAGCCGTAGCCAAGCGAGTGATGGTACATGATATCGTTCATATACTCAAAGGAGAGCCACTCGTTCGGTGTGAAGAGGGAGAGGGAACAAAAGGGCGATTCACCGCGGATGACGGTCTCGTAACCACAGAGCTGCTGCATTCCGACCACGTCGGACATGGTAAAGTTGAAAGCGGAGGCTTGGGCATTGAGACGCTCAACGATGGGCTTGGTGTAGATCTTTTGGTAGGTCTAGGAAAGTCAGCTTTTGTGCATGATCGTCAATCGGTAGATATTCACCCCAGATTGCTCACTGCCCCGCGAGCCGCTGTAGTTGGGGCACGTCTGATGGGGCGTCAGACTATCTGCACCCTCTTCGCTGGCCTCACTGATACCCTCAAGCTTTGTGGAGTTCTGGCCAACAGTGTATCCATCAATGAAACTCTGTGCGCTGATTGTGGTCCTCTCAGCCGTGCTGGCCCATACTTTTCCTGGCTTGTTGAATCCCTTTCCGCCTTTCGCGTATTGGTATCTTTGTTTGACCTGAACCCCGAGCTTGAAGGCCTCAAGCTCGCCGACCTTTGTCAAGTCCTCGAGATCCTCGTCTTCAATTGGGCTCTTCCATGTCGTCAGAAAGCTCAAATCTCTCGTCTTGCTCCAATCTGCAGTCGTATTGCCCAACTTCATTACAAAGGGCTCGATATAGCTCTCGAAGTCGAAATCGTTGGCGTAGATTGCTGCATGACGAACGATATAGGCAGCGCGAGTGACGTTACAGCCTTGAGGCGGAGCTGGGTCAGACGGAGGGTCTTCAGGCTCAAAGTATGGAGCAATGCCGGCCAGATGTTCGAGTGGGTCAAACGAGTAGGCCGCAGCCACGGAGAAAGCTAGAGGAGCGAGAGCTGCCGATGAACGCATTGCGGCGGTCAAGGTGGAAAAGGAGGAATAATCGATGAGGTGTGAGGAGGATAGTCTGACAGGCGTTGAGGAGAAGTCATGGTTGTTAGCGTGGATTGGGCTCTATAAAGGCCCAGCAGCGATCTCGATTTGTTTACAGCGATGACGATGACGGACGGAGGTGAACGGGCATGACGTGAAGCTTGGAAAGACGGGAAACAGGGTAGATCGCGTGCTAACGGTCTTCGGATAGCGCCAGGTCCCGTCTCGCGCACGTCTGACCGTGATTCGCGCACAAGAGCAATAGTGGAGATGCCAAATCTGCATTGAGGATAGAGTTTGGGTGAAATGAGAGCGGAATGACGATGAATGAACGAGCGCCGCAGAGAATCCTAATGAGATGCAAGTTAAAGAAGCTTGAGCACCGACAAGCTCACGCCACATCTCAGTGGCTGATGCTTCTCTACCTACCACAACTCTGGCCTAGGGTTGTCCACTGACAATACTGGCAATCTATCTTACCCAACGAGGCTCGAGCGACCTGATCTGTGTCCACGGTGAAAGGAGCCATGCCATTCGTGTTGTACAACCAAGATATAGTGCTTCAATCGAACTGGCCCTCTCCGACCCACTTCACACTCGGTCCGGGAGATGCGATACAGGCCGGTGGATGTGGTTGATTTGCGGAATTCGGGGATTTTGCGTATGCGCTGACATGCCGGCAATCAACGAATAGAAAAGTATTAGCAGGCACAATCGCAGACTAAGCCGCCGTAGGAGTCGCGAACTACGCTCGTGCAGTTGTTTTGCTGCGTTAAGGAGGGCACCTTCAAGACAGGTTTGGAAGTTGACAGACGATGAGAAGCTCCCAGCGACTCCTCCGAGTGCTCGACGGATTCAAACAGATGGACGACTCTATTCGCGAGCCCTGGCTATTCCATTACTTGGGTGTCGAGGGAAGTCTTACACTAAGCTCAACATTTACCACTCAATACTGCATGGTGTACAGCCATTTCACAAGCTGCATATGGCGTAAACGTCCTATCATCATCTAATGGATCCTACAAGCCATTAAGCCAGACATCATGCTAGACGTCATGCCAGAATCACCAAGAATACTCGAAGACATCTCACATACTGGATAGGATGTTCATCAGACGACTACGAAGTTGCCCTCGGAACTCGAAATAGGTTGCCAAGCTCTCGATGAGGGGCCTAGGGCCACTGGCGAGAGAGCATTCTACCGCGCCTATTCCATGGCCCGTTGCCCTGGGTGCGGACGGTCTTTATATCGCCCGAGATTGGAAAACCACCAACACAACGCCCGAATGTATGCTGGAATGGACGATCGAATGTATGCTGCTGTCGATGAAGGATTAGGTACTCTCACAAGCTGGCATGAATATGGTGAGACTGGAGAGGAAATATAGTCCGAAATGCGAAAGCCATATCAATGCTCCGGCACATCCGCCGGGTCAGCCGGCAAGACGGTGTCGGGGGTAATTAATTACACACATACGCAGGGAGGTTAAAGGGGTGGAGTCCCCACCGGAGGCTAAGCGAGGCTTCTGCAGTGCAACCCAACGTTACTTCAACTCTGCTTTCACTCTATCGAACTATCTTCTATCTATAGCTCCTTCATAGTAGTAGCACTTACCATCACTTCGGGCATCACCACAGCCACCATATACTCGAATGAATGAATAATGACGAGGGCCAAGCTGCTGTGGCGCTCGGCCGACAGCCACGCGTGCTGGCTACTGCAGACTTCTAGAACCCCAGTTTCTGGTGGTGCCACTGGCCACTGTATTCGATAAATTAGCTGACTTTTCACATCTTACTATTGGCTCGCTTTGGCTCGTTCTATCCCCTGTATTTCTTAAAACAATTGATCGACTGCTTGGACTTCCTTTACCGGAGTGGTCTCCTTGACGTTGGTATGGCTGGCGCATCATACCTTGCCTTGCCTCTCTGAAGTTACACGAGGATACGATGCAAAAAATACGCCTCCATGTCATCTTCATATCATGCCCTCGACGTTGATACAAAAGGCTTCTATGCCACCCTGGCACTTCATCTAGTATCCGCTCATCTTCGACTGCACCTTGACAAACACATCCATCACCACTTATCGGTCCTATCACCGCCATCAAGATGCAGCGCAGTCTCGTTGCAAGCCTCGCGCTACTGGGCTCGGTTTCTGCAGCATATGTCTGGCCATCAACACAAGATCCCATAGATGATCTGCTATATCTCCAGTCCGGGTACATCCGTTTCGGCTCTCTATCAGACCGTGCGTCACCTCTCCGGTGCCAACCAGAAACTCCTTTGCTAATGCACAGTAGAGGTCTCATCATGCGGTTTCGGTGCGGGCTCGCCAGGAATCCAAAAGTCGGCGGAATGGGTCAGAACTGCTTTCCATGACGCTGCAACACATGATGCAGCTGCAGGTACTGGAGGCGTCGACGGCTCTATCCAGTACGAGCTGGAGCGACCGGAGAACTTGGGCGCTGCACTCAACCACACATTGGCAGATATTTCGAGTTCAGTGAACGTACATAGCTCAGCTGCCGATCTCCTATCTCTGGCCCTCGTGATTGCTGTCGCGAGGTGTGGTGATCTCGAAGTCCCGTTGCGGCTCGGTCGGAAGGATGCTACAGAGGCTGGAATCAAGGGGGTCCCAGAGGCTCACACAGATCTGGAAACAACGAGAAATAGGTTTCAGATTGCCGGATTCAATGAGGGTAAGATCCAATCTGTACAATTCAATAATTCAACGGTCTGACGTTTCTGATAGCGGATATGATCACCCTTGTTGCGTGCGGACATACTCTCGGCGGCGTCCACTCTGTTGATCACCCCGAGATCGTAACAGGCACAGTCGACCCAGCCAATGTCGCCCGTTTCGACAACACAACAGACAAGTTCGACACCAAGGTCGTGACCGAATACCTCGACAACTCGAGCCGCAACCCCCTCCTCCGCAACACAAACGACACCCTCAACTCCGACAAACGCGTCTTCGCCGCCGATGGCAACGTCACGATGAACAAACTCGCAGACGCCACCTACTACAAAGCCCAATGCGAATCCGTCTTCACCCGCATGCTCGACCTCGTCCCCAGCGACGTCACCCTCAGCGAGCCACTCCAACCCGCCGACATCAGACCCTACATCACCAAATACCAACTCAGCAGCAACGGGTCCGTCGAGCTCGCCGGCCGCATCCGCATCCGCACATCCCCCGACTCCGGCCGCGTAGCCACAGACCTCAAAGTCAGCCTCCTCCCCACCGACCGCAACGGCCAAAGCATCCAAGAAATCACCACCACGGCCGCGACAGCCAAGGGAGGCGACTCCTTCGGCTACCTCAAGGAACGCTTCAACTGGTTCGAATTCAGCAAAGTCCTCCCCGCCACCACCGGCCTGAGCGGCTTCAACATCAAACTCACCGTCCCCTCATCCGGCCTCTCAACCACATACGACAACGCCGGCGCAGCAGGCGGCTTCGCCCTGAACCCAGACATCACCTTTCAACAGCCCCAATCCTGCGTCTCCTTTGACTCCGCAACAAACAAAGGCACCCTAACCCTCACAACAGCCATCTCCAAGAAAGCCCTCGCGTCAGGCGCAACGCCACAGGTCCGCCTCGTGCAGCGCATCGACCAGCCGCGCAACTTCATCCCCAAGCTCGAGCAGCAAGTCATCCAGATGACGCCCGCGGGCAAGGAGACGGCCGAGTACGTATACTACCGCGCGACTGGGACGGTGGGCCGGAACGGGCTGCAGACGACGTTTGACGTCGAGGTTGGGGAGTCGAAGTTGTTGTTTCAGGAGACGACGGCGCTTGTGGGGACGACGTGTGGGGCGTTGTGATTGTTTTCTTTTTGTACTACTACTGGATAGATATATAATGTTTAAGCGTTAATTGTAATTATTTGTTGATACCTTTCGAGCACGTGCTGAGTCACTATGCTGAAGGGGGTTTAGACCTGGCTTTGCTGGTCCTACTGCTCCTGCCTGTTCTCAAGATGCCTCCGGCTCGACGCAACTGCCAGGTTTGTACTTGACATTGTTATTCTAGGTAGGTACGCTTCTTGTCTCTTTCTGTTTCTGTCTCGACCTTAGTCTATGGTATCTCAGGTCCCCCCCCCCCCCCAAAAAAAAAAAAAAAAAAAAAAAAACCTCTTCTCTTTTTCTCTCTCTCTCTCTCTCTATTTCTCTCTCTCTCTCTCTTTCTGTCTCTATGAAACCCCAGATATCTTATCAATCACCACAGCCCAGAACCTACGATGTTATCATTACTGGGACATACCGAATCCAGCGAAGGATGTATGTGCTAGTAGTGACCCTAGCTTTCCATGACTACGTGATTGCTCTCGAATAGTGCGGGCAGTCCGTGAACGAAGCTTGGTGTGATATCATTGCCTTCTTTGTTGGATGAAGCGATCTTCTTAGGGAGCCAAGAAATAAACCTTGTATCGCCGATTATGGAATAATGTACTCGCAAGACAAGGACACGGGACAGTGACGCATGATGATCTTGGAAGGTCAGTTTACAGTCCGGCTTTGTTCTTCCAGCGTTGTGCAGAGTTCGGCTACATTGTTAACATACCACAGGGAAGGCCGGGAAATGTATGAGAGATTCTGGGTTACTGGCTTGGAATCTTGCCATCAGCACGCGTCACGCCAAGTTTTTGAGGGTTTGTCATTCACACAAGGAACAGCAGCACAAGGAGCACAATCTATATAAACCAGGCACCGCCTCGCCAGTACCACGTTCGACAAACAACTTCAAGGACACCTCCCCAGTACAGCACCTACCTACCTACCTACCTACCTACCTACCTACCTACCATCTACCCGACCTATACAGCAGAACACCACTCTAGAACTAGCCACCCTCCAACCACCATAACCATGACAAACCCGCAAGCCATCACAGAGCCCCAAAAAACACCCTCCGCTCCTCTCCTTCCCCCAGCCGCAGCGAGAGACCCCCAGAAACTCTATGAAGAACCCGCCGAGACATTTGAGGACCTCCTCAAACGAATGCGAGATTCCCCCAAGAACGCCCACGAAGAATTAGTAGGCCAATACGGCCCGGCGTTGCGCTGTTATGCCGATGGAAGAACAAAAGAAATTTATTGTCCCCTTTGTGATGAATACCCCATGGGATTGATCAATTATGCAAAGCATTTGGCATTGCCATTGCGTAGACACATTATTGAAAAACTGGCAGCATTCTTAGAGCGGCAGGAAAACAATAGACAATTCTGGCGTGCTCGTGTAGAGAAGGGTTCTCCCCTTCCGGAGTTCGTGCAGAACAAACTACTTCGAGGCGATCTTGGATCAGATATGTAAAATATAGAGCGAGTTTTCATAATTCAATCTTCTTACACCTTTTTTTTTTTAAAAAAAACCCCTCTCTTCCCTAGCTCTATCAAACAACTAATAGATAGTTAGAGTAAGTAAGTCAAGTAAAAACACTAATAATTAATCTAGAGCGACCTATTCAGAAGGAGACTTTGGCATTTCTTTTACTACTACTTACTACTTACTCCTACTACTTACTCCTACTACTTACTCCTACTACTTACTCCTACTACTTACTCCTACTACTTACTCCTACTACTTACTACTTACTACTTATTACTTATTAGTGATAGGGACGTGAGTAGAGCTGTTGTATATAGTAAGTATAAATAGATAAGAACTTCTTCTTCTTCCTCTTCTTCTTCTTCCTCTTCTTCTTCCTCTTCTTCTTCCTCTTCTTCTTCTTCTTCTTCTTCTTCTTCTTCTTCTTCTTCTTCTTCTTCTTCTTCTTCTTCTTCTTCCTTTACTTCTTACTTCCTCCCTCAACTTAGATTAATAATAATAACACCCAATGTCTCTCTAAAACAGCCAACTATCACTACCACCAAGCATTACAAAGCAAGCTCATGTATTTATGTGGCTGGGCCTTTGATTAGCTTGCATTAACGACAGGTGTAGTAGTCAGATGTAGTCAGGACAGGACAGGTCATGTGAGGACGAATGGGTATTAAGGGAAGGAACGGTGCGGTACGGTCAACAAGCCGCGAGGCAGTCGCGTGCTTCATTCCACTAAGCAGCGCCGTAAGTAGCGGAAGCGGATCCAGTAGTTTTGCAACAACATGAACATGTACATGCATTCACGGCCAAGACAAGCACACGGCAAGAATAGAACGAGGACAGATGGCATGGTAGGTATATGCTATACAATACAGACAGGCCACTTGAAAAAGAAACCGTTAAATCGAGTCGTGAGACAACTTCCAAAAGACAGCAGAGCGTGTAGACGTGTTGCTTTCGCTCCAGAAAGAGCTGGCGGGGCTGATTAGCCTGTGTACATGAGCCGGTCGCCGCGACCGATGTTGTGGCTGGCTCGCGTGCTCTCCAAAAATAAAAAAAAGACAGTGTGGCTGATGAAACGCCACTTTATACTCCTAGACCTCTACCTCCAAGTGATACCGATACCAATGGCCCACACAAAATGATGACACGCTTGCCTAAGCCGTGAACGGCTTGTTGGGAGAGTGGTTGATTCGGTCCTTCCAGTACATCTGGTCTTGCGTCTCCTTCTCTTCGACCTCGAGAAGACGGGCGTGCTCGCGGCGACCGAGACGGCGTTGCTTGATGCAGAAGAAGAGGAGGGCACATACGGCGATACCGAAACCGGCGACGGAGCCAGCGACGATACCAACACGTGCACCAGCTGGGAGGGCCCTCCAGTGGGCGGAGATGCCCTTGGGCTCTGCGATGCGCTTCTCGGCGTAGGATTGACCTCTGTGACGCGTGTTAGTCCATGTTCTATGTGCTAGAGAGTTGCTGCCACTTACTCAACCATCTTGATGCTCTCCCAACTTCCAGACCTGTCGCCAAACTCGTATTCCTTGGCATCGGAGAAATCGTGGACGTAAACAGACTCGACGGTCATGGTGAAGGGAGCCTCGCCAAAGTCGGTCTCACCACCAGCCCATTCAACAGTGCCCTTTGCGTTCTTCTCTGGGTCACCACCGGCCCAGATACCCAAGCGTAGGTTGAGAGGAGTCTGAGGAAAGTTCTTGCCACCGTTGGCATCGCCATAGTTCAAGGTGCGGACCTTGTCGTCGTCAATGTAAAAGTCGATCTTCTCCTTGGTCCAGTTGACAGTGTAGTTGTGCATCTTGTTCTGTGGGTCGTCGACGGGATGCCAGATGGCACGGTCGAAGGTGGTCTGGTTACCCTTGCCGAAGTAGTTGGTCTGGACGTGGGTGTTGTTGCCGCCAATGAATTCCCAATCAATCTCATCGAGATCGTCCGACTGCATGACAATGGAGGAGACGATACCTCTTCCCTTTGCCGCCTTCATGACGACGCTGAAGATACCACCCATGAGGTAGAACTTGGAGCCGACAGTTGGCGAGTCACCACGGCCACCAACGGTGAATTCAGTACCCTTTTCAGCCCAGTTGAGGGCACCAGCAGTTGTGTTCCAGATCTTGTTGTCGAGCAATTGGCTGTTGGTCAGGTTGAAGGTTGCGTTCGTGGACAGGGCGGCATTGTTCGGGCAGTCATCGCGTTCCATGGGATTGCATGCTGTGAAGGTTTGGGCGACGGCCGAGGAGAAGAGGAGGGGGAGTGCGGAGACGGCGAGAGTGAAGTACTGCATGGTGAAGCAGTTGTCGAGGGACTCTTGAAATATACGGCTCAACGAAGGAGTGCTAAAGGAGCTGGCGGAGCGTGTAAACCAGTCACAGGCAAAAGATGGACTGTATATGTGAAAAAGAGAGTGTTGTGTGATCGATCCCAAGGAGTGGAGGACGACCAGCAGGCCCGAGAGGGGAATATCAAAGAGAGTGGTGATGCTTGAATGAGCAAGGAAGTTGAAAAGGATGAGAAAAGAGAGAAATGGGAAGAGGAGAGAAAGAGAGAGTAGTAGGAAGCGATGGATGGATGGAAGGATGGCACAATCAATTGGCGACGACCTGGGCTCGACCAGCACTTTTTTGGGGAGGGGGCAGCTAGCGAGACAGTGCCCCTGGACTAATCTCGACGCGCAGACGAATCACAGCAGCCTGCAGACAACAACGGCGGCCCGTTGCCGATCTCTGCTGCTGCTGCTGCTGCTGCTGCCACACACACACGTTGAAGGTTATTCCTGTTCCTGTTCCTGTTCCTGTTTCTTCCTTTACTCCGCGAGTTGCCGTCATGAGACGACGCATATCATATACAGTCATACAGCTCATGCAATTCTCCATCATCATCAATCGTCTGTTCGTTGTTGAGGCTGCACAGTAGTACAGTGGGAGCATGCATTGACCTCGATGTGCGCCAATAGCCTACTTACTACTACATATACACCTTACGGGTGCTAAACTCTGGGCTGGCTGTCGGGCTGCAGCTTGTCCGGAGGCATAATAATAACACTAATCAAATCCATATGCTCACTCATATCCACGCCGCATGGACGCACGCACGCACGCACGCACGCGATAAGGACGAGATTAGCTATTAGATCGATGGATACTGTGCAGATATTGACGCATCTACGACAGACAGTGTGTGTGTTATAAAGATAGAACGGCCCTATTCCAACGTGAAAATCTGCAGCAGCATCCACCCATCGCACATCTGATTATCAGCCACGATTCACTAGCCACAGCGGCCCAGAGAACAGGGAAGGTGCCGGCGCCACAGATAGTCTATCAGTCCAGTCCCTCGCACCTGCCTCTATTATGGTCGACCGGCCGCCTTATCGCATGCGGAAATTGCGATGATCGATGTCGACGTCAGCATCACGGTGCAGACAGTGGCTGGTGGCTGGTGGCGGTGCAGCTCAGTATTCGGGCTTCGTTCAATAGAGACTTCTGCTGCTTCATCTTCTTCTTCTTCTTCTTCTTCTTCTTCTTCTTCTTCTTCTTCACCACCAGTCAATCATCGCAGTCATTTTTGCATTTAATCTTACCTCGATCCTGTCACGCTCCAGTTTTCCACGAGCCTAAAAACTGGAGATGCTGGCTGATCATCCATCACGTGCAACTCCCTGAGTGCCGGTGCCGGAGTGACGATACGAAATCCCATCAGTCGTCGGCGTCTCGTCTGCTTACTACTATCTTCCCGGTCACCTGATATCTAACCACGGGACTGCTGCCTGACTGCCTGACGGCCTGACTGCCTGACCGCCTTCCACTTGTCGCACCAATCCCCTTTACGTTCTTCACTGCATAGTCAAAACCGTGGAACGTTGCACCATCAATATTTCAAACGTCAATCGTCAAGGGTTGCGTTCATGCATCACTTACGCTTCTTCTCAGATGTCTGAAAAACTTGCATTCCCATCATGCTTCATCCGGACACATGACTCGCTCACAAGTCTTCGTACACTCCATCCGTCATCGCTTCCTCGCATTTCTTCTCTCCTCCATCGCGCTATCATGACCAACTCGTCCTTCAATGTCAAAGCCACCGTCTGTAGAACCAGGCCATCGTGACCAACTAGAACTCTGATAGACTCGTCCTCACTGGCCTGGACTGCCTAGCCACTGAGGCTAGTGCTGCTCCCACGCCACAACCGCTACAAACCCCCGTCATCGAATCAATCCACCACACCACCCGTTCTGTTGCGTGCAAACATCAGGTTTTGGTGATGCGACTCATCCACACCGTCATGGCTGTTGACGGGAGTCGCTGCGGGCATGGAGGAGTCTTCCTTCTCATCCATGTCCTATTTCTAACAGGACACCCTTGAGTATTACTCCTTGTCGTAGATCTCACAGTCCTTCTCCCTTTTCCGTACATCTGTGTATCCGACAGCCCTACCAACAATCATATTGACGCCCTCTTCGGATTCATCCCCAATTCCTCATCATGAACGTCAGTCGGCCCTCAAAGGGCATCCGCATGCCCTGGCAATCCATGCACATCCACCGACACCTCCCCGACTCGGAACGCGCCCCCCGCCTGCCCCTATCCTTCCTCCCACGCACCGCCAAGCGCTACGTCGTCGCCTGCGCCGGCGAGTTCGTCGGCACATTCATGTTCCTCCTCTTCGCCCTCGGCGGCACAAACGTCGTCAACACGGCCCCGGCAGAGGGCGCAAACTCGGCCGACCTGTCCGCGAACCCGAGCAAGATCATGTTCATCGCGCTGTGCTTCGGCATGAGTCTGGCCGTGAATGCATGGGTGTTTTTCCGGATTACGGGGGGGCTGTTTAATCCCGCGGTGACGTTTGGCATGATGATTATTGGCGCGATGGAGTATGCCAAGGGCGGCATGATTATCGCGAGTCAGATCCTCGGCGGCATTGCGGCGAGTGCGGTTGTGAGCGCCATGATGCCGAATGTGCTTGCGGTCAAGACGGAGCTGGGCGGCGGCACGACGGTCGTGCAAGGCCTGTTCATCGAGGTTTGTAGCCTTTCTTCTCCCCTCCTTTCCAGACGCGAAACTAAGCAAAGGACAGATGTTCCTCACCGCCCAGCTCGTCTTCACCATCTTCATGCTCGCGACGGAGAAGCACGCGGGCACGTTCATCGCCCCCGTCGGCATCGGCCTCTCCCTCTTCGTCGCCGAGCTCATGGGCGTCTACTACACCGGCGGCTCCGTCAACCCGGCCCGGTCCTTCGGCCCGTGCGTCGTCACGCGCGACTTCCATTCCTATCACTGGATCTACTGGGTCGGTCCCGTGCTGGGCAGCCTGCTGGCCGCCGCCTTTTACACCTTTATCAAGGCGCTCGAGTTTGAGACGGGCGATCTGGAGCCGGACAGCGAGGCGGCGGTGGAGGTGCCGTTGGATCGCGAGAGTGGTGGTGCGGTTGCGGCGGATGCGGGTCCGACGCCGGGGTTGATGACGAGGTCGACGGGGACGACGGATGTCTTTCAGAAGGGTCCGGAGCTGGAGAAGGCGTGATGGGTCGAGGGCGGCATGTGTGATGGGTTATGAGTTATGAGTTATGAGTTATGAGCCATGCACGGCACGGCACGGCACGTACACGCAGCGAGTGTCTTTTAATATAGTTCACACAAATCATATAATTATACAGCCCAGTCATCTCCCCTGACTCCAAAAGTACAAGAAAAGAAAGAAAAGCGAAAGCCATCCGTGATACACGGCAGTCTGACAGCAGTCCAAACGACTGACCACGCCCACGGGAACGACTTGAATCATGACACGGAAGAAATCAAGGCGCGTGTACTAAGTGCATTGCATAATCGCGACGATGTGGTGGTGGTGATGATGGTGATAGTGATAGACTAACTGAGTCGAGGGGTGTGCGGGTCATGCGAGGCTGTTTAACGTCGTTCTGAGCAGCTGATTCATCAGGTGGACGTTTCGAGTTGGCTGGGGTGGTTTAGGTAGCTAGTGCGATTTGGGATGGTATGTTACGGTTTTACTGCTGTTAGTAATCAGGTAGTAGATCGTCTGGCTTAGGTAAGCGATGCTATGCTTCTATTTTCCGTGGAATCTACGTCTTGTTTTTTTTTTTTTTCGTTCTTTTTATTTTGACTTAGTCTAGGTGAATTCCACCTCGCAGGCTGCGAAACAGAGCTATATATATGTTCTCAAATAATTCCATATTACACACGGTAGGATCCTAAACTATATAACGATACGACGTAACACCAATTCTTATAATACAAATAATACACCAGACCCTAAGACATCTCCCCCGGCGCTAAACCCACCTAGACCCACACCAAACGTCGCGCGGGACGGACCTCGTCATCTGCGCCTGTCGCACGCATTCCATGGATCTACTCTATGCAAGCAATCGCATTCTCTTCTTGCGTGAGATGATGACTGTGAATACTTCCACACAGAGACACCGATTGTTAGTCAGGAAGGGGATATGGGGATATACGTCCACCGCATTGATGCATGACTGGATAGATAGATGGATGCATGACAGAAAGAAAGGAGGTGAGGAAGAAAGACGCAGTGGTGTGCTCAGTGTCAGGGTCAGGGAGTTAACATTCGACATCCACGAGACCAGACCACGTTTAGGTTCCGCGTCTTGGACGGATAGCGGGCGTGCGAGGCAGGTGAGGTAGGTGGGTGTGTAGTGTAGGTAGCATGTTGCTGCTGTCGATCCATAAACAAAACACGGATTGTCTGCTCCTGGGTTTCGACGATATACTGACTCTCACACCTACCTACCTATATACATACATATTCATTCTATCCCTATATTCCCAAGCCCTAACCCCCAAACCCAAACCCTAACCCAACACCCCCTCCTCTACAACCCCCCAAACAACCCCCCAATCCCCCAACCCCCCCAATCCCCAAACCAACAACCCCAAAAATGGGCATAACCCTCTCCACCGAACCCACCCCCCTCACCCCCCTCACCCTGACAACAACCACAATCGGCCTCCTCGGCTTCGCCTTCACCCTCTCCACCTTCTTCAACGTCTTCTGGTCCGCCATCCACACCTTCGCCCACGCCCCCACCCAGATCCAAGACCTCCTCGGCAACCTCAAGCAAGCCCTCTACGAGGAGCGGCGCCATCTGAGGGAGATTCGGCGGCGGGGGCGGGGGCGGTCGGGGCGGTGGAAGGGTGGTCCGGGGACGGGGAGAGGGACGGGGAGAGGGAGAGGGACGGGGACGGGGAGAGCGAACAGTGGCTTCAGGGGGGAGAAGTATGACTACGACGACCACGACGGGGACTGGGAAGTAGAAGACGACACATCGACCCAAACCATGCGCACCACGATCCGGCACCTCATCGCCGCCTTCAAGGCGCTCGAAGCCCCCTTTCTCGAGCCCGGGCGCGCGTACTACGAGGACACGAGCTGGGCGGGGGTGAGCGGAGCGAGCAGGACAGAGAGCGGAGCAGCAGCAGGCGGCATAACAGCAGAGCGAGAAGCAGACTGGTACACGACGCCGTACAGGAAGTGCGGGGTGCGCGAGCGGTGGGTGTGGGTGCGGCGGGCGAGGAAGGAGGCGGAGGGGCTGATGGGGGCGCTGGGCAGGGTGCAGATGAGGAGGGTGGCGAGGGAGGTTGGGGAGTTGTTTTTGTGAGTTCTTTTCTTCGTTCGTTTGTTTGGGGAGGGGTGAGAGAGAAAGGGGGGCTAATGTGTTGTGTTAGTGTTGTGCGGGATATGGAGGGGGAGGTTGGGGGGATTGAGGAGAGGGTGTTTGGGGTGGAGCAGAGGTTGTTGAGGGTTGTGGGGGTGCGGAGGGTTGGGTAGGGGGTGGATTGGGGTGCTGGGGGTTGCTGGAGGATTTGGATGATGTTTGGTGCGTGAGAGGCGCATGTTTACGGCGATTGAGGACGAAGGATACCTGAACCTGTCTTCATCCCTTACATCCACGACGAACGCTGCGGGAAGGCAATGATATGCTATACGTCCTGACTAGGCCTCTCTTTCCTCCCGTATCCTTCCTCTTCTCCCTACCCATATACTATACGTCACACCAACAACGACACCAACGACACCAACGACACCAAACAGACTCGAACAAACTCGAATAGACTCGAACGATATTGAACAGAATTGAACGGAATTGAACGAACCCGAACGAAATTGAATGGACGAATGGACACACGAACGTATAGACGAATGGACGAATGGACGCACGAACGTATACACGCATACACGAAACGGTCGTATACACGCATACACGCAACGAACGTATAGACGTATACACGTATACAAGCATGTACATACAACCAAACACACAAACACACATACACAAAAACCGCCAAACACCCCATCCCCAGCCATGACGAGTAAGCAACAAGCCGTAGGATAGCTTTTAACGACAAGCAGCAGCAGCAGTAGGAGGAGGAGGAGCAGCAGCAGGAGAAAGAAGGCAGCCTATTCGATAGGTTATACATTGTTTCCAATATCGTGGTTTGAAGTCATGGCTAGAGTTCGTAGGCAATAGATCAAAGTAGACAGACCGGCTATAGACAATGGACGATGGACCGGAGGGGGGATTCACAGAACGAGGGGTTATAGATCCAACGACGCGCCACGAGGTAGATAGACAGACAGACAGACAGACAGAAACGACAAAAACGACGCAAAAACACACAACGGAGATGGGGAGAAAACGGACAAAGGAGACGGCGAGAGGCGAGAGGCGAGAGGCGAGAGAGGCACGGTGGATAGGCAGGCATGGTAGGTCGATAGGTCGATAGGTAGGCATGTATACATGCATGCATGCGTTGTAGATAGGTCATGTTAGACAAATAGGTATATAAATAATTCAAAAATCTGCGTGCGTTCGCTCTCCGCTCTTCGCTTCGCTACTATCTTTCGCTCAAGTCAAACGCCGTACGCTGTTTAAAAACAACCAAGACTAAGAAACTCCGCTGTTGGAAAATATCTACAAGGCGTGATGGATGTATCATGCCGTACCATATGATGATGCCGTGCTGTGCTGTGCTGTGCCGAGCTGTGCCGTGCCGAGCCGTCATGCCGAGCCGTCATGCCGTGCCGTGCTGTGCTGTGCCGTACCGTGCCGTGCTGTGCTGTTACATCGTGCCGTACCGTCATGGTATATAGCCGTATCCGCATATCCGTATCCCATATCCCACATCTGTATCCCACATCCCATATCCCACCCCCCTTAATCGCACACAAGGCACACAATACACAAGGCACACAATACACAAGGCACACAATACACAAGGCACACAATACACAAGGCACACAATACACA